TTCATCTTCCACATCGCCTCAACCGTACTTTGCAATTGAAGGTATCCCGAGAATACATGCATAGAAATTTGATCCCCAAGTTTCAACCAACTAAATTCAATCCACACTGTAGATGGTACCCACGAAAGATAAGGTGTGGAAATGTGCCGCTCACGTCCGACATTCAACCTCACCGAACCACATTGCCGAGCTGGCCTTCTAGAATCTATGGGGTGAAACACCCACGCCAAGATGTAAGTGGGCTTTCTGGCTACCTAGCTAGGTAGGGGGACCACTCGTTTCAGGAAATTTAACGTTGTGGCTCGAGTCTTTTTTACTCACTTACATACTACTACTATGTAGGCAGATTACTTGTCAGTTGTACACATTTCTACCATGGTAGATGGTAAAGCCTGTATTCGCTTTCACTGGCTGTACAAGGTTTGCATGCAATGCCTTTCGGGTTCTAACCTTACTCTATTACATGCATACCAGGTAGGTACCTAACCTACCTCTTATCTCATTTCTACCTGGGAGGTATTGTACAATACTTAAGGTGGTAGTTAGTACCTAATTCCTCTAAACTCTTTGAACTAACACATTTGGGTAGGAACATAAGCACTACATAGGTAGTATAATACATCAGAGCATGGTTTAAATGTTGAAAGGGGAAAAGGGGGGATACTGCTAAATCAATAGGACCGACATAATGCCACTATTTTTTTTCAGGGGGTTTATCGGCAATACAAACGTACTCAATACATACGATACATACGACACACGATTGCTACCTCTTGTCCCACCGAGGAATCAGAGAACCTGCGCGCCACATGGCTAGCTACATGTGTGGTGTATCCACTCATTTCGCCGTTCCTGCATTAGCCAGGCTATCTCCAGCTAGCAGGACAACCTAGCTCAGTCTTGTACCTTTAATACTTACCAGATACGAGTGCCAAAACCGAACCCATCTCGATTTTGGGCCTTCAATCTTGTGGTAACCCTGTCGAATCTTCTCAAGTGTGGTTTCAACATCCACCAAGTGGATAATAGAAGGATTCTCATTTATTCTATTGCTTCTCTTTTCTGGAAGACTAACTAATCGGGCATCATGGAAGAACGTCGGAATATACCATTTACGTTGGTCGGCATTTACAACAATTCGTCATTAGCATAGAATCTTGCATTTTGGCGCTGTGAACGATTACCACAAGGCACACGCAGTGCTTCACCGTCATGTGACTTCTCTACCAAGTGGACTCTGAAGACACAACATTGCTGCTACACATTTTTTTTCTATTTTTGGTTCAATGACCTAAATAAGTGTTCCTTGATCAGGCTTTAGGAAGCATCAATTAAAATCAGTAAATATTCCTAGCACAAGCTACTCTAGGCACCGACTCGCCTCACGTCATCATAGAACAAAGGCAGATCTCTCCTATCGGTAAGTTTCTTAGGGAGTATATGCTACAACTTTGAATAAACCATTCATCAACGTGTCATCAAAATATAATTTTCAATACCCATGGCTTCGAGGACAATCTGCAAAATGATCCATGCTCGCCGACGGCACTTGACAGTCTCCATAGACGGCAGCGCATCCAGCAGGGTTTCTGTCTCCGTACTAACGGTACCATCAGGACGGTCTCGTCAGATTCTTATTCAATTACATATTCTACTATCCCTAAAGAAGCGGGGTGCCTCCTTTTTCTGGTGAGCATAGGGCATACTCTTCCAACCCCAGTTGGTCTTCTCTTTACCGCAACTCGAAAGCCTTGTCAAGATTTCTACTAGGCTCGAAAGTAAGTTTGACGGCGGCATGGGTACTCCCGAGACTTGAGGTGGAAACCTCTATCTATCCGGCGCCAGCAAGGCTAGAAACTCTAAGTTGGCTATTGACTACTATGTTAAGAACTAGGTGCTCTCATGAACACGCCTAGACAACCTCTAACTAAGGGATAGCATATGAGATAGCCATCATATTGGGATTTACTAACAAAGTAACGTCGTTACCGGCATGCTGGCGTTTGGAAATTTGATACCGTGACGCCGGGTCGCTGGCTCGATCAAATGTCCCCATCAAGTACATATACATACGAGTAATGGGTCCGCTTAATTGGGCAAGGTAAGCTTCCATATACCATTCAGAGAAGAAGTCGGTCCCTAGAAGCTTCCCACCGGTTCTTACATACAAGCGGAATGCGTTCATTAGACTCACCTGTAACTTTGGTACTACCAGGGGTTAAAGTGAGAATATCCAGTAGAAGGTTTTAATGATTTTCTCTCGCCTTACCATTCCAGCGCCACGGGCACCTTTACGTCCTCAAATGGGGTACGCGATGTGGATCCTTAGGGGACGGGACACATCCGAAATAGCATCATGCTACATATCCAGCAGTACGTTTCGAGACCCACGCTGCATGACAACGATTCATAGATCCACCGGATCAACCCTCTGAAGAGAGACTGACCCCTTTCGAAACATTCCCCCCCGTCATCTTTTTTTTTCTTTCCCTAATCTGAATCCACTCCGCGGTATCTTATCTGGCATGGATCGAATTCGAACATGTACCTAGTTTTGAAACTTCTTATTGCTTAGAAAAGGCAATCATGAAACCTGGACTTGTCGCCATACCAACTGCGTGACGTAGAAATAGGAAGCCTCCATCCGTAAGAAGCCAATTTATGGCTCAAGGACATCCGTCTGAGCGGCAGGATGTGGTCTCGGCAGTTCCAATATTTGTCGGGATTTGGAGAACCTGTCATGCTCGATTCGGACAAGGATTTGTATATTCCCCTGTCCGACTCGCCCAGCAACAACCCGTGGAACCGGGGAAGCTTTCCGCCACGGCGGATTCGCCCTGGATTGACGTGCCTGGCGTGCTTGTCAAATTACGGAAGAAAAATTTTGCTTTGACGGATAGGAAGCGCGTATTCTTCGAAAATCGCATCGACTCCGATGGCCCTCGATTTCGGCAATGCCGTCACCGGCTGCCCTGTTCAAAGCGAAGAACTGGCCGCCGGTTGATCAGAGTCCCAATCGGCTACTGTCCGCACAGACGGACCGCTAGAACAGAGAAGGGACCAACCACAAGTTCTAGACGTATTGTACCGGACGTACCGTTAGGACGTCCAGGATGCGTAAAGGGTGACTTCTGACATGTAAACTCTACCATGCCGTGATATCAACGCCATAATAGACTCGTCTTCTGACTGATTAGGTACCTACCTAACTATATCGCGATATGCAGGGGTTTCAGTCGTCACAAAGGATATGTATTTCTGAGGACCTATCCGAACGTGAAAATGAGGCTGGCTAATTCTATTGGCAACTCCAAAGACATTTTGCGGCACGGTCTTAACCCCTATCAGTGGACTCACACATCACTAACACCAGGTCGATCCCTTCGATTGGGTCAACCCATTTGCCCTTGGACCAAGATACATAGCAAAATGTCGACAGGGCCAGCCATCCCGTCGGTCCCCGTCTTACCTTGGGGTACTGTTAAGGATCCACGACTCGGAGTGCGTAGTTGAATAAAAATAGGGGTGAGTAAGCTCGGCTTTACTTCTGTGGGCTAGGGCTCGAGAGCATTGCCTTAGGCAAAGTTGTAAAGGGTCCATTGCCTGGCCAACGCGTTGTTTCTAGTTCCCGCGGTCTTATTCGTCCCGGGAGCTCGGCGCCTTCTAGGCCCGCTTGTGCCGCTCGGTAGGTGCAAATAACTCATTATTCTATGGACCTGTGCTGTACTGTACATGTGGGTAAAGAGTTCACAAGGATAGTGGGATATTTACTATGGTATACACGGTACAATATCAAGGCTTTTTTTTATTCCTTTTCTCCATAAGCAAAGCTTTTACCATGGGCTCGGTCTGCGCACAGAGATGCCTAGTATATATTATCTCAAACCAATAAGCTGGGGCACATACACGTAATAACTCGGTGGTAAATTAGTTCTAGCGGTTGCAGAGGCCTTGTCTTTATTCCTACGTGGTTTCGTGGTCAGGGGTGGCTAACTTGAAACGGTTATTGCTGGATTTGGACGACGATACTGCTCGCCGAGGGCATGTATCAGCTACTCAAGGCATGGCGGGACATGTTTCTCTAGGATACGGCTTTATCGGTATGAAACCACTCACATTTGTAAGCGTACATCATCGTACGTTACATCCATGCGAGAAGGTGCTTCTAAAGATAGAGGACTAAGCGTAGAATTAGGGGCGTGCAATAGATGAATGTCGTAACGAAGATAGCTTGGAACTTGGAACCCGGAACTGGGAACACGACATCAGGCAAATCGTCCTCGACGACGACGACGACACGGACAAGATGGGAATTACCAAGTATCTCGAGCCCAATTAGGAGACGTTAGGCTCTTAGCCCTCTGAACAATTCATCGATCACGTTGGCGGTTTCAGAGCCTCCCGTCGTGTGACCTCGACGTCGAAGATAGGGATGGAGGTGTATTCTGAAGAGCAGATTGGTGTCCAAGAATATCCAGGTGATCTATTACTCATAGGATGGCATATCTTCAAGAGTGGGGAGAAATAAAGTGGTAACCTATTACTATTGGTAGCCCCATATGTGATCTGGTTTTTATCTTGACATGTTGACTATAGATGATGCATAGTTGTGGTGACGTTACTTAGATGTATGTGTTATAAGTTGAAAGTTGTAAGCGCGCGGGTGTAGACGTAAATTTTAACGGGCTGTTGTCGCGTACCGCGTTCCCTTTTTTTTTTGTGCCAACCTACCACCTGTAAGAACCTTTAGTGCCTTAGGTTAGTAGGTTAGATAGGTCTAAGTTAGGTAGGTATTGTACCTAGAGTGAAAGGAGTTTGGAGGTAAGGCAGCTAAGGGAGCAGCTAGAGGTTAGGTGCTTCTTAGGTGCTGCTGTAGAAGTGACAAAAGTGTGCGGTCCTAGCTGTCATCCATTCTAAGCCACAATTGCAGCCTCAGGAGCCCCACCACACCTCCCCAGAGCTTTGCAGCTTGTCCACCGGCAGAAAGCAACGTCAATCCTCGGGGCCCCCACTATTTGTCCTCCATCTCTCTCCCCCCCTAACGTCCACCTACCCCGAAACAAATTCAGAGCCTCAACCCACAAACGATCTGGTCTTCTATGTACACGTAGCAGTAGGCAGATACGGGCAAGTCTTCCTGAATTAGGCATCAAGAGCTATAGGAGTTTCTCTGCATTAGTTGGGCAGCCTCGTCTGCTAGGGAGCATTAGCAATGTCCATCATCCAGCAGCACTCCTCGGCCTCGCTCGGCGATGCCTGGCGAACCATCAACATCGATGCCCTCGACCCCGACTCCTCCCAGAACTTCGACACTTCGACCCTACATCCGCCACTCCCCGAGATCAGCGAGGCTGATGTTCGGCAGCTTAACGGCCAAATACGCCAGCTCCTTCGCGGCGGTGACGCCGAAGGCGCCCTGAGAGGCAGCCTCGAGAACCCGGTGTACAATGGCAGTGACTCAGCTAAGGTAGGCTATAGCCTCGGGCAACCTAGGTGGGGGAACATCCTGGGGGTATTGGGATATGGAGAACACAGGCACTGACTACATGGCGTGGTATAGGATGCACACCTACAGACTGTAGTAGAGGTCCTGCAATCGATCAAGGCGAGCGAGATGACACCGATGTTACAGCGGATCTACGGATCAGAGGGAGGGAGCGAACTATTAGACGTATTGATGAAGTACCTGTACGCGGTCCCCCTTTCCCCTCCCCCTTTTATACTTCTATACCCGAGATCGTTATTATCCCACGATATTCTAAACCCTATATTTAGATACAAAGGCATGTCGGGCGGTGCATCGTCGAGCGGAGGACCACGAACGGCAGCGCGAATCTTAACGCCGCAACCGACGGGATTCAGCCAGATCGGGTCCAGGCCCGGGGGTACGAACGAGTCTACGGGTACGGCTATGAGCGTGCTGCTAAGCTGGCACGAGAAGGTGGTTGATATTGCGGGCTTGGGTAGCATAGAGCGATGTATGACAGACTGGCGTAGAGTTTAAAAAGTCTTAAAACGGCTGGTTAGCAATGGGATCACGATTTTGATATACATACCTTCTCGCCTACCTCATGTAGTTACCAAATGCATTTACCTCTTATATAATATGATACGGGCATTCCAAGTTCCAGCTGCAATGGAAATCTACCTATCTTAGGTACAGTATATGTTCCCGCGTAGCTGTCTTCCTAATATCTTAATGTAATTGCGGTCAATTATGATTTCTATCATCACAGTTCATGGTGCATGCGTGCCGCACATATGGAGATGCACTTTCTTGCTATTGCGTATCTTACCAGGCTAATGTACTGGATTATAGGGATAGATATGCTCACCTAGGCAACTGCCTACCTAGAACCTACCTACCTTAGGTAAGTACCTACATGCAAGTAATCTAGATCCCTATCGAAGGAAAGAACGCCGACTATATCGTAACTTCCTTCCGCACCACGTATCCCTAAGGCTGCCATTCCCCCCTTCAAGCTGTCCAACTTCTTGTATTCTTTCATCTTCAACTTCAATGTTTCCATCATTTTCTAACCAACTTCTACAACATCGCCTTCCCATCATCAACCTACTTAAAGATACCTAACCTATTGTTATATAACTACTCCTATCAACTATTATTAGGTACTTTCCTTGACCTGCATTTCCGCAATTCTTCATTCAAGGGTTAGAGACAGGTATCAAGTGCTCTCATGTCGCTTCTCCGATACCTTCTCGATTAGTATTCTCATTACACTCTTCATTACGACCTCGATCTTATCAATATCAGGTATCTCAATCCATCGGTTTGCCCTTGTTGGACCTCTCTTAACATAAGTTAGGTACCTAATACAAAAGCATTATGTCCTCTTCGGCAGGCATTACCCCAGCGCCATGGTGCGAATCATGTAGTCGAGGGTTTGCAAACTGGCACGCCCTCCAACAGCATTGGCAATATAATTCATTTCATCTGGCAAAAAATGAGCACTGTCAGTCCTGCAACTCCTGGTGGCCTAACGCAGCCAGATTTGCAGCGCACCTGGAAGACAAAAACTTTCATAATCCTTGCTTCATATGCAACAATGACTTTCACGGAGATCATGCGGCACTCGCGACTCACATACAGCTGCATGGAACGTGCCCCATCCAAGGGTGCGGCAAGGTCTTTCAGTGGAATCAGCTGGGTGACCACCTTCGGCATGCTCATACGTATTGCCAACGATGTCGAATGACCTTCTCATCTGAGCTCGATTTTATAGGCCACAGGGGAACGAGCAACCTGCACTTTTAGTGTGATGTGTGTGGTGTCGATTTCTCCTCTAAGACTGAAATAAGAAACCATTGCAAGGAAAATCATTTCTTCTGCGCCAAGTGCAACGTCGGATTCACAACTTCTGTGGCACAGGCCTTTCACCTCGGCAACAGCAATGATCACTTCTACTGTAGAAAATGTTCTCGAGACTTCCCCAGTCCTGGTGAATTAGTAAAGCACTATACCACCTCATCATCTTGGGCTCCTGGAATAGTGCATCACTACTGTCAAGTATGCCATTCGGACTTTACCGACAATGAGCATTTGAGAAATCATTATTTATCATCCGATATTCATAATTATTGCTATCTATGCAATAAACACATGGGCTCTAAAGCTGAATTGCGACAACACTATATAAACCAGAAGGCAACACATGGCTACTGCGAGTCGTGTCAAATTCCTTTCAAGAGCAAAGAAGACTATATCCAGCATGCTATACAGAATCCCAAGTCTCATGCGTATTGCCAGCAATGCCACGAGGCGTTTGCAACTCAAGCTGCTCTTGACACTCACAAGAGTGTGAGTACGGCTCATCATTATTGCGAAAAATGCAACATGGACTTTGAGGAGTCCCTGTCACTACAGCTACACCTGGAAGAGGGACACCCGACTTGTAACATCTGTCTCGAGTTCTTTCGTTCGTCCCACAGCTTAAATGAGCATAAATCCTTCCGACATGCGTACAAATGCTGCCGTGCATGTTCTAGATGTTACCCCGATGGGAAATCGTTGAAAGAACACATGCAAAACAGTCACCACTACTGCCAACGATGTGATCGAGTTTTCGAGACATATACCTCTCTCAAGTCTCACTCTATGGAAAGTGACCAACATCATGCCTGCTCTACCTGCGGTTTTGATGCTAAGGATATTGAATCACTCGAGCAACACGTCTTTTATGGGCATTACTATTGTAAAGTATGCGAGCAGACTTTCGTGTCATCGGCTGCGCTCCAGAATCATTTGAACCAAAGTAATGAACATTATTACTGCTCACAATGTGAGCATGATTTCGATGATGCTCAAACCTTGGCTACACACATTGAGCACCAGCATAATTGTCACCATGAGTCTGACAACAAAGAATGCCTCGAGAATCATATTTCGTCTTGTTATCTAAAGGTTATACCTCAAGGAAAGGAAACGGCAACGCGGGAGGAAATGGTAAACAAAGAAGTAACTGGCCAAAATCCTAACGATGAAGTATCGAGGGGCGAGGAATGTGATGATGGAGAGATCGCGGATGGAGATTCTCGTTCAAGTGAAGTAAGTTAATCACCAATTCCATAAATTATGAACCCATACCATGGATTTTGCTAATAATGATTCTAGTCTCAGGAAGAAAGTAGTGGTATTATGTGCTTCGTCTGCCCGAAGAGGTTCCCTTCGAGACTCGCAATGGTCAATCATTGCGAAGAAGGAGACTGCCGGGAAGGATTCTATCAGGCTATATACAACGAAGATAAAAGCAAAGAATTCACAACTGACTCTGTCAAAATGACCTTTACTGGCATGGGACGATTTAAGTGTCCGCAGCCTTATTGTGGTGATTTGTTTTCTAAATTTAGTGGTCTAATAGACCATCTTGAAGCATTGGAATGCGGTGCCTGGTTGGAAAAGCGAAGAGAAGATGAGCTCAGCTATTTGAAGAGCTACCTGTCTTAAGTGCAACTTTATCGGATGTTAATGGAGTTAGTCTGTTGAAGGTATCGGGGAATGCTTTCGTTAATGTGAAAGGCTTGAGCTTTACGACGAATTGCTGTATAAAGGGAAATATGCTCGAAGCACTAGCAAGAGCTAACCTGTTCTATGGAGCTATAAGCCAATGGATCATCCGATGTTTTTGCATCCGAATTCGTCGAAGCTACACACCAACATGTACGTGGTTGTTAGTAATAGGTAATAATAGGTCACTGTGAGGCGTGAAACTAAATGTAAAAGACATTGATGACATTAATCCAGAATATTTCTATTTCTTCTCAAAAACGTCCTTCAGACTGATTTCTCCACTGCCTCGAGGCAATGGTTGACGTTGGTCTTTGGATTCCTTCCATCCGATCATATATATCGTTCGGAAAGTAGCGGGTATAGATCCATCAGCGTTGCCATGAAGCTCGCGATAAATGGCATCGTTGGCTAGGAGCACGTCCCGTCGGATACCGCCCATCTCGCGGCCAAGGACCGCATTGTTCTCGCCCATGGCCTGGAGGTCCTGCATGAGCGCGAACGTATCAGGGTAATCGACGATGATGTCGTCGACGTCGACGGTAAGCATCTTGAAGCCGGCGCGCTGCAGCAGGCCGCCGACGTCGCGCACGTCGGCCAGCGGGGAGACGTGCGGCGAGATGCCGCCGCGGCGCTCCTGCTCGGCCAGCTGCAGCGACGTGCGCAGCTCGAACAGGGTGTCGCCGCCGAACATGGCGCCGACGAAGGCGCAGTCGGGCTTGAGGACGTTGTTGATCTGGGCGAGGACCCCCGGGAGGTCGTTGACCCAGTGCATGCTCAGGGAGCTGAGGACGAGGTCGAAGGAGTTGGGCTCGAACGGGAGAGTCTCCTCGTCCGACAGCACCTGCCGCGTCATGTTGATGTCGGCGTTGAACGGCTCGTCCGCGTCCCGGTACAGCAGCGTCCGCGACGAGTCCACGGCCAGCAGGTGTCCGATGCGGGAGGCGAGGGGCTCGGTGACGGGCGCGCCGGAGTCCGGGTCCGGGTTCGGCCGCGTTAGGGCCCGCGCGATGTTGCAGGAGTTGGCGCCGAGGTCGAGGACCGAGGGGTAGGTCCGTTTGATATCCTGCAGGCGCATTTGTACATATTAGTTTTCTTATTAACTACCGGAGGAATTATTACTCATATAATGAGCGTACCAGCAATCTATCGCATAACCGGATAGCTACTTCATCTTTCAGATAGTCGGCGACTCGGCTGGCCTCGACGTTGGCGGCCGCGCGCTCCTTCTGCAGCCATTTCGTGCGGCGGTTGAAGACCTGGTGGACCGGGGGTGCGGCAGCTTGGATGGCGTAGAAACGCCGGGGTATGGTTATTATTGAGCTTGCTACTACCCTCGAGACTGGCGGTGATGATGGTAGCGTTATTGAACTCCAGAGACTGCGATTCATCATCAATTACCTAGGTGGTGCTGTATACATCCTGAATTCGGAAGCTGGTGAGAGCTCCAGAAATCAATTGATTGGCTCTGACGTCGGGGGAAGCTTTAAAAGAGCGCTAAAGGTAAAATGATGTACCCGACACTTTTAGGTCAGGCACCATGTATATCAATATTTAGATTCAAGCCACACTTTATGTAAGAAGGTTCAATTCGTCCCAACTACATACATGTACAATCGTATGCCCCACAAACGGTGACATTGCACAACAGGGTAATCACGCTAATCGCTAATCAGCTAATAGATTTGGCTGCAACTGGATTTATTAACATAGAAGGTGCGGTGCAGCGAAGTGCAGCTAATAAAAGTACAGCTAAAAAAGTATTGTACAGCTAAAATACAGGTAGTGCAGGTGCTCTCTTCTTTCGTTGCTCCGGGTTTAATAAGACGCCAAAGGGTTGCAGCTGTCAATTCCATTCACAGATTTGTTCCATACTTTGTCCCTGAACCCAGACACGAAGTCCAACTCGTCTAGATAATTATTGTCAACTCTCTTACCGACCGACTCTCGGACTTCGACACGACCCATAACTTGTTTCCGCGTCGCCTGTCTAATCCAACCCCCCCTGTCCTCCCGCTTGCCTTGGTCACACTTGACCATGTTCATAGACTGACCTGGTCTATCATGAGAGCCGCATTTTCGAGCGTGCTTCCTCTCGGCATTGGACGACCCTAAGCACTTGGATCCGACTCCTTCTTTTTTTTTTTTATAAATTGATTTCGCGTGTCGGCGTTGCTTACACAGGCGGATGCGACGGAGATAACGGGTGTTGTATAATAATAGGGGGAATTGTTGTTGCGACTACACGATGGCTTCCTCTGCAACTGTCGGCTTTCTCGGCCGGTCGAGCAGCAGTAACTCCAACATGCGTGGTCTTGTGCAGTTCATCGCGGATCTGAGAAACGCGAGAGCTAGAGATTTGGAGGAGAAGAGGATTAATAAGGAGTTAGCCAATATTCGGTTCGTGGAAACAGACCTTGCAATTGCCATTGAGGAAACCCATACTAACCTATAGTTCTTTCGTTACAGACAGAAGTTTAAGGGTATGCTATGCTTCAACCTATGCCGAACATGAACGCTTCGCGCGACGCTGAAATCTCAATATTGGGACTCCCGAACTGATGGAATATAGATGGTAATCTGAGCGGCTACCACAAGAAGAAATACGTTTGCAAAGTACGATAAGACCACTTTCCACGCGAAACACGAACCGATCTGACGTTGGGCAATAGTTGTTGTATATTTACATCCTAGGTTGGAATGTCGACTTCGGACATCTCGAGGCTGTCAACCTGATTTCAGCGAGCAAGTACTCCGAGAAGCAAATCGGGTATTTAGCCATGACGCTCTTCCTGCACGAGAAGCACGAATTGTTACACCTAGTTGTGAACAGCATACGGAAGGACCTCCTCGATCACAACGAGCTCTTCAACTGCTTGGCCTTACACGCGATCGCGAATGTAGGTGGTCGTGAGATGGGAGAGGCTTTGAGTCCGGAGGTTCACAGACTTTTGATTTCGCCGTATGTCATACACAGCGCGTCCCTTACTGGAGCTTGCTGTGAGATCTAACAGGAAATACAGGACTTCAAAGGCGTTCGTGAAGAAGAAGGCTGCCCTTACCCTCCTCCGACTATATCGCAAGCACCCGGATATTATCCAACCGCAATGGGCAGAACGAATAATTTCTTTGATGGATGACCTCGACCTCGGAGTTGCGCTCTCAGTTACATCACTCGTCATGGCTGTCGCGCAGGATAACGCAGAGCAGTATAAGGGTGCCTATGTTAAAGCTGCATCACGGCTGAAGCGGATATTGATCGACGGGGATTATACCGCTGACTACCTGTACTACAAAGTTCCCTGCCCTTGGATACAGGTTAAACTGCTTCGGTTACTTCAATATTTCCCGCCCTCAGGTACGGATTAGTCTCATTACGGAGGACTTTTTGATATGGTAACTAACAAACTAAATAGAGGATAGCCATGTACGAGAAATGATTCGGGAGTCACTGCAGAAGATTCTGAATTTGGCAATGGAGACGAATAAGAACGTCCAACAAAACAATGCTCAGAACGCTGTGTTATTCGAAGCCATTAACCTTATCATCCATCTAGACACGGAGCATGCGTTAATGAAGCAGATCTCTACTCGCCTAGGCCGTTTTATTACGTCTAGAGAGACAAATGTGCGGTATCTGGGACTGGAAGCTATGACGCACTTGGCCGCTCGAGCTGAGAATCTTGATCCTATCAAACAGCACCAAGAAGTGATCCTCGGATCCCTCAAGGACCGCGATATCAGCGTTCGCAGAAAAGGTCTCGATTTGCTATATAGTATGTGCGATTCGACCAATTCTGTGCCGATAGTATCGGAACTATTGCACTATTTGCAGAATGCCGACTTCGCGATCCGAGAAGAGATGGCTCTGAAGATTGCAATCTTGACAGAGAAATACGCCACAGATATCCAATGGTACATTAACGTCTCGCTCCGTCTGGTGGCTATTGCAGGTGATCATCTCAGTGACGAGGTCTGGCAGCGAGTGATTCAGATTGTAACGAACAACGAGGAGCTGCAGGTGTATGCGGCACACAATACATTACAGCACGTCAAGCAAGACCATTGCCACGAGACACTAGTAAAAATTGGTGCTTATATCCTCGGTGAATTTGGTCACTTAATCGCGGAAGAGCCTGGCTGCAGTCCCATTGAGCAATTTATGGCATTGTCAAGGAAACTGCCTGCCTGTTCGTCGAGTACCCGCGCTATGATTCTCTCTTCTTTTATCAAATTTGTCAATTTGTTCCCTGAGATCAAGCCGCAGCTCCTGAACGTTTTTGAGTTGTATAGCCACACATTAGACCCGGAGTTGCAGCAGCGAGCCTTTGAATATTTGACACTTGCAAGTCTCCCGACGGACGATTTGCTTCGAACGGTCTGCGATGAGATGCCCCCTTTCCCCGAGCGACAATCTGCGCTACTGTCAAGACTTCACCAGAAGCACGCTGGCACCAGCGACAAACGGACTTGGGTGGTTGGCGGCAAGGATGCGAACAGCGATGCTACTGAGTTGAGCATGGCCAAGAACCCCGGTCTTAGAAGAACCTTCAGTTCCAACGGCCCTGTTAATGGTACCGGCTCAGCGAATGGCTCAGCGAACGGTGCCAACGGCCATTCCAACGATCTTGCCGGCCTCGACATGAACGCGGGCCCTGTTCCCGAGAAGCTGCTTAAGGTGCCAAACTTGGCCAGTGCCGCGCATTTGTCGCCAGGCTGGGAGTCGGGGTATAATAAGTTGCTACTTAAAGCTGACGGTGTGCTCTTTGAAGACGGACAGCTTCAAGTTGGCGTCCGCTCTGAATATAGGGGGCAGATGGCATGTCTTATATTATACTTCACAAACAAGACTCCGGCTACTGTGAGTTCATTCACGACAACACTAGACTTGGACGAGAGCGAAAAAGAGAATCTATCATGGGACGTTAAGTCCATGCCTGAGAGTTCCATTATGCAAGGCGCCCAGTCACGGTTGATCATCATGTTCGAGGCGAAGAAAGTGTTCACGAAGAGCCCTACTATTAGGATAAGTTATCTCGCGGGAGCGCTACAAGCCCTCACATTGATGCTTCCTCTCACGGCTCATAAATTTATGGATCCAGCAGACCTTACAGCAGATGACTTCTTTAAGAGATGGAAGCAAATCGGTGGTCCACCCCGCGAGGCCCAGCAGATTATTGGTCTTGCTCCGGGCAAATCCAAGTCGCGAGAAATAACGGAAGACTTCATTCGGAAGACCATACAAGGGTTCCGTTGGGGCATACTTAACGGTGTTGATCCGAATAGCAAGAACTTTGTAGGAGCCAGCGTGCTCCACACCTCTGAGGGGGGCAAGTTTGGCTGTCTAATGAGACTGGAGCCAAACTATGCTTCACAGGTAAACCAGTTTTAAAACCTCAGGTATAATAACAGTAGGCTAACAATCGATAGATGGTCCGACTTACGATCCGCGCTACGGATGAAGGTGTACCTCCCGTACTCCTGAAATTGATGGAGGAGAGGATATCAGCGGGAGTTTCCACGATGCCAGAGTTCCGCCAGGGGCCAACCCGTCAAGAGATATCGGATACATTTGCTAATGTAATGGTTCAGTAAGCTACTACTGGTAAGAGAGAGGAAGGAAGAAGAAAAGAGGAGAAATGAGAAGAGAGTGGTAATTATCTGAAAGGGGACTCCAGAGGCGGAGGTATGATACCGTTGGGAAACCAACTCAAGTACCTGTTATATGGTTTTGTGCATTTGCAGCCCGAGCGGGAAAAAAAAGGAGTTCGTAGGTAACACATGATCTTATATGTATCAAGCAAAGACGGCTGTGTTACTAGAAGTAAACGAATTGTCCCCTTATATGATGACGGATAACCTTTGTACGTAGGAAGTTGTTGTGTTATTATTATTCGTTTGTGAGCGAAGAAAAAGTCAGAAGATTAGACCATTTTAGTCTCTATTGTATCTCATGCTCACACAGTTGCTTATTTGCAGTGGAGAAGGAGGGTGTTGCTCATTATCTCTTCTTGCTTCTTTGGCACCATACGTCTCAGTCGTCCTTGGCTTGAGGGGTCCATAGGGATCGTGACTGCGTTTATGGTGGATACATGTACTATAGTTTCCACGGCCTCAGGTAGTCCCCCTATCGTCCTCGACGATGATCCGCTTAGTAACCTTGTGTACCTACCAACATAATTAGATAGAGCAATGCTCCTGCCTTTTTCTTCCTTTCATCAAATTGGAATTTATTTTGGTCCCCATTCTCATCACGTAGAAGACCAAAGTGGAGGACCAAGGCCTCTTTGATTTACCTACTTACTTCGCCGCTCCTACTCCTCGGGATACCCTCCGTGACACTCATATACTTACTCAAGCACGCGCTCATATATTCTCTCATGATTCCTACCCTTCTTCCTAGGCTACTCCCCTCGCATCTCATCTTCATCGTCATCGTCATCATCGCAGCCATGGCAGTAGAAAAAGACAGCCTTGAGATCACCCAGCTCCCACCGGTTGCGGGGCCGGAACTGAACAACTTACACGATGTCCAGGCTACGAAAGGACAATCCACCCCCGAGTCTGACAATTCAATTATCCTAGGTCGACAGGTCCTCTTACGACATCAGCAAGTACTGCTAGCGCCCATCACCCCAATTCCAACACCGACTATAGTTGCCATAGCTCAGTCGAACGAGAAGACCCAGGTGAACGGACGCTCACCAGTCGGGGGCAAGATGTCCATGAAGATGGAGCGGATGCGAGATGTGTTGACGGGTATGTTTAATCTCTTTCATTCCTTTATTTTTTTTATCTTTTATATATTTCTTTTCCAGAGCAACTATAATGAGATGGCAGCAAAGAGAGGAAATACAGATATAGAAAATAAAATGATGCTAACATTTTGTTCCCAACCGTCAGATCTCAAACGCAGAGTTACACCGCAGCAGTACCCTCACGCATGGCTACTGTTTCTGGCCATCATTACCATCGCAGCTGGCGCTATCATCGGTAAGTTTGAAGTTTCACCTACTCTTCATACTTATGAGTAGTCGTTGGACAAACCTAATAGGGTTGGGCTAATGAATAGTCGTTCTGCGTATAGCCGGATGGTGCGGCCTCGCCTTTGAGACAATGCATCGCGTGGAACTCATGGGCACTTCGAGCGCTGCTACTACTTCTACTGGACCGCCAGCGCAGCGAAACGTGGAGGTCTCTGGAGGATTCGATGTTGCAGAGGATGGCCTGCTGGGGCTCGATTCCGCAGCGCTCGGCACGGGGACGGCTATGGGAGGTATGTTTGATTCTGTTTCCGAAGCAAAACATGAGAATGCTTCTGGTTGCATCTGGGCTTTTGGGTTAACGAGTCCTTAGATATGACTCCATCAGGAGCAAACGGACGAGACGCTGTATCGGGTCATCTTATAGACTTGACTTCTACCGACGGACTGACAGCAGAAACAGTGGTGGCGAGAGATCTCGTCACCACGATCTATGTTACCGTCACAGCTCCCCCTGAGACGACATCTTCGGCTTCTACCTCCTTCTCGAGCGAGAGCAAGGGCACGAGCGCAAATGCAATCCCGACCCACGGTACAACTTCCATGATTTCCATGACTACGGCACCCAAATCTACTCCGTCGGTGAACACTGCGTCTACGAGCACAGTGGAGCCGCAGATATACTGCCCTCATTCCGAACGACCTCTGATCTGGACGCCTTGCGTCGACCACCCGACTTCGGCTGCGTCCCATGGGGTTGCGAATCCCTTTACGATTGCACGTCGTGCTCTGGTAACCTTGTGGAAGGCTGTAGCAGGCTGAAAGGATATCTCTGGAAATGGGTCGAAGAATGGTGCCACATACTTATTTTCCCTTGAACAATAGGACAGTATATATGAAAATCCGAAGCGTTGTCCGGTGTGGTTGATCATGAAAAAGGGGGAGCAAAGGGATATCCGGTCTAGCAGGAGGCCGTAGTGACATCCGATGCGTAGATTTCTCATGCTTCTGTCTCGTCGATTACTAGCAGATGAGAATCGGATTGGATGCCGCTCTATAACGAGGTCTGGTTATCGATTTTATTATTCCGTCTCTGCGCATAGGTTTGCATTGCTAGGTGCGGCGAGAGCGAGACTCTAATACAATGAATGCTGTTAATTAATGAGTGTGTGTGTATAGACTTGACGTTTGGTTTTTGAAGAAAAGTGACTGAAAAAAAGAAAAAAAATTAAGAAGAAGCTTATTAGCCAAATTAATTGTTCATAGTTTATGTTAGTTGACATGCTACGTCGTCGATGAATATCGTCATCTTCATTAACTCCGGGCCTTTGAAACCCATATACTAGGTAGGTAATAGTTAGCTCTACCAGTCTGCCAGTATACCTTTCTCGAACCTAGTAAGAGCCCGTGTAATAGGAATACTACTATACAACCGCCAATGTTCTCCAACTGTGATGGAGAGAAAAGAGATAGAGAGATGCCGTGTTGGTACGTACTACCAACCTATGCGGATCATTATGCATACATAATGTATGCACCCTAAGATCCGACCTACCAATCGATGGTGTTGCCGCATTTCTTTTTTCTGGTTTCGGTGTTATGCTAGGACGGTACTTATCACCCGTCGGTGCCGGTCTTCCCGCTGGCTATTATAATTTTGAGTGTACCTGAATCACTGTAGGTTTTTACTTGTGAGATACCTATTTGAGTCTCCGGCTTCTTAGCTATACTAGTGAAAAGGTTATGGAATTATTCGTACGAGGTTTTGTGTAAAATATACCGACTTATATAATGCTGCTTATCTTAGGTACTCAAGTAGGTATAGATATACACTCCGGATATCATATAAGCAGCTTCGGACCAATGCGGGGTCTCAGTGCCACCACGCCCTTCCACAACTTTTACTCTATAGGTCTAGGTATGTACCTGGCTCTTCGATGGCGTCAGAGGCTAAGGTGAAGCTAAGTACCCAAAGTAAGTACATTCCAGGCTTAGCTTTATGCAGGTAGGGACGGCAAGGGGCAATTGTTACAATAGTTCTTACCTTCCTACATGGTAACTTTTTATCGCCGAAGTTTGTCCACTATTCTAGGTACTGTTCCTTTTTTTTTCTTGGTAGAAGAATTTAGAGGCACCTAATGCTCGGTATTATATTAATAATCTTTCCCCCTTCTTCCCGTTATCTCACGCATGTATCAGATATTAGATACTATGCCTTATGGAGCTAAGCTATATGCCGCGCGCGATTTGCGTCCGAGTCCGTCTGTGGGATGTACCTTAAGGTAACCTAACCATAAGGTGAGAGAGATACGAGGTGGGATATGATATAAAATCGATATACCTTTTTTCTTTTTTCCCCCTCCATCCTTTTGCTTTCGTTACCTAGGTACTTACCTACCTAACCTATCTGTGCTCCCCGTTCCCCTCTTCCGCGTTTCGTCTCGTCTCCTTCCTTTCCCTTCCCTCCCCTCTACTCTTCCCATACCTATCAGGTCATAGACAAGAAAGAGAGACAGTAGATAGAATACAATGGCGAGCAACGGCGCTACAAACGGCCATAATGGCGTTAAGAACGGTATCAAGAACGGAGAAGGCGAAAACAACTGGTACGATCCGACCAAAATCTGGACGACGCTTCTGACGAATCGAGCCTACTTCGGTGGTCTTCTGGTCCTTAACCATTCCTTGCGCCGGCATCGCAGCAAGTACCGCCTCGTCGTCATGGTCACCCGCGCTGTCGAAGAGGACACCGAGTATATGGAAGCTTTTGCCGCCGCTGATATCCCTACCATCGTCGTAGATAAGATTGAGCCGGCACCCCGCGACGGAAAGATCAATAAGGGGACCTGGGAGAAGCTGGCTCCGTGGTCGTTTACGCAGTACGAGGTAATTACTCATCACTTTACATATTTCCTAAATATACATACAAATATATTTACCTATATATATACGCCTCTCTATAATACAATACCTTAGGGTTATATGTGAGCAGAGAGCTAACGAGAATTGTTTGCTTTTGCGTAACAGCGTGTCGTCCTTCTCGATAGCGACCAGGTTATTCTGCAGAATATCGACGACATGATGGAGGTTGACATTCCCGAAGGCTGGATCGCGAGCACCCACGCGTGCACCTGCAACCCGCGCAAGCTGCCGCACTACAGCAAGGAATGGGTCCCGGAAAACTGTGCCTTCACGGCCGCGGACCAGGAGACGGGCCAGCCGGCACCTATCACGCCCAAGAGTCACAACAACCACCACCTGCTCAACAGCGGCACCGTCATCCTGCAGCCGTCCAAGGCGCAGTTCGACGAGCTGATCCACGCCATGAACACCCACCCCGACGTGCCCAACATGATCTTCTTCGACCAGGACCTGCTGGCCATCGTCTACCGCGGCCGCTGGAAGCCCCTGCCCTACCACTACAACGCCCTGAAGCCTATGCGCTCCTGCCACAGCGGCCTCTGGCGCGACGAGCACGTGAAGATTCTGCACTATATCCTCAACAAGCCCTGGAAGAGCCGCAGCTACGACGCCAACGACGTAATCGAGTCGACGCATAAGCTCTGGTGGGACGAGTTCGCGCTAGTGGAGAAGGAGTGGACGGAGAGCGCGGATGAGCGGAAGAAGGAGTTGTGGAGGAATGTGGTTGTGCCTGTTGTTGCGCAGGAATGATTCCCCCCTTTTTTTTCTAAGGTGAATGTTTTAAGAACTTACGTTTGAATTTAGGGGAAGGAGAAGGAGAGCAATATGCGTTAGGGGGTAGAAGAAAGAGAGAGAGAGAGTCTATATGTATACCATTGGGTTTTATTAGGGAGCATTGGTAGAGAGTCCGGATATCCAGCTTTGGATTTGAGCTTTGTACGCGCGCGAGATGGGCATGGAGTAGAGGGGTCCAACGTGGGAATGAATAAATAGATAGCGAGCGAGCGAATAAGCAAGCGAGCAAGCAGACGGATTAAACCATTACGAGCATTTAATGAGGATCTATGACGAATGATCATTATGGATGTTTTCAGTTTGGTACTTTATGCTTGGTAATACGTTGTTTAATTCTCAGTGTGTTTTATGGTCTAAGTCTCTATCAGTCCTAGGCAATGCAAATGCTTTCCCCTGGATATCCCCCCGTGGTAGGCCTATGGGTATACACACCCACTAAGGCTCCTCTCCTAACCATCTTCACCGCTATGCTACGTATGGTAAGGTACATGTGCAAAACAAAGTGTTAGACCTTAATCTTGGCCTCGCTCTTGGGCCCCCTGGCGCCGAACAAGGTGCTCCCGACGCGCACCTCGCTGCTGCCGGCGACGATGGCGCCCTCGAAGTCCTCGCTCATGCCCATACTGAGCTCGAGCGTCTCGGGGTCCAGCCCCAGCTCGGCGGCGACGAGGTCCCGCTGCTGGCGCAGGCAGGCGAAGTCCTCGTTCACGGGGGCGTCGGGGTCGGCGGGGTCGGCGGGGGTGGTAGCGGTGGCCATGCTCCGCGCGATGGCGCCGATGGTCATGAGCCCCAGCAGGTGCAGGTTCGGCAGGGCGCGGACGGCGCGGCACAGGGCTACGGTGGAGGGGCCCGGCGCGCAGCCGGATTTCGTGGGCTCGCCCGAGGTGTTGACTTGGACGTGGACGTTGATCTTGCCGGGTACGGGAACGGGTGGGGAGTCGGGAGAGAAAGAAGACGAAGAGGGATTGGAGAGAAATTCCCCGCGGTATTTGTCGAGGAGTTGGGCTTTCTTCTCGCTGTCGATGCTCGATACGCAGAAGAGGTTGGGGATTTTGGCGAGGGATTTGCAGTGCCCTAGATGCTTGTTAGGATTGGGGGTATCGTAGAGAAGGAAGGAAAGAAGGAAGGAAGGAAAGAAGGAAGGAAGGAAAGAAGGAAGGAAGGAAAGAAGGAAGGAAGGAAAGAAGGAAGGAAGGAAAGAAGGAAGGAGAGAGGGAGGTGATGGTTATTAGGTCTCGCTGAGGAATAGGGGGTGGTGGTGTTTTCAGGGTACGACTTCTTATACTGGGGGGTTTCTCATAATTCTGCAACAACTTCTCACCACCCAGTCTCATCTTCTTATTGTTATAATATTGTCCATTCTATATATATAGTCGTCTCTTTATTTTTAAATTGGGGGGGATACGAAGTAGTAAGTGAAATAGGTATGAGAATGAATCCCTTACCAGACTGTAGGCCGCCGATGAAATGCCACTGTATATTGCGTGGCAACAGCTCGGCCTTCTGGCTCAGCTCTTGGGCATAGTTCTCGCCGAAGTGAAGCTGCGGCGGCGAGGCCTGCTGCACCAACGCGAGGATGTCGTTGGCTGGCTTCAGCTTTGAGACGGCAACTAGGCGGACCTGGAACGAAGGGTGTTAGTTGATCTTAGTTATCTACCTAGATAGGTACCTGGAATAGAGAGTCAAGCGACTCATAGAGCGGTTAAAGCGGTGTAGGATATCATATGAGCCATTCATACGAGAATCGAAACAAGCGCAAATAGGATAAGATAATAATAAAAAAATGAGTGCATTCCAATATGTTTGGTACCCCTGAGTAGGTAAAGCTATCGAAGGTTTGTATATGGTATATATGACTTACATCCCGGCCCTTAGCTACGGCGGCGATTCGCTCTCGCACGGTTTTGATCTGCGAAACTAGAGCAGCGGCTCTCTGCGGGTCGATTATCATCTCGGTATCCGTCATTGTAGAGCCATAAGCCTACCTAAGGTACTTTTACGAGTTTTATTGTAGCCAATGAATATTTAAGAATCGGAGGAACGTGATGTCGAGAGTTGAGCACGCAACTTACAAGTTACATGTATCTCTTTTATAAGAGTCATGCACATGCACATCGGGTTGGCTTACATTAAAAGGAAAAAATAACTACTATCACAAATAAAACAATAAGACACAGATACAGTGTGCACACTGTCTAATATACATAAAGGTAGCTTTGATCTGTACCTAGAGAACTAACCGAACCAAGTGAGAAGACCCCATATTTACTCCAAATAAGAAAAACAAATCATTTTATTTGCTGAAGTATGGTAACTTTTATGAAGATCGGGTATGCATAGCATGCAAGAACTAGAGATTCGGTTCCATCTGATAGGAGGATTTCCACGCACATGGCCACCGGGAATGACGTTACGTAGTCTGTGGTACGATATCGATAAGAAATATAGGCGGCTAGATATCGATAAGATAACGCTCCCATAATTTTGAAGGTTAAGTCATAATGAAGCTTCTGGGAGTTATACAATATTAGGTACATTTAACATTAACCTTACAAGTTCGCAATTCCTTTATTTACCTGTATTTTTTAATACCTTTAGCTACTCAAGCAAAGAAATCCCAGGGCTAAACGCGTCCCTGTATTCTTCCGATGGCGGATCCCTTACTGACGTCGCTCTGCACCATTTGCCACGTACAAGCCCCGAAATACAAATGTCCTCGATGTGGAACTCGCACATGTTCCTTACCCTGTGTGAAGAAACATAAGAATTGGTCATCATGTAATGGCGAGCGCGATCCCACCGTATATATGCCGCGAGAGAAGCTGAAGACGGATGCCGGTATCGACCACGACTACAACTTCTTAACCAAAATCGAAAGATCCGTCGAACGAGTCGAGAAGATACTAAAAGAGGAAAAGGACATATTGCCGCAAGAGGACACCACATCGCGACCGCCACCGAACAAGAGAGCGCGTCTTCACAAGGGCCAAAGTCGCGGAAGAGTTACATTCGAACAGAGTTCGCGGAGATGGGACAAAAGTTCAATGCAGCGAATGCGTCACCTGGGCATCCACGTTACGTCTCTTCCTTACGGCATGACTCGGGCAAAGGAAAATAAAACAAGTTGGAATAAGCGCACGAGGACTATGAATTGGCAGGTCGAATGGCTCGAGTGGAAATCTGTCGACCCCGTCGAGGGAACACCCAACGCGGAACCTTCGAGGATTTTGCATAAGATATTGGACGAAGTTCCTCTCTACATTGGTTTCGCGGAGGGACTAGAATACCACCGCCAGCGCCAGCTTAGTAACCAAGAACGTACGCAGGAAAAGAAACAGAAGTCACTAGAGGATAAGAAGATAATTACCGGAGGAGGCCAAGAGATAGCCACGACGGCATGGTGTGATGGGGGTTATATTATGCAAGACTCGAAAACAGCCACATGGGACGTTGTAATTTCAGGGTCGCGTACGATGGAGGGAACGAAGGACAAATACCGCTTCTTCTACCTGAAGCCAAGGACTCCTTCTAGAGAAGCGCAGAAACTTATACCGCTGCGACCGAGCGATAACTTGGCTACCATTCTACCTGGGCTCGACATTGTTGAGTTCCCTACTATATGCGTATTACCAGGTGATTCCTCGGCTGTCCCCGAAGGATATGTCGTCGAGAATAGGCCTGGGAAATCTAGGAAACGCCAGGGGTCTGCTTTGGTTGGATACTTGAGTGAAGAAGAGGGAGAGGCTACGGATGGACAATTGGATGAGCAGGACGATGATACCACGAGTAGTTCGGGGTCGGACTCTTCCGACATGTCAGAGTAATTTTATTAATAATTCTGAATAATAGTTTGTTTAACGGGAATATCTTCTGATATTGTTAATTGAAATAAATAAATACCTGTGACTGGCTCGAGTTTGCTTCCTAATACTGCAACCAATCTATTCAATATTGGCGCATTTCAAGTGCTCAGCAGTTCAATATTGTTGTTGGATTCATAAAGTGCGTGGCAGAGTAGATATTTCCACACACGTAATATTTGTATGGAATACATGTATTGAATCGAAAAATAGCACAACACTGTTCGTTTACTGGGCAAGGCCCACTAGTATCTGCCTAGAACATTGAAGCAAGGCATTTTAGTTCTGATGAGTAAGCAAATCTTTGGAGTTACGTATAGGTACATCCATGGATGTTTCTGAGATTGCGCACGGACTATGTGGGTGTGGCTTTACCAGTGAATGCACCTGCCATTGAATTGGACAGCAGCTAAAAGATTCGGAACGAAAGAAAAAAAAAGGAAAAAAACCTTACAGCCTCCTTTTAACGGGGGCTGGTGCTAACGGTGCGGTTCGTTGAAATTTTAATTCTTCGCACCGGGAAATTCAGCCTTCTCTCTCTTCTTTTTCAACCCTATCACATCCCCCAAAACCTCCACCTTCAACAGCAAATTGCATTTTTTTTCTACTTCGTAATTTTTCAACGTCGTCACAGTAATTTATTTCTACTATCTTCGTTGCATTTAACCTTCCTCCTCCTGCGCGGATCGCGCACACCTCTTCCATAATGTCAGAATTTCTTGGGTACGTATCCTTATTACTATACTCCATCGCTGTACAATGAATGTATTGCTGCGGTGGGATCTCAAATTGTGTTATGTCGGTCCGCTAACCGAATGCAAACGCAGCTCTCGCATATCCCTCATCTCGAAGAGTGATATCCGGTAAACCTCCCCCCAAAGTCATCGGTGCTGCATTGGAGCCCCGCCTCTAATTTTAATAGCTATTCGGGTGTATTGCACGAGATCAATTCAGAAGAGTCGACTGTCTCTCTAGAAAATGTCAAGTCGTTCGGTACCGAGGGCCGCAAGGGTAACCCAGAAGAAGAAATAGCACCTTCTGACCAAGTCTACGAGTACATCGTCTTTCGCGGTAGTGACGTGAAAGACTTGCGTATCGAGCAAGCTCCTGCTCCTCCCAAGGAGAACCAACCTCCCAAGGTTCCAGATGATCCCGCCATCGTTGGAGTAAGCTACCCCTTCCCATTTGATTTCTATGTATCATACCGTATCGTATCATATTCATTGCTATGACGAAACATTTCGGATGTAAAATTTTACTCGTCTGAAAAGCGCAAAAACCCCTTGTTGATATTTCCGTTGCCTTCCTTCTGAGCTACCATGGAATGATACTTTTTTTTTTCTTTTTTTACAAAATATGGAGACGTTTTGCAATTCAATTTTAATGCTAACTACTACTCTCCACTATAGGCTCGTACTCGCCCTGCGGGCGGCATCCCCCCTGGTCCAGGAGCTACAGGCTACGGCCAAAGTCCGTATCAACCCAATCCGTTCTACCCTCCGCCTCCCGGACAATGGGGACGTGGCGGCCCTGCTCCCGGCCCAGCTCAAGGCTTCCATGGAATGCCCTACCCGCCCCCTCCCGGCTGGTTTCCTCCCGGTCAAGGTTTTCCGGCTGGTGGACCTGGAGGCCCTGGTCCGTGGAATAGCTTTGGATATCCACCTGGACCTGGACCTCAGGGACCTCAAGGACCTCCCGGCGTACCTGGCCAAGGAATGAGAGGAACACCCCAGCAAGATAATAACAAGCCTGCTCCTATTGGTGCTGGCGTTGATAAACAAAGACTGGTTGGTAACCCCGCGGTTGAATTACCTACGGAACCTAAGTCACTTGGACAGCAACCTATCCAGCCTGCGTCGACTAGCGCAGCCCCAACCCCGCCGGTTGAATCGAAACCTACCGCAGCGGAAGTCAAAGCTACTGCTGAATCTCTAGCAACGACGAACCCCCCTGCGGCCAATGTCGCCGAGAAGAAGGCCGTTCCAACCGGCCCTAAGAACAACCGAGTCCTCCCTGCTGTACCCATTCAGGCTGCAGTCACTCCGAAAACACCTCAAGTTACTGCTGCCGCTTCTGTAGTTAAGCCTGTGGGCGGGTCAGCCGCTACTCAGGCCGCGCTCAAAGATGCGACTCAAGCTGCGAAAGAAGCAGTTGCTGTCGCAATGGCGAAACTTAACAACTCTGCCGCTACTGAATCTCCCGCGCAGAATGGCAGCGCAATGGACAACTTGACTAAGAAGGTCAACGAGATGAGAATTAATGCCACGAGACCCTCAACAAATGGCAGGGGACGCGGCCGAGGTGGTCGTTCCGGCGGACCAAGCAAGGTCAATGTTCCGGACTCGGACTTTGATTTCGAAGCAGGCAACGCAAAGTTCAACAAGCAAGATCTCGTGAAGGAGGCTATCGCGGGCTCGCCTCTCACAGAGGTTATTCATAATGCTCCGGCCCCAGAGCAAGCGCAGACCGATGATTCTGCACCTCCTGTTGCCTACAACAAGACTAAGTCGTTTTTCGACAACATCTCCAGCGAGGCTAAGGATCGTGCCGAAAACGGTGGCCAAAAGCCTGGCGGACGAGAGTGGCGCGGCGAGGAGCAGCGAAAGAACATGGAGACATTTGGCCAGGGCAGCGTCGATGGCGGCTACCGCGGTGGTTACCGCGGCCGTGGCCGTGGTGGACGTGGTGGCCCTCGCGGTCGTGGATTTGCCCCTCGAGGAAGAGGCAACACATACCGCCAACCAACAGCTCAATGATTGACATCGGCCCGTGCATCGCATGCGTCGTATAGTCGACAAGTCGTCTTTACATTCGTGACTTCCTACTCGTACCTTCAAAGGCAACATCATTTAGCAGTGTATTAATACGGCAGTTGCATGATATGGTTTTTCTTTTTCCACGCGCAGGAACTAGGTGGATAATGATGCGGTTTTGCCATGCTCCAGAGCTCGATAGGCTTGATTTTAGTGTTGAGGCTCTTAGCAACGGCGTAAGGGTGGGTTGACAAGGGCAGGTATAATTCTTGCATTCGCATCATGAGCATGATCATACGATTTTACGTTCGAGACGAAAAATGGGGGGACTTGCAGTTTCGGCTCGAGCGCAGGAAAAGGCTTCTTACAGAAAGGAAGCGTCGATACATACAAATGACTCTTGACGTGGGTACCATCACTTCTGATGTAGAGGGTACTCAGGAAAAGACGAAAACGGATGCAATAGCGGGCTTGGTGTCTGTAGGTGGCTTTGGCTTTTTGAGTCGGTACATAAGCTGAGTTACACTGGTTAATACAAAACCATCAAGTCACTCGTTTCTCTCTATTCATGCGGTGATTTGTGATTTAACGTAGTAGTAATAGATGTGCTATAACGTCTACATTCCTAGATTTCCGGATAAATGTCGCTAAAAGATAGTAATTAGTAAGTGAAACAAGGTAAGTAGACACCATGTTGATTCGTAAAGTGTAATAATAAAGGGGGGTGAGAGAAGAGAAAAAATTGAAGATAACATACGTCCTTCTTACAAGCGGCATCTGCCGGCGCACCTTTTCCCACAGGCCCAAGTCGACGTCGACGATGCCGAGCTCGCCGACGGCGCCGTCCTCAACTTCGTAGCCGCCGTCCGGTTCCTTCTCGCGAACACCCTTGAGCGCCAGGACGACGCGGCCCCAAGGGTCGACGACCATGCTCCGGCCGTAGCTGACGCGGGAGGATGAGGAGGAGCCCGGGTTATGCAGGCCGACCTGGGCGGCGGCGACGACCCAGGACTGGGTCTCGACGGCGCGGGCGCGGAGGAGGACCTCCCAGTGGGCGCGGCCGGTGGGCACGGTGAAGGCGCTTGGGTAGAGGAGGACTTGGGCGGGGGGGAAGGGTTTTTTGGAGCTGGTGGGGGAGGAGGGGGAAGGGAAAGAAGAGGAAGAAGGGGAAGGGGAAGAGACGCCGACGGTGAGGTGGAGAGCCGGCTCGGGAAATCGCAGGTCGAAACAGATCAGGCTGCCCAGCCGGCCGACGGGGGAGTCGAAGGGGGGAGCGAAGCGCGACCCGGCCTGGGTGCTGGCGGACTCGCGGAGGGCGGCGTCGGGGTAGTCGAAGAGGTGGAGCTTGTCGTAGGAGGCGTCGGGGTGGAGGGAGCCGTCGTCGCGGATGTAGATGGAGCGGTTGTAGAGTTTGGTGATGGATGTTCCGGGGCTAGCGGAGCTGGGGTCTTGGTCTTGGTCTTCTGAGGGGGTGGTGGGTAAGACGGGGTTGCTGATGGTGGCGGCGGCGGTGGGGGTGGAAGAAGAAGAAACGGGTTTCACGGTTACGGGCACGTGGATGCCGACGTGCACGGCGAGACGGTGCTGCGCGGCGGCGGAGCGGAGGCCGGAGACGAACGGGGAGGTGTGGATGGGTTGGGCGAGGAAGAGGGATTCTTGCGCGGAGGTGCCAATGTAGTCGGATGCTTCCGGGAGGAAGAGGATCTAAGGTCGTTGGTTAGTTGGTGATGGGCCTCCCTAAGATCGCTTTGTCTATAGCTTCGCCCCCGAATCCTCATCTCATAAGAACAACGAACTGGCGTATGACTAGATGCCAATCTTCCAAGTATTCAGAGTAGGAAGTAAAGACTCGGACTCGTAGCCCCGTACATACTTTCGCTCCAGCAGCCGCAGCTTGGCCCACGAGCTTGACGCACTGCTCGAGGTTATGCGCCATCGAGTTGGACGAGCATATTTGCCCTATCGCCTGTATGTATCTCAGTCAGTTAGCCATGTAATTATTATTATTATCTCAAAGCACTTCTCTGCCTCAACTACTTCTTATAAAACAAGCAACCATATAAATAAAAACAAAAGGAGAAATCTTCAAATCTCACCGCCTTAGCCATCTCGGCCGTTCTATCTTGTATGTCTAATATCTTCAATAGGTTGTAGCAGTTTACTCTTCGTATCGTAGAACGTCACACGTAAAATCCTCGCGACGAATCTATAAATAAACCCTTAAAAGGAAAGTAAAATAACTAAAAAATAAAATAAAATCCTCCCATCAGACACGTGAGCTAAACCGACTCCTTCTCTTATTATTTTCTTTTTCTAATTCTATAGAAAAAAGGTGAATATCGGAAAAAAGACTGGGTCAAGCCATTCGGAGCTTTCTTGACGTGATGTCAAATAAATCGGAGACCTGTCAGGGCCATACATTCCCCACTTCCGCCCGACATCTCGCAATAGGAGACCGAAGCCGAACTGAACATTAGTCTAACACCATATCGATAGGATAGTCGAACCCGTAAGCGATCAAGTACTACTAGAATCGTATATTTACTAACTTAGATAATTAAGGTATAATATATATATACCTTCTATGAAATGCAAATCACAGCACCGGAATCTTCGGAATTCATCGATATATGCGCTCGCGCGTATTTCACTTGGCCATTCTCGCTAACCATCTAAGCTAGATATCTACGCGGCCCGATCAGACGACCGAGTCAGCTATCCACATCCATAGACGCCCTGGTATAGACTTTCGATCGGCCAGTCGGTCTCTTGCTTACTAGGGTAGGCAAAAACGTAAAATTAAGCCCAGGGGGCTCTCTCCATCTCATGTGGCATCAACACCAACACACAGTCAAGGTCGTTCCTTTTCGAACCTCTCTCCCCCCCTCATCTTCCTCTCGAGATGGTCTGTTCTTTCCCTCGTCCACCGAAGAGTAAAGGCGGAGGCGGTCCAAAACAAAATCAGAAAATGCAAAAGCCAACCATACCCCCCCTTGTTATGCCCCTCTGATGCCAACGCCTGGCTGTGAAAAGTAGAAATATGTATACCAATACAACGCGTAGTGTCTAGAGGGTATAATCCCCCCCGGCCGGAAAGTAAACTTAATCCCCGTTTTATCTCATTACTCGCCAGCTTTTGTTTAGGTTGGGGCTCATTTCGAAAGACCCCCGTGTTGGTTTTATACTATCGATTCCTTAGAGCCCTGATGCCGACCACCTATCATCACGACGTATTCTCCACCGTACCCTTTGCGGACCTGTCCAGAATGTCGTACGCCTGCTGCAGAGCCTTGGAGTCGAAGCCGCGTTCTTCTATAACCACGACCCAATCACGAAGCTGAATATTTTTCCCCTTATCAGAATCCTCACGGAATTGCCCAAGATGCGTAACGCCCGCCTTTGTAAGAGGTCCCCGAGGAGCCTTGCTACTAGGTGCGGCTGTGGAACTTGGCGTACCAGGTGCACCCGTAGTTTGAGGACGAGGACTGCTCATGCCGCTACCGGGGCCTCCCGAGCTTGTCATCCACGAGTATTTCTTCTTCTTGCCACCCGCAAACAAACCTAACGTTTGGTTGACAGTCGTACTGCTCGCCTCCGCCAGTTTCGCTGCCTTCTTACTCTCCTTCTTCGTCGGAGCTTTCGACTCAGCCGCTTCCGGGGCTATAGATCCAGGAGTCCCCGGTGCCACGGACCCAGCTCGTGATGTGCTACCGATGGCCTCCTTGTCTTTGTCGGTACCCTTTTCCATGCGCTTCAGCCGCTTTCTAAGACGAGCCTCTTCGGCGTCGCGCGCATCCTTCACGGTTCCCATCATAGCTTCTACCATGGGATTGGTGGGAGAGGCTTCAGAGACCGGTGTTGGTAATCCATTACTGAGCTCATCTGCCGAACCTATAAATCACAGTTAGCTATACGACACAAGAAAACTTTATGGTTGAAAGGTCCATACGTTTGAGTGGGTTTGTGCGGGGGCTAACCGCGCTCTCCACACCCGTCCGCGGGCCCTCACCAGGGGTTCCGTTCGCGTTGGGCGACGGTATGGCAGCTGCATCAAGCCATTCAGAAGGCACTGCACCATGCGAAGTCTTCTGTCGCGTAGTGGCCACCCTATTGGCATCACTAAGCAGTTCTCTCAAGTGTTGCTTCGTACTTATCGACAGCAGCGCGATTTGGTCAACGAGAAAGGCATCGTGAGGGATAAATGAGCCAAGAGTCTGCACCACTGTACCGTCCGGAGATTGCTGGTACATAACCTTGATCTCCGGCTTAGCGCCTCCGGGGCTTGCCATTTTCCCCATATATCGGCCCCCCTCAGGCTTCAGGTCCAAATTCAAGCTGAGACCGTACTTAGAAGCCGTGTCCTGCATTCGCTTGTGTACCACGCCTGGTTCTAACAGGTAGCTGGCTATTTCCTGAGCTCTAGTCCGGGCTAGCCGTGCTGCTGCTTCGTTCCAGGCTCTATCTGCACTCTCCACAGCAAGCTCCTCCTGAGTTTTTGCATTGGTAGACTGGGCAGGCTGATTGGCAGGCCCAGCTCCATATAAAGCCTCGGATCCTCCAGGCGGATAGTTAGGGAATCCACGAGACTCTAGGTTATTTAAGTACTCTGCCTCCTCTTCTAGATCGATACCGGTGCCTACAAGCATATCATCTACGTCGTATGTTACGTCTGCCTTGGTCGATGTAGGTTTGGGCCCTTGTCTCGTCGCATCGTTGGACGAGAAAGACCCGGCCGGGTTGATAGTTGGTGGTCCCATGCTGGTGGTAACTGAGGGTGCCGAGGAATTGAATGAGGTATTCGTGGGCACCGGCGCGAGCTTCGCGTTGGAGTAAGGAGCGTGACTGGCGCTGAGAGTCTGCGGTTGAGGCGATGCTAAAGGTGGCGTTGGTACGGCTGTTGGCATGGTAAGTGTCATACCAACTGATGTAGATCGACCATTCGGTTGCTGGTAAGGTGTGTTGTAAGCTGTCGTTGTTGTTGCAGTTGCAGTTGCAGCAGGACCTTGACCTTGGTTGATGTTATGGTTGGGAGCAGGAACAGGTGAGGGTAAGGTCATCGGTGTAGCTGCTGGAGTAGTAGCTCTGGGACTTGCGGCATAATTCAGATACGGTGAGCCCGGGTTCGACGGGGGCCCGGGAGATAATCTCGCTCGTTTATTGGGAGGAAGTTGATAACTTTGATTCGGAGAATGCTGTTGGGGAGAAAACTGCCTCGGTGGCATCGTTGGTTGTGGGTGCGACATGACGGCGGTTTTATCGAAGTCGAAAAGATTGCGCGCGGATTATTAGAAGACAACTTAATCAATTATAATATGAAGAAGAGTCTCCGGTTGAAATCAATCAATTTGCAGTAAGTATCAACCCTTCTTCTTCTTCAACACGCTCTCTGAACCTTGACAGGCACAGAGCCTGTCACAATCAAGCGGCCGACACCCATCCGACGGTGTAAAAGGTAAGGTATAAAGATATGTATTTAAAAGGCGATGCGAAGGCGACAAATGCGACGTCGACTAAGATCGAAACCAATGAGAGAGACGAGTAGCGCGTCGGGGGGTGGCGTTTGGTTGGCGATGGGATAGTGATGTTTGGGGATGGGAAGAGGAGGCGATCTTAGGTTAAGGTAGGTAGACTGGTAGACTGGTAGACTTCAGCAACATAAGAAAAAGCTTCTGCTTGCCCATTGGCTTGCCCATTGGAAAGATTTCGCGTAGTACCAACGCACGGTCCCCACAGGTTCTGAATTAACTGGATCCATCGAAGCAGTAAGTTACCTAGGTACTTGGGTACGTGTCGTTGTATTGTACCTAAGGCATGCATGTACCTAGGTAGTAGGCACTTACCTTAGGTACCTCCTAATGGCTAAACCTGCCTAAAGTACTTACTACCTAACCTAGGTCTTAGGAGGTACCTAGGTGCTAATTTCCCTTCCAATGTATGCTGAATCGGATCAATTAGGAGCCGATGAATGAGCCTCAAAAAAGCTTGAGGTTTAGGTACATACCTAGGTAGTACACGCCTTGGAAGGAACACGCGACGCGCTAAAACTTAAATTTACGCCTGCCAAATAGGTAACAATACAGGCAGACAGGGCGCCTCTCCAATTTGTTGCAACTGCTGCATTACATTACGTAGGAGTACACTAACAATACGTACCTACCGCCATCAGAATAATTCATACCATACATCAATCCCACCTCTCTCAATACACCCTTCAATACATACCTAAACAACCAACTTTTTGTCCTCACTCCCTTCCAATTATTGGTTCAAGTCAAGTACCCAAAGTGATTTTGATCTTCCAATTAACACGAATCCGTTCTCATAATGCACTCCGTCCTGAGATGATATCCATTGTGTGCTTGTTCATTGACAAATTTAGTGCGATACTACGCTAGATCGCATTCTTTCCATTTCCATATTTCCAAACAGCACGACTCCAGCAAATCCCATAAGCCCAGATTCGAAAAGTCCCATTAGCCATGGCGTCCAAGCGCAAAGCTTCAGCAATGGCCACTACCTCTGGTGTTGATGAGGAACCAGTAGACCCCTCAGACGAGCTGATGTTTCTCTGTCTAGGTGGTGGAAATGAAGTCGGTCGATCATGTCATATCATACAATACAAAGGAAAGACAGTCATGGTCAGTCATCCGACTCTCATTTATTCCCTCTAAATCGCGACCTCGGGCTGACTAGGCGCTTTTATGTAGCTCGATGCTGGCCAACATCCTGCCTACGATGGCCTCGCCGCTCTCCCTTTCTTTGACGACTTCGACCTAAGCACGGTCGATGTTCTCCTTATTAGCCAGTAAGTTTATCCTTCTGGTCCTCGTTCTACAATAAAGCGCTGTGGATGATCAAGAGCTTCGTATCAGTTGGGGTGGAAGGTTATCTTCTTCCGCGGCCCTAAGGTAGAAGCTACTTTCTGAGTGCTTTGCATATATAGTTGAGCCTACGGATTTGTGCATCTTCGAACCATTGCTCTCATGTATTCAGCCATCAATAAAAGATATTACTACATCACCCAGCTGGTAGCTCCCTTTTGACTGCCGTGATGCTCGTTGCGATAGCTTGGGCCTTTTGCCTCTTAGCTCTAGCGTTTTATACATTGCAAGAATCATGCTAACGTGGGGTCAAGTTTTCATATAGATCATGCCGCATCTCTTCCTTATGTTCTGGCGAAGACCAATTTCAGAGGCAGGGTCTTCATGACGCATCCAACCAAGGCTATTTACAAATGGCTTATCCAAGACAGCGTCCGAGTCGGAAACACTTCGTCAAACCTTACTTCACAACCCGTATACACGGAACAGGACCATCTGAATACCTTCTCCCAGATTGAGGCAATCGATTACCACACAACTCATACTATCTCTTCCATCCGAATTACTCCTTATCCCGCTGGCCATGTACTAGGAGCTGCGATGTTTCTGATAGAGATAGCTGGGTTGAACATATTCTTCACGGGAGACTATTCTCGAGAGCAAGATAGACATTTAGTATCTGCGGAAGTCCCTAGAGGCGTTAAGATCGATGTGCTTATCACTGAATCGACTTACGGAGTATCAACTCATGTTCCAAGACTGGAAAGGGAACAGGCATTGATGAAATCGATCACCGGTATTCTGAACCGAGGTGGACGAGTGTTAATGCCTGTATTTGCTCTAGGGAGAGCTCAGGAACTTCTGTTAATCTTGGACGAGTACTGGGATAAGCATCAAGAATTCCAAAACATCCCAATCTACTACGCTAGCAACCTCGCGCGGAAGTGTATGGTCGTATATCAGACGTACATCGGTGCGATGAACGATAACATTAAGAGGTTGTTCCGAGAACGAATGGCGGAAGCTGAGGCTGCAGGGGACGGGGCGGGTAAAAACGGTCCTTGGGATTTCAAGTATATTAGATCTCTCAAAAGCCTCGACAGATTTGATGATGCTGGCAGCTGCGTCATGCTTGCCAGCCCTGGTATGCTGCAGAACGGAATTAGTAGAGAACTACTAGAGAGATGGGCCCCCAACGAGAAGAACGGTGTTATTATCACGGGTTATAGCGTTGAAGGCACCATGGCCAAGCACATCGTCCAGGAGCCAGATCAGATTCAAGCCGTCATGTCAAGAAGCGTCAATGCTGCGCGGAGGGCGCCTGGTGCAGACAGCGATAAAGTTATGATACCTCGAAGATGTAGCGTCGCCGAGTATTCTTTTGCCGCGCATGTCGACGGTCAAGAAAATAAGGAGTTTATCGAGGAAGTAGGAGCACCTGTGGTGGTGAGTAACCTTTTTTACATCAATGCATTCAATCCCCCTTTATACTAACCCCGTTAGATTTTGGTGCATGGCGAACAACACAATATGATGCGGTTGAAGTCCAAGCTATTATCGTTAAACGCGGGGAAAACGGATAAGGTCAAGGTGTTCAGCCCTAGGAATTGCGAGGAGTTGCGCATCCCATTCAAGACCGATAAGGTTGCTAAGGTAGTCGGTAAACTTGCGTCGATACCCCTCCCAAAACACTTGCCTTCGCCTAACGACCAAATCACCGAGTTGGTAGCTGGAGTCATAGTTCAGAACGACTTCAAGATGTCGCTAATGGATCCCGAAGACTTGCGTGAATACGCGGGCCTTACGACTTCTACGATCGCGTGTCGACAGCGGTTTACCTTAAGCGCAGCTGGCATCGATCTGATCAAGTGGGCTCTCGAGGGCACGTTTGGCAGCATCGAAGAACTTCCGGAGACTAAGAATCGAAAGGAGACTAGTGAAAGCGAGGAAGCAAACGGGGGTGATGATAAGGCTGATGCAGACGAAGAAGTTGCCCAGCTCGTAGCAGCCTACCTGGTGATGGGCTGCATCACGGTGCGATATCGCAGCAACGGCGAGGTAGAGTTGGAATGGGAAGGTAACATGCTAAATGACGGCATCGCCGACGCTGTTATGGCAGTTCTCTTGTCTGTCGAAAGCAGCCCTGCTGCCGTGAAGCGTAAGCAAAATGCCCTATTGTCAGCCTAACTAACGCAAACCGTTCCCCTGCTAACATTTCTGATCAGGATCGGCGAACAAACATTCCCACTCCCACGAATTGCCAGCTCGCAATCCGCACGCCAACCTAACGCCGGAGGAGCGTCTGCAGCGCATGTTCCTCTTCCTCGAGGCACAGTTCGGTGCCGACGCGCTTACCCCTGTCACAACACCCAAACTACCGCCTCTAGTTAAGGACAAGAAGCCGAAAAAATCGGAGGACGACGAGAATGGAGACCCTGGTTCGGACGCGTCCATGGAGTTGTCGGATGACGAGGATGAAGAGGAACGACTACTAGAGCTACGGCAGAAGACCGAGCTCGAACGGCTGCATAAGATTGGGATTCCCGTGCCGGGCGTCACCATCAAGGTTGACAAGATGGTGGCTACGGTGTGGCTCGAAGATCTTGAGGTGGAATGTAACTATAAGGCGTTCGCTGATCGGGTCAGAGCTGTCGTTGAGCGGGCTGTCGAGATTACGGCACCCCTTTGGGGCTGATATTATCTTCTGTCCTAAGATGAGCTAGAAGGGATAACGGAGATAAGTACATAGCTCGCCTTTTATGTATTATAGGTAAGTTTATGGATCTTGCGGCTACCGTCCTATCTAGGCAGGTTAAGCAGTGGATTTTGCGAGACAAGGGAGGATATGATGACTATGATACGGCCGTGGCGGGTCCGGGGGAGGTGAGGATGTCATGAGATAAGCGCGCGGAAAGTCTGTCTTATGACACTGCAGATGAGGCGTCTATTATGCCTACAGATCATTAATCATCCAACCCGTACTAGTGGCGGGTATGATGTTTACACACGGCCACCGTTCCACGATCGGGTTATATATATCCTTAATGAGTTAGAAAAAAAAAGGAAAAAAGAAAAAAAGAATAATGAGTCCCCTATGAGTAGATGCCTACCTTACCTATTATATAAAAGGATGCCATAAATTCAGCATGATATACATGTGTAGATTACTGTTATGCCTTATTGTGTTCGGAGGCACTTTAGGTAGCCACCCTGCGACCCTGCCACCTCCGCTGAACCATAGGCGCGGTACGGCTAAGTACCTAGCTATCTAGTTTGAGTACTTAGCCACCAAGAAAATAGAGTGATATGATTGGTCTGTTTGAGAGGTGTGCCTTGTATGCCTTGCTTGAGGCTTAAAGGGGGGCTATGTACCTTGTAAGAAATGGATATCTACAATAGTGTATCGGTGACTTGGTATGCGCTAAAGTGCAAACGTGCCTTGACATAGCCTCAATGTATCATAACTGACATGGCGATGAAGTTCCCTTAAGTGCATCACCTGAAAACGGCGTCAACCTCTTAGCATAAGAAATATATTTCCTATTATCTTATACACGCCCCTCAAACTGTGCTTAGGTCAGTGAGGCAGAAGGCAAGGCAATATAATACCAGGTGGTTTTTAAAAGTCGGTAGTTATAAATTGTATATAATTGCAAGGAACCATGTGAGTATACTCGTGTGTGAATAAGGGGGTCAGACAACAAATTCCAGTCTATCAGCAAACAAGTCGACATAACCAATCATAATTCATAATTCACAATTGAACATTGCAAATATTTACACTCATGTGCTGAACATCGAGTCAGCAACTACTACAAACAAACGCATATAAGCTAAATCTTCCACGTCACGACTTGGGACTTGGAATTTCTCGAGAAAAAAAAAAAAAGATAAAAAAGGTGATAGAACAAAGACAACTGTCATTGCTTGTCACTGCCTTTGCGCCTCTTTCTAAACTCTGACTATACCGAAACTTGGGTTTAGAAACAAACGCTAACTTGACTCCGCTTTGCTCTGTGCAAACCAACTGATACACCTGACTTGGCACCAACAGCTCCTTTAGCTATGCAAGCTATTTCTACCTGTCCTTCCCCATTTCCCATTGGATTCGTACAGCCATACTCGACACACTCCTCGTCCTTTTTGAAAACTCCCAGCTGCACTAGCCGATGCAGAAACGTCCAGTGCAGACACGAGGAATTCTATCAACAGCAACGACTGAATATCAACACCATGGGGAATCCTTTTGGAGACAGTTCCAGCGGCAGCAGCTTGAGACCCGATTCTCAAGCAAAAGACGCCCGAGGTCGCTCCCCCTCTGGTTTCTCCTTGCGAAGGTCGCTTAGCGGTCGTAGCCAGCGCAGCAGCAACGACTCCGGTGACCGTCGCGGCTTATCCTCCATCTTTAGCAATAATCTATTCTCGTCGAACTCGCGTTCTCAACGGGGACGCGGAGCAAGCCCACCTCCGCCGTATTCGCCGGCGCCCGCCGAGGCTTCTGGTCCAAGTGAGTTTCCATACTATTCCCGCATATCAAACTAGCCCCCCTTATTATTCATACCAAACCAAAACCAAAACCACTAACCCCCAACCAGTTCCCAATGCTGCCGTAGGCGAGCTACCAGATGACCAATACGCCTTCCTGCGGGAATTCAACACCATCTTCCTAATCGACGACTCCCTCTCCATGAAAGTCGACCGGCGCTGGGCCGAGACGCAAGCCGCGGTCGCGGCCATCGTGCCCATCTGCGTGGAGCGCGACGAGGACGGCGTGGACGTGTACTTCCTCAACCACAAGACGGCGGACGGGGGGGACCCGAGCCGCGGGGCGGCGGGGACGGGCTACCGGTCGCTGCGGGACGCGAAGCTGGTGACGGACCTGTTCGACGTCGTGCGCCCGAGCCAGGCGACGCCGACGGGCACGCGCCTGGACCAGATCCTGCGGGCGTACCTCACGCACTACGACGCGCGCGTGCGCGCCTCGGCCGGCGACGTCTACTGCGTGCGGCCCATCAACGTGATCGTCATCACGGACGGCCAGCCGACGGACGAGCCGGGCGAGATCATCGCGGCGGCGGCGCGGCGGCTCGACCGCATGGGCGCGCCGCCGCACCAGGTCGGCGTGCAGTTCTTCCAGGTCGGCCGGGACCCGGGGGCCACGCGGGCGCTGCGCGACCTCGACGACGAGCTGTGCCGCCGCGAGAGCATCCGGGACATGGTGGACACGGCCACGTTTAACGCGACGGGGCCGGCGGGCCGCGATGCTCCCTCGCTCACGGCGGACGGCATCCTGAAGGTCGTGCTGGGCGCCGTCAAGAGGAAGCTTGACCGGAAGGTTTTGGTTCGGGTCGATGGGCCGCCGGGGAAGTGAATGAATGAATGGGGGCTTGGGTTTCCTGTGGCTTACATAGGAGGTGCATTATATTACATTACGTTACCTACCTGGGACATATGGATTAGCTGGTGAAGCTGGTGACCTTTCTTGTTTTGTGGAGCTAACGACAAGGAGCATGGGGGAAAGGGGGGGGGGGGGGGTTATTGTGCCTGTCTTACCCTTATTATCATTATATCTTCTCTCTCGCACCGTTTAGTGATACCCCTTTTTTAGAGGAGTTACATATCATAGAGGGGTTTTCCTTACCTATGTATCATAGGGGGGAAAAGGGGTATCAGGGGCTTAGAAAAAAAGGACTACTCAACGAAGCTCCTTATTGTATTCTTAGAATTATCATACTGAAGTCTTTCACGAGGTATCAGGAGTCAAATAGGGAAATGTTCTTGTCCAATCTGAATGATATCTTAATAAATAATGTCTAATCACCATCTTCTAACTCCGCCTACTTCCACTGGTTTATAGGTAGGTAGTTTTCTGTAGTTGTTCATCTGCCGTACTGTGCCATCGGAGGCAGATGGAACACTTGTGGTAGACATCCTATTCTATTTAGATCCTGAAAGAGATGCCAAGTTACAAATTCCTGATGCAGGAGTAACTAACAAACATCACCTCGGGCACTTACCTTGTAAACAAGCACATCTACTTTGAACAAGAGGATCAATTATCAAATCAGAAATCAACGAGTCAAACGAAATAGATCGTATGGAAACGCATTAAATTCCGCAAGGCTAAGCCTGCCCTCAGACTATGAAACGGCAAAATCTAGAGACCAACTTAAGCAGTACCAACTATGAACTATCGCCAGAGCATGATTTGGGGATCTATCCGATCCATATCCCTAATGCCTTATCCATCCACCGCCCTAGCTGTCCAACCGTCCGATATCTGCTAAGATCGTCCTAGGAGATGCCGAAACCCTTGCGGGTATCGTGAAAACTTCGTAAGGAAAAAAAAGAAAGAAAAGGGCAATCTGTGACTAGAGCAAAGTTGTCCTGTTACAAGGCTGTGGCAACATCGCAACCGTCCTCGTAAGAAGACTGGGTTAGTTGTCGAATTGGCGTTGTGCTTCTCTGTAGACGCCAAATCGTACGATTGGAAACGTAACGTATTAGTTGTTGGATGTGCCGCGCCGTACCATCAGAGCAAGCGTAAGTAAGAAAAAGCAAGCTGCGAAGGGAAATGTCTTGCCGGTCAAGACTATGGCCACTCCTTTTCTCTCCTTCCCGCAATTTTTGTGCCTCCAAACCCCAGAGCTGAACCAAAGACCATACTCAGGGTAAACCGCATGGATTTTTTTTCTCTCTCTTCACCGGTATGCAAATCCGCCTTGCACCCGTGTGGTAATGACACACATCGGTGTCAGCGGCTATTGCCTACTCGCCAACCATGTTTTCCCCACCAAAACTCGCCGTTCCTCGAATATTGCCGTTGTCAGCCGTGGGCTGTAGAGGCCGAGAACTTGGCCATCTAGAAAGCCCTGGGCTGCAAAGAGAAAAAGGACAATCGTCTGTCGTATTGGGGGCCTCCGGCTGTAAACTTTCTTCCCCTGGAAGATTGCCCATATGACCTAGAAACATTCCTTCAGGTCTCGATTATCCACTGCGGGTGGAAATTCTGGTTTGCTCTAAGTACCTAGTGTCAGCATCAATAATGTTCAAATTAACTGGGAAGAAGATACTCACCTCTGTCCTCCAGAATTAAATCATTACGTTTTTTTCGTCCCCTTCCTATCTTCCGTAAAGCTCACTCCCCGGAGATTGTAGTTCTCGTGAAAAAGAAAAGGAAAAAGAAAATAAAAGGAAAAGCACACCAGATCGAAAAACGGGCACCACATAAGAAAAGCCTATGGTCCCGCTTAAAAAAAGTAACGATGGCGAAGACTCGTCACAGGCCAATGAGTATTAAACGCATGTCCAGAACCCACGCGTAAAAAGATGTCGAAAAGAATAGGGGCATGCATCGTGGGCGCCGCGGCCTCAAGACTGCTTTGAATAGCCCATACTTCGGTAAGGAGTTACCCAACGATTTATTTCATCACCAGGACCTGCGCCTTCTTGATGCCGTGGTACTCGAGCTCGGTCTCGTCCCTCTCGTCGCGCACCGACAGCACGGGGGAGACCACGAACGACACCCTGGTTTGCGACATCTGGAGCTCGGAGGGGGAGAGGCCCAGTGCGCCGCCGTTGACGGGCTCCATGGTGCCCTCGGCGAACTTGCACGCGCAGTCGGGGAAGGTGTAGTGCAGCGTCATCCCCGACATCCACACCTTGGCGCTCACCTCCCACGTCGCCGACACCATGACCCGCAGCGGCTTGATCGCGTCCTTGTCCGCCACCGAGACCGACCGCAGCGGCTGCATGATGATCGCCATCATGTGCGCGTGCCGCTCGATGCTCTCGCGCTTGAACAGCTCGATGTTGCTGTCCTTGAGCGCGTGCGCCACGATCCGCGCGTGCTCGTCGATCACGCGCTGGCGGTCGCGCGCGTTCGTTCGCCCGCTCGAGCGGTGGAAGGTCGTGATTTTCTCCTGCAGGGCAGTGAGGTGCCCGTCTAGGTTGCGGTCGATGCCGAGGAAGATATCTGGGGAGATGACTTTCTTGAACAGGTAATCCAGCGCGACGCGCATGATGATGTACGGCCGGTAAGACGGGACGCCGAGGAGGTACAGCATGTGGTTTCGTGCTTGAGCACGGTTCTGGTAGACCAGGCTAAGGAGGTAGTTCCAAGTGGTCGGCTCTCTCTTCTCCAGCATCATATCGGCCACTTTGAATTGTTCGCCCTGCTTCGAATGGCATCGGACGATGTATCCTTTCGTCAGCCCGAATATGTGGTCGATTCCGTCTTGTATGTCGGCCATTGTCCATTGATCTTTATGGCGGGGGAACGCGCCGCCGGGGACCTTGTCCACAGTGCTCGAAGCGTGGACAAGTTGCTTCTGAGAAGCGGCTTTGGTGGACTCGCGTCTTGAGCCATCGACACTGATCAGGGCGGGCCAGTTGGAAGGACCACCAACGGGAGAGCCTTTGCGGCTAGCGGCAGAGGGTGCAGACGGAACAGTGAGGAAACTGCGAGGTCGCTTCACTTGGTGCTGGGGATCCCACGACGGTGCCGTAGGATTCGGCTTGAAACCTAACGATCCTGTAGTACTGCTGTCATTCGTCGTCTGTGGTCCATGTTTTTTGATCAGCATCTTATGCAACTCTGCATAAGTTTCATCATCTAAGCCGTTCTTGATTTCGTCCTTTTGAGTGGACGAAGGCGCGGCCTCCGCTGGCTGAGGCGAGCCTTGTTCAGACTTTCCTTTGGCGGCTTTGACAAGCTGGTCATTTCGAGATTGTAGATCTTTGATCTGGTTTTTGCAATTCTGAAGGGGGGGAGGCAATTAGCTATCTGTCTACTCTAGATGGATATTTTAGGTTTTATCGTAGAGAAACTTACCTGAAGTGCATTTACCTGCTTCTCTTCGAGAGCTGACCACTTGTCGATCATCATAGAATAATGATCCTGGACCGTCTTGAGCTTGGTCTGGTAATTGCTATTTTCGGCTTCCAGCTTGTCGGCGCGAGCCTTAAGAAACTTTAGCTCTTGGGAGAGAGAATCCTCTTTGCTAAGGGCTTGTCCTAACTCCCTCTGTAGTTTCTCTATTTTTCCCGAAGCCGCATTTTTTTCACGGATCATTCGTCCGTAGTTGTCGTTGTGCTTTCTGTACTCACTGACAGTCTGGTCTCGTTCCATGCGTAGCCGATGAACCGTCGAATTGACGAGCTGTCCAATCTCGTTCATCATCTCCCTATGTCTGTTGGACCTATCCGCTTGCATTCCAGGGATGCGGCTGGTCCATGTAATGCAAGCAGAAATACGATGGGCGATGAGCCGGCACATGTGGATAGAGTCCTATAACTTGTAGTTAGCGTGGAGAACTAAATAGTTGAGTGCGACATTCAAGTTTCCGAAGACTTACATCTTCTCCGACGACTCTCGCATCGCCTGATGGAAACGCGGGATTGCTAGTGAAAGCGCTGGAAGTGTTGCTCGAGAATGAATCTCGGTAGCGAGTCACTGACTGAGCACCCGCGGCCTGCGGCTGCGTGCCAGGGGCCGGGAACGTAGCAACTCCCCCATAACGGTAGCTCGTAGGGGGCACCGACTGTGGAATTGAAGGCTGCGGGCCAGTATTTGCAGCGAAAGAGTTTGAGTCACTGAGCAACTTTGACTCCTCTTCGCTTACGCTTGCTGGGCTTTTGAGTTGTTCTTCACTAGATGGGTTAGAGACTGCGGACGGCTTAAAGCTGACCGACACACCGCCACCGGGCTTCTTGCTGTATGACGAGTCAGTGGACATTGTAGCTAGAATGTAAAAGTAATTTGACGAATAGTAAAGATAGAATGACCCAAGATAACCCGTCCCAAGTATCTAATCCCAAATGGTCAATGGTTGGCCAAGTCCCAAGCTATCAGGTTTAGATGATGGTGTGGTAAAGTATACCATAAGCTAAGGGCAAAGAAAGTGTTTGGGGTATTGGATTGTTGTTTAGGATTGAGTATTGGGAAAAGGGTAAGGGTAAGGTAAGGGGTAAATAATAATAACGGGGAGTAATGAGAAGAATGGTCCGAAGGATGGTGGGAGGGAACCTGCTTATATAGAAAATGGTAGAGATGACGGAGGGAAGGTACAGATATGCGATTGCATATACGGACAGGAGACTGGAAGGTTTGGAAGGTTCGGAAGTTGGAAGGAAGGTGGTAAGGCGTTTCCAGAATAGAAATGGGGCAGGAGCATGAGAGTAACGGAGGTAAGAACGGGTAAGGAGGCCAAATGCAGTTTCCCCAGGCAGAGATTTCAAAGGGAGAATTGAGTGATTGGGGCTGAGGAACTGGAATGATACAACATCATTTGGATGTGCTTGGGGAAGGTATGAACGACCCTACTTCCATAACCGAACTGATTGCAACTAATAGCGCAATTGGTTATCGTTGGTACCGGAAGATAAGGTTGATAAAAGATGTCCAAAGGTTTCCTGGCCTTCTTCTACCCCTTTTTTTGTTTGTAGAAATGTACCTAGGTACCCATCACTTTCCAGGCCAATTGTGAAGTGAAGCTTCCAAAGATATGCTCAAGTAGGCCTGATAAGAGATAGGTTGTCGTGATGTTGGTCGTTGCCGGGTAAGTTCTCTGGTTGCCAGGCATGTGCTAGCCGTATAGATGTAAAGAGACCTATCCTGGCAGTCTATCCAGATTGGCCGACGCAAGTTCCAACTGTGACCTAAGCTGTGGAAAAGGAGGTACCTTTCGCACTAATCGAACTGCGGGAATCATGGAATATCCCGAATTGTAACACCGTATAGGACATCTTGAGGCCAGCATCCGCTCTCAATGGAACCAGGTAGAACGATAGTGGGTGCATAAAAGCAGAAAAAGAAATTTATATCACTTACTTCTCGTACGAAGCATCTGGAGGCGACTCCAGGAGGTAGGGTCCGCCCGAAGGGTTCAAATGCTCTGACAACCCCATGATTTTTGACTGGCCTAATAAAAATGTTAGCTCTAGCCCTAGTAGATATCTTTAATGATGAACATTGTAGCTAGCATATATATCCCGGATGGTAGTCATGTACCTAAGGTAAACAAGTACAGTATTCAGAACAAGGATAGAGCTTTACGTACCTGTTGGGCCGGACTAGGAATAGGTAAGGTCAACAGCTTATACTAACCACGGGAGTTAGCAGTAGTCTAGGATAAATAGACACTTGCGGGTCAGGCAAATGAATGCTATATTGGTCAAAGTGTGGTAAATTCAGGTTTGAAGCTGCTAAACGTTCTGCCCACAATAGGGTGGAAATGAGAGGCGTACGCACCTAATAAGAATAACTATTGAAGCCTATTATATTTCCAATGTGATTAGTACCACGCTCGGGTTAGGGTAGCGAGGAAAAATTAAATGAGAGTGTGTGGACTGCATAGGAAGCATCCGAGAGGGCTTGTATGACTTACCTATTGAGTAGTAGCAAGATAGGCAGAAAGAGACTTAGGTCTGCCTAACATTCGAAATAGGATTTGATATCAAATAGGAAACAACCATGCGTATAGAGTAATGCCTGTAAATGAGATGCAATAGGTCTACTACTAGACGTGTTGTGTGTAGAGGTAGGCAGGTTAGGTCAGGTATCTTAGGTACTTATTCGAAGGGTATGAAAATAATGCGGAATGCCTCCAGAAAACTTAAATTTGGGAAAGCACCAAAGCAGCAGCCCATATAGTGAATAGGTGCTTGTTGTAGAAATTCAATAGAATGTGAGTGAATGGAGGATGCCTGAGAGAAGTTATGTATTTGGAGGCATGGGTGTCTGGTTGTGAAGGAGAGGAAGGCCTTGCCCTAAAATTGCTTTAAAAACGAAGACGATGCTTAGACGTGCTATAAGTCGTATGAAGACGGCCGTGATGTAAATAGTATCCTTAATTATGATACGGGAGTGAGTGAGATTCGAAACTCAACTTCAGGAACTCTCAGGAGAGTCGAACGGCGTGACAGCAGCTCTAAGAACTATCCCCTGTGTTGAAGGTTAAGATTAATGTAAAGGCATTAGCTTAGCGATGAGCTCGAAAAAGGGTCATATGTCTTCGTCTTCCAGTAGACGCCGGCTTCCCATTAGTTGTGAGTGACAGATATATACTAAACGACGTACTCGGCTACAAAGCTCAGATATACTCTAAAGAGCTAAGTGCCAGGTCTTTACGTCCTTGTAATAGGCTTATAGTACGAAAACCTCACTGGTCAACAAGGGGGAGTGCTGATGTGCGAACACTTGTTTAGCAAATTTTCTTGACATCATCGGCAGGGTTTGTTGGAGGGCTAATGAGGATGCCAGTATCGTCCGGAAGCCTGGGAGGTGGCAGGCTGAATTTACGATATAATCCTAGTGAGACCGGAGAAACGAACTTGGGCTATTAGTGTATAGAAGCTAGCACCCTACGCAAGTGACAATGACATGAGGTTATATCTATTTCGCCAGTCTCACTCGATGCACAGTCTCAATCACAATGGTAAGTCGTATGAAACAACCAGACTTACCGTAAGCTTTGTATTACCTATGTAACTTTGATATTGACGGGATCGAGGCCATTCAGAATTGTGAATCTGCAGAGATGGTGGAAATCCCTGTATAGGAGGTACCTACTGTTCAAGATCATAGAACTTCAAGACTCATTATCCTTTCAGCATTTGCCAGATATTCACAGTGAGACAAAAGCCCCTTAAATAAGCAGTGGACTAGCTAGGTCAGTTAAGTTTAGATGATCCCTAGATGTTTTATTTATTGCATTCTATTTCTACAGCCTCAATAACAGGTAAGTAATTGCAGAATGGATCGAGGTAGATCAAGGTAGATCAAGTATGCCCGTATGAAAATAATGTAGAAGCATAATGATCTATCTTAAGAGCCTCTTCATACGTACATGTTGCTGTTCGATGCCAACAAAATGTTTTACCACTTGAACGGCTCTACCCCTATTCTGAAGTGACGATGTTGAATATTCTACGGATAGCACTTACCACCAGACTCTATTTGGTAAATTCCCATCTCGTCCCTCCAAAATGGTATTCCGTGTTTGTTAACGGATGGTACTGCTAGCGGGAGTACTTCGCCATATAGTACGTTAACCTCGCTCATACATCGTGATTTGATCAGTCGTCAGGAGAAATCACGTAAAATCAAAGTACTATAATCTACGTTCGGGGGGGTTAGTACCTCAGGTAGCGTTCATAGTTAACAGTTTGAATGTGTCGGATATGAAAGAGGCTATTGTCGCAAATCGACGTGATCGTTTCAAGCGCCTATCTAATCTTCCGGCTGTATTTGTATTGGATTGGAATAGATAATCTACCCGAGTTGTCGTGTAGCACTAGCTATTCCCTGTTAAAAAAGTCTGTATCACAAGTAACTGGCTGCTTGGAGTGTAAACATCCCGACTCGAACGTGACGGTATAGAGCAAATGTCCAAGTATATAGGTGCCTACCTGGGTCATACCTACACGAAGAATAGACGCGACACATTGTTACATGTTATCAAGAAAACTGTAATGTGTTAGCCGCTAATGTCTTCTATGACATGAATTGGGGAGTCGACCTGGATGGAAGACTAAAACGCATTCAGCGGCGCTGAAAATGCCACGAGGAATCTACAGGTGGCGTCAGAGCTGACATGATCACAATCTTCCGGGAGTTTTCATACCAATATCACCGAAACAATAGATAATTATCATAATCTAAAATCATATGCTTTAGTACTACCAACGCCTAATTACCTAGCTTGGTCCTATGGCATGCAGGCCGACGAACGTTCCCCGGCTCGGCGATAATGATCGGAAATGATGTTCGGTTTGACACGGACGTCAGCAGACAAAAACTGACGTATGAGGATGCAAGTTCCTCTGGAAAAGGGGGGCTTCTATTGTAAAATCAGCGCGAAAAGTAAGGATTTTGTAGCATGACTGGGAGAGTATGTCGTTTGATCTCGGAGAAATATGCTGCGTAGAATGTCGTTTACCAATTTGACAGGCGAATGGAGTGAATGAGATCTTGGGGGCCGGCATCCGTGTGAAAAAAATGGTAGCGAGTACGGTATCTAATTTTAATTAGAACGGTTTATCTTATAATATGGTTATGGATGTAACTTACGGGAAAAAGTTCCTAGAACGGGAAAGGCCCGACCAACAATTAGCATATCAAATAGCCTTGGTACGAGAGAACAAACTGCTGTAGACGGCGTCCACAACAGGCGCGGCGCTGATCATACGTCCGCCAAAATAACGCCCGTTCAGCCCCTTAATAGCGTTCTCGCCTCCCTGGACCTTGTCGAATTTAAGGAAAATGTCGCCGGGAGAATTCGGATCGACGGAAATATGGACTACATGACCATATTTCTGTTCGGCTTCCTGTCGAACGTCATCCTCCAGTTCCTTAATCCAGTCTTCACCTTCTTCTCTGTAGCTACTAGTCAGCATATGTATGAAACGGTCTTGAATAGAGAGAGCGTACTCAGCTGGATCAAACATGTTGTGAAGGACAACACAGCGACTCGCCATGTTGACATTCACCGGGAGAGGCTTAGTCTCCGTCTTGGGCTTGAGAATCTGTCTCTCATTATGGCTTCCGTTGGAAGCTTCATCGGTTCGGGCGAGCTTTCTCATTAGGGCATCGCGACTATAGTTGTTAAAATTGACTCCCGCAACATCAGTGTCATCCAGGGCGCTGGCCCCGGTAGCCTTGTCGTTGTCACGACCTCCCGCTCGGTCGAACCCAGAGGCTTGAGGTCCCCGCCCACCAGCACCGGAGAAAGCGGACCCCTGATATGGTTGGTTTTGACCCTGGAACCTCTGTAGGATATTGGCAGTTGATTCAGGGGTAAACTTATCGTTACCAAGACCAACACGAATTGGACGACCGGCAAGGTCGAATCCATTCATCTTCTCAAGCGCTTCACGAGCCTGGTCAGCCTCACGGAACCTAGGAGGCTCGAGTTAGTAACATGCACTGTTTGAAGTAATTATGGTAGAACATACTGTACAAAGCCATAGCCGCGGCTCCGACCGGTGTCATCTTTTTGAAGCTGGACGAATTCGAGCTCGCCGAAGGGTTCAAAGACGTTTTGTAAATCTTGTTCAGTAATACTAAAGTGGATATTGCCTACGTAAAGTCGATGGAAGGGGATCGAGTTGGCGTGAGAGCCAGAGCCTTCGGTGTTACGGACTTGGCGATTCTTCTCAGCCTCAGTAAGCTGGACAATAACCGGGATACCTAGGAGTTGGTGACCTGTGAGCTGAAGAGCAGCAGTTACGGATTCCTCGTTTTTAAATTCAACGTAGCCGACTCTAAAATGATTGTCAGTACTGTAATTTCAGATATAAACATGTGGATATCAGAACTGACCCTTTAGACCTGCCGCTAATGCGATCCTTGACAATTTGAGCCTCAGTAACTGGGCCAACTTTCTCAAAAAACTCCTTTAACTCCTTGGTACGAAGACGGGCAGCTAGCTGCTGGACGAATACGGTACGGCGATCGCGCTCGTCCTCGGTTAGTTGGGGGGTAGGATCACGCTTTGGTGTACGACCTCCTCTAGGTCTATCTTCATCCCTGCCTCGATGGTAGCTGCGGTCATCACGGTCGCGATGGTCGTCTCTTGGACGGTAGTGCCGACGAGGAGATCGCGAGCGAGAGCGGTCCCTGCCGCGTCCGCCGCTGCGGTAGTAATCTCCATCGCCTCCTCTGTGACGACGTGAGTGTCGACGGTCATCATCACGACTCCGACTTCTTCGCCTACTCTTATGGCTACCTGCATCACTGCGAGGTGTTGCTTCCCTATCATCACCCCGATCACGTCGTCCACGGTCGGTGCTACGATCGCGTCTTCGGCCAGCGCTGCGGTCGCGGTCTCTACGTTCGCTTCTATCAGATTTTACGCGGTCATCAGAGTCTTTAGGTCCGGCCTCCTTGGTATCATTCTTATTGCTAGCCGTGGCATCAAGCAAAGCCTCGACATCAAGGGTCGCCATCTTGAAGAAAACCTTTTGATAGGGTTAGAACGAGGCTAGAGTCTTAGGAGTCGGCAACTTCCTCTGGTACGATCCTCTGGTATGATTAGGATTGTTGATAGAGTAATAAAAAAATTTTGTAGGCAAGATAAAAGTTGAATAACTAAGTATGATGCAGTACTGTAAGAATATAATAACGAAATTACCTACTTACGACTTGCCGACGGTAGGTATGGTATGGATTGTATGGGTCCTAGGTGGACATCAGCTAAGTTTGCCAGTTTGGGACGTGAAAGACAAGAGGGGTGGCAGAAGAAGATGCCTGCAGAAAAAGCTGGACATGTCGGTGGTTCCGAGTAAAAATACCAGAACGGTGCCAAGGTACCTGTACCTAGGTACAGACTACCGTACAGTCCTACTTGAACTAAAATCTGTGTCCGTGCACCCGATTACTTAATGTGACGGCCTAGGTAGGTACCTATGATTCAGGGGCTTCCATGCCTATATAGAATATAGGTATGGTTTAATGTAATATATCGGATATATTGTATACTCGGTAGTTGGAAGTGCATGTCCAGGTCATAAAGGCCAACATTCAATGTTGTCACTGACACCACTAACGCACTATAACACGTCTTCTAAACAAGCCACAGACAAATCATCAAGACAAACTCAAATCATTAATTATTAGGTACGAATCGAGTGGGGACTAAAGCTGAACATTTCTCGTGTCATACTAGGTACCAAACGCCAAATTTGCCGACCTCATGCCTATATATCTCACCACCCCAAGTTCCGTTTTTTTCACATCATGTCCATTCAATACATATCGCCATGCCCATGTATCTAGAATGGGCCTTGTACGAAACAGCGGTCAGGATCTAGGATGTCTTAACCACGGTGACCAGCTCGGTACCGAACACCCGATCCCAGAATCGGCTGGTTACGCCGAAGCCCAGCTCGTAATCGAGGAAGTGATGGGCAAGGTGGTATTTCTTGAGGTCTTTGTACCAAAGGGGCAGATTTTGGTGGTGTAGGAAGTAGTGAGTCAGGTCGTAGCAAATGTATCCAAAGATACCACCGCAGTATACAGCTGTGGCAAGATGCCAATTCCAGAAGAATACCGCGTGTGCAAGTTTCCAGAAGGGCGTTGCAAGCACCACAAAGAGGGTAGGAGGCATCACTAGACGGTACTTGTCCATGGGAAGGTAGTGATGTACGCCATGAAGCAAAAAGTGCAGTGTGATTCCAACTCTGTTATCCGGTAGGTGACTAGAAAATTGGTTAGCAACAGCATTATGATAAATGGATGATAGAACATACTCATCAAGATGGAAAAGACATCTATGCATGATGTACTCTATCAGAGTCCACAAGAGCACACCACCGCCGAAGCTGGCAGCCAGCCCAGATACGCTGTCGAATCCTTGAGATGCTAAGTGAACACCGTAGGAAACCGCAGGAAGCCAGATCAAAGGAACAACCCACCAAGGGGTCAGACTGAGAGGCTCGAGGAAGTTTCCAAACAGAGGCGCGGAGGCGCCGCCTTTGTAGTGTCTTGGCCTATGAACTTGATCAAGGTAGAATTTCTTGCTAAAACCACCACGCCAAACTTGCATCAACAGAGGCTTGTTCAAGTCGAGGAACTTATGCTCCTTGTAGTCATTGTCTATGTCTGTTTCCTTGTTCAGGTCTTCTTCGCAGGACATGCCCGTTCGTGGGTGAACGTAGTTGTTGACCTTGCCATTGATTTGGGAATCGGCAACCTGCTTCTGTACATCTCCGTTTGGCGCGAGCCTATCCGTCACCAAAAAGGCGGTCTGATACTCTTCTAGGATTTCATATGCGGAATCTGAGTGCTTATGAGAAATTTCGTCTTTGAGAATCGCGGTAATATCTTTTCCGGCGTATTCAAGGATTAGGTCGGGACCACCGGGGTGGGATTCGACAAAGTCAGTCACATCGTAGACGTTGGTTCCAATTGTAACATAGCAAGATTTATTGCTGTTGTGCGACTCAACCTCAGCTTGAGTGAGGGTCGGGAGTGTTCGACCAGGCATTTTGCGGAGAAGTTTTTAACTGGTAATAAATAAATCTAAGGAGTGACGGATATTAAAGAATGAAGGAACCCGTAACTAAAAGAGACAAGTAAATCCCTACGTAGAAGGAAGACTTGTAAAGGGACGAAGAGAAGAACGAGATTATTCGAAAAAGAAAAGAGTTAAGAACAATTTAGGGGACTCGGATATAATAATATAAAGCATTAAAGATCTACAAAAATTTAGGGGGTCCAATCGCTTTTTTTGTTTTTTTTATTTTTTTTTTAGCTTTCGAATTTAGCGTCCAGAGGAAATGAGCTACGTCTGACCTAACCTGACCGAGTATTCCGCGGTCACTCTTGCAGTAAGTTGACAGCCTGACGGTGGCGTTATCGCCTATCACTTATCGTATGATATACCCTATTGTATAGTACGTTCCAGTGCCGTGGGATTTGCTATTTTCAGCTAGACTTTGAGTTTATTTTCCAATTCAAAACCCGATGTAATTTAAGTTACGGAATGGATGTAATTTTTTTTGTCCTATTGTGGAAAGTTGATGACAGTTCCTTGCTAGGACCTCACGTACCCTTACCCAAAATATTGGAACTGATTGGAGAGATATCTTAGGTACCTAGGTATGCATTTAAGACTCAGCAAGCCAAATCTTATTGATCAATTTAGGTACGTACATTGGTACTTCTCCTTGCTCCCACCGTGCCACCGAGACTCCGAATACTAATGCTCGGGTATCTTTCCACCCAAAGGTCCTACATCAGGTACCTCATGTGTGCTCTCCGCTCAATCCGAGAAAACTCCCCCATTTATATCCTATGCAATATATGTTACCTGGTATTCCACCTTTATTCTTGGTAATACATGTGCTAATGAACGCTATGCCATGCTGTATCATAATGCCATTGATCCAGACCACCCAACCGCCCAACCTATACCATGCAGTTTCGTTTTCGTATGGTACAATTCCTAGTCCCAAGCTCGACATGATGTTTATAAGAAAATATGCACAAGGTGATGAACGATCGCGGTTATAATATGAGCACTACCGTATATGCTCCAGGGATATTTAGTCCCAATTCCTGACCAAAGACTCCAAGCAAGAATGAGTGAAGATATAACCTGTGCCAGCCCCAAATTCGCCCACGATACAGCAAATAGTGGTGGCTGTTTTCCTTCCCGAAGCTGGAAATCGACCTGTAGATCAGCAGCCAGTCGAATCGAAATGATCAAACAGGCTATAATAGAAGTTAAAGCGAGGCTCATACCATAAGGTTCGTCCGTTTTCAAAGCCGAAACCCACGCGTAAAGGGCGCCCACAAGCACCAATAGCTCTGCGAAACGCGTCACACGGTGATTTTGTCGATCTGTTGTATTCTGAGCGCCCTGGCGAACACCGAAAACAGAGGCTGTACCCGCACGCCTAGGATTCCGATACCTCTGCTCATCTGGATCTGGACTAATGCTGAAAGAACTTGCAAACATCCTAGAGAGGTTATCTCGTGGATCATCTTTATCTTCCGGCGCAAAGAATTTTGGCTCAGCAAATTTAATATCTGATAAGCTGCCGTGACCCGAACCAATGTTTAGGGGTCCCCTAGCTGCACTTTGGAAGAAGTTCTCTTTTACCTCCTTCGGGCTTTCTCTAATAATCGGGCGCATAGGAGGATTGCGTAACTTCTGTGCGGGAGTAGTAGGAGCCGGGGGCACCTTGTACCAGATTGGGCCGGACTTTGCCTCGATGGGAGTATCGCTGAAGCGTGGGTTAGTGTTCTTCACCTTATACGGGTTGTACGAGCTGAACGCTCGGTGCTGTGAAGCGGATGGCGTCCAATCCATTTCTTCCTCGTAATGAACTCTCTGGGGTTCTGGTTTTCTAGTAATAACTGGGTCAGATAGACGCATAGAACTAAAAGACGAGTTGGGAAATAAGTTTTGCTGCGGTCTACGGAACGAGCTGTCGAAGGAACCGCCGAAGGAGCCGCCGAAGGGCTCATTATACGCGGTCGATTGATGAGCATCCGGACTTTGAGGAGAATGCGGCGCAGGCCCAACCTGTGATTGGGACATCTCGTCGAGTATACTTCCAAGATCATTTTGATTATTTGGCAGTTCTGGCACGACGGGTGGCCTTTGCGAGCTATTCACCTTCTGGCGAGGTCGAAAGAGAGGCGTTGTATCTGTATGAATAGACTTCCGCGACGCGTGATAAATCTATACATTATATTAGTGCAAGTCCATACGTTAGATTTCATCTGCGCTCACAAAGGTCATCAATAACGCTATGGCGAGCTGCGCGCCCAGTTGGGCCGGCACCTGTAATCTCTCCGAGGAACTATATTGGGCCATCGAGAGGCCGGCATATCGTACCAACAAGATAAGAAACTGGTACGTATACCAATGCTTAAATCCAAGATAATGCGCCGTGAAGCCCCGTATCGTCTGTTTGAAGCGCGGATTCCACGGCAGTGAACATAACGCAAGACTAATCGCCCACCGCATGAGCTGGTCTGGGCCAGGTAATAGATTGTTGACGTATTGATGTACACCTTTCAGAATCGTAGCCACCCGCGATTCTGTTCCGCTTAGAACGTACTGTCCTATGACGAGTGACCAAAGCATAGCAATATGCCATAGAAACTGTAATGCAAAGCCGAGCTTCCACGCCCATCTGCCTGCCCAGTCAACTGCGTCTAAAACACCTCGCTTCTTCACTTCTTGTCGGCTCGACCGCGTGCGATCCATCATTCGGCGCAGGTGGTCGGTTTGCGCCGTATAGCTTGCTTCGTGAAGCTTCTTCTCTACTTTGGGTTCGCAAAGGGCACACATCTGAGGGTACCTTTTTTCAAGGTCCCTTCGAAGGGCCCAATATCTCTTCTCTCTGGCAGCATATTCGGCGCTATTGTGGTCTTCCGGCCACTCAAATTGCGCAAGCGAGCTCGTGAGCATATGCTGGTTCCTTAAACACGTATTACAGAAGATGGAATCTTCAGAACTTATGCCATTTGGAGATAGTGATCGCGTTGGTGACCGGGGTACTGATGAGCGAGGAATCGCGAACTGAACTTGGGGGCGCTCGATGGATGATGACGTCGTAGGGGGGTCGGTAATACTTCCATACTACTATCTGGTTAGCACTGCGCGAGGAATATCAGGTATCTCATCCCGACATCAAGAATATGCTGTGCTCACTTCGTCTAACCAATTTGTCGCATCGCAGTATAAGCAGAGAAATGACTTCTGGCCTTCGAAGCGCAGTTTAGACTTTTTGCCACAATAGAAGCAACTCAGGAATTTCCTCGACCGTAAGGTCGCCATGTTTACCGAAACCACAATTAGTATCTGCACAAGGGAAAATGAATAATGAAAGGCAGACGTGTTGTTTTGGTTGTTTTGGTTGTGGATACTAAAAGGGTCGATGCGATGATTATGAGGAAGCCGAGGTGATGCATTGATCTTTTTTTTGGTCCTTTTTCGCGTTATAATGAATAATTGTCTGCCTGAGCGTGTTTTTGCCTAAGGGTTGCGACGCGATAAGGCGTTACCCCTGTTCCCAATAAAATTTCGATAACGGCAACTACCGTAGTAACGCGTTACTAGCAATGGTTTGCGTTGCGAGTGACGTAGTACGGAATACCAAAATAGATCTTATCTACACCTTGTGCCGATCCACAATTGGTGCTAATGTAAGGTACCCTGTACATCTTTCGAACACCTGTTCTACGAAATGAACTTGTACGGGAGACAACTTCAAGATCGCTCTAGCATTAAGAAGGAAGAAGATCGATTTCTGAGAACTACGATAGATATTCCAAGAAGGGAATAGCAACTGGTCAGCTTCTCTTTTCTAGCGAACTACAGTAGCTGTAGTGGCTTAGTAGGTAGGTAGGTACTTACATACATAGCTACCTAAGGTAGTGATTTCCTTGTCACATTCCGCCGGAGGAAGTTGCGATCCTGCAGCCGGGCGGCGGGCGGTATCCCAGCTGCCACGTGCATGGCTGTTTCTACAATTACTGCCTCCGATAGCTCACGCCGTTCCTAACAAAGGACCCTTAAAATAGGTAGCCACCAAAAAACAAATACGACCTTATTAACCTCTCTTTAAGCCGCCGGCAACACAGGCGTAAATTCTATTAAATCTATTAAATCTATTCTATTTTTCGCGGCGATCTCATTCCCGGAGACGCAAAAGACTATTATATCTCCGGGATAATATTGCATCGCCGCATAAACAAGCTTTGTCTGACGGATCACGTAAGTTCAGAAAGCCATGAATCAATATCAACACCCCAGAATCGTCTGTCCTTCATATCATATTTCTTTATTAAATACTTTCACTAACAAGCCGTCTTAGGATTTTTAAAAACCAACATCGACTCATCGTCTGTTTAAGTAAACTTATTACAAAATCATCAAAACAGGAGTGCAAAATCTCACGATAAGATCCTAACGGGCTCTTCTCGGCATAAAAGTCTTATATTATATTATCCTCAAGGCTCTTAGTAGGTATTTACTCTGTTCTCGGGAGGTTAAGTTAAGCCCGGCAGATACATTATTAACCCAACGTCATTACTACTCCGGTAGAAGTCCGTATAGTGCTCCATCCAAGACTTGCGTCATTGGACGTGCTTGTAGCTACAGCTACAACCATCAAAGAACGCGTCGTTGTCGTTGAGAACCCTTCCTGGATTCCTTCTCATCGTGAGCATTGCCAGCAGCAGCAGCAGCACGGTATGGCATCCGAGGCAACAGGCAACCCTCCTGGTGTGGGAGGTGTTTCCTCCACAAACACTCCCACCAACCCTACTAATTCTCTATTTAATAACAACCACAAAAATTTAAATCCTCTACACACTCCTTCCCCAACAGTCGAAGAACCTCCTCTACCCACATTTGATGGTACTGCCAGCCCATCAAACACCAAAACATCTTCTTCATTAAATAAAGAGCACTGGCAGTGCATCGTCAACATGGAGGCTCTCCATAGCGACGTATTGGCCGCACCGGTCCGCGGTGCCTTCGACTTTATCCGCTCCATCGTGCGAATTCTTGCGCATGTCCTCTCTTACGGTTTCACCCGCGCTTACTGCGGAGCTTTCGCCGTCCTCTCCATGGTTTCTCTCAAGGTTGTCATGGTGTTTCTTCTCGTATCAATCGTGACCTTGGTCTTCTTCGTCATCCCGGTAAATACCAACCCCAACTGTTAATTTTTTATTTTTATTTTTTTCCTTTCAACTTGCTAACGTAGAAACAGCGCCGCCACCGCACCATCGTCTCCCATCGCAAGCTCCCCAAGAAACTCTGGCCGCGCAAGGAGTCCAACGAGACGCCGTTCTACGTCATCCTCGTCTGCGGCTCCGGCGGCCACACCGCCGAGATGATCAAGATGGTTCAGCGCAGCATCAAATCGGAGGGCCCCAACTCGCACCGCCGCTGGGCCATCGGATACGGCGACGAGGTGAGCTACAAGAAGGTTATGGACTTTGAGCGCTACCTCCACGCCCGCTTCAACGCGTACAACCTGCACGCCGGCACGTGCGACATCGGCTTCTTCCGCCGCAGCCGCGCCGTGCACCAGAGCTGGTGGACGACCGTTTTCAGCGTGGTCGACTCTGTTAGCGACGCCTACGACATCATCCTGGACCGCCCCCTCAACAACCCGGCCATCCCCGAGGGTACGTTGCCCGGCGTGGTCGTGACCGACGGCCCCGGCACCGGCTTCGTGTTCATGCTGTGCGCCTACCTCATGAAACTCCTCGCCATCGTCCCCGTCGACTCCGTGAAGTGCGTCTTCGTCGAGAGCTGGGCTCGGGTTAACTCCCTGAGCTTCTCTGGCAAGTTGGTCGAGTTCTTGCAGTTGTCCGATGTGTTTATTGTGCAGCATCCACCGCTCCGCGAACGTTACCCCCGCCAGACCTACGTCAGCAACATGGTCGTGATGCCGACTATTCCTAGTGTCCCCTTGGAGTAGTTGGAGCCTTGCAGCTTTATACGGTATGTCACCTCGTCGCTTCGGTATATTGGTAACTATTCCCCTTGCTAACTAGTCCAATTACCCAGTTGCACGTCGATAATTGAAAATCACATCAAGCCTGGGTTTTTCTGGTTGCTGCAGCATGGTTGAATACATTTCTTTTATTCAAACCAAACTGTGTTATGGTAGTTTGAAGTATCTACGGAGATGAAAGGATGGATTGCATTTCGTTGCATTGAGCAGGGAAGAAATTTGAAAAGGAGGGAAGATCAAGTTAATGTCAATCGAGGTCCGATACCACTGTATGCAAGCTTCAGATAGGAGAAGGGCACGATCCATGATGGCATTTTCATGCCAATTTAGGAGTGCCAATAATTACGAATGAACGTATTAGGACTCGCAATTCGATTTCTGGTAGTTTCCTCGTATATCGCGTGTTTAACAGACCGTAGTGGTTTTAGCCATTTCCCTCAAGTTCTCACCCTATCCAACTAGGATATCTAACATATACGTCAGGATTCTAGACAACACGACTAGAAAAAAGGACACTTTTGAGATGGATATCCGTGGACTTCCATAGTCATCTATCGTAGCGGTTCGACGAAGCTATTTTACGGTGTTTAGTTACATTTACGCGGGTATTTGCCTCTCTGAGTTTATGAATAGCTTTCCATATTGACGTACGTTATATCTGTGATGAAGACCTCTGAAGTGTGACGAGTCGACTTGGCACTTACATATAAGTGGTAATAGCTACTTGCATGTAGTAGTAGCCGCCAATCATGATGGGATAATCTTCTAATATCAATCTGGCGTCTAGCCAGAGATCTTCATTAAATCAGGTAGCTATCCTAGCGTTAATAATAATGACCTATTTCTAACTCTATACCGTACTCCCTATCCTTCTAGTCTGCGATCATAACATAATACCTCATTTCACTCTGGGATCAAGGCATCCTGAAAGGAAGTCTACGATGCAACCGCATACTCAACTCGATGAAGTCCTTCTCATTATCCGCCGTAATAATCCCATGTCTAATAAAGAAATCAATAAGCACGGCCGCCGAATCAGGCTTGAACTCCCTGTTTAGCAGATGCTTCTGCACTTCCTCAACAGTCATGCAGTAGAACGTATCAACCTCGTCGTCATTCGGTTTGGGGACGACATCGCTCGGAAGCTCCAGATCGTGCACGTACAAGACGTCCGGGATGATAAGACCCTTTTCTCCGGGGAAGTCCGGCCCGGTGGCGGTGATATACGTCAGGACGCCGACGGAGCGCACGCGCGAGCGCACCAGCGCTTCGGGCAGAGAGGCCTCCTCGTCGGCTTCGTGGATCACGGTGTCTATAGGACGGGAGCCGGCTTTGACGCCGCCTGCTACGGTTATGTCTAACATCCCGGGACTCGTGTATAAGTGAGCCGCGCGACGGGCGATCCAGAGCTTCAACGTCCCGTCTGCTGTCTTGGTATACGCCGTGGTACATGCGCCTCGACTGATAATTCCAAACAGCGCGGAGGCGAAGCGCTCCATGTGAACGGGGTACTTCGCGCTCACAATGGCAAACGGTTCGCTATGCTTACCATCTAAAATATGGAAGAGGTTCCGCTCAACGCAGATATTGATTAGTTCTGAGAAAGCAGTGTTCACTGCGCCAGCTCTGTCTTCACCCCCGGAAGAGTCCAGCACTGTGACGGTCCGTGGCGCATTGTGATTGACATGAAATTGAGAAGTCCATGGTATCTTTTGGACGATCTCTGGAAGTAGATACCCGTGCGGTTGATCGTCGTTGGGGAGCAACAACAGGTAGTATGTGTCCGAGGGTACGATATCATATGGGAAACTTCTATATCATCAGATATAGTACGATTTACTATTGCTGTGTTACTCACTTGTCACAGGATTGGAGTAGTGAGAGGTATGTCCTCCCGTTTGCCTCATTAGAAGTCATTGCTCCTTATATTTCTGGTTTGGTTTTATCTTGGCTCGTGGGATGTATGATTTATGGTCAAATCCTTGTTAATAATGTATATTAATTCACTGGACTCCTTAAGGTAGGGAGGGTTCCTATTAGATTAGGAGTTACCTCAAGTAATTATTTTGTTACAAAAAGTGACTTACAATAGAGTAATGGTGTAACGTAAATTATGTATCAGAGAATAACCCTGCAGGTACGGTACCGCCCGAGGTTGATGGAGCTGGAGTACCTAAGCGAACGTCTTTGCGCCTAGGTAGCCGACCTAAGCGGTATGCAAGTACCCGCACCCCCTTGTATCAGATCATCGTCCAATCTATTATACTTTGTGGCACTGTCACCCATGGGGTTTCATCTTTCTTTTAAGTACCTTAGGTAAGTACATATAAGGTAGGTAGGTACCATACATAAGGCAGGTAGGTATGAGGTAGGTATATCGTCTGATATTCATCAGCAACTTCCTTCTCTCATTTTTTTTCTTTTCTTTTTTTTTCAATTTCGATTTCAACTCTTTTCTTTTCGTTCCTTTTACTCTGTACAATAATAATAATAATTACCTAAAGCAAATACAACTACAAACCTAATATTTCATCAAGATGCCGTCGTCAAAGGCAATGCTGGCTACGGCCCTCGCCAAGGCAAATACCGCCGTTCAACTCGATAATACTCAAGCTTACACCTTTGCCCAAAAATACTATGAAGAAGCATGCGCCCTTCTGACGCAACTTATCGGCAGAGCGTCGAACGCAGAAGACCGATTGAGGATTGAAGCAATTGTAAGTCCCAACCCGATCACAAATCCATGGCATCATGTACTAATAATACACTTGCTGTAGAGGGAAACCTACCTGATCCGGATCGAGCAGTTGAAGGAGTTGATACCCGAGGAGTCGTAGTTAAAAAAAAAGAAAAAAAAAAAAAAGAAAGATACCCATCGTCAATTCTGGCGCGCGTCATTTGTGGAGGATTATAGGACTTTGTAATACAATTACCCCCATTCACTGGCTCCGAGAGTCGTGAAGTCGACTGAGGAGGGCTTGGCGGTACAATAATACACTTAATAATTCAGGTCTTTTGCCTAGACTTGTTTCTGTTCTATAACAACCTCCTCTGGTTGTTCTGCAATCGTATCCATATCAACATCATCTGGATTAGTCTCCTCGCCGTAATGTGTGTAAGCCGAATCACGCTCTGCCCGGACTTCCTCGATCTGTTTGCCAGCCCACTTCTTCCATTCCTCGTACTGCTTGTCTTCTAGATCCATACCTATTTGCAGGAATGACTTGCCGAAATATGCGCCCACCATCTGAGCCTCTTCCTTGGCTATTCTGCGCTCGACCTCCTCTTGTTGTCGCAATGCGTAAAACTCCTTCCTCGCCGCGTCATACGCCTGCTCTTTTGTTATGCCCGGTACGTTGTACATCATCCAGAGCTGACGTTGAACAACACTGTAAAAGATGTTAACATATTCTATTCCGAACATGTATGCGCAAGTCCATGTACGCTTACCATTCGCCGCACAAGGGCATCCCCGCTTGTATTAATCCTTTAGACCAATCGTATCTCTGCGCATCTTTCCCATCCATCTCGATTATCATCCTCGGCCTCGCTAGCTCCCATGGGTGGTCTTTGTAAAATGTTCTTCGTAGCTCGTCCTCTTCATACACTAGTTCTTGGGGTTGAAATAATCTACTCGGCCTTCGCGCCTTGGGATTCGGTACCTTGTGCTGAGGTGGGAGTGGCCTCGTGAGCGTTTCGGATGGAGGTATCGACTCAACCACTTTATACCATACCGGTTCCTGGACTTTAAAATTCGGATAGATTCGGTGGTTTAGCAACGTTGTGACTGTCTGGTACACCCTACCAGGCAGCTTTTGCCTTTGACCACCCATGGCGCGTTACCCGGAAGCCAAACCCCAAAAACCTTTATCCTCCCTTGTACTGTACTGTATAGGAGAGGTCGAGACTCGAACAATTGGTTCTGCGCCGAGAGTGTAGGACGGTTGGATCCAATTGTTCAGAGATACTTGAACAATTCAAGGTTTAGAAAATTGGTTCAAAAGTCGCATAATCGAGTTGCTAAGGTAAGGTTAGGTGGACCAAGATTGGCGGGGATAATCGATTTTCCTAGATGTGATCTGTAGGTAATTTCGTTTGTACATGTACGAATCCATGCTGTTGTTCAAAAGATCCGCTCTTGTACCTCTTAGCCAGTGCATCACGTTAAAAAAGCAAGACGGAGGCTTTAGAGGTACCTGCTAGCGTCATTTAAATTGCTCTTAAATTAGGTAAGGTACTCAGCTTGATTCGCTGTGGGAAGTTACATGTAGGTACTAGGTACCTATCTTAGGTAGGTAGAAACCCTGTACTTCTTATCAGTTGCATTTTTATTTTAATGCTTGCGATAACGCGACCCCAAACCGACAAGTTCCGCCATCATTTGTTAGAGGAAAAGTTATATCACAAAAATTTCTCGAATTCTCTACGTCACCCGCCAAAACCCCATGTCTTTAAATCCATAGGGTCCCATAGAGAAGCTGTGATGACCGGACCAACATGCGGGACAGCTCATGAGAATCTCTACTCGAATTGACGGGTCGATTTACGGCGCGGTACTTTCCTGTCGACCCTCGCCAGGCTTAAGCTCAGTGCCCTCGTTGTATACCACGAATACCACGAATATAGGCGATGGGCATAGCTGCGAGGGCTTACTTACTGTCTCCAGCCGCCCTTCCTTGGCACGGTCTAGGAATAAACTTCAAATATATTCCTGTACACTTATCTCTACAAGACATCTCAGCTCGACAATAGCAACATTAAGTCATCGGCCTTTAAGTCCCGGCTTCTTCAACTGGAATTTCCAGTGTGATCGCAAATGGAACCATGCTGCCACGAACACGGCTGACGCAGCTATCCCACCACGGGAAGATAAGCCGAGACATGAGCTACTTGAAATTGTTGACCAATACGACAATACTTCTGTGAATGATCATCTCGAGTTCCTGAGGGATCCTTACTTCCGGAGATATGCTCCCGCCAATGGCCCAAATCTCACCGTCTCAGACAAAATTGAAGATGTTGAGCTGCAATCTGTCAACCTCCAGCAGAGACTAAGTCCCGAACTATCGGAAGCTGTTCAGAAATTACAAGAGATAGTACTTCTCAAGCTTAGGCGCCCGGCAACGACAGACTTGGATGAGGTATATGATCGATATTTGGCACTTCCAGAACCCCGTACGTCATATATTACGGCTCGTTTGAGGCATCAGCTGCTTGCAGTCCTTGGAATGACTGAAAAGAAAGATTCCAAGTCTATGTTGCGCTACTTTTCTGTGGTAACCGATGTAAAGAACAGCGGTTTCCCCCTGACCCTATTTGAATGGAACACGGCCATATCATTTGCCAGTCGATACGTTGGAAGATCAACAGAGGTAGAAGTGGAGGCTGCACTCCAGCTCTGGCGGGAGATGGAGCAGGTCGCAGGCATTCGTGCCTCTGAAGTAACTTTCAATATCCTCTTTGACGTTGCATCGAAAGCTGGTAAATTTGATCTTGCCGAGATGATATACCAGGAGATGGTAACACGGGGTTTTCAATTCAACCGATATCACCATGTCAGTCTGATCCACTACTTCGGTCTTAAGCGGGACACTAGTGGGATGAGAGCAGCATATAAAGAGATGGTGGAGTCGGGCGAAGTCATTGATTCCGTTGTGCTTAACAGTGTTATATCTGGGTTTCTAGCATCTGGGGAGGAACCGTCTGCCGAGAGGGTTTACGAGAAAATGAAACTTTCAGCCCGAGGGTCCAGGCCAATGCCAGATCGTAACTACTCGATGCAGAAGAACATCACTAAAATACTCATGATGTTTGCGAGGGTAGCGAAAAAGCATCCCGACATGCGTCCAAACTTCCAGAAAACCGCCCTGATCTCTCCAGACCTGCAAACCTATCGCCTCCTTATCAACCACTATGGCCCGAGATTGGGCGATCTCTCTAAAGTCGCACAATTTCTCGATGAGATGCAAGTATTTGAAGTGCAATTGCATGGTGCTATCTTCCTCGCGCTTTTCAAAGCCTTTGGCAGGCATGGGTGTGGGGGGTCAGACTGGTCGGCAGCGAGGTTAGTCAGTGTATTCAAAGCCTTCTTGGACGCCCTCGATTCTGGGACTGAGGGGTTTTACATCAGTACTTGGATGGCCATGGCTGTGCTGAGGGCCTTCGCAAAATATTCAACTCGTGACCAGATGTTGGACGTATACGAGGAGTTAAGGTCTAGATGGGACTTGGACACTGCAAATTCTCAGTTCATGATAGACTACCTGCAAAGGATTATGCAACAAGACAATTTCCTTTGGCAACGTAGAATCGAGTTACCATAAGAAGGGGAATAAAAATATGGATATAAATAGAGGTAAAATAATGCAAAGGAGCAATGACTACGGACGAATGATACCAATCATATGTACATATCACGGGGGTAAATAGACTTGCCTGTACATGTTAGAATATTACAATGAAAATATATTAACGAATTAAAGAGGGAAACTGCTACCTCACACTATAATAGGTAGTATGAAATATCGGTGATATGTGACTTTGAATGAGCAAATACCTAGTTAGGAGGTAGGTACCTAACCTTAGGTGATGAATCAAGTTTGACTTATAACTAAATTTGCTTACTTGTGTTTTGATGATGGTATCCTCTCTTATGTTCGTGCAATTCTAAGACCAAGTGACAATACTACGATTTCATGTAACCATTAAAAAACAGGGATTCGAACGTACTCAATTAGTTTTACCATTCAGTATCATCAACATTCACGAGAACAGAAAACAAATTAGAGTATGTTCGACGATGACCTTTATGTCTATTGTCATGTATGTATATGTACAGCTTGCATTGTTTGTGTTTCTTGCCGTCCCCGCCTAGTCAACACCTCATCTCGACCTGCCTCACTGAACTTGGTTCATGCTCAACCAATGGCTATAACTTAAGCCTTGGGCTTCTTGGTTTGCCACACTATATAGAGCGAACGTTAGCTTATGACGTATATTCATTACCTGGAACCCGGCTCGCTCTCTCGAGCAACGGGACGAAAGGGAAATCACGCACCGGCAATGCCGAAGGGGAGGAAGAAGCCGGTGAACATGTAGGCCCAGTATCGGAAAGCGAAGAATCGAGTCTTGGGGTTGAAGGGCAAGTTGGAATAGGGGCCCTCGGGGTAGTGGTACGGGGAGGAGAGACGGGCGCGGGTGGCGTGGAAGGCCCGGCGGCTGATCATGGAGGTGATGCGCGGGGCAGCGCGAACGGCGGGTTGGGCGACCATCTGGGTGTATCAATTAGCATCCTGGAACACTGTCTGTGAGAATAGGAGACTTCAAATTACCTTGAATATAGAGATTACGTCGATGTTGAGGAGTGGAGAGAACAATGCTTCTTTTTCTGTACTACAGAGAGCTTCGGTGCTTTTGACTTTAAAAGTTGGAATGATCGAATGATGAGTAGGTACCTACCTAGGTAGCTAGGTACCTAACGGCCCTGGCCCGAAGTACGGTTAATCTTCGGCTCGTATAGGAATAGTACCCGCCACAAATTACCTAAGCTTACCGCCAGCTGCAGTGGAAGGTCCAAGCTTCAAATAAGGTCCCAGATGTTCTTGTTCCCCCACTTGACCGCCTGCTTCTTTCTCTTTTTCATTCCCGCTGTCCCACTCCCTGCTTGATTTTTCTGCCAGGACCCATTTTTTTTCTGCTGTTGCCATCTCCAGAAAAGTTCGCGTTCTCTTTTACACAACTACCCATCAACTCTTCACAATTTGGGACGCCATTTAATTCCAATATCAGTTGGAGGCGCAAGGACTCTTAGTTTCGCTAGAAATTCTAGCACACTGTAACTTGTCTTTTTTCCAATTCTCACCATCAATTACATCATCGTTGAGCCACGACCTAGCATTTCGTTTCACGATGGACGACGAGCTCTTCAACGTTTTCGAGGACAAGCCTGACAAGGTCAAATCGGAACCTCAAACTTCCCCGGCTGCAAGACCACCTAAATCTAAGAAAAAGAGCAAGAAGCGGAAGGCTGATGGAGGCATGAAAAATGGAAATGCTACTGTCGCATCTGCACCTTCTGTGCCTGAAGTTGATATGGCCGACGTTGCGCCTACTTCCCCAGAGGATGACGATGCTGAAGATGCGACATCTGAGAACCACGGAGACAGCAAGCGAAGACGCAAGAACGACGTCGCCGAACCTGTATTAACAGATACGTTCGAGACGGCAGAATCAAGAGAAGTCGCGGCAGCAGCTGGATTTGCCCCAACTAAAGAAGAGGCATCGCTAGTTCTATCGCACAACATCCAACATCAAGTCGCACTTCCCCCGGATCTCGATTATGAGTACGTTCCACTGTCTGAACACAAGCCACCCGAGAACCCTGCACGAACCTGGCCATTCACGCTCGATCCCTTCCAGCGCCTCTCGATCTCCTCTATTGAACGAGATGAGAGTGTCCTAGTGTCGGCGCATACGAGTGCCGGAAAGACCGTTGTAGCCGAATATGCCATTGCGCACTGTCTCAAGCAGAACCAGCGAGTCATCTACACGAGTCCCATCAAGGCGTTGAGTAACCAGAAATACCGAGAATTCAACGAGGCTTTCGGTGACGTTGGTCTCATGACCGGTGATGTTACCATCAATCCTACTGCTAGTTGTCTTGTTATGACAACCGAAATTTTGCGGTCTATGCTGTACCGAGGTTCCGAGATAATGCGAGAAGTTGCTTGGGTCGTCTTCGACGAGATCCACTACATGCGAGATAAGTCGCGTGGTGTAGTATGGGAAGAGACCATCATTCTACTTCCCGATAAGGTCCGATATGTCTTCTTATCTGCTACTATTCCCAATGCTTTCCAATTCGCCGAGTGGATTGCGAAGATCCACCGACAAGCTTGCCATGTCGTCTATACCGATTTCAGACCGACACCTCTGCAGAACTACTTCTTCCCGGCTGGCGGATCAGGCATATTCCTAGTCGTGGACGAGAAGGGAGTGTTCCGAGAGCATAATTTCAACAAGACCATGCAGCTAATAGAGGATCGCAAGGCTGCTGAGGCTAATGATCCCGACGGTAAACAGAAGGGCAAAGGAAAGCATAAGAAGAATTTCAAGGGCAACAACTCTGATAGTCAAGCTGATATTCAGAAGATTGTGAAGATGATCATGAACAAGAATTTCAATCCCGTCATTGTTTTTAACTTCAGCAAGAGGGAGTGTGAAATGATGGCCTTGACAACTTCGAAATTTGCATTCAACGACGATAGCGAGAAGGCCATGGTACGGAAGGTGTTTGTGAGCGCCATCGAGTCCTTATCTGAGGAAGATCGCGAACTCCCGCAAATTCAAAACATTCTCCCCCTCTTGGAGAAGGGAATCGGCGTCCATCATTCCGGTCTCCTGCCCATCCTGAAGGAAACCATCGAAATTCTCTTCCAGGAGGGTTTAATCAAGGTTCTATTCGCGACGGAGACTTTCTCTATCGGCTTGAACATGCCTGCAAAGACAGTCGTTTTCACCAAAGTCACGAAGTGGGATGGTGTTTCTACACGACCCCTAACTCCATCTGAGTATATCCAAATGTCTGGGCGTGCAGGTCGTAGAGGTCTTGATGAGCGTGGTATTGTCATCATGATGATTGACGACAAGATGGAGCCGGAAACCGCCAAGAACATCGTCGTTGGTCAGCAGGATCGACTCAATTCAGCCTTCTACTTAGGTTACAATATGGTTTTGAACTTACTCAGAATCGATGCAATTAACCCCGAGTTCATGCTGGAAAACTGTTTCTTCCAGTTCCAGAATACTGCGAGTGTCGCTGGTCTCGAGCAGGAGTTGATGAAGCTTCAGAAAGCGCGAGACGAAATGGTTATCCCAGATGAGGCCACCGTCAAGGACTACTACGGCCTGCGACAGCAGATTACCCAGTATACCAAAGACATGCTAGCTGTCATTCAGCATCCCAATTATTGTCTCGAGTATCTCCAACCAGGAAGGCTTGTGCAAATTGCCAACCCAAAGACGGGTAAGGATTTTGGTTGGGGTGTTGTTGTCAACGCCACGAAGCGCAAGGACCCGAAATTTGGCGAGAAGGAATACCCTCCCCAAGAATCGTATTTCATAGATGTCTTCCTTCGCCTCGACCCAAATTGCGATCCCTTTGGACCTGCTAATCCTTCGGTGGAGATGCCGGAAGGTGCTCGAGCCAGTGATCCCAACCAAGACAGCATCTTCGAGGTCGTACCCTGCATGCTCACATGTATTAAAGCACTGAGTCAGATAAGAGTGTTCATGCCTAAGGATGTGACTAGCCGGGAGGATATTGAAGGAGTGCGTAAGCAAACGCTCAAGGCTCTTAAAGAGGTCGAGCGACGGTTCCCCGATGGATTACCCATCTTGGACCCTATTGAGAACATGAATATCACCGACGACTCGTTCAAGAAACTTCTTCGCAAGATTGAGGTTTTGGAGTCACGATTACTAGCTAACCCACTTCACGGTTCGCCTATGTTACCAGGCTTGTGGGAACAGTACTCGGCAAAGATTGCCCGCAATGAAGAGATCAAGGCTCTCAAGAAGAAGATTGGCAAAGCCCATTCTATCGCGCAGCTAGACGAACTCAAGTCAAGAAAAAGAGTTTTACGGCGTCTCGGCTTCATCAACGAATCCGAAGTGGTTCAGATGAAGGCTCGGGTTGCTTGTGAGATATCCTCAACGGAAGGTCATGAGTTACTATTGTCTGAGCTACTATTTAACCGGTTCTTCAACGAACTTTCTCCTGAGCTATGCGCCGCTATTCTAAGCGTATTCATCTTTGAGGAGAAGGTAGAAGCACAAGCTCTACCTGACGAGTTGATGAAGCCGTATTCGCAAGTACAGGCTCAGGCGCGAATCATTGCCAAAGTCAGCCAAGAGAGCAAGCTGGAAGTGAACGAAGAGGAATATGCCCAAAGTTTGAAGTGGCAACTCATGGAGACTGTATATGCCTGGGCAAATGGAAAATCATTTGCCGAAGTCTGGTAAGCGGAATTGATAGTACGATCTATTTTGTAAAATTAACAAACATCTTAGCAAAATGACCAACGCCTACGAGGGTTCCTTAATTCGACTCTTCCGACGACTCGAAGAGCTCCTACGCCAGATGGCGCAAGCAGGAAAGGTTATGGGTAGTGAAGAGCTAACAACCAAGTTCGAGGAGAGTTTAGCGAAGATCCGCCGCGACATCGTGGCCGCCCAATCTCTTTACTTATAAGACGATTTTTCCAACGAGTTCCGTGTTCGATGATTTTCTTGGACGCATACCTATCATATAAAGGTAAGTGGATGGATGAGGATTCATAGTCAGATTCGGAGCCTACGATTATGATTTATGGAGTTTTGGGGAGGGGATACCACTTGTTTCAAGATCGATGAGAGAGACTGGACCTAATAGGGTTTCATTGCGTTTCTTTCGAGGCGTAACCACCTCTTGAGATCTTAGATTCTTTAGTGTGTGCTTAGATAGTGAATGGGGGCATCGCCATCGTTGGCGATGCCCAACCCGCTTGATTGTCTTCCGGTCTTTTGCCAACGTGATGCAACACAGATGGATCCGTGTATAAGGTTGTCATATCATAATTTGTAGAAAACGCCCTGCCATGATACTGCCAATGTAACGCCATTTGAATGTATGCTTGTATGCTGTTCCATCCCCACTCGTGGCACAATACCTAGTTTCGTATCGACTTTTTTGGATAATTATCTCTCCCCAGAAATGCTCCTGATGATCCCTATCAAAACACTAAACATGACACCCACGCCGACCATAAATCTCCACCGCCCACTCGCCATGCCTTCCTCCCGCACCAGCCACCCCGCGCTTCCCAGCGGCCACATGAAACCGGTCATGACGCCGCGGATCATGACGTCGACCAGAGCTACTAGTCCGACCTCATCGCTATCCGTCCCGTTACTTAACCCGCCCATTCCGCCTCCTCCTCCGCTATTGCCCCCTCCAAGCGCGCCCGTAGACGGCATCGAAGCGCCGTTGTCGTCGATCCACGCGTCCTCCATCCGCCGAAAGCTATCCGGCGACGGCAGCGTGTCCGGCGTGAAGCGCGACGCGTGGATGCTGCGGAACTGCAGCCGCAGCTGGTTCACCTCCGCGGCGGTGAAGCCCGCCGATAGCAGGCGGTCGAACCCCCGGGGCGCCGCGGACGTGCTGGGGAGGGGGGTGTCGGGCGGCGGGACCGGGGAACGCGACCGAGGACTGGAGGCGCTTTGCGACGGGGCCGGGGGAGGAGGGGCGGCGGCGGCGGCGGCTTCGGCTTCGAGCTCCGCGGTCGTCAGGCTGTCGCCGATCGAGCAGTTGACGTAGATGCGCTGCGGGGGCTCGGGGCGCCCGGGGACGGATTTGCCTTTTTCTCTTTCCCTGCCGTTTCCAATCCCACCTGCACCACCACCCCTTGCATCTCTGCTGCCGTAGTCGGCTGCGCCGCGGGGTGGCGGAGGGGGCAACGGCGGGGCGCGCAGGACGGCGCTCAGGACGGCGTTGTCGGGCAGGATCTTGCCGCCGTGGATGAAGCGCAGGCGGCGCTGGGAGTTGGGCTCCTCGAGGCGCTGGCGGATGAGGTGCTTGAGGGAGACGACGGTGGTGAGGGAGGGCCGCGGGATGTCGAGCTCGAGATCCGGGATGGAGGCGCTGAAGCGGATGGTTAGGAGGAGGGGGGGCGGTGATGGCGCGGAGGGAGATGAGGAGGGGGGGGGGTTGAGGGTTGATGGTGGTGGTGGTGGTGGTGGTGAGGTTGCCATTTTCTTTTCTCAGGGTAGTTAGAGGTGGGAAATCATTATGATTTATATATATTAGCTAGGTGGGTAAGTAAGATATCTAAGTTTATTTATTATCGTCCGGCAGGTTAATAAGTTGGGTATGGTCGGGTTGATATCATATCAGCCCTACCGGTTGAGCCGCATGAGCCTAACTAATAGAAACTGCACAACGAAATTCGAGTCCTGTCTGTTGGCGTGGTTCCATGTTTCCAAAATTAGTGGTATGGTCCCACTATTTCAGATTTCCCCAAGCAAAGATGTAGCCACATGTTTAGCCACAAGAAATAGTATTATGTTATGTTATGTTATGTCGGGTACCTATTGTACAATACCTAGATGCACGTTATGTACCCCGTGGGCGCTAAAGTTGAAAGTCCGCGGCGCAGAAATGACGTGACGGCCTTAGCTGCATCTATCCAAATGAATTTGGAGTTTGTTGCTCAGTTCCAATTACAGGACGCCGATTACGGAACAGTCCATTGTGAGGGTCTTTTAAGGGAAGGAATATACCTACCTAGGTACCTAAGGTAATTAATAAAAAAAAAAAAAAAAAAAGAAGACAAAAAAAAGACAAAAAAGTATATTAGGGGAAACCCTATTTTATTTCATTCTTTCTAACTTGTTAAATACTACTTCTACTACTACTAGTAATACTACTAGCCAGGTTGGTTGACAAACCATAGTGGATTTGGAACCTTTTAATGCATTAAGTGAGAGAGATAATACGATATTACCTAGGTACACACAAAGTGCAGGTTTGCCTACATGCATTGTTTCTTCCGCTTAAGGTCTTGTCCCAGAATATCTTACTCTAAGACACCCTACAGAGCGTTTCATTCAACAGCAATGTCAGTACAACTCCCACCCAAGCTTAAGCCTGCCGCGAGGGTTGCAGGCCAAAAACAGGATGTCTGGTCTATCGTCAACGAAGCCGCCGCTGCTTCCCCAAAGCAACCTATTGTCAATATGGGACAGGGATTCTTCGGCTACAACCCTCCACCATTCATCATCGATGCCGCCAAGTCGGCTTTGGATCGTGTGGACTGTAACCAATACAGTCCTACGAAGGGCAGGCCGCGACTAAAGAAGGCTATCGCAGATGCCTACGAACCCTTCTGGGGACGGAAACTCAACCCGGAGACTGAGATCACTATCACCACTGGCGCAAACGAGGGTATGCTGAGTGCCTTCATGGCTTTCATCGAACCTGGCGATGAGGTCATTATTTTTGAGCCTTTCTTTGACCAGTGAGTTGGTTCTCCTATAGCACGATGGCCGGTTTTATTAACTATGACTTAGATACATCAGCAACATCGAGATGCCTGGTGGAAAGATCGTTTACGTCCCTATGCACCCGCCGAAAGATGGAGCCACACGCACTTCATCGTCTGCTGAGTGGGTTATCGACTTTGAGGAACTCGAGAAGGCTATTACGCCCAAGACGAAAATGATCGTTATCAACACACCTCGTTAGTATTTCATCCCCCCCTAAGATTACCAATGTGAGAGATAAGCGCATAAACTAATTGCTACCTCAGATAACCCTGTCGGCAAAGTCTTCTCCAAGGAGGAACTCCAGAGGATAGGAGACCTCTGCGTCAAGAATGAGATCATCATCCTTTCCGACGAGGTGTACGACCGTCTCTACTACGTACCCTTCACAAGGATCGCGACTCTTTCACCTGAAATCGAGAGATTAACTCTGACTGTTGGCTCGGCTGGTAAAAATTTCTACGCTACCGGTTGGCGTGTGGGTATGATATAAGCCTTACCTTCATTTACATCCCATTTACTAACGAGAAAACAGGCTGGCTTATAGGCCCCGAACATCTAATTCGCTACGTCTCCGCCGCCCACACGCGAATCTGCTACTCTTCCGTTTCGCCGTTGCAAGAAGCCTGCGCAGTCGGTAAGTCCCAACGCATCCCTTCGAACGTACCTTAGGTAAACATGTGCCATGGAGTGACATGTCATAATTAACACACATCGCAGGCTTCGAGCAAGCCGACGCCCAAGGCTTCTGGGACGAGACGGTGCGAGACATGAAAGCGAAGATGAAGCGCTTCAACGAAGTGTGGGACGAGCTAGGGCTGCCGTACACGGACCCAGAGGGAGGGTATTTCGTAGTCGTAAACATGAAGAAGGTCAAGCTGCCGGAGAACTACCCGTTCCCGGCGCACGTGGCGCACCGGCCGCGCGACTTCAAGCTGGCGTGGTTCCTGATCCAGGAGGTCGGCGTCGCGGCCATCCCGCCCACCGAGTTCTACACCGACGCCAACGCGCACATCGCCGAGGACTACATCCGCTTCGCCGTCTGCAAGGAGGACGAGGTGCTCGAGACCGCGAAGGAAAGGCTGAGAGGCCTGAAGAAGTATATACAGAGTTAAGATAGGTGCCTAGGTAGGTACCTAGGTACAGGAGGTAGATGATAGATGTCTCACTTAGCTTAGAAAAGCGATGGGTTCGCAAGACGATAGATTTGCCAATATAACCACGTTAAAGTCAAAAGTACCTAGTGACTTGGTGTGTCCTCGTTCTCGAGTGAATTCCGAGACTGAACTAACTTAGTCAAATAATAGCAAAAAAAAAAAAAAAAAAAACAAATACTCACATCTACTATCGCCTATGGCCATGTAGTGATGCTAACAATTTCTACATAGGTATAGTATTGCAGTGCGGTAGTTATGTGGGCAAATGAAAATAATTTATATTCAACCATCCTGTAGAATGAACCGGTACAATAAACAGTTGCAACAAATCTAGCTCACTCTATGCACAGTAAATAAAGTCTCTTCTATTATCCTCATCCTCTCTTCCCCCTCCCCCCATCTCTAACATTCATTTCATCTACCCACCGCCTGCCTACCACCTACTTAGCGATCTGCAGGGTCTGCGTATGGCAATAATGCAGGAGGCCCTGCTTTCCGAGTTCCCCGCCAAAACCACTGAGCTTCCAGCCGGCGAAGAAGCCGGCGTGATGCGGCCTCTCGAACTGGTTGATCCAGACGGTCCCGGACTCGAGCTGCCGCGCGATGCGTTGAGCACGGTCCAGATCCGGCGTGTATACCGATGCGCCTAGGCCGGCGTTGTCCAGATTCGCGCGGGCGATCACGTCGTCTTCGGAGGACCAGGACATGACGGGAACTATGGGGGCTACGGAGGATGAGTATATTAGGTTTAGGTTAGGTTTAAGATGAATTACGAAAGAAGGAAGTTTTTTTGGCTGAACATGATTTTCTCTCTACACTTACCGAACTGCTCCTCCCTGACGATCAGGGAGTCCTCGGGAGGCTTCGCTACAATGGTCGGGGGCATCCAGAAGCCCTTCCTAGCCGGCTCGATATCGCCGCCCGCGACGATCTTGTACCCGTTCTTCTTGCAGTCTTCCAGGATGCGCACGGCGCGCTCGTAGTTAGCGCGGTTGGACAGGGGGGCGAAAGCGACGGACTGGTCGTCGTCGACGGCGAACTTCTTCGACTCCTCGACGAGCTTCGCGAGGAAGCGGTCGTACAGGGACTCGTGGACGTAGAGGCGCTTGGACGCGACGCAGACCTGGCCCGCGTGGTACAGGGCGCCCATCGTGATCTCGGGCACGACCTTGTCGAGGTCGACGTCGTCGCACACGATGCACGCGTCGTTGCCGGCGAGCTCGAGGATGACCTTCTTCAGGGTTCCGGCGCAGTTGCGCAGGATGCGCTGGCCGACGGCGATGGTGCCGGTGAAGCTGATGTGGTGGATCCCCGGGTGCAGCGTCATCTGCTCGCCTAGATCCGCGCCGCCGTTGATAGCCTGGAAAACGCCCGGCGGCAGGACCGACTGTGACAGCTCGCAGAATTTGAGCAGTGCGTACGGTGTAAACGGTGACGGCTTGATAATACAACAGTTGCCGGTGGCAAGCGCGGAGACAATCTTCACGGTCGACAAGATTAGGGGGAAGTTCCAAGGCGAGATCGCACCGAGCACACCGATCGGCGCGTGGGTTGCAACAATCCGAACGGTGTCGTCTTCATACTGGACCTCGTCCTCAAGGGTCACCGTTTCTTAATATAAATGTCAGTCCAATGCACCATAAAGGGGAACCACTGCTCGCGTACTGTAATATTCAAAATGCCAGGCGGCCCTCTCGACATCGGCTTTTGACATGAACCTAGACTTTCCAGTTTCCCTCATCTGGACCTCGGTTAAGATATCCACGTTCTCGAGAATAACATTGGCTACGTCATGAACAGCCTTCTGGCGCTCGGCCACGGTGCTCTTCCTCCACGTCTTAAAAGCCCGGTTTGCCGCCTCTACGGTATCATCCAAATCTTTCGACGACGCGATAGGGGCATCCCAAAGAGGCTCTTCTGTACGGGGATCGATGACCTGGTGGCTATCCTTGGAGGTGCGGAGCTTTCCATCGATAACGTTGTAGAATTGGAAGGCGGATTGCCCATTCGAGCCGTTTGTCTCGAGAGAAGGCATCTTGGCTTCTGAGAGTCTTCACCAAGTTTTCAATAACACACTCGGCACGCCCTCCGTACGTTGGAAAAATAACCCTATCACCACATGCAGCAAGCAGAGCGCACAATAATGCAGAACAGCAATGGAAGGATAAATGTATTTTTACTTTAGCCACGTGGACAAAGCCGACAAACTGCCATCTGTCTGCATGGCCATTTTGCCATGTATACTACCGGTACGCTGTAAGGTAGAATGAGGGGTCAATCATGTTTGAATGAATTGCCGGTGTTCTAGGGTTGGTACACTCTTCCATATGAGGGCAAGGCCCCGGGAAAAGTCCCAAAAGCTCTCTAGGACGATCTCGACTTTACTTAGGGGTCTTCTGTAGTTAAGTTAGCGAAAGACTTGAGGAGGTTAAGTTGATATTTTTTTATATAAAAGAGCACAGGAAGAGTAAAGCTGTCCTGAACATGACGATTCAAGTTTTGTCTTTATATTCAATCGATAACGAAAATCTGCTATATGCTACTACGCTGATCTGTGTTAAATATACCATATCAGTCGCCGAAGACAATTAAGTCTCTTGACTCGGATCAGCAAATCTCTGGCGCGTTCTTGGTTTTTGTACAGTAAGGTCTAGCACAATAAGTCTGGGAGGTGATAAGTAGGTGTATCCTCTGTGAAGCGGAAGCCAACTATAGTTGTGGCTGTATAACTTAAGTCGTGTTCTAGGATTTCGAAAGTGAAGTTTGCTACATAAGTAGAAAGCAGAAAGAAGAGATGGCGGAAGACGGAGTCAGCCGAAGTTGTGGATAATGCCGCTGGATCCTCCGATAAGGCTAGCGAAGCTAATACATTATAATACAGGTATGTACAACAACTTTATAGCGATAAGCTATTATAACAGGTAATAGAAGGTGCTAATAGAGAACGCAGAGTGGTAGGTAGAAGGGCCAGAGTGCTTGACCTAATAGCTTATCTAAGATAAGCTCTAATCTAATACCGCTACTACCCCGCAGCTGACCAGCTTTAGTTTAGCTCCCAGGAAGCCGCCCTCGCGTTTGTACTTCCAAACCTGCATATCTCAGACTGCAGGTGTTGTGGCTCTCTTCTTCACATACACACATACATAGTAGTACATGCCAACCATTGGAAAGCGGTAGAGCAACAAACCCCCAGACCGTTCCTGAAATCTGATTCGATACGAGCTTGGCTCTAATTTGCCCCTCTATGTCATATATATTGTACCAAATGGCGGCTCAGCTAGTATCATCTTTTCGTTTGTTATTACTGGTTCGCCGAACTTCTGGATCAGGTCGGATCCCGGCGAATGAAGACGAGTCGGGCTTTTGAGTTTTGATAGACGTCGATTGCCACCCAACTAAGGTGTAGAAAAGCAGGAACTTTGTTCTTGTTCATAACATAATTTAAGCCTTTGTATTATCTGTGAGCTATTCACTACAGTAATTCGTCTCAATCTGAAGCTTCAGTACTTCCCAATTCTTTTTTCCCTTTCTTTCCCCCTGATCTCGGCAATCGAACCGATTATAATTGCTTTGTCCGCTTCCGCCCTGGATACCTACCTAAGGTACCTAGGCATTTATGTGGAATATCAACCCTTCGGTATAATCTTGTTAAAGTTATTACCAAAGGGGGAGACTCTACATTATGGCACCCATTGCCATCTCCTCTGAAAGAGACCCGGAACTACTAGGTGGGGAACAAAGGTTAACAACCGTGTATGATGATACCATTCGCTTCTTCCTTAATGGTACCCGCGTAGTTCTTGATGAGATCGACCCTGAGATTACCCTGCTCGAGTATTTAAGGGGAATAGGTTTGACCGGAACAAAACTGTAAGTCTGGACAATGCCAATTCTATTAAAATCAACCCATGCTAATAACCAGAGCGTAGGGGCTGCGGTGAAGGCGGGTGTGGTGCCTGTACCGTCGTAATCAGCCAATATAACCCAACAACCAAGCAAATATACCATGCTAGTGTTAACGCCTGTTTGGCACCGCTCGCCAGCGTAGACGGCAAGCATGTCATCACTATCGAGGGTATAGGCAATGTCAAGCAACCTCATCCAGCACAGGAACGTATTGCCAAGGGCAATGGCAGCCAATGCGGATTTTGTACTCCTGGAATCGTTATGAGTTTGTATGCTCTGTTAAGAAATAACGAGAGCCCTACGGAACATGACATTGAAGAAGCCTTCGACGGAAATCTCTGCCGATGCACTGGCTATCGCCCGATATTGGATGCCGCCCAGACTTTTAGTGTCGGAAATGCGTGCGGTAAAAGCACTGCGAATGGTGGCTCAGGTTGTTGCATGGAGAGTGGCGATGGTACAAAAGGCGGAAATGGAGGGTGCTGCAAGAGCAGAGATCTCAGTGATGGACAACCCATCAAGAAACTTACTCCACCAGGATTCATCGAATACAAACCAGATACTGAACTCATCTTCCCACCGTCACTGAAGAAGCACGTGTTCAAGCCCCTGTCCTTTGGAAATAAAAGGAAGAGGTGGTACCGACCCGTTACATTGGAACAGCTGCTGGAGATAAAAAGCGTCTACCCCAACGCGAAAATCATTGGTGGAAGCACGGAGACACAAATCGAGATCAAGTTTAAGGCTCTACAATATCCTGTCTCAGTATTCGTCGGAGACATCCCCGAGCTGCGGCAGTATTCTTTCAAGGATGACCATCTCGAGATCGGCGGAAATGTCGTCCTCACGGATCTTGAGAATATTTGCCAGGAAGCCATCAAGCATTATGGAGAAGCAAGAAGTCAAGTTTTCCAAGCAATCTACAAGCAACTCAAGTACTTTGCCGGACGGCAGATCAGAAACGTTGGTACTCCTGCTGGAAACCTAGTAACAGCTTCGCCCATATCCGATTTAAATCCCGTATTCATGGCAGCGGATTGCGTCCTAGTTGCTAAGTCTCAAAGTAAGGAAACTGAGCTTCCTATGGCATCTTTTTTCAGGGGTTACCGTAGGACAGCTTTAGAACAAGATGCAATTCTTGCATCTATTCGTATTCCTGTAACTCGCGAGAATGGAGAGTATTTCAGGGCCTACAAGCAAGCCAAGCGAAAGGATGACGATATTGCCATTGTTACAGGAGCGTTACACGTCAGACTAGACCAGAAAGGTGTTGTTGAACATTGCAACTTGGTCTATGGTGGCATGGCACCCTCTACTGTCGCCGCAAAGGCGGCCAACGAGTATCTTATAGGCAAATTATTCGCCCATCCGGATACACTAGAAGGTGTCATGAACGCACTTGAGTCTGATTTTAACCTCGTGTTTAGCGTTCCAGGAGGTATGGCTTCGTATCGGAAGTCACTAGCGCTTAGTTTCTTCTATAGATTCTATCATGACGTGCTATCGGGAATTAGCGCGGAGAGTGAGCATGGTGATAGTCAGGCCGTCGAAGAGCTCGAGCGAGCGTTATCATCCGGTTGGAAGGACCATGATGCAACCTCTGAATATACTAAAGGGCCGTTAGGAAAAGCCGATAACCATGTAGCAGCTCTGAAGCAGAGTACAGGAGAAGCCCAATACACCGACGATATCCCACCACTCAAGAACGAACTTTACGCGTGTCTGGTGTTATCTACGCGAGCGCACGCAAAGATCAAGTCGATTGACTATTCCGCGGCGTTGGATATCCCAGGTGTGGTGGACATTGTCGACAAGAATGACTTACACGATCCTGAACATAACAAATGGGGTGCGCCTAATTTTGACGACTTGTTCTTCGTCGAAGATGAAGTATTTACTGCTGGCCAGCCAATTGCGATTGTCTTAGCTACATCGCAGGCTAGAGCGGCAGAAGGAGTCAGAGCTGTGAAGATCGAGTACGAGGACCTTCCTGCCATTTTCACTATTGAAGAGGCAATCGAGAAAGAAAGCTTTCATAAGTTCTTTCGATATATCAAGAAAGGAGATACGGAAGAAGCTTTCAAAAATTGCGACTACACTTTCACTGGTGTTTCGCGGATGGGCGGCCAGGAACATTTCTATCTTGAAACGAATGCGTGCGTGGCTATACCTAAGCCTGAAGATGGCGAGATGGAAATCTGGACTAGTAGTCAAAATCCTACTGAAAGGTATGTCTATTCAGGATATCATATGGTTACAGGAGCTAATTTCTACCTAGTCAGTCGTACGCATCTAAGATCCTCGGGGTGCAGTCGAATAAAGTAGTAGCTCGCGTCAAACGTCTTGGCGGTGGCTTTGGTGGGAAGGAAACCAGATGTGTTCATCTCAGCACGATTTGTGCACTAGCCGCGCAAAAATCCAAGCGGCCAGTCAGGTGTATGCTTAACCGGGATGAAGACATGGTGATATCTGGCCAGCGGCATCCTTTCCTCGCAAAGTGGAAAGTGGGCGTGAATAAAGATGGCAAGCTCCAAGCCCTCGATATGGACGTATTCAGCAACGCTGGCTGGTCATTTGACCTGAGCCCCGCTGTGTGTGAACGCGCCTTGAGCCATAGTGATGGTTGCTATAAGGTCCCGAATGTTCACGTCCGCGGACGCCTGTGCAAGACCAACACCATGTCGAATACGGCATTCCGTGGCTTCGGTGGCCCTCAAGGCTTGTTCTTCGCTGAGTGTTATGTGTCCGAAGTAGCTGACCGCCTTGGAATCCCAGTGGAGAAGTTCAGAGAGATCAACTTCTACAAACCCAGCGAGGAGACTCATTTTAATCAACCTCTTCAAGATTGGCATGTGCCTCTAATGTATAAGCAAGTCCAAGAGGAGTCGAACTACGCCGCCCGCCGCGCGGCCGTTGAAAAATTCAACGCGGAGCACAAGTGGCGTAAACGGGGGCTGGCACTGATCCCAACAAAGTTTGGTATCTCCTTTACCGCGCTCTGGTTGAACCAAGCTGGAGCTTTGGTGCATATCTATCATGACGGATCAGTTTTACTTGCACATGGTGGTACGGAGATGGGCCAGGGGTTACACACGAAGATGATCACGATTGCCGCGCAAGCGCTCCAGGTACCGAAAGAGGACATCCACATTTCGGAGACATCCACCACGACGGTAGCTAATTCATCCCCTACGGCCGCTTCGGCGTCGTCGGACCTGAATGGTTACGCCGTCTGGAATGCTTGCGAACAAATTAACGAACGTCTTGCACCGTATCGTAAAAAGCTAGGACCTCAAGCTACCATGAAAGAACTTGCACACGCAGCCTATTTCGACCGTGTGAATCTAAGTGCCAACGGATTTTACAAGACGCCCGAGATCGGATACACATGGGGCGAGAACACCGGAAAGATGTTTTTCTACTTCACACAGGGTGTTGCAGCGGCCGAAGTTGAGATGGACTGTCTGACTGGTACTTGGACGTGCTTGCGCGCCGATATAAAGATGGACGTAGGACGGTCGATCAACCCTTCGATCGATTACGGTCAAATCGAGGGTGCATTCACCCAAGGTCTCGGTCTATTCACCATGGAGGAGAGTTTATGGCTGCGTAATGGTCCGACGGCGGGTAACCTGTTTACGAAGGGACCAGGGGCATACAAGATCCCAGGTTTCCGAGACATACCTCAGGTGTTCAACGTCAGCTTGTTAAAGGGCGTAACGTGGGAAAACCTGCGCACGATCCAACGAAGCAGAGGTGTCGGCGAACCGCCCCTGTTTATGGGTAGTTCGGTATTCTTTGCGATCCGCGACGCACTTAAAGCTGCGCGCGCGGACTACGGGGTGAAGGCTAAATTGTTCACCCAGGGAGGTGAAGACGATGGGTTATTGAGGCTCGAGAGCCCCGCTACGCCCGAGAGGATTAGACTTTCGTGTGTTGATCCTATAATGGAACGAGCGAGAGTAATACCTAAGGAAGGCGAAAAGAGCTTTTTTGTTGCTATTTAGTTAGGTGAGACTATCCAAATTTAGGTATTTTCAGACGAGCATAATGAGCATTATGAGCTTACGTTCTATTCTGCGGGTTAGATATAAGCTCTAGCATAGTTGGGTTGAACGATAAATCAACGAATTACTAGATTGACCTTTTATGGTGCTTTTTTATACCATCTTTTCTTCTGTCGTAGCCCTACTTAAACACCCTACTTAAACACATTAATACCCGACAGAAAAAGTGTCTCCATAGTCGATACTACCTAACCTAATACTATACAGTTTAAATTCTTAAGCCAGGTGGTTCTATATGGCCCACCTTAAATAATAACCGGTTCATTAGCTTCCATGACGTTTCGACTCTCGATATTACGTTGATTATACCTCAACCATACTTCACAAATGCTACTGCTAGTGTACCGCTGATTTATAAATGGCAAAGAAAACACGTTGTTTGAAGGAATTACATCTCATACTTTTATCTCATTCAGTTGAGAACGTTTTATAAGCGTTCCGTCGGCAGTAGCAATTAATAAATAAATACATAGAAATTCGTGCTCACTCACTCACCCACCTTGCCAACACCAACCCCTCCAAACGCATATGAAATAATTTTATATACCTTACATAGGTACATAGGTATCTTATATAAACCACGTCAACGATGCCCACGATAGCCGTCGGAGGCGCCTCCGGGAAAATCGGCGGCGCGACGCTCTCCGCGCTGCTAGCGCACAACCTCGTCCCCGCATCCTCCATCATCGCGCTGACCTCCTCGCGGCCGGGCTCGTCGACATTCGACGCCCTCGCGGCCAAGGCCCCGGGGCTGCGGGTGCGGCACGCGGACTTCGAGGACGCCGCGTCGTTCGAGAAGGCGCTGGAGGGCGTCGATCGGTTCTTCCTCGTGTCGACGCCGCACGTCGAGCTCGACTTCGACCGGCGCGTCGAGGTCGAGGACGGCAGCGGGAAGTGGGAATGGCAGGAAGTCCCCGACGGCCAGGGCCGCGAGAGGCACCACCGCGTCGCGATCGACGCGGCCGCGCGCGCGGGCGTCTCCCGCATCTACTATACGAGCCTGGCGTTCGCGTTCGACCGGGCGGCCAAGCGCGGCAAGCACGCCAGCAAGGCGGGGGTGATGCGCGCGCACCTGCGCACGGAGGCGTACCTGGCGCGGCAGCGCGCGGCGGGCGTGTTCGGCAGCGCGACGGCGGTCCGCGAGGGCCTGTACGCCGAGTCCTGGCCGCTGTACCTAGGGGAATTCGCGGCGGACGGCGGGGGCCGGGACGCGGAGCGGACGGAGGTGCCGATCGCGGGGGACGGGACGGCCTGCTGGACGGCGATCGCGGACCTGGGGGTCGCGAACGCGCTCGTGCTCGCGGCGCCGGGCGGCGAGTTCGACGACCGCACGTTCTACCTGTCCACGCGCGCGGGCAATACCAACGGCGGCGGCAACGCGAAGACGGTGAGCGAGATCGGGGCGCTGGTGGGGAAAGCGCGGGGCAAGGAGATAAAGGTGAAGGTGGTGGGCAGGGCGGAGCACGAGAGGTACTATGTGGAGGAGAGGGGGTTGGACGCGGCGGCGGTGCGGTGGTGGGTGGGTACGTACGAGGCGCTGGAGGAGGGGGAGTGCGAGGTTGACGACGGGACGCTGGAGGGGCTGCTCGGGCGCGTGGGGATGAAGCCGACGCGAGTGGAGGAGGTTATTGGGAAGATGGTTAAGAGGGTGTAGAAGAGGAAGAAGTACCTAACCTAATGAGAGGACTACTGTGCTATGTTGACGTTGCTGTATAAAATCGTCATGGGTGATGAGTGAAATTCGAGCGGGACTTACTACATCTTGTAAGTTTGTACTACGAAGGCACTTGGATGATCTTGAAATGTTGTAACAGATAGGGGTTTGCGGATGAGATGACACTATTCGCAATTACCTACCTAGGTAGGTACCTAAGCTAAGGTACGAGTCTAACTGGCAGTATATTTTTACGCAAATATGACTTATGAAAATTAGTAAAAGAAGATATCAATACGTACGTACGACACCATCACCGTCATCATCACCGCCAACGAACAAAAAAAAAGAAAACAGTTTACATGTACGGGAATTGACCAAGTCTCTCGCGCATATTGCCGTTTACCTAGCAAACAACACGATACTAGCAAATGAATTTAGGATCCACTTGCCCCCAAACCAAACCGGGCTGCTAGCTCGCCCACAAACCGCCGCTAAATATATAAGTCAATAAGACGTAGGGCTAGAATCACGCAGCGTGAATAAGTCACGAACAAAGCGTTCAGTCCGGTATAGTGTAACGGCTAACATACCTCGTTTTCACCGAGGAGCTCGGGGTTCGATTCCCCGTACCGGAGATAGAATTTCTTTCCTTTTTCCTTTCCTTTTTCTTTTTCTCTTTTTTTTTTTTTCTCATTTCGTTCTCATTTTAGGTACTTCCATAAATTTCTTCTTTCTATTTTGGTATCCCTAATGATCATGTATTCATTCATTCCATCCTGTCCAGGTATTTGAGAAAGCCATAGGTACCCATATCAATCTAGCTGGTGCTCTCTCCCCCCTATTCTTTCGCAGGATCGTGCCCCCAATTCTTCAAGCTCCTCGCGCTCTTACTATCCGGGTTCTGCTTTGCCTTGTCCTCCTGCGCGAGGTGTCGTTTACAATACGCGACGACGCGACGCATGTGGTCGATATCGCTTTGCTCGTATTTACCCGGGTCCTTGTCCGAATTCTTCTCCAGGATCTCGATAATCTTTCGCCCGCTTCCTCTGCATTAGTCTTTCCAAGCAGGTAGACGATATGTGTATGTATGTATGTATGTATGTATGTATGTATGTATGTATGTATGTATGTATGTACGTACTTATACGAGGCGGACTTGATCAAGGGTAGGGTTATGGGGGGCTGACCGAAAAAGGGGGCGTGGGTAGCGACGGGGATAGTACATACCTCTCGTGCCCAACCGTCTCCCCTGAGCCGTCATCCTTGCTCCAGCCCGCTGACTCCGATGACTCCCCTTTAAGCCAAGTCTCGAGGTCCGAAGCCGACATGTTGACGAGGTCGTTGAATTCCCTGGTAGTAAACCCCATCATTAGCGCCCCGAAGGTTTGCGCGCAGTACTAGAACAAGTTATCTCCTAGTTTGCGGCGAAGTTTAAAGACTCACTCTATAACAGTCTGCTTATCCTTCACCATTTTCGCTGTGTTATACTGTCTCCTAAAGATTTTGATGGTAAATGGGACCTCAAGATTGTCAAACTGTAGATACGGCGGACATCTCCTTTACATGTATTGCCGATACGAAATGCTTTTAAGCCATGGCGCAAAGTCAACCATATCGAATACGTCATGACTATCTCGCTTCCTTGACTCAGCTTGGAGGAGTTACAGAAATTTACCCGTTCTCACATTTGAAATTTTGTATACTTTTCAACAAGTCAGTCATTCTGGCTAAATTATATAGTCCATTGAAGTTGTCATGTATGATACTAGAGATATCTTGACAGCTAGTGAAGAATGTGAGTTTACATGAGCTTCTTAGTATCCCTCGAGGTAGATAATGGAGTATCACGAATCGAATTTAAGGTTAATTTGCCTCTTCTGAAGCTCCCGCTCCATGTCGCCTCCATCTTCATGGTAATGCGCCAAGGTAAGTGCGTGTGCGATCCACTGCTTGCTGAGCTTATCTTCGTTGATTCCGTACAAGTCTACGCCGTGGTTGAACGCTGTCGTAGCAAACCATTCAACCTCGAGAGGCGGAATAGGCCGTTCGCTCTGTGTCCATGTTCAGCAACTTCACTTTCTCTAATCCGTAATTTAAAGGGTCAGTACACTTGCGCATTGCTTGACAAGCCTGCAGATATCCTCCATTACTTTAAGGGGATACTCCGGTTCTGAAGCGAGAGTCGCCTTGAGTAAACATCGCAGGTATTTTGCGAGCTTTTCATTGTCGAAGTGTTCAAGCAAAAATATGTGATTTATGATCTTACGCAGTGTAGAATATAGTACTATCATCTGTCAGAACACGCAATAATCCCACCGCTACAGATTCATACCTTGTCCGGGGACTGACTGGGCTCGTAGGAGACAATCTGCCATTGCCTGAAATATGGATAATTTGTGGCAGGACTGAGCTTTTAATATGATCTCTGATAAGTCATCCTACGACTTGAGACATATAGCCCCTTCAAAATCAAAAACGAGAAGGGTCGAAAGCTTCAGTTGTAAGTCGTTTTTGGACACTTCATCTAATGTGTTTAACCGAACCTCTCCGCCCTTATCAAAGCCATTGACATGATTACGCATCAAGAGGTAGTCTTGAAGCTGCATTTCGATGTCATCTTGGGCGCGGGCCAAGGCAATGTGCACTGTTGCCATTAGAAAATGACAGAACATCGTACGTAGTGACAGATCCTCGACTGCCTGGGTTGGTATATCATTAGGATATTGGGAGATGATTGAAAGGCAGCATTGGAAGATGCGGATACTTTGCCTCGGCTGCCAAATATTGACCATTTTGACGGCTAGGTTATAGGCGTTTTTGCCAAACCAATCCAGTTCTTCTACCGTGAATATCTTGTCGCCGCTACCATTCCGCGGGTCTCTCTGTATGGCTGGCACAACTACACAATTCAGTATAACTCGATGAATCCATATATGAAAAGCTTACCCCCTTCGAAAATTTGGCAAATATCGTCTATTATCAGGTTACGGTCGGCGTCCTCCTCCTCCTTGTCCTTGAGAAGTGATATCTCAAGGCGTATTACGACCCGAAGCAGTGCCGGAAGATGAACAGCATCCGAAGAGTTGTATTCGGAGTTTTGTATCAAATATTTCAAAGCCTCGATCGCGCACACTTTGTCATTAGCTTCTTGTGCGTCTATGCAGCATGCGTACAAATATTGTGGGTCTTTTGGCGAGGCTTCGATGATATGTCTTAAACAGTTGGAGGCCATCTCCCGATCTCTGCCTCTCACAGCTAATTTGTACGCGAGGTAGAGCGTCATTGGCTCTCGCTTACTCGATTCACTCATAGATTGGAGGATTTCTGTAGCGTTCTCTAAGCTGTTTCTTTGAAGTGCACAGCACATCAGCTTCCTGTTTTCGTCAGGCAACACATACTACTACATAGGTACCTAAATAGGCGGAGCCTACCTGGTGATCTTCGCTGTATTCGCCGGCCCGGAATGACGGAGCGCTGGGTGTATGGCTACGTGGCACCATTTCTCTGTAATATCCAACGCTCCTTCATTGAATGCGGCATCGACTTTTTTCCATATGAGCTAATAAATAATTAGCCCCCATCCAAAGAGATAAAGAAGGTCAGGTGGCTGGCTGACCACTTGTATGGCGAGAACAGCAGCGGCTGACAGTGACGTTTCTACTTTGGCCGCGATATTATCAAATATCGCCCCGAGCTCTTGTATTGTTTCGTATGTATCCCGACGTGCTGCTGCCATCTGCACGCAAAGCACGACGGCTCTTTCAATCCAGGTGCCATGTTGGGTGGGCAATACTCTCAATGTTATGAATTCGCCAAGAATAGATGAGGCTAGGCTTGGACTCTTGTCGTCTAACTTACGTACATGGTGTATCATAATATTGAAACTCGATTCTGAGATCTCAAGGGTCCCAATCATACGCCGCAGGATAGCCGCATATGCATTGCTGTCGAATACTTCGGCTGGTGAGCTGAGTAGGAGTTCCAACCTAAGTAGAAGAACAACAAGCTTGTCACCAAGCTCGGATTCAATGTAACAGACATGGTTTTCGGCGCTCTTGAAGCTTTCTGGCGTATTTAAGTTCAAATATGCGCGAATGAGTGCTTGCGATATTGTTAGTCTTAACTCGACGACTTCTCTTGATAGCTGCTCGAGGTCTTGGCTGTTAATGAATTCATACGCCCTTTCTAGCCACTTCACTGCTAGTGAGAAGTTCTTCTTTGCTATCAAGTCGTTCCCAATCTCAAAGAGGGAGTCGGCAAAGTTCTCTACCGACGCTGGATTTGTAGTACGCTTGCAATCTTGTACCTTTTCATAAAGATGGTCGGCTACGTCAAGGCGGTCTTCTTTCCAGGCCTTCTGGAGCTGTCAGAAGCTGAACGAGGGGTATACATTAATAATATGCACCTTACCAGTACTATACGAAGTATAACACACTCCGCCTCCAGGTTCCTGCAGGCATCAAGCTCTTCGACCGGCAGCTTTTCTTGCATACTCTGCAGCAGTCCGTTATATTCTGCGGCCTTCTGCAAAGCAATGAAAGCAAACTTAAGTTCGCCATCTACTGCACCAGTGTCAGCAAATCATGCAGCGCTGCAAATACGGTCGGACAAAGATGCAATATACCAATACAAGATCTGCCGGTTTTGATTGCCAATTTTTCCAGGCGCAGGAGATCACCCGGTGCGTTATGATCACCCCATTGCGCCAGCACCAGAATCAGAAACGAGAAGACGCGAGCAAGCGTCAAAAACCTCCTTCGAGCTGGTGATGTCTCTTTACCATCTTCACGTTTAACCTTAACACACCAGTTCCAAAGGTCAGTACCTGCGCTGTCTAGCTGTGCATGACGATGTGAGCCCGGGGATTTAAGAGAATAAGATCTGATAGCGCTGATTTGTTCCCTTAACTCGTCAATTTGATTGCACGGCACTTGTTCATCATTCTTGCTCGGCAACTGCTTCCGAAGATCACGAGAGAAAGCTTAGGAAGTCAGTATACCTTCCTAAACGGCACGGGGGTACGGACTTATGATAGGCTTAATACGCTTATCCCGGGCAGAATGTGACGAATTTGCGGAGGTATCCATTCTGAGGCATCCGGGAACGTAAAGGGTCCGATACAGATAGGCTGATCAATATATTGAGATGTCCTGCAGTGTGGCTTTGTCTGATGCCGTCCTTGTGGATATGAATACTACCTACTGAACCCAGTCGAGGGTTGGTTTAAGAAAGATGGTTGACGATGCCTATATCTGGATGGGTGTGTTGGCGGAAGCAACGCCGATTGGCATCGAGAAAGGGCCAGAATCGGAAGGGTTTCGAATGTCGACAGCCTGACTAAGGGGTTAGTTAACAGTTACCGCAATCACCTCCGAAAAAACGAAAAGAAATATCGCAAGTTAGTTGGCAGCGATGTAAAAAGTATGAAAACTGGTTGGTGTAATTCTATTTGTCTTTGTTCCAGAACTAGAAAAAAAAAAGTCTATAGTAGTCAGGTACGAGAAAGTAGTGTTGTACTTTACTTTCCAATCAGGGGAAGTCGTAGCAGAAAGACCCAATATCACCTTCCAAACCTAGTAGGATACCATCGTTACTTCCCGTTCTCCCTCTACTTCCTCTTACTACCCCAAAAGATGTATCTCTAACGATAGTTACCGCCACTAGAAATGACGTGGTCCCCTAAAGTGACCCCTGAGAGGCCTTGATAAGATTGAATACGTGATTATCACATCTTGTAATAGCCAATAGCCAATACCCAATCGCCTTTGGAAATCCCCCATCATTACGCCAGTGGAATAACGTATAGTAGCCAATGCGAAAAATATACCTACTTCAAAGCCCAAATAGAAGGCAAATAAAAATTGTTCGAATGTGAGCTAGTATTCGGGATAGAGATATGATATGATATGCTTCTAAGAATGCGAAGGGTCATGCGGAAGGAAATTGCCGACGATGAGGCTGGGTCTGTATGAATACAAACAGTTGTTAGCATCATCCCTATACCTGGCCATAATATTCGTCTAAGTCCAAGAATCGCTACTCACATCTTGTGATCGTCCCTACGTATCATAAAAGAAAAACAACAGTTGATTACCGGATTGTTCGATCGATCATCTGGGGTCTTTAAAGCACACGCTGTTAAAAGCGTGTCGTGCGCCGCATCGAACGCGATAGTGCCAAATTCCTCCCAATACCGCACGAGCGACTCTTCCGTCAGTATCTCGTGAAGAGAAATTTTACCCTACACGGAGAGTTTATTAGCAGACTTTCTGATCGTCATTATCCTAAGACGTACATCTCGTAACTTATCCACCGGAACGTGGATCAGTTCAGCCATTTCCTTGTTGCCTCTAAAGATCTCTCCGGTTCTTCTCCAGCAGCAAGCCGGAACGGCCATAGCTGCAAACACTCGGTCGTATTCCAGTAGCGTCTTCTCGAACCACATCTCCACGTAGACAAGCTCTATATCTGTAAGTCCCTGCACCTTCTCTCGGAACTTAGGTCGAAAGCGATCTAGCTGTCGCAGGATCTTCTGCTTCGACGTAGGAGCAATATGGCTGTCCATGTACGATGACAACCGAGCGTAGCCTTTGATATAATTGAACGGCTTCAGAAGACCCGCGTTATATTTGGCTTTCATTACACTATGCATACGTGCCTCTGGTGTGTCGTTGCCTGATGGATCCGCCGCTTGAAGGTAGAATTCTCGCGTCTTATCTGCTGAGGCGGCACCGGCGCCGGCCTCCGTGCTTGGCGGAGGCATGGAGCCTGCCTGCATCGAGTTCGTGGATAGAATGTTGCTGTTGCCAGCCACGTAACTTGCCATGTCGGACTGGTTAGGTTGCGAGTGGTTATTCCTAAACAATAGACTCTGGTCGTCCGGCAAGGTCCCCGCGTCATCGAGGAGGCTAGTATTTAGAAAATCATTGAGAAGATTGAACTCGTGGGAGACTTCCGGAGCAAGCATATATTGAGGATGGTAGTGATGCATATCGTGGAATTGATTTTGGGCGGAGAGCCAGGCATCAGAGAACCCACCAACTACGAGAATAATTCAGCTTTTTTTTTCCCCTAGCCGGCACGACGTTCACAAGGGTTTTACAAAACCTACATTGGTTCATATTGCTGCCAGAGCCATTGGCCTGCATACTAGAGACCGGATTTGGTGACACAAGCTGTAGTGGGTTTGCCTGACCTAGTGCACCTGCACCAAAACCTTGCTTGGGTCTTTGAACTGCTCCAGTCCCATCGAATGACGGTGGTGCCATAGCAGCGGCACCCTGATCTATTGAATTCTGAGGTAGCTCGGGCTGGATCTCCGACTCGTCATGTCCAGCCGCACCGGGGGTGCTTTTGAGCTTCTTTGAATCCGGATCCCGGGGCTCATCATGGCAAAGATGGCCAATATTGCGCTTGATACATCTCGTGCATGGTCTCTCCTGTTCGATAGGGGTAGGTCCCCGGTTAATCTTGGCTCACGCAAACCCGGATAACGGCCCCCAAGCCGTAGACGCAGAAGAGTAGGAACAGATCTTACATACGAGATCGCAAGTCATATGCTATAACCCCCGGAAATATTGGAATTAGCAAAGTACTTTGTGAAGCCCAACAACACGCACGCACAAATACTAGAAAAGACCCGGGCGCATCACCCGTGACATCAGCAACCTAGGCGGTTGCAGTTTGGAAAAAAAAAACCCATCCGTCAACAAGGGGGGAGGGGCGCCAGCATTTCTACATGCGTAGATACGCAGACGTGGAACCAATGGATTAAGAGTGTCTGACAAACATGTTAAATGAGGACTTACAGATCGACGGCAGTATACACAAGCTGTAGGAACGCGCGACCAAAATTAGCCCATGGGACAGACAGATACAGCGAGGACAGCATCGAGGTGAGTTCAAGATAATTTTTGAGGGGGGGGAATTTTTAGAAGTATGGTACGGCATACCATGGTTTACCTTGCGCCTCTTCTTGGGGCTCTTATTGGTATTATCAGGGGGTGTGGTGGTGGTTGAGGTCGTAGGGGTGTTGTCCTTAGACCTGGCGTCGTTGTCGGGCCTCTTGTCCTTGGCGTGGCTGCCATTGCTTTCCATGACTGCGTCCTACTTGAGATGCTATCGGGACTGGTGTGTGTAAGAGGCTCCCATTGGATCCTCAGGTTACGCAATGGACATGTAGTTCGCGGACAATCGAGTTAGCTGCCGGCGGCTTTGTGCAGGACCAAGAGATGATTTGTTCAAGGGGTTCCGAAGAGAGGCTGCTGGTCGGCGATGAACGCTGAGAGGGCGTCTGGGAATGACGGGCAAGATTCTGGGGGGTGCGTATCGTGATCGACAAAGAGGAAATCTTGCCGGACCGAAGAGCTGTCGGCGTCCACGTGTGATCCAAGACCGTATACAAGTCAGGTACTAGATTGATTACCTTTTATCTTCTCATCCAAACAAGACAAAGTCTCGGTTGCGATCGCGGCAGAAGTTAGACGTGAGTTTTGGGGGGGGGGGTGTATGCGTATGTTGAACGTTAGGCGTGGGTCAAGCTCCCGTCCAAAAGCTAAAAGGTAAAGGGAAAAAAAAATTTGTTGTCAAAAGTACAAATTTCAAATATTTTTCTACTAGTTTAGAATAAACTTCCTCCAAACGTCGGCCCAACTTTATCCTCAACAACTTCCTCCTTCCTTTGTTTTCCTGTTTCGAGCGCTGGAAGAGGAAGGAATGAATTGACATGACACGAATGGCCTCGACGTTGATTCGGGCAATCACGCTTCAGGCGCAAGACCGACGAGGCCAATAGCGAGGGTCACAGGAACCCGGGTCCATCTTAATCCAGTAGGATGAAGCCATGAGAGCCGAGGGGTTTAGAATATTACAGGGGCCGAGGGAACTCGATTGGGAGCCGATTAGGAGCCAGAGGGGCGCTTTCGGCATGGTTTATAGCGGGGTTTATGGCTCTGAAAGACGGTTGGTGCCAGTGGTTCCGGAACCCCTTGAAAGCCTTACGAATTTAGGTACGAATAGAGGAGATCTTAGAGGGGAACTTCCACTTAGCTACTACCTAGAGGTAGCTTAGCTAGACCACTATAGACCACTATAGGGCTGGAAATGGAAGGTACGGTGGAAGCAAAGTACCTGAAGCTCTAGATAGTAGGTACCTACATGAGGTAGGAGATAGGTCACTACCTGGTACTATTAGTGACGTCGTAGGTAACGGCCAACTGTTCAAACTGCAGAAGCAGAAAGCAGAAGCAAGCCGCTGCAACTGCAACTGCAGTCAGCGTCACTTGACTTTTTAAGCTTTTCAACCACCTCTCAAAATAATTAACCACCTTTAGACAAGCCCAGCCAAGCCGAGACTTATCATACCCAAGCACACCCAGAGCACACCCAGAGCACACCATCCTCAATCAGCTTCTCGTGACATTGCACATACGCCAAGCGCCTTTCGTGCGTGACGGTTCCCAGAGCCAAGCCTACCTAGGTACGTACACCCCCTTGATGAGCTTGGCCCGCATCGATGTTTGTCATTGTTTGGTGGCGGGATAACTACAGATATACAACCTTGAACTTACAAGTTTCATTGCCAAGTCTGTTTCCAGAGCCCCGGGTGCTTGAATCTGCAGAGCATATGCATCTACCACAACCAATTCCCCTCCTAAGCCAAGCCAACAAATGCATAATGACAGCTCCCCGACGGCCGAAGGTCGTTTGCATCTAATGCGGCCGCGGTGTGAAGCCGCTGGTCGGTGATGGGCGTCCTGGCGTCGTCTCCTTGCAGCGTTCAATCAACTTTTACTATGTTATGTACGGAATACATGGTAGAAGGGCTAGCGCCATGTAAAAGTCGATACCAGGATAAACCATGCTGATGATCAATCCTTTCGATCTCACCTTTACGTACATAAGTACAACCCACATACCCGCGTACGACGTCGTACGGCTCCTCGTTGTCCGGTGGAAATTTCTCTAGAAAGCAGATAACATAACCTTTCTCAGCTACCATTGACGTCGACGATGGGAATATGCCGGGATAAACGTTTTTAATATATCCATCCTTGGGGTATTGTGGTTTTCTTGACCATTTAGGTACTGATATATCGGTAGTCCTCTATCCGAGCGAGATAGCTCTCCATGATGGAAGCTACGCGAGCTCGACGGATTCGCTCACGACGCTATGCAACTAGTATACGATGCGTCGGCTGATCTCGTTGGATCGCTATTTTAATGTCCTTTTTCCTCCTGCCGTGTCCCTGATGCTACTGTTAAGTTCGTCCTGTCAGGGCTGACCACGAGGGCCAAGTTACACCAGATAGTTGCAATACGACCAGACCATTCTATTTCCCGTCAAGGTACCGGTCCGGTTGTCGATCTACCCGGTTCGCCCGAGTGACTTACCGTCTCCATGGTGCTGTTATTTATCCTTTAGATGCCTTATTACCATCCTATTAGATTTGGAAATACCCCACAACACGACGAGTCCTGCTATCTAGATCACATCCGTATCGCATTCCTTACTTCGGCAGATGCCCCAGGGATCAGAGGTCGTTATCTCACAGAGTTCAAGCATCAAGTTGCGACGCTCGCTATGCTTTCAATAGGTATTTCAGCTAAGACTTGGCAACCAATACCGTTGTTTCTACATCCAGCCTCCTAAGTCTTCAATATCTATGATAAGTCAGCCAGCCACATCATCAGCGGTGAGTGCTGTCAGTCAATACGGCTGCCAATAGCTCTAACATACAGCGTCACCAGCAACACCGTTATTGTACGACATAATCCACCAATTGCCATTGAGATAGTTCGGTTTGTTTCCCAAATTAAAAGTACTATGTAGAGTTGATTAAATTGTCGATCTTATTATATAAGTGGCAATACTACGGCGTCTATGAGTAATTCCTTTTGTAGCACAACAGCTTATTTAAGGCGCATACTGCTTACCATTTTTATACATATATTACCTATCTCCTTTCTTTTTTTCTTTTTCTATTGTTGCTGATATGCTGTCATTGATCGTCTGAGTAATGACCTGACGAAAAATTACGACAGAACGATTGCAAAGAAATTCCTCCAGTGTCGAATGCAGGATCTCGATGGAAACAATTGCTGAGTTCCCGTCTATCAGAATCAATTTATACACTGTACCGCGTATGGTCAGCTCGCACTCAATACTCATTATACGCTTACCCTTTTGCAACAATTATTGAAATAAGTGGACAGCTGATCTGAAGCCGGTCCTACTCATTCACGAAATCTCAAGTATGCATCATCTGTAGTCCCTTCTTTTCAGCTGTGCGAGTACAGCTATATCAGCCGGCCGGCATGAACCTTTTACAATCGCCGGAGGTGCATACTACCCCTGACGTACTGCATAGTCGGGTCTCCATCCGGATCGTCCTTATTCGTGTCTATAAAGCTTAGCACCGGCAAGAAGTTCCGTAATATTCAATGACGCGGCATTTGGCTTTGTTTCGGCCATAGTGTTCAGATCATTCGGATTTTAGTCGACGCCTACTCTACTGAGGGAACTGAGCCTCTGGCAGTTTAAAAATTATATTGATGATCATATGACAGCTATCTCGAGTAATCGCCGACACAGTACATAAGTAGGCTGAAACCTTGGATCCTTGAGATCTTCTATCCGGGAACCGTAATATTCAGGCAGCCTTTTGGGAGTAGATCCGGGACCTGTATAGGCTTGTCTCGGAAATTCAACCCTTCAGCAAGAGGGCCCATGCATGGCTATGTCATGCAATCGTGGACCGGAAGGTCAATATACATGAGAGGCGCCGGATAGTTCTAAATGCGGAATACGTTGAGGTCGTGGTGAATACGAGGTACCTGCAGCAAAACGTAAGCAGCCTATCGCACAAAGACCGTGGAAACGAGGTTCTACCATGAAGAGACGTCTTTTGAAGTACCCTCCAATATGTCCCTGTTAGCCAATACTATTTACTTGTACCACCCGGAGTATAATTCAGTGGCAAGTATCTAACACGGAGCTAGCTATTGATAATGTAGGTATGGTATATACCTTCAACCTCCTGTCGTTTTCGAGCTGTCGTTTCACTTGATTACGAATGATTCACAAACCCCCAAAACCGTACGCAGGGACTAAGCTGATTTTTCTTATCCCTAACCAGAGGGTCGGGAGATCAAAGGCAAGACACCTTTAGCCTAATGGAGGCTGGCTTCCGGCTCCAAAATAGTAGCAGTTGTGTCACATGTAAGGTACGCGTGATCCACGATTGGTCTGTGGCTTTTGCGAAGGCAGAGAATAAGGACTACCTACCTGTCACTAGACGGATTATTCCAAGGTCGATTACTCGAGATTTATTCCCGTATACTCCAAAAGACAATAAATGCGTTGCGGGCAAACGAGTTTTTGGAAAGGATGCCAGTGAGTCTACCATGTATGTATTAAAGCTGCCGCAGCAATATTGTAAAATGCCGTAAGATATCATCTAGTTGCGTAAAATGATAAGTCGCAATTAGAAAGTATTGACACAAAATGGTATATCATGAGAACTGGAAGTATACAAATGCCATACCTTCAGCTATACTCAAACAATAGGAGATCATGAAGTCAAAATACTTTACCTAGGTACCTAATGTAAACGGAGTAGAGACGAGAGGACGGGAACTACTGACAAGAAATAACTGGTCATAAGCAACTTCAAGGGCAAAGTGAGAAATGCTTAAACGTAGCCTTTAGTTCATTAAATGATTAATTCAACTCACAGTCCACTTAGATTATAAAATAACATCGTATTTTATTTATCATTACAAGACTCGCACATACATAGGTTAGGTACGCATACGCGTCCTTCCTTTTAAAACCCAGGTATCACCGTCTCTCATCCATCCCTCCACCATCCATATAGGTAACCTCTTTCTCCACAAGGTACTCAACTTACTTACTCGAGTTACTTAACCTTACCCATGATCGTCTCGGCGCCCCTAACGACATCCATTTGCGCGGCGCGCGCCTTGACGGCGTTGAGCATGCTCCTCTCGAAGTCGTCGCGGGACCTGAGCACGGCCTCGACCCAGGTGATCTGGAGGTCCCAGTACTTGGTCTTGAAGTCCTGGAAGACGTCGGGGACGGACTCCTTGGGGGCGGTCAACAAGCCTAAAAAGTTCTCCGTCACGCGCCAGCTCTGCGTGATGTCGTTGCTCAGGTCCGGGTTCGGGATGTTCCGGAAGTACTCGAACGCCGTCGACACGTCGTTGAAGATCTTGTCCTGGAACGGCTCCGACCGCCGGAACTTGGCCCCCTTGTTCCGCACGCTCATCAGGTACTGCACCAGCAGCTCGTCCGCCAGGATCTGGATGAACACGTCCACCAGCGAGTGGTGGAGTACTTGTTGATAGTCGCCGACGTATTCCTCTATCGTGATGACCATCTGTTTCATCGCCGTCGTCTCGTACCATCGTGGCGTGAAGAACGTCGGCATCACACTCTTGAAGTCGACTGATATGACGAGCTGAGCAAACTTATTAAGGCACCAGGTGCTTAAGTCGATATAACTTTCACTAAGCGAGATTATCTCGTTCTCGGCGCGCTCCATGTACTGGGGCGTAACTAGAGGTTCGAACTTCTGCTTGAAGCTCGTAAGGTAAGCAAAGCGACCCTCTTCCTCGTTGTCGTCGATGCAGGCCATCTGGTCATTGGCAGTAGCAATGAGCCAATCCTGTAATGCCTGGAAACCCTCCAGCTCGGGTACCTTATCTGTCTCGTATAACGCCGCTTCGTCCTCGAGCATCTTCTGGAAAGACTGCTGGCGACCCCGCAGCCGGACGAACATGGCGTCAATAACGCCCTCGACGACATCTGTTCTCTGCGAGGTGGCGGCGGCGTCGACCTGCTCTCGCAACATGCGCCACATGTCGACCAGATTCTTGGTACGGAAATAGCCATACTCATCCGTATCCAAGTTCGAGCCGTCCCCATTTCGGTCCGCAAAGTCGCGCCTCTCCTGCGCGAAGATGCGCTCGATCCATTCGTCGAGGAATTTGATGATAAGCTGGCGGAAGTCCTTAACTAGCTCTTGTTCTCGGTTGTCGATCACGTGGGGTTTGAGGTCGCTCTCCGCGAAGCCTAGCTTCCGCATCTTCTTATAGTACTTCTCGGGCCAGTTGATAATCTCGAGCGTGTTCGCCGAGCTGGATTCGGGGTCGTCTATCATGCCGACGAGGAAGTCGTGCATTAGCTGGTGATATATGTCGCCGTAGGTCTTGAGGATCTTCCACTTCTTGGGCATCAGTGGTACCATCCCTTGCTTGACGGCGTTGAGGTCGTTGAAGAACCACTTCATCACTTTCTCTAGCTTCGCGGGGTCGTCTAAGAACTCCCCTCTAGCTTCGGCAAATTGCCCTTCGCAGGTGACAGAGATTGCCTTTAAGAATTTCTCCTTGTATCCTCGGACCTTCTTGGCACCGTCGGTGATACTTTGGAACCGCGTGGCCATTTCCTTGTGATCTTTTAATGCTTCTTGAAGAGCCTCGACTCTCTGATCGCTCTTCTCCTCGGCCTCGACGATAACTGCCAGACGAACCACGAGACTATTGTTGTCGGCGATCAAGAGATTGATCATATTCAAGGCGATGAGACCGATGAGGTCATCGAACCTGTAAATCGCATCGTCTAATCTCGAGAAGTAACTTTCTAGTGTGCGTTCTAGGCTGGGGTCGTTGGCTCGCTGTATCTGCTCCATGGCATCGTCTCGGATATTTCGTAGCTGGGTTAACTCGTAATGGACGGAAAGAAGGTTCGGCATGTTCTCCTTGTCGACCTCGTCCTCATCCAACATACTCTCAACCCTATTAAGGCGATCGTTAAATGTCTGAAGATTCTCGACCATGGTTTCCACAGCACCGAAGTTCCTGTGCGCCTGCGATACCAAATTTATGCTTGTGAAGTCCTTAATCATGTCCTGGGATTCGGAGCAAAGCTTATCGATCTTCATCATCTCGTCCCTAATGGCTTGTAATGTCTTCTGGCCGTCGGTAATACCGTTCATGCCAGTTTGGGTCATCTCAAGTTGATCCCGTAGGCCTCCCCTCAGCTGCGAGTCTACGGCAGCTTTCTTACGCGTGAATTCCAGCTTCAGCGTGGGGATCCTATCGAGATCATCTGGGAGTCGGAGGAGCTCCGAGAGCTTGACTGGCGGCGCGTCCATGGTGAAAGTCGGCGGGGCACCGCTGCGACCGTCGTGCGGGTTTCGTTATTTCAGATCATTACGGAGTGAACTTTGTAAATGCGCCGCCACGTTGGGAAATCAATCGAATTTTCTATCGCTGTCGCTGTTGCCGTTGCCGTTGCCGTCGCCGTCGTTGCTCGTTAGTATTAGAAAGGGTTACCTAGAAGTTAGGTAGGTAGGTAAGGTACCTTAGGTTAGAGGTAGGTTACGTGGAAAGTGATGAGTTAATTGGTTGTAAATGCGACTCAGCCTCTGCAAGCTGACGTTTTAGAACGAACCCTGAAATTCTATCCGATAAGCTCATAAATCTGATATGCTAATGCCAATAAAACTGCATAAATTCATAGTTATGTAATAATCCTTTATATACTATGTACCTTACCTATAACCGTTTTCTCATGCTGTCTACCCCCTTGTGCGCTCCTGTCTCCCCTATTCACTTCAAAATACTGAGCTGCCTTAGTTTCTCTATATAGGATATCTTACAGCGACTCAATTAAAAGCGTTATATCAATCCAGCAATACTTCCGAATTATAAAGTTCCCAACTGCCTTGCTTCAATCAAAATACCAAAAATCAAGTTTTTTTTTTCTTTTAACGATACGACTCGAATGCGCACATCGCAAGTTTCAGCGTCTTCGAAAGCGTATCTGACAATATATAATAAATTTTTATATAAATATCATTAAAACTCAGCAGGGCTAGATTTTTGGACGTCGTAACCAGCCCATATCACTGCTAATTTTCGCTGGGGAGCTGGTTCGATCCGGACTCTCGGTTATATTCCGAAGCTCGCCGTGGTGCGGCATCAGTGTCTTATTATATTCTTTCGTGTTCTCCTTGCCATCTTCCACGCGGTGCTGGACCTCGGTTGTAATCATGATGGCGCCTGTCTGGTCGCTTTTGTGCGGGAATATCTCGTCCTGGCTACCGTTCTCGCTAATCACGTCCATCCCAACGGCCGTCACCAGGCTTGTCATACCAAATCCCCCTGACCTGTTCTGGCTACTCGCCTTCGACTTTTGTGATTGTATATATTCTTTGCGATTCCGGGGTTTCAGCGGTATCGAGTGGTTCCTATTTTCCGAGTGGCCGTACGAGTCCGCGCCTGATGAGAGGCCGAGAGCGTTATTGAGTCCAGGGATAAATGCTGCCACTTGCCTAAGCGAGGGGATACAGGAGCAGATTATGAGAGCGCACATCTCCGTCATAGCCCATATAAGAGGCTCTGCGATTTCGTCTATTGCTACATGGTTAATACCCGATGATTTAGTATTGAGTGCTGAGCGACTTACACGTATCATTATCGCCTATGTTTATAACGTAGACAATACGAACGACGGAGATAACTGTTACTCTGGGTCCAGAGTTAGAAGAAGTTCCTTAGCCTTTCTAAGTTCAATTACTCACAGTAAGCCCAGCGAAAGCATGCAGATAAGTCCCAGCCTTTTGACAAGGGGAATTTGGAGCTTCCACGTCGATGGTATAGGCTCGATAAATAGGGTGAGGTCGGTAATTAAGTTTAAGATGAACCAAATTCGGGGCAGAGACATATTCCTTAGTATTTTATCGCAACGAGTCGGATTCGAATAACTTACGGTAGTGTACCAAAGCGGATGGAGGTCCAAACACGAGCCCTCCAGCCTAAAATCCCATGATTTTCTGACGGGATCGTACCTAAGCAAGACGACCGACGTTTCCTCGATGGACTGTGCAAAGAGGAACACGATCATGAATTTGTTAACCATCCTAAACCCGCCCTCGGGGAATATTCTCATGTAAAGTACTGCGAAGCTCGCTTTTGCTGCCGGAACGCCCCAACTATACGAAATCGAGCAAGCTATTAGAAGCTGGAAAGAGTCAGTCTGGGGCCAGTAAGTTTACCAGTTTGTTCAGACCTGTGAGTATGTATTATAGTCATCGTCACTGACTTCACTGCGATCGACACCGAGGCCGTATCGCGTAGCTTTGCTGCGGTTAACTTACATCTACATGGGATAGAGAGGGCGGGAGGTTTATACATACCAAGCATTGCAGAACAACATATGCCTATGGATAAGATCTATAATAATTAGTCGGCGGTTCGTAGAAGTTATGTCCATGAATATTAAGCTCTCGGGGAGCAGTACCCAGCTTGTGAAAATCAGAACTACGAGATGTAAGTAGTTGTTTTCCAATTTTAACAAGTCGATATTGGCTTACTATCGTCTATTCCCATAGTCTTATGTAGCCATCGAGTTATGATCCTCGCGGCCATAGATAGCGCGGTAATCGTAACCAAGACCGCTCCGGCGTTTAAGACCGAATGCACCTTAGAGTCGGCCATGCTCGCCGGTTACAAGTGTGGGTTGTCACCGGGGAGGGAGGTATTCCATCGTTCTTTGACCTACGAATTCTGGGTCGATGGAATAGGTAACGGCACTTATTATAAACAGTAGGGTAAGGTCAAGATCCCTGAGTAAACACTTAAAGCACGTTCTATCCTCTGCGACAATTCTGCTTTACCATACAGATTAACGACATGGGACTACACGCAGGAACCCTTGGTTAGGGTTTTTCGTTCCAGAAGCTTGGGTCGTGCTGACATGCTAGGTACTAGAAACACCCCTTTTTAGTATGGTACTGCCAAGTTGCAGCTGAAGACAGGCATACGGTACTCCTAAATCTCCCGTGCTATATTATCTGTGCATTCCCCTAAGTCTTCCCAAGAGAGCTTAAGCCGGCAGGCTCTCTTTTGAATATGAACATAGGCATTTCTACCTAACTGAACCCTTACATGAAAGATCGTCGCCTTTAGCTTGACGACTCTCTTCGAGTGAACTCTATCCATTCAAGTCAAGGCATCAGTGATAGGATATACTCTAGTGTGCTCGGCAGAGAGCTAGACTAGGACGCCCTAGATTGGTTATTTCCCAGCCGAGGCCTACTATGGTATATACAATATGTCGCGAGATACGCAATGACATGCTTGAAATAGGTTACCAATTTTCATACAAAGGGAACATCGTGGATCCGAGAGTATGGTAAGCTGAGGCGAATTCGATCTAGGTGAGACTGGAGACAGCAATCAGGTCACTGCGAGGTCCTATCCACATTATCTGCTCGCATACTATTCCTTATCCTTTTGCCTTGTCTCCTGACCTTGTTGTTATTCGAGAGCAACCATGCCATAATACATGCTACCAATGCGCTGCAACCTCACAGTTCCTACGTATCATCCGGCCCGAGGGCCACAACCACAACAATCCAGAATGAGGATGCGCTAGCCGACCAGGGGTGAAGCCCGGGGAGGCGGTTAGGTTGCGGCGCTAACATCCTGAATGGTGTGACCAGGCTGCCAGGTTCAAACTGACAGCTGGGCAGCTGGGGTAAGGAGATTATGCGAACATGGCGCCGGGACCTTTTACTTGCGATCTACAGTCGACATGCTTCCGTGATTTATGGGCAGGCGATTGTCTTATTCTGTAAATAAGGAATTGACTACATAGCCATAGCTATGATATATAAGGTATGCCAGATATTTTTTGCATGAAGAGCTTCTTCACAGTCGTCGAATATCGCAGCACGTGCAATTTCGTTCATGCATAATGCAGCTTTTTATAGACGCCAAGTGGACCTTCAAATGCATGTTGTAGAACAGGCGGACAGCCTTGAAAGTGTACATAAATACTGATTCCTAGATATACGAACTGTGGATAGCTGGAAAGGGTCGAGACTAAGAATTCCCAAGCTGGAACAAGCTTCCATCACATGCATACCTACCTAACCTAACCTAACCTAAGGTAGGTAACTAGGTGGCTTGCGAATAGATGGAGTGAAATATAGACAGACAAAATACTTACCTACCTAGGTTGAAAGTTTGCCCTAGGGAGATAATACAATGCCTAACCCATCTATAGTGGCTTATTCCTCCTACGAAGAACCCATTTTCATGCTTGCTTGCGAGTCCTCCCCCCGTCTTTATCTCCAAACACCATGCAGAATGCACACTATAGTACAAGCATAGTTGACCCGAGCACAGCAACTAAACTCCAAAGCGTATAGGGCTGTTCTTCCCAACAAACCGGCGTTTCTTCCGCACACTAGACACAACTTGTTCTTTCAAACAACAGACGGTCAGCCGTTTACCTACCTAGGTATTGTAGATCGAACAAAAAAATTTGTTTCTTCAAATCGTCCCTTGCGTCGGCATCAAATAAAGTGACGGTTTCATTTTCTGGGGTAGAAACGAACTAGCGGAAGCGAATTTCGGGGAGCACCGAGAGGGATAGGCCTGTGCTTGGGCTGAGCTGACAGGCAATCTTAGTATTTACGGCGGTGAAGACAATGAATTGGGGTACCTAGGTGATGGCGAGGTAGGTAAGGTGATTGGCCCAGCCTGTCCCCCCTGCTTCGATTCAAACAAACTCCCTAAGTTATCAGGAGGATGAAAGTTGCCAAGCCAGCCCTTTTCTACCTAGTCATCAATGTCATATATTCATTATACTACGCGCTCGGGAGGGTATTCTACACTGCTCGCATCTAATCCGCCTCTAGCCTCGCCACCGGTGCGTTATCATTAACTTGGATCCCCCCGCGCTTCTTCTCGTCCGAGTCCCAGAACGGCAGTCTCCAACCGCCCTCGTCCTGCGGCACCGACAGCCACAGCCTCAGCAGGTGGCGCCTGGGCTTGCCGCTGTCGGGACCGAAGTCGCGGTACGCCGTGCGCGCGTGCAGCGTGTGCGAGTTGGCGACGAACTGGATGTCACCCACGTCCAGGACCATGTGCAGCTTCACCCGCTCGCAGGTCTCCTCGAGGACCCTCGTCGCCTCCTGCTGCTCGGCGGACAGCGGCGGGATGATCCCCTTGTCGGAGAACCGCGTCAGGCTGCGCACGTAGTACGGGTCCCACTTGCAGTACACGCGCTGCTCGCGCGCCGGGTCTGCCGGGTCCGGCGTCTCGAGGTAGAACACCGACGTCCGGATGTACGGCTCCTCGCCCTCCGAGACCTCGCCCTTGCGGTCGAAGTACCAGATCGGCTTCGTGAGCAGCTCCGCGACGTCGGGCCGCTCCTCCTGCAGGATGTTCCACACGTTGTGGATCGAGGCCACGTCCGACTCGCCGCCGAACTCCGCCTTGGACAGGCAGAGCAGCCCGACGATGTCGCAGTCGTCCGCGTGGAAGAACTGCCGCGCGTTGGTCCGGTATATTCGCACCTTGTCGATCTGCGTGCTGTCCTCCCCGAGGTCCTTGACGTGGCCCAGGATGTGCCCATGGCCATTCTGCGATACCGGGTAGCCGATGTAGACTCCCAGGCCCATATAGGCAACGGCCGATTTAGGGATCCCCCATTCGTTGACGGGGAAGCCTTTATACAGAATAAAACCCTTTCCGTTTAGAAGCTCGCGACGCATAGTCTCCAATGCCGATTCTAAGTTTGGAAGTCGGAAGTTTTCTTTTGAGATTCCGGTTAGTGGCAGACCTAGATTTATGAAGTTATCCGCCGCCTTGTATATCTCAGCCAGTTCCTCCGCGGAGAATTGGTGGACCCATCTCTCCGGATTGTTGGCATAGTCCTCTGCCTTCCACTCTGTAGGTCCCTCGATGCGTTTAGGAAACGCGCTGTAAGGGTAAAGCTGATCATACAGCGGTGGATGTTGACCTATATAGTAATAAGTAACTGGGCATGACTATAGATAGCTCCCGAACCAGTATTAGACTAACCTGTAGTCTTCAGTCCATCTGGGAAGATTGAGCGATCTACTTGTTTAGCCTTGGTTTTCAAGCTCTGGATGACATCAACCGGTGTCTCAACGTCTACGGCGGGAGCCATGACTAGGTAGGTAGATAGCTTTCCTCTTAATCTATCCCAATATGTCCAAGTCAAAAAAAAGGGGGGGAGGTAGGTCAGGCAGGCTTAGTTGGAGGATGGTGTAGGAGAATGACCGATTAAGAGAATAGGGTATAAATTGATTTGACGTGGTTAAATAGCTACTTCCTACGCATGTGTACTACCGCCGCCTTTAGTATCTGCAAGATAGCCGAAGGATGGCATCAGATATTATATCTTCTTCCCCTTTCTTTAGACCGCAAGGGGAAAGAAATCGAAATTAGGTTAAAGATGACCAAGAGGCACTGTAACCTTTTTCCTTTCTCCCTATCTTCCCCTCTATTGTCTACCTATCGCGGGGCTTCGATCACGCAATACCTAGCACGCAATCCTGGGCCAGGTTGCACCATTGAGTATCATTCATATGTGTTTACTATACCAAAGATACAGAAGCGATTGGTCCATACCTCCTACATTAGTGAATATATTCCGAAGTCTAAGCCGCTAAGCCTCCATCTACATGCTTGTCGTCGGCCTTGGCATCGACAAGTTATAGAACGATTTGAATTTCTTGGAGCGGCCCGAGCTAACGAATACAATCATTTTATTGCTGTTTCGAATTCGTAGAGTAATACGAAGTACGTGGCTGAATTCTTTTTCTAGAATTTGTCTTGGAATAATGGCATTCTCCAGCACGTCATAGCGGGCCAGAATAACAAAAACGCATTCATGGAAGAATATCGCGATAAGGTCCGACGACATCGGAGCCACGATAATCCTACGAGTGCAAGACGCCGTTCTAGGTAATTCCCGAGGTCCTATTAAAACCTACTGAGCTGCATAAGATTAAACTATGTAGGGTTCAGTGCTATTAAATATTCCGCTTCCAGTGTTCTACGATAGCTTCTCATGTTGTAATCCGTCCCGAGTTCCGACTTTATATAAATATGTACTTGTGAATTATTATTCGCAATATCTCTGATAACACAACGTAGGTTCGATTCACCTATAGGAGTCGTGCGAGTGAATCCAACGCTTGTTTCGAATGCAAATTATTATCATATTGCCCTTCGAGAGTCTTCTGAAATAAGGAGCTTACGAGGTTAAAGGTATCAATGAACAAAACCACCCATACAACACGTTATGACTGATTTTCTTTTCTTTTCTTTTTTTTTTATAAAAAAAAAACATTTCTTATTAAATATTCGTTACGAGTTCATTGCTCAAGACGGTTCATGTAGAATAAGGAAAAGTGATATTATCTACTTCGTAAGAGGGAGCACATGCTGAACTCGCCTGTAAGGGGTATCTCTGGCATTTCTCATACTCTCCTCTTTCTTTTTCTTTTTCTTTTTCTTTCTTTTTTCTCCTCCCCCCTCCCCCTTTTACTTCTTATGCAAGAAACTCGACACCGATCCCGCCAACGGACTCGGCCGGAACTCCTCGGGGCGATCTTCTTGAACCGGCATACCCGACCTTAATTCCTGCGTCTCCCTCGTCTGCTCCTCCTCGTCCGACAACAATAACCTCCCCTTTCCCTCATCCTCGTCCCAGCCCCCCTCGCGCTCCGGAGGCGCGCACTTGATATCGCCCCTCAGGATCTCGACAACGGTCGCGAGCGGCAAGAGCAGCATCCCCACGGACAGCAGCTGCCCGAAGCTCCAGTCGCGCTCGCCGGCGTCTCGCAGCGGCACGGGCGTCGACCGCGCGAACGCGTCGGCGAGGTACGCCACGCGCACGGTGGCGCCGACCGCGAACGCCGCCATCAGCGCGAGCCCGCCGACCTGCACGGCGGCGTAGAAGCGCCGCGCCCGCGCGTGCAGGTACCACATCGCCAGCCCGAAGATCACCACGTTCCCGACCAGGACCGCGCCCGTGCCGACGTACGACACGCCCGCGTTCGCGGCCGCGGGGCCGTCGCGGGTCTCCGCGCGCCACGCGCACTCGACGGGGAGCGTGGAGTCGCTGATCCCGCGCTGGACGGCACGCAGGACGAACACACCGTACGTGCTCGACAGCACGAGGTTCGCGAGCATGAGCAGCTCGCGCATCCAGCGCAGGACCCAGTCGCGGCGGAAGTCGCGGGCGAGGGCGAGCAGGGTGGCGTTGTGGACGGCCATGGAGAGCAGGGAGAGCATCCAGACGAGGAAGAAGTGGTAGGGGACGAGGGACGCGCGCTTCGCCAGGCCGACGGACTGGATGCCGATCCCCGTCAGGATCTGCTGGTCCGAGTACGAGTTGAGCAGCTTGCGGCGGAGGATGGACGATTTCGGGGGCGAGGACGAGGACGAGGATTTGGTCTTGGACTTGTTGTTGTTGCGGATCTCTTGGAAGACGAGAGAGGCGCTGAGTAGAAGTGCTATCGCGGCGGCGATTATGAAGGATAGGAGCACGCCGATGCCTGCGATCCCCGGGTCGCTGGGGACAGTGCTGGGTGCATTGGTGCAGTCGAGCTCCATATTGAGATATGTGATAGTTTGGTTTGTATAACTGTCGTCAGTCAAATGGTCAAGACTAGATAGAAAAGGGAAAATCGTAATGCGAAGATCCTATCAACCTTCTCGAGAAAAGGGATGAATTTTTTTAGTAGCTATCGATGAAATGTATCCCTGGTAAGACGTAAATATAGTAACAACAATAAACCACGTTTAAGGAAAATGCCACGAGAAAGAGCAAAAACACAATAGATTTCTATTATTATTTTAGTTAATTGTTCTGGAATCTCACTCGCCCTTTGTAGGTATGTTTGTATGTCTGTGTTCCTCTCCCCATTCCCTCCCCCCTCTTCTTGTCTTATGCAATGACGTCGGCCTCACTGCCAATAAGCGCTTTAGATGAAACGTCGCGTATATCACTTAGACCCCTGTTCTAGGTTCATCGACTGGACGAGAAGGGCTCGTCAAGATGTTTGGGTGCGGCTGTGCTTTTCAGGCTTCAGTTTCTGGGCGGTGCGATTTGCCAATAGCGAACTGACACTGCATACCTAGGTACATATTAGATTTAAAGAGACTCTCCGCCTATACAAATTGTCCATTGTCCATTGTCCATATTAGGCAAGCTAACCCCTTTTATTTTTCTTTGCTTCGCTAATGACTACTGTCTTGCCTATGTACGTCGCGCAAGTGAGTTGGAAGTTGGGAGGGCACACATAAAGAGACACCAACGGCCCAAACGCTGGCAGGCGTAGGAAAATAAAACCATAGATTCAACCTAGGAGCCGAACCCGTCCAGAAGTCATCAACTATAACTAACCCCCCCTTTAGGAAATTAGTGGAAGCCCGCCAATCTAAAAATCTAGTAAAGGTCGTAGCTAAGCTCATATCATCAATTTATCCACTGTATCCGGTCCTCGTCTCGAGGAAGGCCTTTTTGTCTTTAGTACGAAGAAAAAAGGGAAAAGAAGCGTTGGGATATCAACGAAAATAAACGATTGCAGCCTCCAACTCCGTCCAACTCCAGAGTCTGAGCCTTCGCGACGCTGAGACCTCCCTTTGAAGCAGTAGGGCTATACCCCCAAACCACCATCCATGTTAACCCATCCTGAGGAAGTAAGCCCTTTAGAATGGCCCCCGTCACAATTGCAAATACTCTAATGCCCCTTTTTTATGGTCTCAATTCGTTAGACATCTGCGTGAACTCATAATGTCATTCGTCCGCTAATGCTGTATCATGCTTTTCTTTGCCTCTTTGCAGCTCGGTCAGGGCTATCGTCCAAATCATTTCGCAATATTTCCTCAGTGCCGCTCGGACTTGGCGACTTATGGCTTGGTGTGTTTGTTTCCACAATTCGTCCAGCATTCAGGCTATCAGTGGTGATAGTAGCAGCAAACTCGCCGCCGTCCGTATTCCAGTCAAAGTTCGCGCCATCGTGGAAGGCTGTAGTATCGAAGTTGAAATCAGTCGCTGGTGCGTCTGCATTATACGCATTTGGGTCTAGATACTGGTTTAGATCGATATTGTCATCAAAGTAAGCACTCGAATCATCCAGGCCAGGTATTCGACCTGATGGACTGAGGGGACCTAGCAGTTGGTTGAGATCCTCTAGCTTCTGGGCCTGTTCATGCTGTAAGCGTTGAAGTTGTTCGAGTTCCTCTTCCGTTTGCGATATCCGCTGGATTGACGGTGGGTGAATTGATGGCAAATCGGGCGATAGTGAGGCGCGCCCGTTTACAGCCGGCGGAACTCCCACGACAGGCGGACTTGCGACCGCTGGTACAGGGGGCGAAGAAGCTGAGGAGAGAGGAGTAGTAGGGACTGCGCTGTTCCGGCTGCCAGACATGATGCTCAGCATGCGGTTTCGCTGGTCATTGGTCAGAGTTGCCGACGTATTAGCGGCAACGTTGGGCAAGTCGGCAGAAACATTTCCGGAATTTGTGTTTGCATCTTGGATGATTTTCATCATGCCCTCTTGAGGATTTGACTCGAGTTCTTGTTTGAGGTAAGCAGGCGTTGACGACTCCGTCGGGGTATCGAATACTTCCGTAACATGCCCTATCTGTGGCTGCGGCTGATGATTATTTGGATAGTTAGAGAACGGCGTGGAGGTACTGGTGGTAGGTGTCGTCACGGGGGGTGTCTTAATGCCTTGGTTCTGAGGAATAGGAGGTAGAAGGCGGTGCTGTCTCTTGGGTGTGCCCACCGGTGTCGAGGTCCCAGGCGGGTGGTGCACCCAATCGCCCAGATCGACCACACTCCCTTGGCCTTGCGGCGGCGGCATCTGGACGTTAGGAATGATGCTGGCTAGTAGATCATTTACATTTTGCACGCCACCTTGCTCCTCGAGCGACTTCCTAAAGACGTTCGCTAGGAAATTTAGGATAGCATTGATGGAATTTTCATGACGATCATGCATATTCTGGAACATGATTGCTTGCTGATACAGTTGGTTATGTTCCTGCCGGAGTCGCTGGATGGCTTCGCTGATTTGCTTTTGGCGACTCTGCAGTGCTGCCATTTGGTCTCTGACGACTGCCAACTCCTTCTTTTGAAGGGGCCCCGACTCTGGCGCTGGCAGTGCTCGGTTCTGCGCATTTTGTTGAGGAAAGGGGTGGCCGATAGCTTCATCTGCCACGACAACATCCTCGTCGCTCTCACCTTCACCTTCTTCTCGCTTCTTGGCAAGCTTTTTGGGGCCACCGCTCTTTGGCTTGTTGATTAACCAGAGCAGATTCGGATGGCCACGCTTGAAATAAGGGTTGTAGTATTCGCTTGGGCTCTTATTTTTACGTTCGCTAGCCTTCATAGAATTATCTGAAAGACCAACTTTCTTGTGAAATCCGTACATGTTGAGCTGCCGAACAAAGGACGCGTAGTTGTTATGCTTGAACAACTCAGGAATCAAGGTTTTGGCAAACTCATCTTCATCGAGGACAATAAAAGAGTCACCCTTCTCCGACCACCTAATTAGATCTGTGTTTTTCGATTCCTCCAAAAAGCTATAAACAATATTAGCAATGCACAGCAAAGCCCGCAGAGAGAGAGAGCGAGAGAGAGAGGACACATACCTATTTAACTTTTGCACGAAAGGAGGGATCTGCTTCCGCTTCGCTTGGGCCTCCCTCTTTGCCCTCTGAGCCTTCTCCTCGAGCAACTCTATGTTATCATGCTCGTCAATAGTTCCATTTGATGGGTTCGCAATCAAGTTCTCGTCGAACCCTGGCCATGCATCATTGTGTTGAGGAGTGAAAGCGCGATTGGTAGCGACGAGAGCGTTGTTGATGCCTCGCCTAGCAAGGATGGTCGATGCGTTAGCTGGGGGGTATTGTGACGGCGTCGGAGGTGGCATGACTCCATAGGAGTTTACCCCATTCGTAATGTTTTCGACGAAGGTTCCTGGATTATTCCCATTCCATCTTGACAACTGGTCTGGTGGTGTGCTATAGGGTTGCGCCATTGGGTGCTGTATGGGTACACTGCCGGGTGCTGGCCTTTTTCGAGGTTTCGGTGATGACATAGGTTGATAGTAGGCGTACATGAACCACGACCAAGGGAAGTGGTCCTAGTGGTCCTAAGAGCGCAGGTAAGTGTAGCTGCCTGGCCTACTTCACCAGGAGACGATTATCAGTATCCCGTATATCCTGTAGACGAGTGGCTCCTAATAGTATACGCCGCTACTTCAGATGGAATAAGATTACAACGATGACGGAGATGGTCGACGTGGACCAAAGTTGGGTGTCAAAGAGGGGAAATCGTAGGAGCGGGGAGCTAGGAATAAGAGAAATTGAGAAAGCGGTGGTAGGTCCGTATATGAAATCCGCAAGGCTGTCGAGAGGAGATAGGCTGGCAGGCGGTCGGGTTAGGCGGCTAGGCTAGGCGCGCACGTTTTTTTCTGCCGAATACTTTGTCGTTGCGCAAGGCTGCGTGATATCGTTTCGGTGAAAAGGAATGTGATCGTTAAGTATGGGTTAAAGCGACCAATCAGATGGAGAAAGGTTATGCGCGCAGGGTTGCAGGCTTTGCAAATTTCGTAAGGAATCTCAGGTTCTGGCTCAGGTTCTTGTTCAGGTTGTTCAGGTTGTTCAGGTTTTCGCTCAGGTTTTGGCAGTAGATTTTCAAGGCTTTCAATCCCGATGGAGTAAAGTGGTGGGTTCCAGGCTTTCCTACGCATTCATAGCTCTGCCTATATATTGGCCGAGCTTCATAAAGGAGCCTGAGTGACAACAGAAGGAATTGAGACAGCACTAGAAGCTGTAAAGAGTCTTCAAGACTTCCCGATTAGGCTGTCTCTAGGAGTTGCGACAGCGATCAAGCGAACAGGCTGAGAGGTGAGAGTCAGTCAAGGGTAAAAACAAGGGTAATGGCTAAAGCCCGTTGTTCTCGAAGTCGCAAAAGAATAATTCGATGTCCTAGATTGTCTAAGATAGATTAAAATATTTTGGCCGACATGCATATGGCGTAACACTGTAGAATCCGTATGTAGGTACCTAGGTAGGTTAGGTACGGTACGGTACGTATGTATGTATGTATATTCAAGGTAGCGGCGGCAGGTTTGAGTAAGAAGTTGAGAAAAGTTAAAATGCGGATGCGAATGCGGATGGGGATGTAGAATGGATGTAGATGTAGATGCGGATGTGGATGTGGGTGTGGATGTGGACGTGGTTAAAGCGGGAAGCGGGAAGCGCCAGCGTTGTCCTGGACGAGAATGGAAATGGGAATGCAAATGGGAATGTCAGCTTTCTGATGGGATTTTCAAAAATTGACCGGCCTTCGGGCTCACAGGCCGTAACAACACCCCCCCAAAAGACACAGAAGAATTCGTTCGTCCCGTGTCTTGGCTTAGTCTCTTTACTGTGCGCGCTGGCACTGGCACCGAACCGAACCGAGAATATTGACGAAACAACTTCTTTTTTAGAGGGGCAATGTTATCCCTTACAGCCGTACCAGGCAGACAAGGGAATTAATCGGGAGAGAAGCTTCAATTGTTGATAGTTCCAAGTTTGGCTTCAATGTTCATTGTTGATGCTCAAGTAAAAGTGTATATAGCATGAAGTCAGCTACAGTATACATTACATATGTACGTAGGTATTTAAGGTATGAAATCTGGGTAGCGCCATATTGATAATGAGACGGGATGATTTGCGCTAAAAGTTAAAAGTACAAGTTGTATTGTACCGTACCCTCTGTGCGAAATTTTTGATGGAACTTACAGCAAAAGCGTTGCTTAACAAGGGTCGTTAGTTAGGTACCTGGTACATGGTTCTGCGTCCATCCTCTGTACCGTATAATGCAGTACATAAATAGGTAGCTATCCGACCAATCAACAGCAGCATCGATAAGATATTCTTATAGAGATCAAAAAGATTACACTAGCTTCGCAGCTTGCTTCGTCATTCATACAATCGGATGATTATCTCGTCATAAGTCGTCTAGTCGTCTAGATTGTATACTTGTACATTAGGTAGGAGTTCCTTTCATTGGCCTTTAGGAACCTCGGTTCTCTATACTGTCATGGTTCTTAGTGTCTTACGATTTTTTTTCTTCCTTTTTTTTTTTTTTTTTTTTTTTTTTTTTTTTCAAATGTTACTTGTTACTTGGGTACTGATTAGTGTATTGTTTAGACTGCGGAGAAATAATACATATGGCAATCCGTAGGTACCGGAGCAATCTGCGCCAAAACCATGTCCAACTACACCCAAAGCTATGAAGCTGTGGAGCTATTAATAAGAACCATGTACCGAACGCCAACAGGTCCGGACCATCACCTCCAGTCGATGCAACGCTAGGCTGGAGTGCTGGAGACTTGGGTGCTTTAGGCTCACCAATCACGAGCGTCCAAATGCACCACAGCTCTCTCTGTAGTTTACCCAACTAGGACCAAATTCCGATTCTCAGCAGTATGCACGATTGTATCGCAATATCAAAAACACCCTAACAAAACATAGGCTTTCACTTTTTTGCACGTTGTTTACAGGACCCACGTAGCTTGTCAGAATGCAAAGCCTCCTTTTTTTTTTTTTTTTTTTTCTCTTCAACGAAGACTAAGGGTAAATCACCCATGCCGGCTTCAACCTCAGAAGGTCATAGAACTTTCTATAGCCAAGGGGTATCAATGATCATTTTCAAACCTCAAGAGATACGAGAAGAGAAAAAGGAAGGGGAATTCCTACGGTGAACATGTTTTACTTGGCTCCTCTACCAGCCAAAGCCGATGCTCTGGCCAACTTGGCATTTCTTGCTTGATCCCATTCTCTTCCAGAGTTTCCACTTTGGGCCTCTCTTTGCGCCCTCTTCTCTTCCTTGAGCGTCCGGGCTTTCTCTCTAGGATCGATTACAACCAATTCCTCTTCGGCCTTTTTTCGATACGATAAATCCTTCCCAAGCTTATCGGCTGCAAAACTTAGTGCGTGTGACATCCAACCCTCATCGTCGCTCTCTTCCTTTTCAGCCTTGTCCCACGAGTTGCAGCTTTGGCAGTTGGCAATAAAATGTAGATCGCATAATTCAGCTTCGTCGTCGTGCTCGCCAGGGCCCTGTTCAGTGTCATTATCTTCCGTACGCACATTTGGCTGCTCTTTCTCAGGCCCAGCTTGACTAAGCTTGGAGCGGAAAGCTTGAAGCATTAGTAAATCTTCGTTTACAACAGGTCCCTCGCCCCCTTCTCTTCTTCTTTTCCGGCCGCGCGTGGATGTCTCCGGAATTAATTGCTCCAATGCTGTTTTTTTAACCTCCTTCACTGGTTCAGAATGAATCGTCCGTTTCATAGATACTTTCAAGGCTGCAATTTCTTCGTTCGCTTGCTCTAATGCAGATTTCTTCCGAGGTTCTGGTTCTGGAGATGATTCGTCCCGAATAGGGATGGGTGCGCTCTTTGTAGGTGGTGGAGACGGTCGTGTTTCCGATTTCGTGTCTGTTCGAAGTTCACGAACTGGTATAGAAGATCCGGTCGCCTTGGCCTCCTTATTAGCACTACTCTTCGGCGGCTTAGCAACGGGTGCTGGCTCTTCATCTGCATCCATGACAATTCGCGAGTCGAATTTCGCCTTTTTCAGAACCGGCGCGTCGTCGTCACCTTCTTCGTCTCCAAAACTTAACAACTTCTTTCCCGCCTTAGATTTAACTTTCTTCTTCTTCTCCGTAATGAGCGCTTCGTGGGTACGCTTGGCAATCCTTTCTCGCTTTTTCATATCATCGAAAGGGTTCACAAGAATCTCCACGCCCGTTATTCTTATAGGGTAGAGAGGTCGCTCGGTCCCTTCTGCTATCTCTGCCTCACCCATGCGGGCTAAATTATAGATTGTGTCGCCCACTACCCTTCCAAACACCGTGTTCTTGCTATTCAACTCCTCGGCTTTGTCCAGAGTGAAGAAGAATTGACTGGCATTTGTATCCGGTTTGCCCTCGTTCGCCATACCTAGTAATCCCCTTCTGTTAAACTTTAATCGTGAATGAAACTCGTCCTTGAAGTTTACGCCCGTGGGTCCAGCGTTCTTCCCGCGGCGCTGATCCATAGGCCACGGATCCAGATCACCGCTATATGCGCCGCCATCGTAGATGGACTCGCCCCCATTTCCTGTCCCAGTGGGATCACCTCCTTGTATAATAAAGCCAGGTACTAGACGATGAAATATTGTATTATCGTAATATCCGTCGAGACATAGCTGGAGGAAGTTTCGCGAGGTAAGCGGGGTCTGTTTTGCGAAGAGCTCGACGGATAGGTCACCCAGGGTCGTATGGAGAATTAGGGAAGCCGTGGGCTGAGGCTCGAGATTGTAGATGGAGGACATATTGCGCGGCGACCTCAAATAACGGTCAATGCGGTCAATGGGGAGGTTGAGGTAGAAGAAAGGCTGGGCTTGATTTGAGAAAGCTGGTTTTTTTATAAAAAAAAAATGTTGAAATAAAAACAGAGAACCTGGAAGCTTTATTAGACGCAAACTGACGTGCAAGTAACTCGATACAGCGCGTTTCGGGTATGTATTGTAAAACGTACCTAACCTAAGGTCCGGCCTGCCGCCGACAAAATAAACGTTATCTTATCAGGGTCTTACCTGCATTTCCGATCATGCAGATTACCTAATGTACATTTAGGAATGTACAATACCTCCTAAGGTGCTTTCAGTCAGGCCTCTAGGTTGCTGAGACGTATGTAGGATACAGTGTGAAAAGCTCCACCCTCCCGCACCTGTAGGGTAATCAAGCAGGGGCTCTCTGCATATTTTACGTACTTAGGTACCTATTCGCCTCAACGTACCATCGAAAAGTTTTTTTTTTATTTTTTTTTATAAATGTCCGAACATAAATCTACATATCAGTCATATGGATGACCCAGATTTATGATAAGATCTTAAGGGGAAATTATGTCTTACAAGAAGATTTTATCTACCTAGGTTGAGTCTTCTACCAAGTTGCGAGAGTTAATCTCTTAGTTCTCCAAGTGACTGGACTTACAACCCACAAACCCACTGAGTTTGGCGTATACATAAATTATTAATTCTCACTAGGCTATTTATAAAAAAAAATTGGAAGCTTTCTATTACACAAATAATACAGAAACGCACCACCTAAAACTATGGCAGCGCAAGAATCGAATCCGAATTTACCGCCCTTGGAGGCAACTAACGCGGTTCTGGTTCCATCCGATGAACTACCCGAAGGAGCTCAGAAGGTCGAGGAGATCGACTTCAATGCTTTCAAGGGGCGGCCAATTACTGTGGATGATGTGCTTGGTGGCATGAAGCATATGGGCTTTCAAGCATCTTCTATGGCTGAGGCAGTAAGAATTATCAATGATATGGTTAGCAAAGGGAAAGCATTTAGCTCCTAACACTTTCACTGACAATTCCCGAAGCGAGCATGGCGTGACCCGGAAACGGGCGATAAAACGACGATATTTCTCGGCTACACGTCTAATATGATCTCATGTGGTCTAAGAGGAATATTTCGTTACCTGGTACAGAACAAGCACGTCTCGTGCATTGTCACATCTGCCGGTGGTATCGAAGAAGACTTCATCAAGTGCCTTGGTGACACATACATGTCTTCGTTCAGCGCGAAGGGGGCAGAGCTCAGAGCCAAAGGTCTCAACCGAATAGGTAATCTCATGGTTCCCAACGCCAACTATTGTGCCTTCGAAGACTGGGTCGTGCCCATTCTAGACAAGATGCTCGAAGAACAAGAGGAAAGCAAGGGAACCGACGAGGAAATCAACTGGACCCCATCCAAGGTTATTCACCGGCTCGGAAAGGAGATTAACGACGAGAGATCGGTATACTACTGGGCATATAAGAATGACATTCCAGTATTCTGCCCAGCCTTGACAGATGGTAGCCTAGGTGATATGTTATATTTTCACACCTTCAAAGCCTCGCCAAAACAGTTGAAAATTGATATAGTGGAGGACATCCGACGTATCAACACTATCTCTGTACGGGCAAAGCGAGCCGGAATGATTATATTGGGAGGTGGGGTTATCAAGCACCACATCGCAAACGCCTGCTTGATGAGAAACGGAGCTGAATCGGCTGTTTATATCAATACTGCTCAAGAATTTGATGGTAGTGATGCGGGCGCACGGCCTGACGAGGCCGTCTCCTGGGGAAAGATTAAAGTGGGAGCTGATCACGTCAAGGTAATGGGCCACGTCTATTTGGAAAACTTGTTTTCAGATTCACCAGATCTAACATTTGCCATAGGTCTATCTCGAGGCATCCGCCTGTTTCCCTTTCATTGTAGCCAGTACCTTTGCCAAGGACGAGTAGGCTTCTGAGAAACGTGTCGCGAGGAGTCATGAATATTTGGTATAAATCTAAGAAAAACTCAACTTTATCCAACAGCCTGTTCCTCCAATTACTGTGCCCAAGTACGTAGGTAGCTACCTAAGCTGAGCAGTAAACTTCACAGCTAAATGCAACCTTTACTAAAAGGGTCTCACAATTTAAGTGCGATTAAAGGGGGGGTGTCCTTGCGAGCACAAAACTTACCTAGGTTAGTCAAAGAATTATAAATCCTGCTTTCTTAAATTGTCCCCGTCCTTGGTTTAGCAGCAGATAGGGATTAAATGCAAACTTACCTAAATACTCATATCTTGATTCTCGATTCTCGATTTTCAATTTTCGATAAGTGTACTAATTCGATACACGAAGAAACTTCTACGACCTACGTACTCACTTCATTCGAGAGTATAGCACTTCGTATATAGAGTTATTTGATACGTTTTACTACGTAATCAGTTCAACTTGGAGCCGAGAGGATACCAAAGTTCATAGCGGATGACGTTGGGTGCTTTTAAAATCCCAACGGCGTCTTTTGAACGGCCTCCTTTTGATCACTGAGCTACGCCTCAGAGTCAGGCTTTAGGTACCTTCCATTACCACTTCTCATTCAACTCCTAGGGCCATTCGTAATATCCCCCCTCCCCCCCATAAAGGAATCTTGACCATTCTTCACGCATTGTTCAGGGGATTCTAATAACGATCCTTAAATATAATTGTACCCTGTCCGCGATTGAACTTCCTAGGAAAACTACACGACGACATCAACTCATTTAATACTACTTGATATCCTCCCCTCTTCTATACAAACCTACCAATGAATAGAGATCAACTAGGTGCAGTATTAGCCCCGTTGAAACACGCATCGGGCTCTATAACTATTCCTTCTAAATAAAATCGCCTCCTACCTCCTCTGAGGCCACCAACCAGTTTAATGCACGTCTCTTACCAATTTATGGAATCACGCAAAGATCGCAACGGATCTCATACAGAAAATTCAACGGTTATACCTCCGTCCACACAGTCATGTTCGAAAGATGACATATTCATGCTCCAAGCTCAATATCGAGCTGCAAGGGCTCTTATGCGCTTGAAATATGCGAAGCCTGAGGAAAGCGCCCATACGGAAACTCCTCGCCTGGAAAGCGAAGCCAGTATCAACCCAGCTGTGAATGGCAACAGCCACTCCGAGCCATCGCTTTCCTCCACGCTGTGGCAGAAGGGAAGCCACGGCCCCCAGTAAGTTTTTCACTTATCAAATGGCTCTTTATAATACTTCTCATTGTAGTACCGTAACCTTCTCGTAGTTCTCGCATCTCATAATTATGGTCGACAACAACTTTTACATTGTCCTAACACACTGAATGATATTAGCAGAGACTTTGGCCTTGTCCCTATTACCCATCAGCAAGGCTCGCAGGGTTCGCAACTGGCTCAAAGGGGGGAATGCACAGCAAGCTTGGACTTTGGAGCCTCGATAGTTACAATGAGCCGACACACTGGCCGAGAAGAGTTGCTAAAGCCCGGACGAAGGAACAGGAGTGACGGAAGGTCCTCGGTAGACAAGCTGATGGATGAAGTCGAGGCTGTGGTCGGAGGCCAGCCAGCTGACGACGCTCCGAAGGAGGAATGGGATCGCTACCTTGGCTCTTACATAAAAGAACTGGACCGGAGAACGGAATCAGGTGCATGGCATCAACTTGAAAAGGCTCAGCAATTTGTCCGGAGAATGGGGCAAGCACCTTTCAGGCGCGTGAACTACAGTAGCGACGAGGAAGACCTGCCTAAAGCCAGCGAATCAATGATACCAGCCCGACAGAAAGACCATACCGAAGGAACCCAGGGCAATAGTAATGAGATCACACCTACGCATGGCAAGTCTCGGAATAAACGTCGCGGTGGACCGGGCGCTAAGAAGAACGAGGTGCAGACAGCTTCCGTGGATAAGCAAGCAGCAGCAGCAGCAGTAGCAGTTCTAGAGTTAGAAAACGCGAAACGGTCGACGGGTAGAAGTGGAGTGAAGTCATCAATACCTGATATACCACCACCACCACCAAGCCTGTCGGCGGAGCAGAACAATTCACAACGTAAGAAAAGACGCCGAACAGGGCTGGAATCCTTGGAGTCGAACTTGGGTAAGAACTGGGAACCCCATGTTGACGAACGAGGCCATAGGCCAAGCCGAGAGAGAACTAAAAGTAATACTAAAGCCTTGAGCCTTGAGTAAGATTCGAGGTAGCCACGGAGATTATAGCAGATTGAATAGTATATTGCATTTGGCACGTGGCAAAGGCCATCTCAGTCTATTCAGTCAAGTCATCGCCCTATTAATTGGATGTTATTGATATGTATATAGTACCTATGTAGGTAGTTCATGTCAATGCTTATGTCCTTCGAATTCTAGAGTACCTACTAGGTAACATGCAACATATAATCTATCCTAAAAAAAAAGATAAAAAAAAGCCGTTGTTACCTCTCATGTAATGCCGAGGTCATAGCTACCTCCATAGGCATTATACTTAGGTACCTAATACTTTACGTACGCACCTTAGCGTTTTAATGTCATAGGTATCAGATTAAATGCTTACGAAGTGTGGAATGCCATATGGCCCATTGATAGTTCAAAACGGGTTTCAAAAAGGTTAGCGCAGAAAGTATTTACAAGCTTGGTCCAATCTTTCGTAACAGCTGATCTAGGTATGTCCACGATGTGCCATTTCCCCTTTTCGTTTTTTTCTTTCCCCTCTATAAAACGCCCAATCATAGGCGTTAGTGTGCCTTAAATACCTCTTGCCAACAATTGCGCCACTAAAATCAGATACAAACGGAACTGTCTCAATTTTGTGCTATGATTTATACCGCACCGCATCAGCCTCTCATGCAGCCCTCCGTCCAAGGACGAATCGAAAAATAATAATAATGATAAGTTTTTGAATAGCTAGTGCATCTTGACTGTACATACGTATACGAGAGAGGTTACACGCGGAGGATCTTCGTGCTACATCCATTAGGTATACATGGCCCGTACGAACCTTAGGTGCCTACAGAGGTATGTAGGTACTCAGGTGGTACAAATAGGTAAACTTGATCATGCACGTCCGTAGTTGGTTAGGTAACTTGGCAGTCTCGAAATGCGCGTTCGACAAGTCACGACACGAACTGGTGATTGGGCGTTTAAGACAGGCAGGTTGCAAGGCTTTAGGGCCATTGTGGATTGCAGATGGACCCCGATTGGGTCTTCGTGGGTCTCCATGGGGGCCCTAGTATCTTTAATGCCCATATGGCTTTTTTACCAGCGCGCTGCAGGCTTACATTGGCCTACATTGGCCTACATTAGCGGGTTAGCTAGCGGCTTATAGGTTCCGGGTGTCCTGCATCCCTGCTCGGGGGGGTTCGATTTTTAGTCTAGCCTGTCTTGGATTTTCTCTGGCAGTGGTAATCCGTCTCCAGCAGGTGCCACGCGAAGTTTTTGTGTTTTCGAGGGTCTCCAATTTCAGCCTCTTCAAACCTTCTTGTCTTTTCAACGTTTCCTTATCGAAAACATTGCGTTTTTTCAAAACCCCAAAACCACCCCCCATCTGGGATTCCGACAATATAACACTACCCAAGCCTGTCGCATAGCAATATCTCAATCTTAAAAAGGTGTTCTAGGTATATGTACCTAGCCACATTAAAGTTTAGAGCGTAAGGGAGGGGTTGCACTCGAAGCGCCTAATTTCCATTGCCCGTACTTCCACAATTTTATCGCCAAATCTTCAAACCATCACGTTGAAGCCTTTTGCCGTCGCTAAGGTCTCATGACTCTCGCCCGTACATTTTAGCCAATAACTCTATGAGAATTTTGTAGGGTATTTATACGCGGGCCTGCTCTGCCGCTTGACAGACATGTAAGTCAACTTTCTCATTCGACGCCTGCCCGATATCAATATCAACACAAACTCATCCGAACAATCATCTTCTATCAACGTATTGTATCGAAGATTGACTGCTTTCGCTTTACATAAATTCTTTCTCTTTTCTTTTGAAAAAAAGGCCCAAAAAAGAAAAGAAAAAGAAACAAAGTAAACATACTTCGAAATAGCGATATGGCCCCGATGCTATGCAATTTCGTGGAAAACATGATAAAGGCAGAGGAGGTCGTCATCAATCTAGGATGACCCCCAGGTTTACTTATTGTAATAATCTAACCTCGCTTAGGGCTTCCCGCTACAATGGATCGCGGTACGATGGCGATTCACGTCGTTCAAGATCGAGAGATCGCTCGCCGGATCGGAGATCATTGTATAGCGACGGCGGACCGCGGCGTTCCTCTGCCGAATCCCGAGTGAACACTTCCGCGTTCCAGACCAACCGGGACAGCTTTCGCGATGCACCTCTCTCAAGAGATCCGCCTAGGGGGCCCAAAGCCTTACTCGATGCGCCTAGTGGACCTCGTGGAGGATACTCTGGAGATTTCCGCGGTCGGGGTCGTGGAAGAGGCAGAGGTTGGCGAGATGATAGCCGGGATCGAGGGAGAGACAGAGATATCGACTTCCGAGATCGGAGAGACAATTCATACCGCGATGAACGTAGTCGAGAACGCGACCGCGGAGATTGGCGTGACCGTGATCGAGACAGCTTTAGAGGACGGCGACCGTCACCCCGTGGACGATCACCCCCTGGTAGGGATTTCCGGGATTCGAGAGACTTAAGGGATCCTCCCCTAGGTGTTGATGCAGAGCGAGCTCGGCGTGGATCAAGGGACGGCCCACTTTCCGCAGGATCGTCTTCATCCGATCCTCCTTTCGGACCTTCGTCCTATCGTGGTGGATATAGTAGTCGAGGCCGAGGTAGAGGCCGTGGCGATTGGGATAGAGGTCGTGGACGAGGTTTTTACGACGATCGTGATAGATATGGTTCGGCTTTTAGGTCGCGTTCTCAAGAGGGACGATACAGGGATCGAGACGACCGCGACCGTGATAATAGATATCTCGATCCCGACTTGCGTCCACGCGACCACCGAGACGATCGAGATGTACGTGACCGCGATGTACGGCCTAAACTCGAGAGAGCATCACATGAGCCGCCCCCACTACTGCCGAAAGATGTTTCACCACCTCCAGTCGCTCCAGCCGCGCCATCCTTTGGATCCGTACCTAATAGAACTACGTCAACGACGGAGGTCAGTCCGGCTACGGGCAAGGCGCCTCCAACGGGACCGAGGGCCCTTAAGGAAGAGCGACCTCCAGTACCAGGCCCTCCGCCTAGTACAGATTCAAGACTGCCGCCTATCGGTCCATCTAGATCGTCCTTCCTGGAAATGAGTCCAGCTGCTATTCCTTCTGGCCCGCGCTCTCAGACACGACCTGGACCCTCAAGCAAGCAATGGATCAATCCCAATATTAAGAATCGCGTTCCTGAGTCACCGAAACTTAGCAGGTCCCAGAGCTTAGCCCAACCACGGCCCGCTGGGTTTCGTCCTGACGGAACGCACTCAGATCAGCCGGTGGATAATGACCAACGACCGCCCAGCAGTGATGCGAAGGCAGATACACATATGAGTTTTGTAGAGAAACATACTCATGATTCTCGCCCCATCAGTTCAGCTGGGGAGTTTGCCAAGCATGATCAACCTCCGCTGTCTGATAAGCTATCTCGGGATCGGGAACATCAGCCTCACGACAGACCCGGTAGCAAAGGTAAGAGTGAAGACGGCGAAATAGACGAGTCCGGTAATTTAGTCGAAGAAACCCCCGTTGTCGAATCGAGGCCTTTACCGGTCGCAGATACGGCTGCGGCAAAGCCAAAACCTGAAAGAAAACCTATTCTCAAGGTTCCATCGAAACATGCTTCTCAACCTCGGAAGGAAGTAAAGCTGCCCATTCTGGACCAGTCGTCGGAGTCAGATGATGAGGAGTTTGGCGATGTCATTGAATCGCAAATGGCCGAAGTGGAGGCAAAGTTGAAGCGACTTGAAGGAATTGAGGAAGCTGTGCCGATGGATGCGATAGTGCGGCATGTAATTGTATCTTTCGAAGTTATCACGAAAATTCTGAATGAGCCTGAAAGTTTGGGGGAGATGGTTGGCCAAGTCCCAGACGATATTCCCCCACCTGGTAATGCATCTGCAGAACCAGAACCGCAAGTCGAGAAGATCAAGGAGCTTACTGACACTAAAGAGACTGTAAAAGAGAAGACCCCTCAGCCGGTAGTTGAAGAGCCATCCCCAGTGGTTCCAGCTTCAAGTGCAGAGCTTCCTCAGCCATCTATCGAGCACGATATCGATGTACCCGCGGTTCAGGAAACGGTCGCTGAAGAACATAAGCCCGGCAATGATGATGGAGATGTACTTATGGAAGATGTCTTAGACGTTGCCCAACCCGATTCCGAATTACAAACTCCGCTCCGAACTCAGCTGTCAGTCTCTCACAAGCCATCCGCGGAACCACCGTTTGAGGAGGCCCAGATTCAATCGCAAGAAATCAGCAAAATGGGCTCAAACACACCATCTCCAGCGGAGGACGAGGATGAAACGGATATAGAGGACGTGGACCTTCAGACAATCGAAATCGTCCGAGAACATATGGCAACTCCTCCAATTGACAGTCTCCCTTATTTTGATGAGAAGCCATGGTTTCAGGACGCAGCTTTTCTTAAGTCGATGGACGCTCAGAATGCAAGCCTCAGTGCGTTCATATTGGACAGGCTACATGACGAAGCACAACATCGATTGACAGAAGAGTTGCGGGTGAAGTCGATCTATGACAGGAATTATGATCACTATTTACGGTTCACTATGTCTAATGACCCTGTAGCTGTCAAAAGCCGAGAAAAATTTACTTGCATCGCTGGATTCGAGAGCACCGTGCACAAGCCTGGTTTCCACGAGTCGAAGCCCGAAGGGACGAGGCGGAGCAGGTATGCGTCGGAACGTGACTTGGAACGGATCTTGGAAGAGTCCCGACGCGTGGAGGATGAGAAAAGAGAGCGGCAAATGCAGGCAGAAAGAGAAAGGTACAGGACTGAGAAGGAGGCAGTGCTACCTCGTCAGTATCAAGCTCCCGAGGAGCGAGAGAACGATTTCTATCAGGACGTTACCGGACACATTCAGCCCGAGAAGATCGTCGCAGCCTGGGAGCTTTTACCTCCCGTGGATAATTTTACTGAAGAAGAAACGGCCACTTTCGAAAAAGCGTACCTCGAGTTTCCTAAGCAGTGGGGTCGTGTTTCTGACCCATTGGCGAATAGAGATTTTGGAACTAGCATTCAATTCTATTATCTTAAGAAAGAGAAAAACGAACTTAACCTTAAGGAGAAGTTGAAGAAGCGTCCGAGGCAACGGAAGAAGGGCGGACGCGGCAAACAGCGGTCTAGTGCACTGGTCTCCGAACTTGGTAATGGAGATAACGAGAACGAGGAAAACCAGGAGACGGGAGAAAATGGCGAGCGGCGCCGACCTAGGCGTGCGGCTGCTCCTACTTTTAACTCGGAGGCTACACCAGCCACGGATGGCGAAGGAACACCATCCGGTACTCCTGGACGTAGGGGGGCTGGCTCCAAGGGAGATGGAGGCTCCGAAAAGCCAGAACGCAAGCCTAGAGGGCGCCGGGCTGCTAAGGACAGAGAAGCGAAACAACCCCGGGTTAACCAGACACTTGCTGCAGCTCCGCCTGCGGGGATTAAAGGTAACCGCTCGCGATCTAGCTCTCGGGTTCATGGTTCGGAGTGGACCTCTCAACAGGTGCCAAACGAAGCGGGTAGAGTTCCAACTCAATACGAACTGGCACCAAGCACCTCGGCCGTTCAACAAGTCGCCATTCCCGCACCATTCCAGCACGCACAACCAATACTCAGCCCCGAAAGAGGCATTCAACAACAGCCACAACAGCCACCACCACCGGTTCCAATGCCCATGGACGCGATGGGACCCCCGCCGTTGCGCCCCGAGCCGCCACAACAACCTTCGGTTGCTATGCTTGATCTTGGTACTCCTACAGTATCTGATCGCAGGTCTGGCACACAAGCATCTAGTTACTGGAGTGTACCCGAGGCGAATGATTTCCCTCAGTTGCTTCGTTCTTTCGGAAGCGATTGGGCAGCTATTGCCACGCATATGCGGACTAAAACTCCGGTCATGGTAAGCATCCAGCCAATATTGACTTAGTTACTTACCTATATGCATTATTGCTAACTGATGTAGGTTAAAAACTTTTATACCCGGAAGAAGGACACCAACGACTGGCAAGATATTGTTAAGGAGGCAGACGCCAAAAAATTGCGAGGAGAGAAGAGACCTGCGCCCCCAGCACCAAGCTCCGGTGTTAAGAAACGCTATGAAACGTCTAGCAATCGACCACTCGCGGCGGCAGATGCTGTGATGGAAGATAGTCCTGGCGCAAAAGTCGAACACTCTCAACCTTCACAGCCGACAACAGGTCGCTTCAACGTTCCCATTGCAGCACAACCGCAGCCCACGCTCTTACAGGCATCGTTTGTGCCGTCTCAGCCTTCAATGGCTCAAAGCCACGGCGCTACCCCGCCTGGATCGCAGCCTCTAGCCCAGCCAGCTACGCAGACAATGTCTCCCCGTCCTATGAGGGCACCTTTCTCGTTCGGTGAAAGAGAGCGGGAACAGCCCGCTCAGCAGAATCAGCGCGTCCCATTGATTCAGAAGACCACTCAACAAGGACCACCAGCGGCGCCCGAGCCCCCCATGGGAAGACACCCCTTGCCTACGTCCCTTATCGAGCCTCAGTCGGAACGACCCAAGGTTGAGCCCAAGATTCCGAAGGAGCAGCTGCGTCACCAAGATCGTCAGCACCTGCGCGTGAAACAGGAACCAGATCTCATCCACCAATATGACCCATATGCTTCCCAGGCCCACCAGAGTATCCGAATGGCAACATCTCGTCCAGACAACACGCCAATGTCCCGTCCTCCTGATCCTCCTCGCGCCGTAGCACCAGCTCCGGCACCAGCTCCGCAGGCGCCTTTCGCCACCATTCTTCAGCATCACAGCAGAGCATTATCGGGCGAAGGTATCCCATCCCCACGTGTACGTGCTATGTCGAACCTATCACGGCCGACATCTGGAGCTAGCAGCGGAACGGAGCCGTTCAGCGCCCCGCCAACACAACCAACGCCACCAGCGATCGGCTCTGCGCCGACCCGCCCCCCGGAGCGTAAGACATCTAGTTTGATGGCACTTCTAAATGATGACCCACCTCCGCCTCCGCCCAAGCGGGTGGCCGAGGTGCCTACTGCTGCGAAGCCATCCTCAACGCCCCCACCTCAATCCAGTCTATCGCGTCCCCCTCCGCCGCCGCCGCCGCCGTCTCATGTTCGGAGAGAATCAGAGCAGAGTTATGGGTATGGTCGGAACCCGCCACCAGCGCCATCTTCAATGCCCCCTTTGAAACCTTACGCATCTGCGTCACCTCAAGCCCAGTCTTTGAATGCTCCCCGGCATATGCCTTTAGATGTAGCAGCAGAGCGAGAGTATTACGGTGGCCGGCCGCGATCTTTCCCTTCTACACACCAACCGCAAGTAGTAAATTCGCCGCAGAGTGCCCATCACTATCCACCTCCAAGTCAGCAGGCTCAAATGCAATATCAACAATCACAACCATCATATCAGTATGGCGCGCAGGTTCAGCCGCCCAATGTGACATCTCCTCCACCTCAATACGGAGGGCATCCCGTTCCCAGAGGCCACGAGTCTCAGTCTAGCCGAGATATGGGTTGGCCAGGTCCACATCAGGGCCATCCGTTACAACAACAGCAACAGCAGCAACAGCAACAACCACCACCACAACCACAACCTACTTGGTCATCACACCCTCCACAGCTTCCGAAGTCTACGCAGCCTCCGCCAGCTCAGTCAGCATGGGCTGCACAACATGCCCCTACACCGAAACCGCCTCCACCTAGCAGTTCGGTGCCACCGCAGCCCTCTTGGGCATCTGCTCCGAGAGGCCATGATCCCATGGCTTTGCGCGATGTTCGAGACGTATACCAACCCCATCGGATGCAACCGCCTCTACCACAGTATGCACCTACTTCACGGGCGCCTGAGCCGCCACCTCCGCAACCGCCGGCAGCGTATCCTCGATATGCAAATACGCCGGTTCCCGGGCGAGATCCTCGCGATCCTGGCCCACCTAGGAGCTATACGCCAGTGAGTGCTTATGATAGAGGTTACCAGCCTCACTCTGCCCAGGAGATCCGAGAGGCACAGCTACGTGACCAGCAACAACAGGCGATGCTGCAACACCAATTAAGACCTCAGGACAGACACAATCTATATGAACGTCCACCGCCAGCACCCGATAGGTATGGGAGGTAGGAGCACTCATATCATCGAGAGCCGGCATCATTATCCAACCGCGAAGATACGGATGCGCGATGGATTGAACTCGAGCAAGAAGGGCTTATGAACTTACGGCTGACAGACAATGCTGATCTAAACAAGAGACCCTAGTGTCTCTCAGCTCTCCCTCTTTTTTTTTTCTCTTTTTTTTTGACGAAATTGAATTATAAGGTTAAGGTTTCGACTGTGCGGGCGTGTCAGTATTTGTTGTTTCGACAAGGAATTAAGAGAGACACAGACCAATTCTCAGGCTTGCTAAGTTGTCGCTTAGACGGAGTCAGCATCTTTTTGTTTCATCCGATTTTGTCCGGCCGCTCGCGTAACTGTTAATAGGTGTTCGTTGCGAAAACCCAAAACTAGACTAGATGATGCTGGTTCCTCGTTCGAAAATTTATTTGAATTTCGGCGTCGTTTCACATTCGATTCACCATGTTAGCATACAACAACCACCAGATGTAGACGAGACTTCTCTTTTATGACCTGACGTCCACAGGAGGGAATGGATGGTACAGTCGTCAGTGGAAGGAACGAGGGAAGAATAGGAGGCCTGGAATATTCACCGGATTGGCGGACTGGACGTGAGATAGAGGAAGAGTATGTTGCATAGGAGGGAGCATTATGAAGGCAGACGGAACCTCTCCCTTTTTTTTCCCGAGAAAAATACTTGTTGGTTTGTTGTACATATGCGGATTCCTGTGACGCTCCCTACCAAGGTAGTTGTCTGTATTACTATAGCCATAGTCGCTGGCGAAGATGTACATATGCTGGATTGTCTTCGACGAATTGACATCTTGGCGTTCAGTCCGTAAAGTGTTGGTCTAATGCGATTGTGATTTGTTAGCCGTGATGATCCTCAAGGCATGGGAATGAGAATAATAATGTAGGTAGGTAGGTATGGTAGGGAGTATCGTCGCAGTGTATGAATATATGATGAAGTATTTCCCGGAATAGAGATGGAATTAAAGATTAAAATATTTTTGTTAGCATCATGTTAGGTGCCTAATATTTGCATGATAAGTGATTCGTAAACTTGAGATGTGCATTGTTAACTTAACTCTACGAAAAAAGGAAAAGAAAGTGTCATCGAAGACTTCAATCTGAAATATATTTGAGTGTTAGGCAAAGTATGTAGGTAGGTTCATTTGGTGATTCCCACATACTATGACAAAATCCAAATGGATTTGGCAGCTCTTAAATAGACGGAGGAAAGCTAGTAGGAGGGAGATCCGAGCCCCTAGGGCCCGAGGTCGAAGAACACGTAACGGAACCTAACCTACCCTAAGCATACGTACTACCTAAAGGTAAGGGGGCTATATTACTTAGGCGGCTTTACTGAACAGTCTAGTTGCGACTCACGGGTCACCAAGTGGTAACCACACGTGAAAAACTACCTAACCTAAGGCATAGGCATAGGTACAAGCATATGTAAGTAGTAGTGTGGGTATCCATTAAATTCCACTCGCGGTCTCGGGCCCTCCAAGCCTAAGCTTATATAGGTACCTATAGGTACCTACCTACCTCTACCTATCTCTGCTAAATAGGGAGGGGGGGAGGGGAGGGGCATCGAGCAACTAACTGACGACCTAACTACCTAAAATAACTAACTTTATAACAGCCTTAGATATTTTAGCTTCCTCGCTTCGCTCAAGACAAGACAACCACCGCCCTCCCTATCCCTAAGACCGCCGCCAGCACGAACCCCAACGCGCCCACGCCCACGCCCCCTAGCCCGAGCGCCGCGGCGGTCGGCCCCCAGGACCAAGTGCGCCCGCGCGCCCGGAGCATCTGCGCCACGATGTCGTCGAGCCGCTCCGCCATGTGCGCCTCGCCAAAGTGGTCCCTGACGCGGGCGGCGCCCGCCCGGGACAGGGCGGCGAGCTGGTCCGCGGACAGGCGGTTGAGCACGTCGTCCATGACGGCGGTCCAGGCCGCGGGGTCGTCGGGCGGCCTGAGCCAGCCGGTGACGCCCTCGACGACGGTCTCCGTGGGCCCGCCCGTGTCGGCGGCGAGGACCGGGACGCCCGCGAGCATGGCCTCGAGGGGCACGATGCCGAAGTGCTCGTTGGCCGGGGTATAGACGAGGAGGCGGGCCGAGGCGAGCAGCGCGGCCTTGAGCAGGTTCGGCACCGAGTGCAGGAACAGCACCTGCACGTCGTCGGGCACCTGGAGCGCCGTCACGTGCGTCTTGGCCGTCATGCTCCGCAGGCCGAGGGCTTCGCACAGCTCGACGAGCTCCCGGTGGTACGCCACGTTCTCCGCCACGCGCGGGTCGTAGCCCCCGGCCACGACGAGCCGCACGCCCTCGCGAGACGTGGGGTCCAACCCGGCGAAGGCGCGGACGGCCAGCGCGATGTCCTTTTTCCGCTCGAACCGGTTGATGCTGAGGAGGAACTTCTTGCCGTTCCAGAGGGGCTTTCCATTGTCACTATCATCAAACTTTCCTTTTTCCTTCGTATCCACGCACGGATACACGACCTGCAAGTCCTTCCTCCTCGCGAGCGACGGCCAGGTGCGGCTCACGACGCCCCTAGTAAACTGGGAATTGACAGCGACGGCGTCGGCGAAGCTCATGCTCCAGAGCTCGCAGGCGTCGAAGGGGGCGCGGTAGGCGCGCTTCCACCAGCGGGCGCGGCCACGCGCGAGCAGCAGGTCCGGGAAGTGGCAGTAGAAGAGGACGCGGGCGCGCGGGCACAGGAGCTGCAGGAGGGGCACGCCAGCGCTCAGCTGGTCGACGAAGAAGGCGTCGGGGGACAGGGAGCGCAGCTCCGAGGTCAGAAACACTTGCAGGATCAGGTGTAGCTGTCGCAGGATCGAGCACAGGATGCTGAAGCGCGAGAGGATGTTCGGCGGCACGAGGGTGTTGCCGCGGACGCGGACGTCGAGGGTTCCTGTGATTAGACCGTGAGTTAGTGGATGGGAGAGTGCAGTATTATATATAGTGCTGCGTAGGGTAGGGTAGGGTAGGGGTAGGGGTGGTGGATATCTACCGTACCATCTCTCGCCTCGTCGAAGCAATGTTTCGGATCGCAATGGCTCGTAAAGATAACGACTTTATGTCCTCGATTCTGCAATCCGACCGCCGCGTCAACGACCAATCTCTCAGCACCGCCAATACCCAGGTCGGGATGGAGGAAGACGATAGTCTTCTTGTCCTCGGTCGCCTTTGTCTTCTCCGTCATATCGTCGAGGGTTGAATGTAGGCGAAACCCATCGGATGGGGTGATGGTGATGGTGGTAATAGTGGTAATGATGATGATGTTAAGGGAAAAAGTTGCGGCTCTTATTGGAAACCACGTTGACCTTTTTTAGTATCGGAGCTTTGTCATTCCTTCCCTGCTTGTTCCTCAGCCCTCAGCCCTACACTCCCCTTACTAAACCTGCAAACCCCCACTAATAGATACCCGCCACCCCCGCAATGACCAGCATCTGCATAGGTCTAATACAGGTACCTAGGCATGTACCAATTTCATGTGATCCATTGTTGAATGATATACAAAGTACGTGCATTACGTATGTTTCCATATACATTGTTACATACAGTAGTACATACATTGATAATTGATAATGGCCGGTTCTTATTCAAGAATGAGCCATTGCACAAGATGATTACATGCACCGTTAGACACAAAAGAATTAACTCATGAATTCATTATTTGAAATATTTTTATCTACTACCCATAAGCACCATGTACCACACCCCTCTAAACTTGAACCGGCAGCTGCATAAAATAAATAACGTCGTGGGTAGCGTAAGCTAGCTTTCATCTCATTCTGATATCCACTTCCCCCTCGAGACTCTGTTCAACTTATTGGCTGCTGTAGTTTTGCTGCCGTACGGCCAGTGGGGAAAAAAAATTAGTCCACTGCCTTACTCCCTCTCCAGTTTGGTCACCGTTGCTTTTTTTTTCTCGTATCGCAAGACACCTAAAACGTGAGGGTATGTTGAAGTTGGAAAGAAAAAAGCAATAAAAATAGGAATAAAAATAGAAAAAAAAACATCATGATTATATTTAGACCAACCCAACCAACCAAAGAAAAGAGCCAGTTTACGGACCGATGACCTGACACACCGGTGCGCCATTCTAGGGTATCCATCCGAAAACTATAAACAGAGAAGCAAAGTTTATCATCGCTCAGTTGTTATTATAGCCGCCAGCGGGCCGTACGTAGTATGTCGTGAAGGGACTGGTAATCCGCATTTTCACTCGCTGACAAATTCTTCTCCTCCTTCTTCCTCCTCGACATCGTCCCTTTCAACTTCATTCCCAATTTCACTCTGCCTACGCGGGGTGACTAATCCGAGCTCGTTGCGGACGTCCTTCTGTATCTTTAAGAAGTACTGCTTAAGGGTCGTAAGACCACGGAGAAATCCGCGGTCTGGTTCATTGGGATACTTTGGTGGGCATGGTTTATTTTCTGCCAGATCACCCGCGGTGACGCTATTGGCAAAGTCAGCCATCTTGAAGTCGATCTCCTTCTTATTTCTTTGGCGTCTCCTGGCATCCCACATATCTTCGGCATCTGTTTGGAAGTCGGTGGTGGACTCGTCAGCACCCGTATCATACCCCTCGTCAGAGTTATCTGCATCATAAAACATCAACAGGCTGGCCGCGTAGAATCGATAACCGCGTAACCTCCGAATGGTCATTTCAAGTTGGTTTAATTTCTGCAGGATCGTCGGGATATGTCTTAGGACGCTGCTATAATCCACCCCGTCGTAGAGAAACATGGTTAAGGCGTTTTGAAATTCCGCGCCTGCCTTAAGACTACGTCCGTAGTATTTGTCCTTGAAGACATACGTCTGAGACTTAGCATCCCAGGCCTGCAGTCCACAAACCCTAACGCCCAGCTCTCTGGATGTCGTGTTGGCGCATTTACGCTGTTGCGATTCGCGTTTCTTTGGACTAGCATCCACACCATATTGACGGGTGCCCATCTTTAAATCCATGATGCAGGGCCGTTTCATGCCTGCAGTGAGATCCTCCAGCAGTAGGAAATACTCAACCCTCGAGTCGCGCTGCGTCTGTGCCTCTTTTGGGTTAATCGGCCGTGGGATTTTCTTGAGTTCCATCGTTGGGCTCGGAAAAGCGGTTGGTACTTCTGATGAGAGATTAGACTGAAATACAGAACCATCTCCAGTCCCATGCTCATTTACGTCGACCTTTTGGTTGTGCCCATTTGTCTTATGTACAAGACCCCGCAATTCTTCGTGCGGTTCACTGTCTATTCTGTATTCAACTTCGTCTGGGTCTTCGAAATACTTAAGATGGCCACGCGGGTCCGTTACATCCTCGGGCTTCCGTCTGAGTTTACTTCCCGAGTTGCGTCGTTTTCGCCTCTGTGGAAACTTTTCCGACAAAGTTTCAGGCTCGGGGGCGCTAGTTCCCGTAACATCTTTCACATGATCCAAACCCTCAATTGTTGAGCAAACCGTATCGGAGCCAGCATCATGGTCAGTCTGCAGAAGCTGCGGAAGAGTCTTTGGTGGGTTCGCTTCGCGAGAATGTAGAGCGTGGCCGGTAGCCTGTGCTTGTTGGCTTGGCAAAACACTCTCCGCAGTCATGGGCCGCTCGACTTGTTTCATTGAGCGACGAGAGATTGTCCGATGCTGGGACGCTGGTCTCCGGTGTTTGTGTATTGCAATAGGCTGCTTTAGAAAGGCGTCGTTGAATACCTCATTTCGTAATCTTTTATTAACAGTCGTAGCGCCCCAACTGTTAGCATGCCGGTCCTCTAGAGATGGTCGATTCGATATCGTAGCGCCTTTGTCCCCTATTTGGAGACCTTTGTCAAGTAAATATTGCTGGCTTAGAGCGGCGGATGCACTTCTAGGGCGTCCATCGCCGTTAAATGCGGACACCGCAGGCCGAAGTAAACTTCGAGGCAGAATATGACGGTTATCGACAAAAGTAACCGTGGGAATCGGCGTTTGTAACGATTGGAGGGATTGACTGACAATCCTGCGATGGTAACGCTGATCTTCCCTATCTGATGGGTCAAGCCTCGATAAGGCACTCAAGCTGGCTGATCCATTGTGACTGTTCTTCTGCTCATCCTGCTCGCCTATCTTCTTTTCTGGTGCATGGCCGTCGTCTTTCCTGACCGTCGACTTCCGTCGCGGCTGTTTCTGGAATGTGACATTGAGAACGCCAATATACCTAAAAAGACGTTAGCGCTGTGGTTCAACAGGAAGTTGGCCCCATAGAAATTCTACTGGGGATTGGACGAGGGCAAACAGAAATGGCAATAAACACACCTGGGCAGGAAAGGTAGAAGATCACGGTGATATCTTTCTATTTTCTCATAAAACTCGTTTTCTCGGTTGTTTAATTGCTTGCAGACAGCCCTCTTGGAAAATCTCCAAATGGTTGTGTGGCCACCAACCTGATGCTTATAGGGTATAAGTTCAATTGCTTCAAGCGGTAATTTTGGTTCATGTTGGTGATCGTGCACCATGTCCTCGTAATACTGGGAAGTTGGCCTAGCAGATATATCACGAGATTTCTGGGGGGACTCGATCTCATCTTCGATAGCACATTCATCATCTATTCGCGAAAAGTCTCCAACACGCGGGGCTGGATCATTATTACGGTTGATATTACCACCGTCAGGTCCATCAGCCCTCGTTCTATCCTCAGCTTCAGGCTCATCCGCCTTTACCAACCAAGGGTGAAAATCCTCACTGTGGGGTTTGCGGGAGACAGGCTGCGAAGCCTTGAAATCCTTCTGGAGAGCATCTCTATTTTCCGGGGTTTGATTCAATCCCTGATGCGGCAGAAACACAGCCGAAGATATTTTCTCTTCGGATGACTCGTCGCCCTCTTCGGCTACTCCTCCAACTTCAGCCGTGTCACTTGACTCCCGCCGAATCTCACCGAGACCTTCATCGGGCACATCAGCAGGGCCCTTGGGTCCGTTATAAGTACTTTGTTTTGGAGCAGAGGGTTCTCGAGAAGATGCTCTAGTAGACTCAGCAACATGCTTCGGCGGCAACTGCAGGCCAAAGTAATCGAGTTCAGTAGGTTCGCAAGGAACAGACTTAGCGTCTGACGTACCCCAAGGAAAAGATTTAACGCTCGGCGCATGGGAAGGAGGTTGGTCGCCGTCAATAGATTGGGGCGAGGGTACGGGCGACTGAATAATATTGTTATCGTCGGAGTATTTCTGATGATTCACATCTGCTGCCAAGCCCTTGGCGAGCAATGACTTGTCTCGCTGATGTCCTACTGATTTGGATTCCCTCCGCCTGCCCTGTTCTTCTGGGAGACCCTCCTTGAAAAAGCGTAGACTGTGACTTGCTTTCCGACTCCGAGTTGGTTCAACCCCGGCTAACACCTCCGTGATAGATTTTTCGACTTGTCCATCTTGATGGCCGATTATATCGTTAGTGCCAATGGACCAAGCTTTCTCCGGGCCCATGGAGAGTGTACGGTCGACTCTCCAAGCCCTATACTGGGCCCGCGGGTCAGAAAAGTGTTCCGGCTTATCGCCAGTAGATGATGGTGCGATATCGGTAGTGCCGACTGCATGAGAAAACGCGGTGTCCCCAACGTTATCGGAATGCGTCTTAGGGCGGTTCAACAATCTTAGGTAAATTTCCTTTTCGGTGCGTTCCAATGAGCGCCCTCTGCCGATGCCCAAATCCAAATCCCTGTTCCCTATAAGCGTTGTGGTTGAGCTAATAGTTCCGGGCATGGCGATAGGTGAAGGTGTTACAGCTTGTCCGTCTAGATGGGTAGTAGAGGGTAATGACGGCGCGGATATCGCTCTGGAGGCCTCAGCAAGCCCCGTTTGGCCAATCGGGGTCAGAGAACCATGTTCGTTCCGTTCATGATGGTCATCTTGCGGAGCGATTAGGGGCTGCCCGACAGGAGTATCAGATTGGGTTCTCGGAGGGCTAGGCCGGTTCGGTGCATTAGAATGTGCAGGCTTCTGCTCGGGACGTCGTTGTTCTGTATGGGGTTGGGAGGCGTGTGAAGAGAGAATTCCGCGAGCAGAAGCCAGAGCTTGGGAGAGTAAGGACGGGCCATTGGATCTCTGGAGGACCGTGGGAGGTCGTGACTTATTATTATTTTGGTCGACATGGTTGATAGCGAGGGATGAGGAAAGGGTGGATGCGGATGGCACTTGGGAGCCGGGGGGTGCTGGTACGGATGCTGTTGCTGGTGCTGTTGCTGGTGCTGGTGCTGGTGCTGGTGCTGGTACGGCAGGCGAAATACTTGCAGCTGGCCGTGCATGGTCAGATATGGAGGTCGAGCCAGTCACAGCGGCGGAAGAGGAGGATGGGCTGACAGTCGCTGTCCAACTGGTAGCGGCGTCATTGGCGGCATTGGGACTCCCAGAGGCCACACCTTGGGGGCTCACCGTTGCGGCAGTTGCGGCATTTTCGGGCTTACGAGGCGGGCTGGACATGAGTTAAACATTTGGCGAATACCATGGCAGTGTGGAAAGAATGATTCGCAGGAGATGGATGCGGCAGAGCGGGTGGTATTCGGGATTGAAAGTGATAAAAAGTTGAATTATGATGAAAAGGTACAAGCTTAGACACCAAAAAGCCTTAGAAAGAGGTACAAGTTTAATTCTGGTGGCGGTTTCGGTCAAAGTGGAGAAAATGGAGCCCTCCACCGTACATATGTAGTATCGAACGTACCAACGTACCAGCCGATTAACCGTACCTATCTCTTCCCAGCTTTCCCTCCAAGAAAAAAAAAATTACCCAAAGCCGGGTAACTTTTTGGGGAGGGGTCCCCCGGATTCCAGTACCTAAATTACACGTATGCAGTGCATCCAATTCTTCCGATACCTAAACAACGGTATCTATCTTCTCAGCATATGATGTACCTATTTTACGCAGTAACCCAGAATTCAGCATAACATTGCAGGTACCTAAGTAGCATTGAAGGCTTTTCAGTACCTAATTGGCTTTTACATCTACAAGTATCCGCTAAGAGGTACCTATAAAGGTACCTCCACCTATGCCAAAAGACTAAAAAGAGACTATTGAAAGCATTAAAAACCCATACGCCTCCTTTTTATACCACTGACGATCCAAACGCTAAAAGCACCCACGTGCAAAGCTAACCGGTCAAAGCATTTTATTAGTCTTTCCAAGAGTTCCCAAGAGCCGTGGATCGACTTTTCTCAGATCCTATCGAGCTCATCTTCCGCTAGATACGACCTCCCTGCATTAGGAATTGCTCTTTTTCCAAAACCGTACTATCAGAACCATCACGCCTCATAACCATTGGGCCAGTAAAATAACCATTGGTATTCTGAACCGTAGTCCTAAGACTTAATAATAGATCGAGATGTCCAATCAATACCTCTAGGTAGCTTCAGGGTTCTATCGAGCTATGGGCTGGCTGCTTGGCGCCTAAGAAGCAGACCTTCATCGTGATGAAAAACATGATGCAATCTAGAAAACTTCGATCCTCCCGACCTTTTGGGCTTGCTGACCGCCTCAATAGGAGCCGAGGGTCAGGCAGTTCTTTAGATTAGAGCTTGGACTTCCGCTCTGACGTGTTGTCTAATTGTTGCTGCTGTTATTATTATTGTCATCGTTGCTGTCGTTAACTTCGGTTATTCCCTAATTCAAAAAACACGTTGTTGCTCCGTCACTCATAACAGGCTATATCATACTTCTCTATGAGGGATATGAGCGCTATGAGGGATAATGCTTCACGATAGCTCTTGTGCTACTCGTGTTAGGTTGGCACTTCTGGGTCATGCTACGTTTGATTTTACCATGGGCTGCCACGTTGTTCGTCCGACATGCACCTTCTCCCTTTGCATCGTTGGTATAGAGCTCATCTTTGAAGAAGCTCCAAACTATTGCTTCCAAGACGTATGGAGCTTTGGAGTCAGCATGACTGTCTCCATATCTACGCTGATTGTGCATCACATCAGTACCTAAGGTAAGGTGGCTTACTTCCCTTGAGCACAGATGGCTTGTACTTATTACGGCAAAGCATCCGAGAAGCCCTAAATATCAACGGAGCGGGTCGTTGAACAAATTTGTCGATCGTAGACGGAATTAAAGCAAGTACGGAACCATATTCCATCTCGTTGAGCTTACAGGCAAAAAAAAATCCTGGGTCTCGACCTCATGGTTATTCGTGGACTTGCACGTCTCAAGATCCTTTCTGGGCCAATCATTCAACAACGTGCCCCTTGACATGTCTTCACTCGAAGACGTCGAGCCTTTTGACTTCTTACAACGCAGACTAATTCAGGGACAGCCAGCTCCTAGATCTAATAATTTCGCCATTGTTTCGTAGGCATTTACACATAATGCTGAGTCGTATATTCTTCTCTGCTGCCACACGTGGTTGTACGACGAGGATAGTTGGGTCATGTAACAGAACAGCGGTACCTCGGCTTCTAATCCAATATGATGAGACGCTGAAGTTCCGCAAAATCTGGTCAATGGATTTGCACTTTACATACATGGAGATTGACGTAGTTATGCAGAGCCTCACGACACTTCTCCCGTATACGACTTACACGTGCTTATTATTAGCACGCTTTGAGTGCAGTCTTCCTTCACTTTTTATGAGCGGTAGCTCTAAAAGATAAACCAATAAGTAAACAATATAAAATCAGAAATAAAGCAAAACGTAGTCTACGCTCTATTTGTCCAAATGTGCTCAGACTTAACAGCCTGACAGTCTGTGTACCCTCGGCCACTCTCTCCTATCCATCGCATCACCTCCCTTATTGCCCTAACCCTGGCCTTCCTCGGCTGGCTGCGGCGGAGGCGCCTCAGTAAATCTAGGTAGTAATAGAATACGGGAAGATTCATCCCGAGATAATCGCGATTGTTAAAGAAGATTTTCTACGCCTAGCCCTATACTTCGTCGCCATCCTCGTCGGGAAGTAGCTTTCTCGTGCCTCTCTTTGCCCGGGTCGGCAAGTCTATTAAGGACGGGCGATTTCTGGGACCATGTCTCGTTTTGTCATGAACTGCCACAGACACCGTGTAGTTATCAGCAACCTGCTGCTCGGAAAACCCCCGACCATAAGGATCCGTAGGCGCAACATGTTCCCACTCTGCACCGAATTTCTCAGGGGCGAAATATCCCTTCTTGCCGTATCGGCGCCTCTCTAAGTACCTAATAACAGTTCCTCTTGTTGGCCTTTACAATGCGAGCACGCCCAAAGTCGAAGAACTAACCTATGTTTGCCGTCAGCGGAACCGAAGTCAGGAGGACAGATGAATACTGCGAGGTTGTTAACCATTCGCAATCTGGGTTTACTAGGCACTGAGGAAACTCCCACCATTCACTACTTCTGAGATTAATGTCGATATGAGTTATACGCTTACGCGCCCATCTGCATCTAGTGATAACGACTTCTTCGAAAAAGATCTTTCCCCAAGGGTATCCCAACGGCGATGTCTTCACTAGCTTCTTTTCTTCGTGTCAAGTCATTGATTTCAGGTTCATTTACACAATCTAATGAGAACTCAATTAGCCGACACTTTACAATACACCGTGATTCAATAGAGGATCCTCACATACAACAATACCAGAATGATTAGACAACGTGGGAAAGGAGGAAGTCCTTATGATCGGTGTCCCAATCCGCAATGAATGCAGAGTCAAAGCTCTTCACTTTTTCTTTTCTTACTCCAACTACTGCTCTTATATTATGTTTCTAGCGCTCAATATCAGGACCCGTTCTGGATCCTCTACCCGTGTGCTCTGAATTTCTCTCGCATCTGATTTAGGAAGCATTCGAAATAATACATAGAACAGATATCATGAGTCACTCTTAACGCTGCCTCTTCTGCACGGACATCCATACTCAAGCACCCTTCTCTGGATATCGTGGAAAATTCCACTCAATACCCTTCCTCGATGTTGCGAGGATTCAACTGAACATAGGCTCTTCGGCATCAGTTTGACTTGCCCGGTATTCCTTTACAAGCGACATATCTAGCGATTGTCGGTATACTGCTTGCAGGAGAAATCTTTGATTACATTAGGTACCTACCTAGACACGTGTAGAACAAAGCGCAGATGAACACAAAGCGTACCTGTTATTCTATCCAGATTGAACGTTTGGTCTATTGAGAGCGTCTTTGGTATTTAAACTATACGCTAATGACACGGTTTGGTATAACGTCACATATATATCATATCTAGCGTATGGTACTGTACGAAGTAGGATCGTGATGATACTCGCTGTCCTTGAGCCTCATAAGCTAGGGTCGCACCGTACATCAGGTGGTAAATGCTATGGTTTCCAGAGTTCGGCTGAGACTAAAAGTTCTGATGCGGTTCAGGGTCTTGATATCCGACGCGTCATAGCGCGCATTGCTTTGCCGGTCCCCTGATAATTTAAGGCGGGTAGCAAACGTGAGATGGAATATCTAGATATAGGTAGATCTGATCAACGTGATGCTATCTTTAGCACGCTCAAACACTAAAGCATTACTAGGTACCTAGGTATATCAAGCATTAATAACCACCCTGCGACCCTTAAAAACCTGGAATCAACGCTAACCTAGTAGGAGGTACTTATGCATGTGCAATGCAGATGAGCAGATGAGATGTGGTAGCGCCGGTAGGTAACAAATCCACTGATGAGATATTGTAACCCCAACTTTTTTTTAAAACCCTTTTTTTTTCTTTAACCTTTTGATGAGAAAACGGAAGCGGAGCGGTGGAAACGGAAAGAACGCACTGGTGCCCCGCTTACTAAGAGCACACTTTACGGTTTACAGATACCATATCGTACCTCTTACGCGCTCTTGCATGTTTCGCCGTTTCATTTAGGTGGACTTTCAATGCTGGAACCGGGGGTTGCTGCGTCTGTCCCTTTCAGTTGCCATTCTTCCGTCATCTGTCATAATCGAATTTGGGATTTTGTACTAGTACCGTGCACTACCTAGCAGCCTAGGTACGTACGAAGTATTAACATGTACCAGGTCTAGGTACCATGTTTTTCAGCTTCCAGCCTGGCAGCCCGACAGCCCGAAGTTTTCCAAGTTATTATTCACCAGTTACTGGAACTTTACGCCAACCTTCTTCTTCTTCTGGTTGCGTTTTTAACAGTTATATTCTTCCCATTCCGTCAAACCCGGGAAATCCTGCAGTACCGAATCCTGTAATTGTTCGCCATCGTTGCGACTCGTTTACAGGTACTATTGTATTCTTCATATATCTTCCCTTTTCTGTTGGTTTCTTCTTCTTCTTTTCCTTCTTCTAAACTTGTATCTTTCCCCCCCTTCCTACGGTTCTTGTGGCGGTCGCTCATCATTTCAAGTCCCATACGTTTCCACTTTAACATTAGCTGCGTTAAACTACGTTGGTGGCTTGTGGTTGGTGAAGCCCGCACTCAGACGAATAGTAACAACGAGCATAGAATTGCGATTCCATTGCCTTTCTCGAATTATACAATAACAAATTACGACCCATAACCCATAACCCATAACGTACCCAACTGGTTACTGCAGACGGCCTGCAGACAGTCAACTGATTTTTTTTTTCGCCATTCTTGTCGTGCCGCCACCCCTCTCATTTCTTACGTGCATCGCATCAAAAATTAACCCCGGACTTACGCTTGATAAGCGCGTTTAAAACGCCCCTCCTATAATTCAACATATTCATCTTCACCTCACAATGCGTCGCGCTTCCGTACACTTGACCGACCCCTCTCGAAATATCGAGGAATCAATAGGCACTCCAGACCCGACATCTGTAGATTCCGATCTAGATATGAATTTGACAACAGACGAGGAGGGCGTTAGGATATACACCCCTCCTCCTCACATAGCTGCTCGGTTTTATCGACCTAGCCAGAATCGTCGAAAAGAGTCAGCCGCCTCATCACGCCGTAACTCCATATCGTCTGCGCATTCGCGGTCCTCCCATGGTTTCAACCACCATGGCGGCCCACAGAGCAAATACATTGCCCAACAGATGCGTCGCGCCTCGATACTCGAGGATCGCAAAGCCCGTCTGGCTGACAGGGCAGCGCATGCTGAAAAGGTGCGCTTGAGAGCGGCTATGGCAAAGGTTGCTCAGCAAAAGATCTCCAACATGGAAGAGCGTGCGTTGGCCGCTGCTCAGGCTAGAGAGAAGAACCTAGCCGAAATTGTCGCTGCGTGCGCTGAGGAAGTAAAACGGGCCAAAGCAGTGGCCGAAAGCATGAAAGAAAAGAGGGAGCAAGAGCTGCGTAAGCTCAGGTCCCAGATGGAGGAGCGGTTGGCTGAGGCCGAGAGGAGAAGGGAAGAATTACGCAGTCGCCATACCGCGAAACGATCTAGGGGTCAGAGCATAATGGCGAAGAGATCTGATACGAGTAGTATGCCAGAGGAGGAACAAGAATCCTCAAGCATAAGTGACATTGTACCCATGAGCGAGGATGTAGCAGCGTCCAAGATCCAATGGTGGTGGAGAGGAGTAATGAGAAGGATAGCGGTACGCCAGTTCTCTGAGCTTGGCTTGAACATTGATAGTGTCAGGGATACCTCGTTTGAGCAGGTGACGGAACTACTGGCTCAGGAGAGGGTTCTCCTGTTCACGTCAAGAGTCTTGCGTATCTGCGGCTTGCAGGAGGGCGAATCTGGCTCAGTGGATGAGATGACCGCTGTCCGCACGTTCCTGAGCGCTTTCTTAATTTTGGGCCATCCTACCCAGGTCCTTAGCAATAAAGATCACAGGGGAGAACAGGAGCAGGTTGGATCTTCTCAAGGGCAACCCATTCCTCATGATGATCTAGCTAATCCGCAGTTACAGGATCTCGTCGGCAAGGCGCGAGATTTGCTAATCTCCTTCGAGACTATCCTTTCTCGTCTGACATCGATGAATAATTATACAGTTCCTCCGTCGTTGCAGGCAGCTCTACCAGAATCGTACGCGACATTCCACAATGCCTTCATAGCATGGAAGGCCCGTGATTCGAATGCGTTAGTCGAAGTCATGGTCCTGCAATTCGTGGAACTTGATGCCATACTTGAGACCGTTAAAGATCGTACCGAAGAGGCTGTTGCCGAGTCTTATCGACAGAGTATCAAGGACAATCAACTGATGCTGATGGTCCGAATAAAGAGACTAGCTGGCCCTGAGCGAGGCAAGAAAATGATTTTCGATGCTGTCAAGCAAGCGAGGAAGGCCAGGGCTGCGAAAAAGCCTACAGGCGATATGAAACCACGAGCCACCGAACATACCCTTAGCGATAGCAAGTCGATCGCAGGCAACGCATCGGCCGATCATGTTGTCTCTTCGCAGTTGCAGACCTTAACACCGCCGCCTTCTCCGCTCCAGGAGAAAGAGCTGAAATTAAATATAAGTCAGCCGAGTTATCCCCCGATTCTCCCTGACAATCGGGTAATTGTTCACGAGTTGGCCATCAACCGGGAGTATCGCATCGAGTATCAGCATTTTCAGGAGCAGCATAAGCTTCGCATGGACCCTCTGTTCCAGGATCTAAAAACCGGCCCTAGAGACGCAGAGAAGGAGTTCCATTATCTTATGATTATGGCCAACTACATCAGAGATAGACTCCAGCATCTGGTCAAACCTGGTTCATCCATGTACACTTTTATCGGCGAAATTCTTGACACCGAGGTCTCACAACAGCAATTCCTAGCCGGTAGCTTTTCGTATGAGCGATTTTTCTCATCTATGGGGTCTCTTCTCCCAAAGCTCTGCGCTCCGGTTCGTGACGACGAGGTAAAGGATCTGGTTCAGAACAAACTTAGCCAAGGAGATGTCGTTGACCGCCTTGAAGCACTCCTTTCATTTATCGATACTATGCTTTATGATTACGCCAACTACATGTTGCAAGTTGCAGCACCATGTCTTGTAGAGCATGCTTCTGCGTACGAAACTAAAAGATTTGCCGAAGAGCTGGAGAATGGTACAATTACACTTCACCGCGCGGAGGCTTCTTGGCGAAATGCGCGCAATAAGGTGCATGCGGAAGTCTCGCGCCGTGACCCCGAGGGAATCAATCACCCACGCTCGCGGCCCACTCCGGACAAAATCTATTGGCAGATGCTATTGGACGAGTTTACGCAACCGTTACCATCAGACGAGACCGTACCAGAGCCGCTCGCCCTTGACGTAAAACGCCGTGCCCGTATAGGCCGTCAGACGATGCGCATTGTCACAACAGGTGCCATTCTCCTGCAGTGCAAGAATATGCTCAAGCGCGATGTCCGAGCTCCTTGGAGGACGGAAGCTGGCCGCATCCTGACCGTTCTTGAGTCTTTAGATGACGATTCAAAGCCACTTCCATTGTCTGCGGCTACCCACGGCATTATGGCAGCACTCGAGGCTGGGCGATCTATGCCAACAGCCACCAAGACACACTTACAAGCCCTTGTAACCAAAGTCCTCGCCGCTAGCATGGATGCAAAGCGTGACAACGCGGACCCCAGAGAACCGGTACTGAAATTGCTTCTGACTCGAATCAGGAGCCACATCCTGGCTAGGTTGCAAGCCGGTTCTGCGAGCGAAAAAGTCAAGGCCACCAGTACAGCCGGGGAAAAGCTCGCAAGCATCGGACTGCCTGAATTTGTGGAGAAAGTGCGAGAGATCGTCGATGAGATTGTTAAAGTAGGGGTTGTAGATCGAGAAGCCCATGGGGTATGGTGGGAAGAAGTAGCTGAGAAGATAAACGGAGAGGAGTCAGTTGCTCCGTCGGCAACTTCATGAAGTGTGAGATAGCAGCTAATTGGGGGATTGGGGGAATACATTCGTCATGAGATGTGCGAAACGCGGATTTTACATTATTGTTATGTCTTATCCATCGGGCTTAGGTTTGGGTCTCTTGTTTCGATTCAGTTCTCGGACAGGCGTTTTCTCCTCGGGTATGCGTTCGAATACGCTTTTAAGAGGGATGATGTTTTTGTTTGGGACCTGGATGGAACCCTTTTTCTGTTTTGGAAGGATACCTTTTGCTCTTTTTGCATCAGCGCACTTTTTTTTTTTTGGAATTGCGGTATTAATTAGCATTACTCGATAGCTTTAGAAACACGGCTTTCAGCTTCTTATGGCAGAATGATGCTAGCGAAGAATAACAGGCAGTTTGTACAATACGTATACGGATTCGGGAGATTAACAAGATACAAGTGTAGTAGTATATGAAGACTTGGGCTATATAAAGATATTTTTACTATTGGTTACCGGAATCTCGAGATGTTATGATTTATACTCATATATATTGTTATTTCTTATTAATTTCCAATCAAAAATGGTTGTAAAGTGATTATAGGTACTTCGTACTTTGCTTCAGATAGCAAGTTACGTAGTCCAGGCACGTGATAACGAGTCAGCGGGGCAATCGCGAGGCGCGTCTTCCGGTTCGTTTCCATGTTCTTACCTAAAGCACTTAAAGCTATTATCTTTCAAACCGGTGGGATATCAAGGCTTTCAGAAATTACCTAACTTAAACAACTTAAACAAACGAAATGATGTCTGATGAAACTACCTATAGCACTTCTAGTTAATTTCGTATTCATCACATTCATATTTGTCAGCTTCTAAAATCATCTTTAATATTGAACCTTACGTTAATAATTATGCCACAATCACAATTCACAGGTAAGTTTCCACACGCCGTGGCATTCATTAACAATTTCGGGTATAAGTGAATTATAATTATAAGGTACCTAACCGAATACAGATCCGGATACTATACGCATCCTTGTCGCAACTGATAACCATGTGGGCTACGAGGAACGAGATCCGATCCGTGGCGATGATAGTTGGAAATCATTCGACGAGATCATGAATTTAGCCCGGAAGGAAGATGTAAGCGCCTGTAACGTATCCAAGCTCTAATTATAGTTGCTCACCATCTAGGTTGATCTGGTGCTACTAGCCGGCGACTTGTTCCACGATAATAAACCTTCTAGAAAGGCTATGTTCCAGGTTATGCGATCGTTAAGGAAGAACTGTCTTGGCAACAAACCTTGTGAGATACAGTTCCTGAGCGACGCCAATGAAGTCTTCCAGGGTGCCTTTGGGCATGTTAACTACGAAGACCCCGATATAAATATCTCCATACCCGTCTTTTCTATTCACGGAAACCATGACGATCCTAGCGGCGAGGGTAATTTTTGCTCCCTGGATCTACTCCAAGTAGCCGGGCTCGTCAACTATTTTGGACGTGTGCCTCGAGCAGATGACATCGAAGCTAAGCCGGTTCTGCTTCAGAAGGGAATGACTAAACTGGCACTTTACGGACTAAGTAACGTGCGAGATGAACGTATGTTTCGTACGTTCCGTGATCATAATGTCAAATGGTTTAGACCAAATCAGCAATCAAGCGATTGGTTCAACTTACTCGCCGTACACCAGAACCATCATGCTCACACAGCTACCGGTTATCTACCGGAGAACATGTTGCCCGAATGGTTAGATCTGGTCGTTTGGGGTCACGAGCACGAGTGTTTAATCGATCCTTCGCATAACCCGGAAACCGGGTTCCATGTCATGCAACCAGGCTCCTCTGTAGCCACGTCGTTAGTTCCGGGAGAAGCCGTAGCCAAACACGTTGCCGTCGTTAGCATCACGGGGAAAGACTTTAAAGTAGAGAAGCATCGGTTGAAATCAGTTCGCCCTTTTATGACCACCGAGATCATCTTAGCAAACGACAAGAGATTTAAAGGTCTAGATAAGAAGAAAGAAAATCGCCAGGAGCTTACGCGGAAATTGATGGATGTAGTCGAGGAGATGATAGAAGAAGCTAACGCCGAGTGGGAATCTATTCAAGAGGGCGACTCTCTTGAAGGTGAACGACCTCTTCCCCTAATTCGTCTAAAGGTGGAATACACTGCTCCCGAAGGGGGCCATTACGATATCGAAAACCCACAAAGATTCTCCAACCGATTTCAAGGCAAGGTGGCAAATACTAACGACGTTGTGCATTTCTATCGAAAAAAGACGGCGCAGAGTAAGTGAACTACTAGCTTTGCTATCGTATATGTCACTAATACGTAATAGGGAGAACTCCAAAAGGCATGGAAATGTCAGAGGAGCTATTAGAAGCGCTAGGCGAAATAGAAAATATTAAAGTCGGCAAGCTAGTTGAAGAATTTTTGTCTGCCCAGGCACAATCCCTAAAAATCCTTCCCCAGGCACCATTTGGTGATGCGGTCAACCAGTTCGTCGACAAAGACGATAAACACGCTATGGAGTCGTTTGTCAGTGAGTCTCTCTCAGAGCAAGTGAGACAGATGCTACTACTCGAGGGAGACGAAGCCGATCCCGAGAACGTGCTTGCCGCGATGGGAAATATTAAGCAAAGTCTCGAACGTCAGTTTAACGCTGGAAACCTGAAACAAGCCAGCCGACGTAAGTATAAGCCAAAGCCAGACCTGTGGGACTCTGATCTAGACGGCCACTGGGAGGATCAACCCGAGGCGATTGACAACGGGACGGCCGTCAGCGAGACGAAGTCCCAAGCAGTTCAGCCGAAAGCACGCGGAATAAAAGCAGCGCTCGTTGTAGAAGACGAGGATGAAGATATGGAAGATGCAGAACCACAAGCGCCAGCACCAAAAACAAGGGCAAGGGGTAGACCAGCAGCTACGGCGGCGGCAGCTAAACCCAAGCCAACACCAGCTAAGAAGGCACCCGCCAAAGGCCGAGGCCGCAAAGCGCAAGTGTTTGAACAATCGGACGAAGAAGAGGAAGACGTCGTAATGGACGATGATGATTTTGACCCGCCCCCACCTCCAAAACGCACTACAGCGAGAGCTACGACGGCAAGGGTGGTGTCTACTAGGTCATCACAGGCATCGAGAGCCACCTCTACTAGCACTACGTCTAAAGCTGCGCCAAAGACGCGGCAGACAAAGCTGAATTTTTCACAGAAGGCGACACAGGAGGAGCCGTTAGAGATTAGCGACGACGAAATTTCGGACGATTTCGAGTCCGTGCCGGAGACGCGGACTCGGAGACGTTGATGATTATGGTGAGCGGAATGAGCGGGTGTTAATATGACAGGTATCTTATGCATCCATTAATAACTTTGTTAAGAGCTAGCCAGAGTCATGATATATCTATCTTGTTAGTTACGCGTTGTCGCTAGGTATCTGAGATTTTCTCGAGATCAACGACTAATTGGTTCATCGGGTACCTAGCTAGCTAGTTCTACTACGTAATGTGCATCTAGCACAGAGATTATATAGTCTTTGCTTATAAGCCATGATCAATCTATAAAAAGAAAGGGTAGGCGTAGTTGGGAGCTTACTACTTACTACTAATCATTGTGCAGAGAACAGCATCCTTACGAATAGAGCTACTTAGGTATTATTTGTTCATTAGTTCCGGCTCCACGTTCGTAGATATCGTTCTAACAGACATTTGAAATTTTAACTTCGTTCGACTACGCCTAAACCGCGTTGCTGATTCCAGGGGCCAAGCCGCAACGTTGTATTCCAATCTCGTGGATTGTCAATAACCGCATTGTTACATCGGCTGTCCCACACTATACAGCACAAAGTTCATCTGGAGGGTGTTCTTAAATTCGGATTGATGGCCGTATAAACTCAGCGTTAAGCTCATGTTCGAAACGCCGGAATATGGGGGTGGTGTGCAGTGCTTCAGGGGCAAGAATTGTCTGAGCATATCCTATCCTTAAAATATAACATAACATTCAATGATAAAAGACAATGTTCATGCGATGACATTTCTAGCATACCTTAACTCGGAAGCCTTACGTTGCGAATAAGTCCATGTAGTTTAACTTTAGCTGAAGTTAAGGTTACGCAGTCCAATTAGACACCCGTGTGCCGCATAAACTCTACTGTTCAGATTTTACTTCTTAACACTCTTGTGTAGTATATAGCAAAAATGAAAAAAAATAAAATTGGATTTCAGCTATATGGAAATTCGAAAACATGCTCCTAGAATACTATGTACCATCGAGCTTTTCCCTTTGACGCCACTTGAGCCGAAGATATTTGATATTTCATATCCGTAGCAAGAACATGTCAGTAATGACCCCTTCGGCATCCAAGAGGGGGGATCACCCACTCCCATCCGTATAGGGGAACTTAACAATAAGAGGAAGGCCACCATATACACTTATAGTTGGTTTCGGAGCATCCACACATTCTATTAAATTAGCACACCCAAGAAGACAATAAGGCTGCATCGTCGCCGAGGGTGCGGTAAGGACCATCCAATCTCGTATGTCCATAGGCCAATGGTCAAAAATAAATTATGATATGCCACTCAAATACGCAATACAACGGACATTTTGGCTCAAGATGAGATATACAATTACACTTAGCTGTCGCCACCACCCATCAATACCCCTTTCTAGACGTCCCAAGTGCTGCCCAGAAAAACGATGGTGTCCCGTCGTCGTCGAATTATTCCCAATGAACTCGCCATAGAATCTCTTCCAGAGCATCAGGGAATGTCCTCAACCTCTCTTCCGCGGAAAGAAAATGCGCCTCCTCCTAGTCCTGCTCATGCTATTCTCCCTCGCCGCATCACCATCATCATCGTCACCTCTCCCAGCCAAGCCCAAGAAACTCGCCGGCGGCAAATCAACCCAATCCAAATTCAAATTCAAGTCCGACAACAACAACAACGACGACGACGACGACAACTACCACCAGCACCAGCAGCACCACGATCCCAAGTACTTCCACGAAGCGGGCGGCACGATGGAGCTCGGGCACTACGACGCGCGGTTCTTCCGCGGGGAGGTGGGGTACGGCGAGCACGGGGCGGCGCTGCGGCGGCTGATACGCGCGTGGCTGGCGACGACGCGGGAGCTCGGCGTCGACACGTGGCTCGCGCACGGCACGCTGCTGGGCTGGTGGTGGAACGGCCGCGTGATGCCCTGGGACTACGACCTCGACGTCCAGATGCCCACCGCCACGCTCACGTACCTGGGCCGCCACTTCAACCGCACGCTGCACGACTACCGGTTTCTCGTCCGGGAGCGGGGGGAGGACGGCGGGATGGGGGGTGGTGGAGGGGGAGAGGAGGACGAAGACGAGGAGATTATACCCGGTAGTGGAAATAGCGAAAGCGAAAGCGAAAGCGAAAGGGCTAGCTCGAGCCCGGGCTCGGGACTGACATACATCAACAAGACGTACCTGCTGGACGTGAACCCGCACCACACGGAGCTGACGCGGGGCAACGGGGCGAACGTGATCGACGCGCGGTGGATCGACGTGGGCACGGGGCTGTTCGTGGACATCACAGGGCTGGCGGAGCGGGACGCGGCGGGGGCCCCGGGGGTCTGGAGCTGCAAGAACGCGCACCGGTACCGCACGCGCGAGATCTACCCCGTCCGCCGCACCCAGTTCGAGGGCGTCCCCGCCCTCGTCCCCTTCGCCTTCGACAAGATCCTCACCGACGAGTACGGCGCTAAGAGCCTCGTGAATACCGAGTGGGCTGGGTGAGTGGAAATAGTTTGTTGATTTACTTACGAACCGTTCGCTTGCTTGTCTGAAGTTGGGATTGTGTAGTTGTCACGTCACACCTTAATGTTTTTTTTTTCTGGTTTGGTTTGGTTTACCTACGTGATTAAGAGGCGAGATGGGAGAAGTGGATTGCTGACATTGCATCGCTGATAGACATCGCTGGGTGCCGGAGCTCAAGGAGTGGGTTAAGAAGCCACCGTCGTCACCGAACGGGAAGGGAAAGGGAAAGGGAAAGGGAAAGCAGGTGAATGCGGTTACGAAACAGCAGCAGGAGCAGCAGCAGGAGCAGCCGCCGCAAGATGGGAACGCTGTTGTGGTGGTTGTGGAGAAGACGGTTGTAAAGGGGGCTCAATAAGGGTATGTTGTTAGGTGAGAGAGAGCATGAAGCCGTTGCTTATGCTCACATGTTTTTCCCAAATATAGACCGTAGAATTGAGATTACCTGAAACTAAATAAGAATGGGTATTTTGTTTTAAGGCGTTGTTAATAAACTTCATACTCGTCCTAAGAATGACTCACTTTTACACCTTGCTGAGCTCATCTTGGTTTCAGGGGTAATTCCAAAGTATAGGTTATATAGGTACCACGTGTGAAAGCATCCCCATACCCCTTAAATACTCATGATATTATTATCTAGATTCATAATTCGTAGACTAAACGCTAAACCCCTTGCCTATAGGATAACTCAGATATAGTGTATCATACCCGAACGCCGTAGCCATACAATAAATAGAAACCTTTCCTGCCTACCTAGGTAGATCAAGGAAAATGCAAAGTGCTAGTAGAATCATATAGTTTATCCGTTTCGTCTCTCAGCACATCACCGATTCCCCTTTGCCTCTTCCTCGGCCTGTTTCTGTTTCTTCATACGCTCCTCCGCTGCCTTAGCCATGATCTCACGTCTACTCAACGCGCCATGCCCCGCCGCCGCAGCGCTGCCTCCCCCTCCTCCCAGAACATACTCGCCACCCGTCCACCCGCCGTGGTCATACGCTATCTCCTCGGAAACCTCCGGCTCGTAGAACTCCTGATCGCCCACGCTCCTCCCGCCGCGCGTCCAATCCGCGCGCGCAACCTCCCTCTCGATCTGGTGCGTCAGGTCCCAGAAGGCGCGGTCGTGGTTCTGATGGACGTTGTGCGCGAGCTCGTGGCACAGCGTATTCCGGATGGTCTTGTAGTCGCGATACCCGTCGTACGCGTCCGTGCGCAGGCGCAGCTCGATGACCTCGCCGCCGTTGCGGTTCAGGCCCAGGATGCGCGTGGTGCCCTCGTGCGAGGACTCCGTGTACGACAGCGGGTCCATCTCCGTGAGCAGGCCCACGCTGAACTTGTGCTTGCGCATCGCGGCCCGGATCCCCGCGTCGTTCTTCAGCCGCTCGAGGAAGGCGAGCGAGCGCTCCGGGCGAGGCAGGTTCGGCAGCGGGCGCACCGTCGCGAATGTGTACGTGCTGTCCTCGAGGGCGCGCTGCGGATCCCGCCGCGAGTACGCTTTGGGCAAGTTGCGCCGCGCCGCGGCTAAGTGCGCTTCTCGTTCCGCGGCGCGCTGGGTGGCGGATGCTAGCGAGGCGATTTCCTCGATGGATGTGCCGATCAGGGTTATCTTCTTGTTTTGGAGATCGGCGACGGGACGCTCGGCGAAGGGGGCTTTCAGAAGGCCGAGTTTGGAGACCATGAGTTTCTGGTTGTTGACTGGGATGCGCAGTTCATCTTGAATTTGGGTAGCGAGGTCGGCGACGGTGGCGGTTGATTCTACGGTGAAAGTATGTGGCTTCCCCTGGTGTGTGAGACTAATAGCGATTCCTCCGGATTCTGACGATATCTGATCTTGGTCCGCCATATCTGTATTTGCTGGATGTTGGATAAAGGAATCGTGAAAGAAGGAAGGTGACGGTGATGGGCGAACCTATTGGTGATAGATTAAGGAATCGTGCAGATAAAAAGATAGGCACCTATTTATCAAATATTAAAAAGAAAGAAAGAAAAGACCTACCACGGGCTTCGAGGAATTTTACATTAGGTATTCTTTCTAACGGCTCCTATCGAAGATTCTACAAAGTGTGGTTTTACTTACAGTGTGTTTGTTGTAACGGAATGTTGTAACGGAAGCTTTGTAATCCATTAATTTAGTACGTCAGAAGCCGGATGCCTCGAGTTGCCAAGAGATTCGATGGACTTGGTTCATTAGGTACCAGGTACAAACGAAACAGATGCCGAGTGCCGTTCCAAAGTCGGCTCCACGTAATGCAAATTTCAGCCAATAGGAATAAATTCTGCTGTGTGACATCATGTAAAAGTGCGTGGCTAATGGGATTTCTAATTTTGGATATTTTTACGAATTGTATTTAAGTTTTATTAGCGTTTAATAAAAGGTTATAATAATTATATATATATATATATTATTTAATAAATATAATTATATTTATTTAATTTAATTTAAAAAGCGGTTTTAAATTTTTATAATATTAAATTTAATTAAATATATAATTATAAATTTAATTAATAAATAATTTATATATTACTTTTTTTTATATTTATTTTATAATATATAATATATAATATATATAATTTATTTAAAAAATTTATTAATATAATAAATTTACACTTAAATTTATTAAAATATAATATTAATAAATTTTAATTTTTAAATAAATAATAATAATATAAATTAAATATTAAATAAACGTTAAAATGTTTATTAAAAAAGCTTAAAATTTTTTTTTTATATAAGTTAAATATAAAATTTAAATTAATAATTAATAAACTTAAAAATAAATGGTTAAATACATAAAAAACGTTAAATAATTATATGAAATTGTTGGTAAGTACGTTCATAAGGTAAATGTGACGAACCTACACTCAGGTCCGTTAGAGTGTAGTAACAGGGGTCTTGATTTTAGGTAAACAGTAGCGATACGGGTCAAGTGTCAATGAAACGTTGAAAGTGTTCGTCAGGAAGGCTTGGAGTCCTTCCCCTTATATGGGTTAGATATAAGACTTAGATTAATAGCTAAGGAAATGTAAATGAATGTCTAGATACATGATGGTTCTTAAATACCTGTAGGCCTCTTAGTCCTTGAAGTCATCGTGACTTGGGATCTTGTTGGATCTGGTGGATCTTCCTGATTGAGGGATCTCATGAGATCCATGAGATCCATAAGAGTCCTGAGATCCAATTATCCGAGGTTCAACCGAAAAAGCGTTGGTTGACATCCCCGCTTCCATACTGGGTATGGCTTCGTTGCCTGTTGGTTCGTAACAGTAAAAAGCAAATAACGAGTAAATCAAATAACAATGGGGTGAAACTGGTGTATTAATAATGTTTAAGGAAAGAAAAATCTATCTGAAGCTAGCTAGCAGTGTGATGTCCTTTTATACAGTAATAGTGGGTACACTGTTCCTTCCTCCAGTATCGGCAACAAGGCACCTTATCCCCGATAAGGTGCCTACGTGTCGATGTCACACAATTATTAGAAATGCCTTTTTTACTTTTTGTTACTATCGTTTATAACATTTCTATGTGATCTGGTAAGATCTGGTGTGATCTAGTTAATCTGGTTAAGATCACACAAGATCACTTTAAATCACCCAAATCACTACCCTCTATGAGGTTATTCCGGGATTTATCCGTACTAAGGGATATTAAAACCCCATTCCAAGCCTAAACTTGATCTCCTCGGCTGTTGGTTCGTAATAATTAATTTATTTAATTTTTACAGGAAAATTATTAAATAAGAGTTTTTCCCTTAACTTTAAGGGCGGCTCATACTTAGTAAACTATATGTATACGGTATATATACGGCTATTACATGAGGCCACCCTTCGGGTAGCACAATAGCCCGAACTTGCTTACGTTATTCCTAACGCGCCACACCCCCCCGGCGGCGGCAGTACGTATTTTCGAAAAAAAAAAAACTCTCGAAGTAGGGACGATTCTAACGCTAGAAGATGCACCCAATAAAAACGCTTGAAGCCTCGCGCACGGCCGAGTTTCCTAATCCGGTCCAGCTGGGTCAATACAATATCCCGAACAAGTTCGGGCATAACCCCTCCCCCCCCCCCCCCCCCCCCCATCTGACGCTAATGTTCTTTTATTAACAAGCCACAACGAGAAGACCTACCATTGAAGGTAGCGCGGTACCTGGGTACATACTAGCAATTTAGTAGGGGATCCAATCATACGTCAATCGCGTCGCAGATGTATTTGTGTCCTTTCAAGAAAACATTCTTAACAAGTCTACACAAGTTTAAGTCAACATAAACAAGCCACCTTTTAATATTCACGAACTTCTCTATGAAATCCTCTGTTGAGTCCATCGTATAGACTCAAATCCAATTATCTATATACCTACCTAATCTATATTTACTTATATTTCTACGAAACCCACACTGGTTAACGTAGACACACATACGTACACCAATTTGTCTGAAATACCTTCGGAGCTTTGCTCCCTCAAAATCCAACCATGCCGTTAAACGTCTTCCGAGTCCTGGGTAGGTGTCAATGCCATTAGGTATTTCTTATAAAGACTTACCTATTCTAACAATTATGTTTAGGAGACTTCTCCCATTTAGGGTCCATCGGTATCCTCTTACACAAGATGATCGAGCTCAATGTTAGTTGCGTCCGTCGGTTTTAAGAGTTTCGGATCATATCTAACAGCTAGTTGCTTAGGGCGCGTCTGGTATCTCGTTCAAATCCCAAGCGTTGTACTTTATAGTTTATATTACTCGCTATCTAGGTAGGTTCAATCGCTATTAATCCAAGCGAGTTAATCCAAACGAGCAAAGGCTGACACATTGTCGTTAGATCTCTTCAGCACGTCGAGCATCTACAACATCATCTTCAAGATCCTCTTCATCAGCAGCCAGGGCTACATCATCTACTTAATGACCACCAAGTACAAGCGCACAGTCGATCCGAGCCTCGATACCTTCCGCGTTCAATACCTCCTTGGTGGCGCAGCCGTCCTCGCGATTCTCCTGCCGTATAAGTATACCTTTTCGGAGATCATGTGGGCGTTTTCCATCTGGTTGGAATCCGTAGCTATCCTTCCTCAACTGTTCATGTTGCAGAGGACCGGCGAGGCTGAGGTCATTACGACGCACTATCTCTTTGCGCTTGGAATCTACCGCACTCTCTACATCCCCAACTGGATTTACAGGTATTTCACCGAGCCCGACCACAAGGCTGACTGGATCGCCATCGTCGCCGGCCTCATCCAGACCGTTCTCTACAGCGACTTCTTCTGGATCTACTACAACAAGGTGCTCAAGGGCAGGAAGTTCAAGCTGCCTGTATAAGCGCTCTGGGCGCATCTTGATCTCCACCATCGTGGATGAATAACGAACGACTGTGATGTCACTGTGGCCCGTGCAGTTCTGCGTCCGCAAGATATCCACAGATATAGCTCACAGATGACGCTAGCCCTAGGCGAAGACCGCCCACGTTTTAACGGGCATGAGGTTGAGGAGGGTGGCACGGATGATGATGTCTCGGTATTAGAACCCGTCTTCACGGCGTGTCGGTGTGCATGGCTGGCGTTAGGTTAGGCGGGGCGGTTGACGGTTTCTCGGCCTCAAAAGTGCTTGGCCGTAGGGAGTCTTGCTCTAGGCACGATCTTCTTAACTGTATATAAAACTTGCGTTCTCGGGAGGTAATGAAAAGTATCGAACCAGACACACTGGTTTCTAAATGATGCGGTTTCACACGTTTGGCATTGAATCATACCTTTAAGCCCCTTTTAAAGACAGATTTGTCGACAACTTATGACCCGACGAAAATGAGCATGGCAAGGTTATAGTAGAAGATATATACTTGATTCATATGTTCGATGCAGGATATTTACAAAGTGGAAGCACATATATATATCCCAAGAGCCAACAGACTTGCTGATGGAAGGTACCTATACAAAAACTCCTAGACGCCAACCAGAGCGTTCTTTTTTATCTAATAACCCGAACGCGCTCTCTCTCTCTCTCTCTACCCAAAGCCAAAGCCAATTTGGAAACTCTGCTTCCCCGGTCCCCTTTCCCACCATTACCATATCATTACCTATCAATCCCCAACAGCCAACCAGCTCGACAAATCTATGATGGACAGGCCCCTTACATAGATAGGTAGGTGGCTGGCTTGTCGCGCAGCCGCTAATAGAAATGAGTCCCCTTCTCGAAGTAATACGGATCGACCGGCCTCCTCGGCACCGGCGCCTGCACCTGCAAGCCCGGAGACGTGCTCCCGGGACTGCTCGAGAGCGCGTACTTGACCAGCGGCCGCGGCTGCAGGTAGCTCTGTTGCTGCTGCTGCTGCTGCGGTCCCGCGTCCCCGCTCCCCGTCGAATTGCCGTTCTCGCTATCCGTCGTGAACGAGTACAGCCTCGTCAGACCTTCCCCCTGACCTACTCCTCCTCCTCCTGCTGCTGCTGCTAAATATCCTGCCCCGTCTCTCTCCGCGCCCCGCTCGCTCCCTACGCGCACCAGATGCGCCCGCTGCCCGCCGTTGGCGCTGATACTCTGCTGGCGCGCGAGCGCGGCCCGGGCGGACGTCGTCCGCGTGATCATGCTGTTCCGGTTACCACCCCCACCACCCTCGTAGCTCAGGGGCGAGGGCCGCCGGTCCGTGCGGCTGCTGTACGGCCCGTCGCCGTCGGAGCTGAGTGGCGACACGGGGAACACGGGGTCCAGGCCACTGCCGCCGTCGACGGAGGGGTCGGAGAGCGTGCGCGGGCGGGTGCGGAAGCGGGAGATGCGTCGCGCAGGAGGGGGCGCGGAGAGCTGGGTGGTTTGCTGGGTGGTTTGCGCCGTGGCTGGGTACTGCGTTATAGGGGGTGCGGCTACCGGTGTTAGTATTGTTGTTGCTGTTGCTATTGTTGTTGGCATCGGAGCGGGAGCTGGCGTAGAGGCTTGAGTCGGGGTTGGGGTGAACCGCTGCTTCATGTCTGGCGTGAAGTCGCCGCCGAGGTTGGCGGCGGCTCGGTTATGATTTGTGGGTGTTGGGGAAGTGTATATCATCTGGAACTGGGAGAAATCGTTGGAGAGGGAATGGGAGTGGGAGTGATTAACGAAGCCGTGGCCCCCGAGGCTGGAATGGGAGTTAGACGGTGGTGGAGAGCTGGGTAGGAAATTGTTCTGAGGCTCCTGCTGTTGTTGCTGTTGTTGTCTTGCGCGCCGGCGCATGAAGAGATATGTGATGATAGCTGAAAGTAGTGCTGATGCGATTGAGATTCCTACGACGAGGCCTGCAACAACTCCTGGTGTGATTGATGAACCCTGAGTTGGGACGCTGGTTGGGGTGCTGGGTTGGCTGGCCTTTGAGTTGTTAGCTAAATCCATACACACATATATGATATAATTTTCTCAGGCTTCTTCAGTAGCAGAGATCGTTCCATACGTACTGTAATAGCACTTTCCTCGATATTCGAGACATCCGCTGTGGTAGCAGATACTGCAGGTAATCTATCGCTTGTAGTGCTAGCTGCTTGCGACGAGGTAGCCGTAGAAGCACCAGTTGTCTTTGGCGGGCTAGGCACTGTTATAGATGAAAGAGCCTCTTGAGTACGTGCTGCCTCCCGCGCGGACGAAACAGCACTAGATGCTGATGCCGAAACTTCCGCAAGCGATACGGAAAAAGCAGCAGACACACTGGCTGCTACACTGCTCGATACGCTGCTCGATACGCCGCTCGAGACTCTGCTGGATATCATGCTGCTCACAACATCAGCTGGAGACTTGGGAGTCCTGTCACCCTTCTCGCCATCGTCATCGCCCTCTTCATTGCTACTCTCTTTCCCACTAGCCTGGCGATGCTGAAGCCAGGAATTCCCTAACGTAGTTGTTGTCGGCGGAGAAAGAACCACTGCAGTGGAAAGTAGCGACTGTGGTTGGTGTTGTCTTCTTTGACCCTCTCCAATTTCATCATTTGGTATTATAGGCCATCCTGATATCGTAGGTACTCTTTCTAATCGGTTCTCCTGCTCCCTCCTGTCGAACGAATCTGTATTAAGTGTGGCATCATCGAGTCCTGCTCCCACAGTCGACCAAAGCGACCACGATAATAGGAGCGCAGCTCCAAATTTGTTCATTTTAATACCCTATTATGTACCTGATGCCATTCTATGGTAGGACGAGAAGTGAAGAAAAAACACAGTTTCCTCCCCGTCTACGGGGTAGTCGGTCTGTACTTGAGTGTTAAGGTCAGACGCTTCCGGGCGGCCCTGTATGTAGAAATGCCTACCTAATCTATCGGGTCATATCAACCCAAACTTTTCGCGAGGGCATAGGAGGTAGGTAATTGTTTCCGACCCAACAACTTGGGATAATCATCATCGAATAATCCTCAACGGCAAGGCTATAAGAAAATGTTCCTTCGCGTCTTGGCCCTACCCAATCAGGTTACATTGTATAAGAGTTTACGAAGCCGTGCGATATTCTGATTCGTCAAGACCCCGGTATTCAAACAAAGAGGAAACAAATAAACGACTCTGTTTTAGCTAGAGAATATGGTGGAGGTGGCGTGAGCGAAATTGTTTCTTACCACCCGCTCTCAAGGGTTCAACGGCGAAGGATTTCCCACTGGGGTCGGTAGATTAGGATTGGGTCGGACTACGTGATCCTAGTCATTCCATCAGCCTAGCTTGCCCGCTGCGACGACTAGTGTAGCAGATCTGTAAGCCCTACCAGCATTTATGTTTCAATCACACGTGCTTACCTCAGATGATCTGCTGGGGAATATCATGAGATCTACTCTGTAAATAAAAGGGATTTTTAAAAAGAATATACATATCGTCAAACCTCGCTACTGCTTATGGTTCGTATTAGATGATATATGAAATGTCATTATCCCTCAAATGTAATCCATGGGGGGTGCAGAAAAACAGAGAGAGAAAAAAGTAAAAATAAAAGGAAAGAGAAAAGGAAAAAAGCAGTTACATGCCAATTGACTACTACTAATGAAGCCCAAGAGTAGTACGTACATTAGGGTTTTGAAATTTTTATTCTATGGAATTTAATGAAGGCAAGCTCTGTTCATAGAAGTTACCTAATGTATCTTAGTAATTATTAGCCAAGTTCACTGCGCAAAACAATTATAGCAGCTGCTTGTCTAGTATGGCAGGTGTGAAGGTTGGAAAAAATCATTAAAGGAAGGTGAACACAATGTGTGATTGGAAGGCACTCCAGGGTTTTACACTTCACTTCGCTTCGGCTTCGGCCCCGGCCGGATCCCATTTTCTTTTCGGACCTTGGTGGGGCCGGCCCTCAACTACACCCGTGAAGGAGCCTGCTCCGAAAAATAGCAAAGCAATGTACTCCCGCCTATGTTCCCGGCTTTTAATCTCTTGGCTCCGTTTTTATTAGTCCAATAACTTCTGTACCAAGTGCTCTTAAGAATTAGGCAAACTAAATAAAATGAGGCAGGCACATTAGGCACCTAGGTAACTGTAGAATGTGTGGAAGGCGGGTGCTAAGGATGAAATTCTTCTCGAGAATTACAATTTGAATTTCTATATAAGCATCCCTTCCCCCCAGTATTTCTTCCAGGGTTTTTCTTTCTTTCTTTCCACAGGACTTTATCATCACCAGCATATCTTGTGATCAGTCTACTACTAGGTAGACACCTGGTAAGTATAACACAGGCTACCTACCTAGGTGCCTACTCTATTCCTGTTGTATATGTGTCATAACTATTTGTTTTACAATTCTTTTGATTTTAGAGAACCATTCTAACATTGTAGGCACCAGTGACAAGATGGACGAGCCTCCCACGGGAATCTGGTGCATCAGATGCCGTCATCCGGTCCCGACGGAGGTCATGAAACCTCCCCAACCGAATGTTATGTGTTTCGGTTGCAAGATACAATCTGAGGTAAGTGGCCACGTTTAGTTCATCGCTAAGTATGCCTGGATTACTTACGGGATCGCTAACTTTACAGGCTGAACGATCGTCCCCGAAGGGTCGCCAGTGGAGCTGCATCCTTAACCACTGGTTTGCTGAGGCTGAGCGTGTCCTCGACTGGTTACGGGATGATTACCCTTCTGATAGACTGCTCACCACTCTCTGCACTCTCGCCCGGCACTATAATTACAACGACATTGTTCCAATGGCGAACAGTATGGCCCTTGAGAGAATTCGACATAGATCGCTCCCGGGTATCTATGTCCGCCACGTCGTCGAATCCGACTTCCACGACGCTCTGCTGTTGGCCAAGAACTGGAACTTCCGACCCATTGGAGCTGAGGCCATCTCGACTTTGGAACTGTAAGTGCTCTCCCGTCTCCTTTTGAATTTCACTAGCAAGTCCTAATTAGTACTGTTATTTCAATAGGATGAACATGCATTTGTCGCTCGATGAATACGGCTTCATCCAGGACAGTAAGGACCCCGCGCGATACGCACACAGCATGGGCGTCTGCAGAACCGGACGGGAATGCAAGAATTTCTTGCCCCTTCAAGACCGCATCGTGGTCACTTACGACTATCGACAGCGCAAGGGCTGTGACATGATCATGGGTCCGCAGAAGGGACAGTCAGATCGATATGGGATTCGCTAGAAGGTACTTTTTTCAGCACAGGTCGAGGTGTTCCGTCTTCGGAGCTTTATTCTTACTGGTCGACAAAATACGTCTTATTTTAGATAGACGCCCCAACCAGGCCGGAGATATTTTCGTTGTGTAAGTCGATAGAACCCATTTACCATAGCTTAGTTCGTTATCGTTAGATGTGACTTATTGGTTCTCCTGCTTCTGTAGCACTGCCGACTGCAGTGATTTGAGGTGCCTACTCGAGTTCAATAACTACAGTTAAGCATTCTCACCCTGACCCAGCTGTGTGAATTATTTTCTATGCTGAGCTGTGCGATAATTAATATAGTATACCTACTAGTAGCCCAAGGAATGGAATTCTTAGACCTGATATTCATCTTGACCATATATTGCCAGTGCTACCTGCGCTATGCTCATATCCTTCAAAACTAGTATGTAGCACATAAATTAAACAGTTTACCATCATGTTCAATTTTCGCAATGTCGTCACACTTGTAGCGTAGAGTTTACACATTATGTTCGATGGTTTTGCCGGAAAACAAAACTGTTGTCGGGATATATCATATGGTGTGCCAGAGTAGCATGTGCTTCTCCATACGTTATAGGTGTAACTACAAGCTACTATCATTTATCCATTACATTATGTACGCTCTTTCATAAGCATTATCTCTAGGGTTAGACCAGGTATGGGATAAAATTAAAACGGTAGTAGGGTTTCCAAGTAGTTAGACGGAAGATAGTCGAAAGTAAATTTAAGAAAAGAAGACATTAAAAAAATGTTTGAACCAATATGATCTGTGGTAGGGAGAGTCGTACGTACCGGTTTCAAGTTGTCTGTAGATCTTGGGGTGAGGAAAACACATAACACAATGCCCAAGAAAGAATTCGAAAAAAGGAGAGGAGAGAAATTCGAGCACTGCTTGGAAGCAGTTTTAAGATGAGATCATCTGGGGTAAGTAGATTTTAAAATACCTAACGTGTAGGTACCTACCTATAATATATGATTTAGAGCCTATGGGGTTAGTTAATACCATTGTTACTATGTAGTATCTCCAAACCATCAATCTGCGCTGTACCTAATACTGCTGGTGTTACTTCTAGGTACGTAAAGTGAAGCTATTTGTTATTGACCAACTCTCTCCTTTGAAGTTTGTCTAGATCAACCTAGTGCATGTGAAACGGCATGTGAGTAACGTCTCATAACAACGTAGGCCTAGTCTCGTACATGCAAATATTATGAAGTATAATACTTAAATGAAGACATATCTATGGTATATATCGTTATCATGACCATTATCGTTATCATTACCCATGCAGGGCTAGCTTCTCCAAAAATTAAGTTGATCTAACGTAGTACCTAAGTTAGGTGTTCCAGGTGACAGGTTTTTACTGGGCGCCTGGAGAAGGACCTAAGGTTTTCGGCTGCATATGCCGTGCAGCAACTGACGAAATCTATTAGAAGCCCTTTATTCGCAATTCGCCGGGCTCAGCTCACCGAAAAAAAAGGGTATTTCTAATAACTATTTCTTTCAACCCGCACTCCAGGCATTTGAAAAGTTTCTTCACCTGCTGTGACACTGAGCGCTTTTTGGAGAGTTGAAGTTTCCCAAATTACCACGTGCGAGTAAGGTCCAAGACTTTACGTATTTAACATACCCCAGCCCCAGCCCCAGCCTATCAACTGCAAGCCATAAAAAAAACAAAAAAAAAAAAAAAAACTAAGCTTTTGCATTTGAATAAAAAGATCCCTCCGTCCAACCAAAACAGCTCGAAACGACCCCGCGATTCCTCCCGATTGGACTGTGGCTCGGGCTTTGATCGGTGGCACCGCGTCAAGTTATTGCTGTCTCAGAAGTTTTTTTTTCTTCGCCTGTGACACTGCAGGATCGAATCGAAACGTTTTTATTTATTAATTAAATAGATAGAGTATCCAGCACCGTCTGGTCTCTTTCTCTTCCTTCGATCAATATGGGCGACATGGCGAACGAGATCAAATTGCTCTCGGGCAACAGCCATCCGAGCTTGGCCAAGGCCGTAGCCGATCGGTAGGTTTTTTTTCTTTTTTTTCCTCTTTCCTTTTTTTCTGATCCTTCTTTACCTTCGGACGACATAATTGTAGCAGTTGGAGCCTCTCGTTTCTCGTTTCTCGGCTATTGGTGGCTTTCTTTTCGACTTTCCAGTGACGAAATTGGAGATCAGTACCTATACCCGGCCAAAAACCAAAGAAAAAAAAAACGGTTGAAGATGAAATTGGGAATGGGCTAACAGCGAGTCTTGCGCGATCTTAGGCTCGGCATTGAGATTGCAAAGACGATGAGTTTGAATTATTCGAACCAAGAAACGAGCGTTACAGTCGGAGAGTCAGTTAGAGACGAAGATGGTACGACCTTCTCACCTTTCTCACCTTTTATACCAAGCCCGCGCGATTAAGTTTCGGTTCATGAGCTCATCATCTCTTCTTCTTTTTCTGTAGTTTTCATCTTGCAATCAACCGCGCCAGGCGACATTAACGATGGCCTCATGGAGCTTCTCATCATGATTCACGCCTGCCGCACCGCCTCCGCCCGGCGCATCACCGCCGTCATACCCAACTTCCCGTACGCCCGGCAGGACAAGAAGGACAAGAGCCGGGCGCCTATCTCGGCCAAGCTTATCGCCAACATGCTGCAGACCGCCGGTTGCAACCACGTCATCACCATGGATCTCCACGCCTCCCAGATCCAGGGTTTCTTCAACGTCCCCGTCGACAACCTGTACGCCGAGCCGAGCGTCTTGCGATGGATTCGGGAAAACCTCGCCGGTGAGGATACGGTTATCGTCAGTCCCGATGCCGGCGGCGCAAAGAGGTAAGGGGGTTTGATAGAGCTATATGCGCGCGCGCGAGGAAAAACTGACCCTGTGCGACAGAGCTACATCTATAGCCGACCGTCTCGACCGCGGCTTCGCGCTCATTCACAAGGAGCGCCCGCGCCCCAACGTCGTGGGCAGGATGGTGCTCGTCGGCGACGTAGTAGACAAGGTTGCAATTTTAGTCGACGACATGGCCGACACCTGCGGTACTCTAGCGTAAGCATCCTTCCTATCTTTTCTTCACTATCCCAAGAAGCGAACGATCATACTAAAATCCCACCTCCCCCCTTTTACAGCAAAGCAGCAGCCACCGTCAAGGAGCACGGCGCCCGCGAAGTCATTGCCGTCGTCACCCACGGCATTCTCAGCGGCGACGCCATCAACATCCTCAACAACAGCTGCTTGAGCCAGATCGTCGTCACGAATACCGTGCCCCTCGGCGACAAGGTCCAGCGGTGCAAGAAGCTCAGGGTCATCGACGTGAGCCCCACGATAGCCGAAGCTATCCGACGAACTCACAACGGAGAGAGCGTCAGGTACGTTTTTTTTCTTTTTTCTTTTCTTTTCCCCTTCGAGTCTTTCAACGCTAACAAATGACCTTAGTTTCTTGTTCACGCATGCTCCGGTATAATATGTACCTAATGCTACTCGCACGAGTACATGTCGGGAGAGAGGAAGAAAAAGAAGAAAAAAAGTGTTACGGGTAAACGAGCCTGCTTGAAGATATACGTACTTGCGTTATTAGAGAAATCGATCAGGGTTGGACTCCATGGTTGCGGGAGTTTGAGAGATTGCATTTGGGAAAACCGCTTATGCGGAAGAATCAAGACTGGGAACGTCGTAGAGCATATAATTCGAGGTTCATATACGTACGGAGTTCATTATTTTATCATACTGCATTTGCGTCTGGATATACATACCTTGCCTTATATACATACCTTGTATCATCATGAACTGCATTTATTTTTCTTTCTGGCAATTTCTAGCGTGGGATCATAGTAAATTAGGATGTGAACTTTGTTTGGTCTTGGAAACATCATGCCACATAGAATCATGAATTAGGTACTTATACGGGATGCAAACATTTTTTAAGAGCATTAGAAAGACTGAAAGATAAAAAAACGGCGATTTTGGGAATCTTCATCCTAATTTTTTTGAGTTCCGGGAATACATTCATGTGTGAGGCTGTGCCTAATATCTCATCAACCAGCCGCCGTTCATCCCTGCAAAAGCCATTGCCACGATTTATGCCCTAATGCAAGAACCAGAAGACACCGACCAAACGCCTGTAGGTATTTACTTGCGCATAGAGCTTGCGCGACGCTTGCGAGCGTCAGCCTTGAGGGCACGTGCCTCGGCGATACGCCTAGCCAGAATCTGGGCATACTCGTTCTATAGGTTATTTGTAAGTATGGGAAATTACAACGGTAATAATACGTGTATGTGGGGGTAAACGTACGGCCTCATCCTTGACCTTCTCTGACTGTCGTCGCTTGAGCGCGATGAGGTGGCGCTTGTGCTGGAGACGCTGGGGAGTAACCAGGCGCTGGATCTTGGGGGCCTTGGTGTAAGGCTTCTTGCCCTCCTTCTTGGGCTGGACTACTCGTCGAATGACGTACTTGCGGACCTATATGCCGAAGAAAAAAAACCCATAGTATTAGCCATCTTTTGGTGTGTTCTTATAACACAATATTCCTCTCAGGCTCTGCTCGGTGGTATTCATTGCAAGGATTCTTCTCTCTCATCCTGCAGAAGCAACGACCGAGCAGGCGATGACGAATGAAGGTAAACTTACATCGTCATCCTTGCTGAGACCGAAGAAGCGGCGGATCTTGGAGGCACGCTTGGGACCGAGGCGCTTGGGGTGGACGACATCGGTTAGGCCGGGGATCTCGTTCTCGCCTTGCTTGACGATGGACAGGGCGAGGACGGAAAGGTCCATGGCGGTGATGCAGCCTCGGACGGACTTTCGCTTTCGCTCACCGGCGCGGCGGGGGCGGTAGCAGGAGTGGCCCTCGGAGAGGAGAAGGCGGACACGGGTAGGGTGCAAGACACCCTGCTTCATGGGGAAACCTTGCTTGTCGTTACCGCCGGTGATGCGGAAGATGTAGCCCTTGAACTCGTCGCCGAGGTTGTCGCCGGGGACTTCAGCGCCCATCTAGAACAGTATACATGTTAGTCTCCCCGACATTTGCATAGCTGTTGCGAAAAATATGCCAAAACAGCTTTTTTTTCTTTTTTTTTTCTCTCGATATATGAATGAGGATTATCGAAGCGGGTTTGAAAGCTTTTCGAGGATTCGCGAGAGCAGCGATAAGGAAAGGTTCGGGTTCAACGTACGCGCTTCTCCATGAAGTCACGGAGCTTTCGCTCATCTTCGATCTCAATGAGCTTCTGGCTGCCATTGGCAGGGTAAGAGATGTTCAGCTTCATCTCGGCGGTGGTTGTCGCGGTCGACTGTGTTGGGTGGTTGTTGGATGAAGTCGAGTCGTGAAAACACACCGGAAAATTAATGGGAATTAGAAAAAAAAAAAGGTTCAAAGTTGTTGTGTGGATTTACTTTCGCCTAATCCGATTTTTCCTGCGTGGGAGAAAGGTGGAGATGCGCTAGGGCTACTGGTGGCGCATGGACCACCTGGCTATCTGGGTGAGTTTCCAATCCCCCCACCAAAACAAGGTTATGTAATTACTCCGAAGAAAATCCATTAACGCGTACCTCAGAGAGGTAAACGCGAATTACCTAGATACCACCTGTCAGAACCTTCCCCAGCACTACAGGTCCCACTTATTTTTCCATCATTCCTGGTCTTCTTTCACACATCATGTACCTCTCTACCTACCTAACCTAACCTAGGTATTTTCATCGCCTAGGCACGCTGGGTAAATTACGAGATTATGAAGGTAGTCCCCTCAAAATGGCTACTTCCGTTAAGCTATACCCTAGGAAACCCGGTATTGAAACTACCAATCAATCCTCGCTCCCTCAACTCTTACAAACACCAGCCGGTTTAGCTATCCTTGAGCTCCAAGGCATTATCAACTTACCTAATACTGACGAGAACGACGGGGGAAATCACCAAGAAGTGGCCATTGGACGCCTCGTATTTCCGGACTACCACCCCGAAACCCAAGATCCTTCTAGCACAGCATGGATGAAGCGGGTTCATCTTTATGTTGGCGAGCATCAGAGGCTCACCGGTGAAGTTAAGAAATTACCTAAAGCTATGGCTATTATCAGAAAGCGGACAAAGTCCGGGGAAGACGTAGAGATGACTGACGGGCAGTCAAAACCTTCTACCGTTGAGGAGTTAGAGGTGGTTGAGATCGTCAAGTACAAGCTTGTTTTCTCTCAACGCCCAGAGCCCGTGGGAACTGGATGAAGATTTGTCAACATACTGCAATGAGACTATAAACTAGGCTCATACAGTACCTCATGATCTGCCCGCGAGACGACTTTGGTACCAAGTACGTGATGGGGTTGTACCTTACACCTCACTTCGAAGATCCCACCTGTAGAGCACCGGGAGACTTATAAACTTGGCCTCACGACCTCGGAGTCTTTAGGTACAAGGGATCCTGAGATATACAGCTACAGCAACACTTGGAAGGATACCTACTATTAGCGCCTGATTAAGAGATCACGAATCATCTACTCTTGCATCTCCCCAGGCACTTGTTGAAATAACCATGGTATAAGCCCATCTATGAGAAATACTTGCACTGGGGAATATTGAAAGTCTATGAGAAGTTGTATACCGTCCAAGGTTGCTGATTGAAGGAAACGCCGCATTAGGTTTGACCTAGATTCACAGAATCTTAATCAGGGGAAAAGTACCTAGATTATTCAGACAAAATTAAAAATTTAAACAATGACGAGTTCTTCGTAGCCCTTGTAGATTCACAACCAACTAAGTACCTAGGTACCTCTTAAAGCACTTTGAAGTTTGTACTTCTTCATTATGTAATCACATCTTAATTCTTGGCATGTCGGGGGATAAGCTGATAAGAGATGAGGCTAAGCGGGAGACCCACATAAAATCGACTTCGCATATCGCGAACGGACCGCGAAGCTGTCAACTCTGTTAAACTTCACTCCCCCAACACTCCCTCCAACTTTTTCACCCTCCCGAACTTATCCGTCAACAACCCCCTACGTCTCCTTCTGGATAAGCATCACAGGACAAGCACGTAAATTTGGAAATTAATTTCTTGAGATTGGCCTATCTTGTCAACGGCAAATCATTTTCATTCAAGCCACCTGCGACGTCATCTCAACGTTACAGACACCTACGAGTCACCGGTCTTCACGGTCATTCGAACTGACTCAAGTCGATTTTGACTGTTGATAAATCAATATTTGGACAACACCACTAGCAACAAAACTCTCCATAGATTAAAACGTTGTCTTTACCATCTAGACCCTTTTCTTGAATTCAACAAATCGAGCGTCACTTATTGCCTTCAAACCACTTTTTGAAAGAATCACCCGAATACTTCATCTTCACTTCATCCGATTCGTAATCCTCCAACTATTTCGACATCGCAGAGATGGCAAGCGCACCGACGGAAAATGAGCAGGTTCCCCCTGCCGCCTCGCAGCAGAACGAGGAAGAGGCTGTCCTGCCTTCGGAGCCCAAGATGCCGACTCGGAAGGATACTTCATTGAAGGAATTCTTGACTAAGATGGACGACTATGCACCCATTGTAAGCACCCCAGAGGCCAGGCACAAATCGATTAATCTTATCGGATGCGCTGACCATTGAGTAGATCCCGGACGCCGTGACGAACTACTACATGACAAAAGCCGGTCTTCCCCCACCACCCCACACCGACCCGCGCCTCGCGCGCCTCATCGCCCTCGCGGTCCAGAAGTTCGTCGCCGATATCGCCGCCGACGCCTACCAATACAGCCGCATCCGCGCGTCCAATACCAGCGCGAATAACCCGATGGGCAACCTCGGCGCCGCGGCGGGACTCCAGATCCCGGGCCAGACGCAAGCCAACACCAAAGATCAAGGACGTGGTGGACCCCTGGGCATCCAGAGAGCGGGTTACGGTGGAGGAGGCCAGGGCGGTAGCCAGAATCGCACGGTCCTTACCATGGAAGATCTCGGTATGGCCGTCGGCGAATACGGTATCAACGTGAAGCGAAGCGAATTCTACCGATAAGCATCTAGGTATGCTCGAAGATTATCAACCAGCAATGGTTACGTACCTTGGACGCTAATGTCAATTTTTTTAAAACAGGCGTTTAGCAGCTCCTAAATGCTGCCGTCACCAAAATGGCGAGGAAATACGTCGTCGGCTTAGTTTGGAGCTATACCTGGATATTCAGACACATAACTTTTTTTGATGTTGTACTAAACAAGGCACTGGCATTACTATATTTCTACGGAACGGCAAGACAAGTCCACGAAGGCCCTGATATAAGGAATGGAAGGTCATATTCGAGGAAAAGGCGGCGTTTGGCGTTTAGGAAACAGGATTTTTGTTTCTCTTATGTTTTTCAGAACCGGCCTTACTACGCCAGGAAATTATACATGTACAATTAGAAGACGGGCTACGGCCGTCTAATTATTGACTTTGGAAAAGCTCGCATACGAATAAATGCTGTCTAATGTGTCTTGAGATATATTTTTTTTCTTTCTTCTAATTTGGTTGGGTGATTTGCGTAATATACAGCAGATGGTAAAACTCGTAAAGGACGCCCTGAAAATACCTAGAACGCCAGGGTATTTGCCCACCCACACTTCGTCGTGCTTTTTTTTCTTTTCCCCCATTCTGCTCCTATTTTACCTTCGGGACCAGATGAAGGGTTTTCTCGTCCTAAAAAAAGAACCCAAAGTCAGTTATCAGAATAGGCGTTGTTTCCATGGGGATATGTGTTTCCGAACTAAGCCAAAAAAGGTAGAAGGGAAGGGAAAAGAGAAGGACGTACGGAGAGAACTCGCCGAGCTTGTAGCCGACCATCTCCTCGGTGATCTGGAGGTCGTGGTACTCCTTGCCGTTGTATATCTGGAACTTGAGGCCGACGAAGCTAGGGAGGATGGTAGCGGAACGGGCCTGGGTGCGGATCGGCTTGGCTTCCTCGCCTGGCTGGGGGCGCACGATGGCTAGGCTATTATGCGATATGTTGTTAGATTTCTTGTAAGGGTCGGCGGATATTTTTTTAAGGGAAGATCTTACGGTACGATATTCGGCCCTGGAAGAAGCGGTTAGTTTATAATTGCGGTGGATTTGAGAGGAAAGGGGAGAGAATATTACCCTTCCACACGGATCGGCGTTGCAAGAGCCACCTTGTCGGCTGCATTTTGTCTGGATTTGCAGAGTTGGACGCTGAATAATGGAGGGAGGCTTCCAAAGTTGTCACGATAATTTCGATGTAGATTGTAGATGTACTTGGTAAATGCATATCCCCGTGCCGCGGGTTGGGATTTAAAAAGCGGACTTAAATTTTTCCACTAGTTACCTAACAACGTTTAGTTGAAATGTGGCGTAACTTAATACTTTTATTTCGTCTTCGAAGTTTCTTAGCTTTATGAATTATCTACAATGCATATTAAACACGCCTTCTTCTTTCAGAGGGAACCAAAATTACCAATCTAAAAGTATGTTATTGAAAGTCCTATGATCGTCTCTACAGAGTAGGAATTATACGTAAACAAGTAAACGGAAATACAAGTCGCCGTGTCGAATGCAGCATCGCTTTACTTTACCCAGGATATATACCACACACACACAGTATATGCATAATTTATTCGGAAGCAACCCGATGAGACGAAACAGTTGTATGGGACTCTTCGCGTTCTAAAGGGATCTAGGGATACAGAGTAAAGAATGCAAATTCTCCGCTAGCTATTAGAGGCTTACTTTAAGGAACATATCTGCGTAGGTGGTTACGTTCTCCTTTTTATACCGTCACCGAGATTCGAAGCGAGGTAATTCATCAGCAAAAGCATTAAAAACATATGTTAACCGTATGATAGAAGTACATACATATTATGGGTCTATTCTATGAAATTGGTTACTTACTAATAGTACCTCTTTCTCAACCCCCCTGCAAAGAAGGCCGGTGTCCCCATAACATCCAGATACATACAATACAGTGACCCGAAATTGTACCTCCTTTAGGTAGGTACCAATACCACCACGAGTCGTGAAGTAGAATTCAGGACGTTCCCAAACACGATTTGGGAATCTGGCTGTCTTTCCTATTTACCCCTGTACCTACCGGCCAGTTTGGTCTTTTAGTCCCAGGTCATTTACTCAATCCCTCAACGTTTGCGTCGTTCATTACCCTGGGTCGCGGGCGGTGTTGCTGCCACGCGGCGAGCCGTAGCTTAGCGTATCCCTAATATATATGCGGAGAGCTAGGCCCCGCCCCCCCGGAAGCAGCAACAAGCTCGACGATAGCTCCATTATCATGTCTTTTCGGTCCTATATTGTTAGCTTTCTCTACATGTTCGACGTTAGTACGTCTGGAACTTACCGTTCATTTTTCTATCGTGCCACAGCTTGATGGCGAAAAAGACTTGTAGACCGTGTTCATCTCCAGCGGGGCAATGTTCGCACCCTTGCAAAGACCCGGTATTGAGAACCGCCCTGCCGAAATAAAGAAAGGAGCATCACGGCCGAGCTACCAGTGGTTTCTATGCTCTTCTGATGCAGAGTCTCGTCCTAAGTTTGATTACACGAACCATCAACCCCCCCACCGGGTCCAGAGAGGAACAAGCAGTTCCAACATGAGGCTCAATGGACCTACATATCCGTAGATCCACCATCCCCTCGCCCCGTAATTATATTTAGCGCCGGGTGGTGGTCCCGACTGTAGCTGTTTATGCTTCCATTCTCCTTTGCGTAGGGCGGAGCGTCGGCTTCCGCCCTTAGACCCTGAGTGTATAAGAGACCGAACAACCCGCCCCGACTCGTGGATATTGAGTAGCTAGCTTGTCTCCTACACCTTACGTTGTACGTCTTCGTCGAGTTAAAGTAGTCAGTAGTCAAGACAATCATGAGGTTCGTCGACCTGCTTGTGGCTGCCGCCACGGTCTCCGCCGTCGCGGTGCCTTCCCAGACCAAGAAGCGCGCAAGTGCTTTCCAGTTCACCGGCGTAAGCGAGTCGGGAGCCGAGTTCGGTAACCAGGCCATCCCCGGACGTCTCGGCAAGGATTACACTTGGCCCGACCACAATGCTATCTCTACCTTGGTCCAGAAGGGTTTCAACACCTTCCGCATTCCGATCATGATGTTAGTATCTGCCCTATTGCGGAACAAACGATCACAGATGATATTAAACATAAAGCTAGGGAGCGAATCGTCCCGGGGAAGTTGACTGGCTCTATCAACGAGACCTATGCCGCCGGCCTTGACGACGTAAGTCCAACGCTCTACACATGATGTCTGCTGTATAGAGACTAACCAAAACCCCAGATCGTCAAATTCATCACCAGTCAGTAAGTCTAACCTCCCATCCCCCCTTCCAGCTTTCACGCCTTCTGTACCTAGGTACTCACAAATCGCACTAGGGGCGCCTACGCTATCGTGGACCCGCACAACTTCGGGCGGTACTACAACAACATCATCACGGACGTAAGCGGGTTCGGCGCGTGGTGGACGACGGTGGCCAAGCGTTACGCCTCCAACGAGAAGGTCATCTTTGACACGAACAACGAGTTCCACGACGAGGACAACGCCCTCGTCGGCCAGCTCAACCAGGCCGCCATCGACGCCATCCGCGGCGCCGGCGCCACGTCCCAGTACATCTTCGTCGAGGGCAACTCGTGGTCGGGTGCTTGGCACTGGGTTAGTAGTTTCCCCTTGCCAAAAATGAAAGAATGAATGAATGAATGAAAAAACGTTGCTTGTCTTTTAGAACTTTTTTTTCGTCCACATGTTAACGCGTTATGATGCAGGTCTCCAGCGGCACCTCCGAGGCTATGGGTAAATTGAAGGATCCCCAGGACAAGATCATTTACGAGATGGTACGTAGAAGAATCCCTTCTAGATGCCTACATAAACAAGCCCACATATATTATACATACCTCATACATATATATACTTCTTTCTCGGACATATTAAACTAACTTTCCCCCCTTAGCACCAATACCTCGACTCCGACGGCTCCGGCACATCCGAAGCCTGCGTGTCGGCGACGATCGGCAAGGAGCGCCTCGCGGACGCGACGGCCTGGCTCAAGGCGAACAAGAAGAAGGGCGTGATCGGCGAGACTGCCGGCGGCTCCAACGCGCAGTGCATCCAGGCCGTCCAGGGCATGCTCGCCCACATGAAGGAGAACTCGGATGTCTGGACCGGCTGGCTCTGGTGGGGCGCGGGACCCTGGTGGGCTGACTACATGTACTCCATCGAGCCGCCCTCCGGAACCGCGTTCACGAAGGTCTTGCCGTCGTTGAAGGATTATATCTAAAAAACGTGACCTGGCTAATGTACCTCTTGTGGAGGATATAAGGGGGTGGTGGGTACACGTGATTTTGATAGTAGGCTAGGGGATACGTGACGGCTACTCGCGCAGAAAAGAATTGTATATATAGCACGACGAGAGCAAGGGAGAGAAAAGGAAAAATAGAGATCGTACGTATCCTTATATCGGCATGAACTTGCTTCGTCACTTTATGTACTATGTAGATATTACCACCAGCGCCCCTTTACGTTACCACTTAACCTATCGTATTTCTAAATCTGTGTATTCCCTTCCCCTTCCGCTCTCCTGAGTTACAAATATCTTGTTCATTCATAACTTATACATACCTTAAGTAGGTAGGTAGGTAGATACAGTACTTTAAGTAGGTACCTACTTATCCAAGCAGTTTGCTCTGGCGCTCCAAAAACATCACCTTCGGCCGATCTATCTGCTCGAAGCTCAACTTCTTCTGGGCGAGGGAGATCTCCAGACTAATCGGCCCGTCTCTCAGGATCAACCCGCTTTTCTGCTCGTCGTCGGGACCCGGACCCAAACCCGGACCCGAATTCGAACTCGTGGCATATCCCTGCTCGTACCACAGGTGCAGGCCGTACGACTTCTTCAGCGTCTGGATCAGCAGGGTCTCGACCGAGCACCACGCCCGGTCGTAGTAGAACTCGTCCGCGATGCTGACCACCGCGTCGCACTGCGTCAGGATCATCGGCAGCGCGTGCACCCCCGGCATTGGGTTGCTCTGGTTGATGCAAGCGCAGTCCTGGAGTTAGGGTGGAAGCACGCACGTAAGTATTTCGCACGTAAAGTAAAAAAAAAGTCGTAAGGTTAGGTAGGTATTGATATTAAAACTCGCCGAATAAAAAAAATACTTACCAGCCAAATCCCCATCCTCTCCCTATCCACCGCGGGATGCAGCTTAAGAAACTCCTCCGCGGCGGCCAGCATCCGCCTGTACTGGGTGTTGTCCCCGTCATCCGGCGCCGACGCGCCCACCCACCGGTACGAGAAGAAGAGCACGAAGTCGGGCGTCTTGCTAGGCTCATTCTCCGCGGACCCCCCAGCAGCCTCGCCACCGAATCCGCGGACGAGCCCGTCGGTATGCTTCGGGAGTCTGCCTAGGGAGCGGAAGGCCGAGTACGGCACGAAGGAGAACGCGGAGAACATCTCCCGCGCCTCCTCGTCCGCGCGGAGGGACCCGGCATACGCGCTGCGCAGGCGCCGCACGCGGTCGTCGTCGTGTCGCGCGAGGAGGATAGGCCGGAGGACTTCCTGGAACACCTTGCGGTAGCCCTTGCGGAGCCTGGAGCCCGCGAGCAGCGCCTCGACGTCGTAGTCGTTGGCGCCTCGCCGGAGACCCCCGACGACGGCGTCTCGGAACCCGTCGTTGCCGGAGAAGACGGCGTAGTCGAGGGCCGTGTACCCTTGGTCGTCTGTGATTTCCAGGTCCACGCCGGCCTCGACTAGCTCTTTCAGATACGCCAGGTGCTCGCCCGAGGGCTCCTTGCAGAGCGCGATCGCGGGCGTGCAGCCGGTGCTTGTGTTGAACTGCTCGGTAGCTTCCTCTACGTGCCCGCTCATCCGCAGCGCGCGCCCGTAGAAGAATCGAGTTATAGCGACTACGGTTGGGTCGCCAAATCCCGCCACGAGGGCGAGCGCTTGCTGGGCTGTTTCCACCGCCTCCTCTAAGCTATTCCGCGCCGAGAGACAGAGCGAGAGGCGAGATAAGCCAATGATCTCCCAGTTTTTACCGTTTTCTATGGAACTAGAGTCTTGAGGGTGACCCTTCGCAGCTAAGGACCGCTGGATGTTTCGAGCGAGCCGGACACGTTCTCGAAGTCGCGCAATTGCCAAGTCGAGAATCTTCTCGTCCTTGTCTAGCTGCGAGATCTGGTAGTTTACCATGCCGAGGTTTCCGACTGCACGGCAAGCTTCAGCTTCCAGGCCCAGCTGCTTTGCTGCGTTGTACTGCATCTCGAACATGCGCATCGCGTCCGTGAGGTTGTTCAGATGTCTGTACACGACACCTAGCTCTCCTACACAGTTTACGCGCAATACATTTACTTCCATATCCGTTATAACCTTCTCTAGGATGTCCCTAGCGATCTCATATCTGCCGAGGCATCGGTTGACACGCCCGATTTTGTATAGCACTTCACGCCTATATCGAGCCTTGTTGGGAAAATTATCAGTGCTATCACATAGGCTGAGCGCATTGCTGAAAGCCCTCAGCGCATGTTCCCATTCGGCATGGCGAATGTGCTTCTGCCCCTCGTCCATATTGATTTCCCAAGATCTCACGGCATCAACCGTTAACGCCACGGTCTCCGGTGTCACACCGGCTGGATCGCGAAACTGCGTGAACGAATCGCCGTCCTTGGGGCCTAGAACACCAGCGTCTTTGACAAATCCCCGCCGCGAGTCGAAGACGAAAAGCGTAGCGTGAAACCGATCAGGAGCGACTTCAGTCCTGTGGTACTGAGCCGCCGGAATCGTGTAGCTTTGGCCTCGGCGGTGAATATTTGCTTCTAGAGGAACAACACGGGCGAATTTCTTGGTATTGGTAATAGTCGAAAAGGCCTGGTTCGTCTTATAGTTGGATCCCAAGTTCTTACCATCGCTCCAAGCTAAGGCATATTCTGAATGAGTGGCAGTTTCCGAATCGTCAACATGTTCGACCTTGTATGAATGATCGGTGCCTTCGCCAGCTAAGACCCAGCTCTGGGCAAAAGCTTGGTGAGAGTGGATAGCAACGTCAGGGGTTCCTCGGTTGTTGTCTGGCAGCCACACATGGAGGCGGAACAGCTCGTCTATGTTCCCATTCTTGATCAAGCTGCAGAGGGCCACAGAAGTAAAGCCTTGGGCACTTCGAGAGGCAGTGAATAGTTGTCGTGTAAGCAACTTACTGGTAAGAGCATCGCGGACGAGTTCCCAGATAAGATCAAGATCAGCTTGGCTTACAGCTACGGTTGCATCCTCTTCTTTGCCCGTATACAGCCCACGAAGATATGCGACGGCGAGCGCTAGGTAAGCAATTTGTCGGGTATCTTCATCGATAATTTTGGTGTCGATAGCCGTACGCCAACCACTGAAAGATAGAGCAACGCGTTCCTCCTGCTCGTTGGCAGCGCCCGGATAGAGACTCTGTATAATTCGATGTGAGATGTCTTCAGGTGATTTTGTCGCTACAGCTACACCTTGAAGAATCCTCAAAAGGGAACTCCTAGCCACTGCGGTCTCTACAATCATTTTCAGAAGGGGTCCATAGAAGATGTTGGACTTTGAAGATGGACCATTGTGTGCTTGTGTGCCAATGCTGATGGAGGATGCATATGCGCCTCTCCTGCGCTTAGAAAGATAGGGTTGATAGGGCGAAATTGACTATGCCGTCTCTCAGCCAAGAAAACTAGGGTAGGAGTTTATAGTGCGTACCTATTATAATGTCCAACGCTAGTATACCCGAACTTGTTCGGGGTATTTATATTGTATCGACCCAGTTCGTCCGAATTAGGAAGGTCGTCTAGAACCGTGCGGAGGAGAGCTGGGGGCAGGGCGCGCCAAGTGAAAGTTCGGGCTCTTGTGCTACACGGCCCTCATTATATACATACCTCCTTATATAAGGTATCCCTAGGTAGGTACCTACCTATATATTAGGTATCTATGTAAGTGTGTACCATCTTGTACCATCGTCATTACACTGGACCTTAAGTTATCAAAACTTTCTTATACCATTAACCTCGAAATCGTTAACCACGTCCTGAAAATTAGGCGTGGGGAAAAAGGAAAGTCGGAATCATAAAATTATTAATAAAGCCATAATCATGATTGCTAAGTGAATCCTACTCTACACATGCTGCGATGAAAGGATTCCGGCAAAGTCTCAAATAAGCTAGCTAACGCCAACGGCCTGCACTCCATTGGCGAAGCTGCCAGAGAAATCTATATGCCGAATGCAACAAGGGAATCTCAATTCACCCAATGCCTCCTGATGTCGTAAGTGGAAAAAAATAAAAGAAGAAAACCATGCACACCCTATTCCTATCCCCCTTTTTTATGCTGTACAAGACTAATGCAACCATAACGCAAAAGTATAATACGGCAATGTCTCATTTTTTTCTCTTTTCTTCGTGAATACTATGATTGAATTTAGTCGTCCCTTAGGCGAAGCCGAAATAGTCGCTACCAGCAGTGATGGCTTTAAGGACCTGCTTGCGAAGAATGTCATAGCTCTCATATTCGGGGAGGTCGAGCTCTACACGGCTATTAGTACATTATATCATGCCGAGGATAAACAAGGTAGTACTTACGGTTAAAGCAGGTATGGGAGCTTGGAAGGCGATCTTTATTCCCGTAATCGCGATGGATGTTGAATCGATTGACTCCATTCATGCCCTCGAGCTCCTTAAAACCATTAAGTGGTACTTTACTGGTTCCTGTAACGAATTGAAGGAGCTTCGCGCGTTCCTCCTTGTCGAATGATCTCACTGCGCGCCAGAACCACTGAATTTGCGGGGAAGATGGCGAGTAGTTGTGGTACTCTGTGTTACTCTTCCAATCATCGATATCCACGTCCGGCAGACCAGAGATTAACAGTTCTAGCTCCTGCTCGTTGAAGATAGATATAAGTTCAGCAGGGATGATTTCGTGGAAGCCTACCCATATAATTAGTCTCCAGTTTCAAAAAATGTCAACAAAGTTTGTGATTTACCTTTGAGGAAATTCTCCATCTGATCCTTCACTGAAGTGAGTAGCTTGTGCTCAACCACCAGGCGCACATATTCATGCTTGTTGTCTTCTGTCACGGGCACGTTGCGACCATTGTCGACGAGGTCGTGGATCCTGGTAACTCCAAACTCGTCATCCTCAACCGAGAACGTCTCAGTAATAATATCAGTGATGTCGTTGTTCAGCATCCAAGAGAGCGACTTGTAGTAATCCGGATCAAATGATTCCATATCCTTGACTGAGACTGGTTTTCCTAATATTCGTTTGTAAACCGCGCGACTGAAGTAGCAGTCAAGTAGACGACCTTCATACAAAGCCTTGCCGATGATTCTTCCGATAAACTTGAAAAACATGAGATGTTCATCGTTTATACCACTGAGCTTGTTGGGGTGGAAGGTTGTCCGATCACTAGAAACGGGCACGAACAGGGCATAGTTGGCGTCAAACATCTGACGTGCGAGAACCTGGAACCATTCTCGGGTGACACCACCGGCGTCTACACCCTCTTCTCCATGGAATCTGATACTCAGTTTCCCGAACTTCATCTCCTCACCTGTTTTAAAGTATAGCGACTTGAAGGAGTCATGGAAGACATGTTCTCGGCGAACTTGTAGCTGTAATAACGGATGTGGCCGTTGGCTGACGTGTTGTTTATTGTGAACGCTACGGTTAAACCAGCTGCGTTTATTATCGAACTCCAGGACTTTGGGATTCTTAACAAGGTGCGAAAAAGTGCCTTTCATTAGGGATGGGTTGTTGCGAACAAGCTCATTCAAGATCCGACGATGCTCTTCTGTAAAGGTGAAGAATAGGCCTGCTAAATGTGATTCCGGCTGTGGGCTTGTAAGCACCATCTCTTTGCTGGCTTGGCTCTGAGAAGATGCCTCGTTTTGGGCAGTATCCTTGCAGACGACCATCAGGGCCTCGATTAGGGGAAGAAGAATTGTGGCTACATTAAGTAGGCTATCGCGCTGACGAATTGCGCTCAGGCAGGCACTCAGCTTCTCCCATAAGGCGTTGAAGGTGGGATTACGGTAGAGAGTAGCGAGTAGGTCTCGCTTCTTAGTGTCATCAGAATCAAAGCCTTCTGTTGCACCTGGCTTCTTCTGGGCGAATAGATGATCCAAGGCTGTTAACACCCGAAGAAGTTTATTCTGGTCGGAAGCACCAGGAGAAAACTTTGCCAAAGCGACTCCCTGGATCTCGGTGCCTGAAGCAGCATTCTGAATGTGTGGCAATAACTCGTCTAGATGAACGACGATCTTCTCGCTTAAGAGCTGGGCTTGACGAGCGAGCTCTTCGCCAAATACCAACATTGCTCCGGGAATCACAGAAAGATTCTTAATTGTCGATAGGGTTTCCTTGAAGGTCTTGGAACTACACTCTCGAGCCACGAAGATTTTGATGATAAGAGTCAGGTTGTGTACTGGGATAACTGGTGGGTGTAGCTGCTTAATTCGCTTAAGCATCGCTTGCTTTTCTAACGCCTTGGAAGATTCGGCATCTGTAGCCGAGGTGCCAGATGGAGCAGTCTCTCCACCAGGGACACCTGTTAATTGTTCACCTTTTGAGTCCGATGTGTTTGTGTTGCTTCTCTCAGCACCATCTCCGTTATCCGCCGCTACTGGCGTAGAGCCTGCGTGCGCGGCTCCGGGATCCGTTGGGTTTGCGGCTTGTGCGTCGAGCTTCTTGATAGCTTCTGCGGCTTCCTTTTGCTTGCGGTCTAGAGCAAGTAGTGGGGCCGTTACTCGGCTTAGTAGTTGTGATAAGCTATCCATGATAGAGGAACTTTCCATGACAAGATCGCGATCCAGGAGAGCAAGCAACGAGTTGATGGCGTATTTGTTCGCCTTCACATCTTTGGCCTTTCCTTTGCGGCTGAGACTACGTTTGATAGCAGTAGTGATAACCCCTTCATGCTCGGTGAGGAAGAGAGAAGGCACGTGAATGTTTTGATCCGCAAGGTAACATAGGAGATCAAGACACTGTTGGACAATCAGGAGTGGAGATGTCTCCGAATTTGCCTGGATAGGACCGGCGCTGCTGATATTTGTGAATGTGCGCTTCAAGCTTTGCGGCGTTTGAGTCTTGGTGTCGATCTCTTTGGGCTGCTTGGCTTTGATAGACAGCGACGCAAAACTGCGCTCGACAGCGTCCACATCGGTTGAACCTTCTTGCAAAATCTTGAGTAAATTGCTAACGACGTCGAATCGAGTTTGCCGGTTTTCGCAGACATCCTTGAATAATGACCTTAAGGATGTCTCTAGAGACCCACCCTTCATATTGATGAACATCAGACGAAGTAAGGTATAAACGCCTGGTTTATCTAACATCTGCACAACTGTTCTTCGGTGAGGTTTGTCTCCCTCGGTTGTTCCACTGGGTTGAGCACCATCTCGTGGTCGGCTAGCGCCAGAAGCCGGTCTATCGTGATGGGCGATAGGGTTTGTAGTTCGAACTAGCCGACGAGCTTGGGCTGCGAGATCAGGAGGCAAGGAGTCAATGATTTCTGCGCCTTGATCCATGAGAACTTGCTCACGAAGAGCGGGTGGGAAAGTCATTAGTATACTGGCAGTATCCATGTCTTGGGCTTCTGCTATTTGACCAGAGACGACCGTCTGGCGTCGTGCCTCCTCTCGCTCTCGCCGGCGTTGCTCCGCCCTCTCTTGTTGAACGATCTCGCGGCGAAGGTCATCTGGTAAAGCATCCAAGAACTCCTGGAATACCTCGGTCTGCTCCCCTGATCCTCCAGGTGCCTCTCGAGCTTCGGCCCTGCGCGTACTAACGGTTTGGGCAATGACTTCTTCCCTAAATTCTTCAGGAAGTGCCTCCAGATAGTCAGGGTCAATCCCCAGTTCTGTGACATCAACTTGTTCGCCTCTAATAGTAGTGAATGCGCGTGGCTGGGTGGCGGCCGGTACGTTTTCTGTGGCATCCGCTGGCGCGTCTGATGTTTCTACGCCTTCCATAGCTTCCGGCTCTCCGCGATCACCCTGTTCGCCTTCCTGGATAGCGGTAGTAATTTGGGACTGGGCTTGTGCTGCAGACTCAGCGGCTGCTCGTTCACGTTCTTCGGCCTCCTGCTTTTCTCGGGCAGCTTTTTCCTCGGCCTCTTTAGCTTCCTGTGCTTTCCTCTCTTCCTCTTCGCGCTTCTTACGCTCCTCTTCTAGTCGCCGTTGACGCTCCGCTTCTTTGGCTTTAAGCTCTTTTTCGTGTTGGATGGCGGGTGGTACAAGGTACGAAAGAAGCGCTGGGACAAGGCGGTGAGACTTTTCCGTATGCTGAATTCCGAAAATCATCTTCACTTCTTCTGTCCACCGAGCCACCGTTGATTCAGATGTGAACGAGGTTGCATGGGTAGGTTCTTGGTACGTTTCCCTACGGTTATCTGAGCGTGATTCGCGTGGAGTACTGAATGGGAAGTGTATGTCATGTATGTCTCCCCGCGGCCCCTGTGTTATCTGGAAATGAAAAGCTTGTCCGTGGCGGTGAATCGAAGCGGGAAGGGAAGCCACAAGATCGTTAATAAGGGAGATTGGACTGTCAATGGTACTACCTCCAAAGAGACCGCCAGGAAATCCCAATCGAACTAGGCCACCAAGGTGAGGTGGACGAGGAGATCCGTCTCTACCAGCCTCGTTCCCTCGGCGGAGTAGAGGATTCAGCCCATCTTCGTTATTATTAGGTCGCGTATCGTGTCGATTGCGTACAAAACCTCGCGGATCTGTATAAATAGCAGCGCGTCAGTATCAGTGCATTCACGAAGATAAAATAGGGGAGAAGCCAGTAAACGAATAATCAAAGGCGAGTGACATGTATATAAACGGGTTCTCCACGCACCACCAAAAGCCATCTCTCGAGATCCCATCATAAATGGAATAGGAGGGAAAGGACTGCGGGTTCCATGTCGATTTCGATGAGGGTGGCCGAGAATAGCTCCATGCGGTTCTACCACAAGGGTATCCCACCCCAAACTAGGGGGTCCAGCATCGCGAGGCGGCGCATCATCTTTAAAAAAGCATGGAGTATCAGCCTCTTTTGGCTCTAGGTCCATAGTGGAAAACGGGAATAGGGACAAATAACTTACTAGGGAAGTCATCCTCATATGCGTATTCGTCCTCCATATCGTCCTCTTCGTCCTCGTCTTCTAGGTTCCTAGTTAGCGCGCGATGTTACAAATAACGTAGAGTACTTACCGTCCTCATCCTCATCTTCCATAAAGCGCTCGTTGAGGGCGTTGAGCTCATCGGGATGCTCAAAGTTCTCTTCTTCAATAGCACGCATAATGTTCCCGAATCGACCCAATCCGTCAACACCATCTAGGTCTCTTAGCTCAGCAGCTTCTTGGAGCTCCTGAGCTTCTGCATCGTAGTCAATCTCCTCTACGTCCTCGTCATCGTCTTCTTCCTCGTCATCGGTGTCGCTTTCCCATCCTGAAACGCCGTCATCTTCAAGTGGATTGCCTTCATCATCAACAATCTCGATGCGGTCTTCTGTTTCATCCATGTCGTCAGAGTCAAGGTCATCGTCCTCACTATCATCCTCATCGTCTTCATCCATGTCGTCGTCTTCGTCGTCGTCGTCGTCGTCATCCATTGTGACTTCGATGACACCGTGATCTCCTGATAATCCCTCGATGGGGCCCATGCCTTCGAGTTCATCGTCCTCATTTTCGCTAACGTCCTCTTCGCGATCTTCTGATTCATATCCCATGTCATCGTCATACTCGTCGTCGTACATCTCTTCATCGTCATCTGCAAACGTCAGTACAGTCGACCAACCATGAAAATAAGATGGGTATATACCATCTTCCGAATCTTCTGAATAGTCCTCGTCTGGATCCCTACCAGGTTCCAACATGCCGAGAGCCGAGTTTCGATAAAGGTCTGGGGTCTCTTCTCGACCATCATCAATATCCGAAAGAGAGCTTGCTGAGAACGTTTCCTCGTCGAAATTCTCCTGAGTCGGAACTGTAGGAATGATGTTCGAATGGCTCAGATGAATGGCTGTGCTAGTCAGGATCCGCAACACGCGAAGGATGTATTTAATCGTTCGTTTCACAGGCGGAAACGCAAGATCAATGTCGGCGATAGAGGAAGTAAGCGCGGTAAGGTAGCCCTTTTCATACATAAGACGTCGAATTTGTGCTTGCGATCTTTCAACGGGATCGTGAGCATTTCGAGATGATGCTGGGCTATCCTTGTCCTTATCACCCATCATCAGATGCATGACCTCTGCCAAAGCCAGCATTTTTGCGTATCGGATGTCGAATGGTTCGCTAGACGTGGCGGCATCTTTGTACGACTTGAGCACTGTGTCCAAAACGAACTTTCGTACAAACACTAGATCTGGCTCGTCGTCATAATCATATTTGTCTCGGCCTAGCTTAACCGGCTTCTCGCCTGTCTTGCTAACAAGGGCGACTAGGAGATTTAGTGTCTGTACGGATGTGGCGTATCTTTTCTTATACATGACCGCATCCGAAGTATTGTCCATGTGGCTCGAATAAAGGAGATCATTCAGAAGATAATTTAAAACGCTAGATCGTGGTTTGACAGGAGTATTCGCGAAAAGCGGCTGGCTCCTCTTGAAGTTGATAAACTCAACCTTCGTGCGGTTGTAGCTTTGTAATAATTCTGCTAGACAATGTAACAGGAAGCAGCGGTAAATGAAGATAGGATGCTCTTCGGCCTTGAATGTAGGTTTGGCTTTCTTCTCTTTGTTATCCTCGCCTTCAAGAGCTCCACCAGAAGTAGAAGTAAACGATGTTTGATCAGCTGGCTTTTTAGCTTCCTTAGGAGGTTGCGCTGGCTCCTTATCATCGACTTCCTTGTAGTTCAGCAGCTCGCAGAGCAGGAAATGGACAACGCCATCAGGATTTTCAAGTACGGGACGTTTAGTATCTTGCTGATGAGACTTGGTCGTGTCTACCATCTGCTTGTCTTCGCCTTCCGTAGACGGCTTCACATCCTGGATCGATAAATCCTCGGTGGCGCGAACGGTAGGTGCCACATCATCCTTCGGGGGACTCAATTCCGTTTCTTTGAGGACTACCGACTGGCCACGTCCGTGGCCATTCTCTGAGGGAAACCATCGGCTCAACTTTACCGTCTCATTTGCGACCTGGATAAACAGCTTGGGATCACGGAGCGCTAGTTGAGAAAAGCTTCTAATAAAACCAGCCGCATCTACAGGTCGTGTATTCCTACCGGCGGTAAAGTAGGCTTTGATTTCACTTCTCATTATTTGCTTAATAACCTCTTCATCTTCGACAATATGTCGAAGGATAGTCAGGAGATAAGACGCGATTCGGGTTTCGCTAAGACGTGCTGCTCCGACGCCAGAAAGTTGCTTAGCCGTGACGAACAGCCGCTGCAGATTCTTCTTGTCGCCAATCAATCGTGCTATCGAACGATCACGGGTCAGGATAACCAAGATCCGCAAGACAGATACAGCCAAAGATTCTTCCTTGCCAATCCGAGGTAATATCTCTAGTACCGAGCCTAGGAGCTTCTGGCGTTTGTCTTCTTTCACGTTGAAATCTTTTAAGGGCCATTGGAAAGGTTCAATCTGCTCGCTTTCAGATGTTGGGATCTTCCACTTAATCTCTCCAGGTTGCTCGTCGTCACTGAGGAGAATCTCGAAAATGAGGAGGATATAAGGTATCCAAGGGGGGAGTTCATCAGTAGAGGGAGACGATGGGACTTCAAGAAATCGCAAGAATTCGCCCACGTTCCCTTTAAGTGTGTCGACTGTCGCTCGGAAGAAACTCTTGTCTTGGAGCAGTAGAGACAAAAGATGGGCATATGCAGCAATGCTTCGTCCGTTATCTTTCAGATCATCATCGCCCGCAAACGACATGAGAGCGTTGATTAATGTCTCCCCTATTTCTTGTCTCGAAGATAAATCGTCCCCGGGGGTTCGAAGAATGATAGAAGAGATTAACTCCGAAACCTCGTATGTTGAGTCAGGATGTGCTCTTATAACATCCAGACATCTATCAATGAGGTTCTGGCGTAATTTAGCACGCTCTTCATCCAAATCTTCTTTGGCAACAACACCTCTCTTCGCGAGATCTGTTTCTGTGTTCACCTCAGCTGAGGGACCCTGCGCAGGTGAGGTTGATGACGACGCTGCTCCATCATCATCCCGAGGGACCAGAGGAGGGACTGGCGTATCACGGCCGTTGTTTGACAGAGTTACAGCCTGCCCTAGATCGCTTAAGATATCCTCATCAAGTAAAATTCCTGAGGGTATTTCCGGAGTTTGGTCTAAGACCATAGGATCATCGTCGGTAGCGCCCTCACTGGCCTGGATGTAAGCGGCAATCTCATTGGGTACTGCATTCTCTGGTAAATCTCGCTCGGGTATGGGGTTACGGGTACCAGCCACGCCCGATTCGTGTACTCTGCAGTACTCGACAGCTATTTGCCGACTACCGTTGGCCCGATAAATACCCTCACGAGCAAGTTCTTCAGAACAGGCAGCGTCACTGACAACTTCCCTGATGTGGTCGACGACCGCTGGCCAAGAAAATCGAAGCGGTGTAGCCTGAAGGTATGCCTGAGGAGTGTTCTGCAGACATTAGCATGTAATCATGATGATATTCACAAAAGTTAGTAACAAACCTTATCCGAACGTTTATACGCGTTGCTTTCAGAGTCAGCAAGGGAAATGGACTTCAGGATCAAGATGATTTTCGCGAGGATAGGGGCGGAGCCTTTCTCAACCAACGGAGACTCCCAAAGCTCTCTCATTACCGGTAGGATTGCCATCCGTAACTCAACCACCAAGTTCGGGGCAACTAGAGAGTCAGCTCGCCTATCGGTGGCTCCACCACACCGCGTAAGGACATTAACTTGGCTTATAGAGTCCGTGATGACTTTCCCGTTAACTGTCATGATGTACAGATCCAATATCTTCTTCATGCCTATAACGGCGAGTCGCGACATAGAAGAACCCTCTCCATCCTTGTCCTCTCTGCAGATCTCATTTTTGAATATACGCAGCATTGAGTTAAGGAGTTCTAGCCCGCCAAATTTCTTAAACGCGATCAGAACAGGCGCAATTATCTGGTTTGCAGATTGCCGCTCCGAACGAGCTAGGTTAATTAGCATTCTATATGTAAATAAGCAGTAACGTGATGTCAACTTACACTCTATTGTACGGTTTACCAGCATTTCATGAACGGCATGCAGCATGATGATCCAGTAGTGGAAGTCCTTGCTCGTCTTTTCACGATCCGGTAATTGGAATTGTGCCAAGATCGACTTGGCCAACTGCTCTGCTAATACCATGTGATGGGCTCGTAAGTAGAGATCTCGTTCACGACGGGGTAACAGGGCTTTCCCTAAGGTTTGAAAGAGTGGGAATGTGGCAGGCATTAATGAGTGCAACAAAAGACGAAGAGTCCTGTAGTTCTGATAGCGCGGACTGGATTGCTCGCTCTCAGAGGGGCCATCATTTGGGCCGGTGGTCTTAGCCGTTGAGAGTTTCCATAGGGCGCTGGACGATAAGACATCCGGTAAGCCTGAGTCATCGAGCTCAGCAGTCATAACATTTCCGCTGCTTGATGTAGCGCCACTGTTTGCTTGACCTTGCCGATCCATAGAATGACCTGCTTTTCTAATCGACCAATTCTCAGGAACACTGCTAGAAATAGCCGCCTCTTCCAAAATGACAGCGCGCAGTAACGGGCCAAGAGACTCAATCAAGCGGCCATAGTAGTCGAAAACATTAACCGGTTGCAGCGTTACGGTCTGCGATCGTGACGAAAAAGGGAAGCACTGATATAACGTCTTTATAAGGGTTTGGGTATTTAAGAGCGCCTTTGCCAGCCGAGTGCCTCGAGAAAGCTGATCCGCAACGTCGCGGTTGGCTTGGTCCGCTAAACCTGCATCAGCCTTAAGAAACGGTAGGAAGTATGAGCCCGGTTCCTGAGCTTGAGTAATCGGCTGAAGCACATCAATCTCAGCCTGGGTCCTTTTTAGCAGAGAAGGTAACCCTATAATCGGGCTTGCCTCCATCAACATGGATAATACCGCCTGTAAATTTCGGGATGCTAGAGAATCTCCAAAGTCATGCGGTAGACTTGGGGAAGTACTAAGATCAAGGAGTAACTCTATCCCGCCATTGTTGATCAGATTCATCTTGAGGTTCGTGTTAGTGATATATTGGGACAAGAAGTTGGAAATTGCATAGATATAAGGCGTGATGGAGTTATCAACCGTGGAACTGAATGCCGTCGATTCTTCAGTTTCCGCTTGCTGCACGCTTGCATCTGCCATTTTCACATCAGCTTCACCCTCGGTAGCGACAGCTTTGCCTTTGCCCTTATCCAATACGGCCTCTCCAGTTTCGCGCAATAGAGCTTCATTCGCAATTACTTCTCGACCTTTTGAGTCCTTCACAAGAAGTTTGGCTCCCCATTGAGAATCCCTTGCCTTGACCTTGGCGAGATGGGCGACTCGAGCAACCATATCTAATACTGCATTTGCTATAGCTGGTCTAAGGGACGGATGATGACGAGCGAGCTCATCGAAGCCGCTACCGACATTAGACGCTACGCTCTCATCAGCCGCCATCACTCGCACATGCTCAGGGCTCTCAAAAATCTCAAAATAGCTGTCAAATGCGCGAGAGGCAACGACCATTTTCATGCCAACATTGTTTAGAGAAATGGCATTCAAAACGCCTGGAACATTCGTGATGGGCTCTGAGTTTGGCAAAATGCCCCGAGCCAGACCTTCGCGAGGGGCTTCCAAATCATCCAATGACGGAGGGTGTGGACGATTATCGGATTCAAGGAGATCAGGGGTAGAAACTTCCGAAGGTGATTCGGGACTCTCGTCCCGATTGTGAGACTGGGCTGAGTCTATTGCACTGGTTTGTTCCGCCTGCACGGGACGACGTGTTAGAGCTTGCAGGTAGCTCTGGATCAGGCCTGCTTCGGAGATGGCCGAAAAGCTCGTGGGATCGTTGTTAAGGAAGTCGCTCAAAATGATGACCGCATTTGTCCACACGATAGAGCCAAACTTCGTCATGTTCTCGATGATTTCGCGCATACTATGAAGCAGTGCAGATTTATCGACGAGGTTCCTCAATAGTCGATCGGTGTTTCCACCAAATGAAAAGGCATTAGACATCACATGGTGGATGAATTTCAGGATAAACTTTAGGTTCTGTTGTTGATAAAAGGGTATCTCGTAATCAACAACCTGAGAACGATGGGTGGGAGGTGTTCCTCTGCCCTCCATAATAAGCTTCTCTGCTAGTTCAACTTCGTGAGTAACTAAGTTGGTGATAGCGTCAAGGCCACCCGCATGTATCAAGGTCTGAAACGACGTCTGGACATTATAAACCAGATTGTCTAGGAATCCTACCAAGGTGCCATATGTGCGTTCTGCTTTATTTGACCTAATGTTGAGGACCTCAACTATAACATCCAGCAATCCAGCTGAGATGATCTCAGGTGTGCTGCGGTTAGTATTATGGGCCATAGCCATCGTGATATGAAGTGTGAGGGAGAAAAGGTTATCACGCCATTCATCTTCCGCAGTATACCGCTCTCCAGGGGCGTCATTGTCATTCTTCATCTGGTCTACGGCCTTCCTGATAACATAAAGCAACACGCCGTGGTTCACAGTAGCGTTTAGTGCGGAAAATATATCGGGCAGCTTGTTGTGAAAACCAGCGATTGCTTCTAGTAGAGATAACGCAATCGACTGTAAGTCAATAGGCACTACCGTGGCTCCATCTGCCGCTGGATGAATCAATTCCGCAAGCTGGTATACAAGCTGGAACCGCCGCGGCTCATCATTGTCCTGCCTGAGAACTTTCTCGACGAAGGTAGACTCTATGTGAATATATGCCAGATTTTGGATAGCCAACAAGCGTGCCTTCAGTGCCTGTCGCCGAGATTCGGCCGTTCCTGTGAGCGCCTTAGCGATCCTGAGACGGTTCAAAAACTCGTACTTAGTCTCCTTCGGAAGATCTGCTGGTGCCCTAGCTAGGAGCTCGTAGATGGATGTTGAGCACACCGTGGCATGAGATATCTCTAGAGACTTCTGTCCAGGTGGGGAACTCTCGTCCCGGCCTACGGCTAGAGATCGAGAAACGGAGGATGGGCTATCGTCCGGTGCTCCCTGGCGGCCCGTACGCGGGGTAGACTGTGCCACGCCGGTCGTGCTACTTCGTCTCAGAGGTGTCGGCGTTGAAGGCGCATTCGTAGTTACAACTCGATCGGGCAGAGAATGTTGGGTAGGCCCCGGAGAGACATCGGAAGTAGGATAATATGTGAGTTTAACATCGCCCCAGCCACTCCAACGTGTCTGGGAACCAGGAGATTCGGTAGAATCCGCCTTCGCAAGAGCGCAAAGGTCGTTGGCATACATAGTAGCCACGTTTTTAGGGGTTCCACCATGAGTCTTATCTTTATTCTTGCTGGAAGAACCCGGGGTAGAGAGGAGTGAAGGCTCAGCGGATTTAGAGAGAGGCGTCTTAACAAATGGCTGTGCAAGTTGCAGCACGCGGTCAAGATCTATATTGTAATGGTTTGAGAGGAGGGACGGGTGCACCTGCCGGGCTGAGATCCCGTGAATGCGTTTCACCGATGCCTGATAACGCTGGGCAAGTTCCACGCCCACCCGCAGAGTGGCACAGATAACGGTGAAGTTGGTACTGTTTAGAAGGTCGTTCAGGTGAGGACTGCTGCCATAGATGCTGCGGTTTCCACAGTGGTCCAGGAGCATTTGAGTAAACTCTAGGATAGCGACAATAAGGTCAACATCGCCGTCCTCGCCATACCCTAATTCCTTCAACTTATCTAGGCCGCCTGACACTTCCTCGCCGTCGGCAGAGCCCGATCCTAATAGAACTTCGCAGCCAAAGTCCCTATTCTGAGGGCCTTCGTTCAACTTATATATGGAACAGAAGGATTCTAGGAGCTCATCGAAGCGATTCAGTAACGGGATCCAGTGATATAGATCACCCCGTGGAAAAGGCCATCGAGAAGGGAATGTCGCAAGAACTTTGGGTAAAAGAGGTAAGGGTGTGGAGGTCGCTTTATTAACGAACTCCTGCAACCAAGAAGACTAGAGCGAGGTCAGCGGGGTACATAGGAGAACAGATAATATGCAAGAAATACTTACCATGGTCTCCTTGTGCTTAGCTTGCATGGTCTTCGCTATCTTTCCCATGGTGAAGGCCGGGGCGGCAGAGCCGCAAAGAATATGTCAGCTCCCCCTCCACTACCAAGATTCAAGTGACCGGCGACGACAATTTGACTCGTATCGTGGGAGCGTCCAAATAGCTTGGACGGCTCCTCCAGTACGATGTGTCGAACTACTCGTCGGTGCACAAGGCGGGGTGACGGAGTGCAGGGTGTTGTGGGGTGTATAAACTGCAAGGTTAAGCCTCGTCTCCGAATATCAGCCTTGCGGGTATCAAAAAAAGAGACTCAGTTGCAGAAACGCTCCAGAGAATTCACAGTTAACTCGGGAGATGAGAAAATGGAATTCAGGACAAACCCCGGGCGTCGCAGAGATGTAGATTAAATAGTTTAAGTCGGAGGTGGACAGTGCGCGGTGCGCGGATGAGGGGCGACAGATGATGGATGATGTGAGGGTGTAGAGGTAGAGATATGATTTTGGCACAGTTCTCAAGGAAAGCTAGATTCAGATAGGGTCCAAGCGGGTGCAGGCCGCTGTACCACGATTCCAGAATCAAAAAAACGTGCTAAGTTGTGTTTACTGGGAACCGGATGAAGTGATATGGTTTACATCAAGTTGCCTGAATATCTAACTTGGTTTGGTCGACGATGAGGTGCAAGTTTGGCGGAGTCGAGTTGATAAAAAAGAAGAAAAAATAGTTTAAGAGGTGTTTGAAAGTTCGCGGTCGATCGGCCACTGCCCTTTGCGTAATGATTGCACTTTGTGGGGACGTGGTGCTTGCTGTAGCAGGCAGTGATTACCCTGATACCTTAGGTTAGGTAGGTGCCTGGGCTCTGTATTGTACAAGTGCAAGAGTGGAGCTGCGGCTGGCAATATGGTGCAATACGCACTGTACCTTGGGTACTTAAACCTTTGGTGGAGCTATCTAAGGTACGGGCAGCTGCCAGCAGCTACGAATTGTAAAATACCAAAGGTACCTAGCTACAGGTATCTAGCTCAAAATTCTCTTTGTCGTCAGCCGCGTTCAGCGACAATTCAGGCTAGGATCCCCTCAGGACCTCAATCCATATAACCCTACCAGAGAATGCATGGTCTCTACTATTCTATTTTATACTATTATATTTTGTAATATTACAAAGTCCAAAACAAAACCACTGATTCAACTAGGACAAGATTTTTCAATGGTTGCAACCCAACGTTTAATGACTCATTAGTTAATGCTGCACGTATTAGCATATTAACGTCCTGATGTTTTTGTATGTAAGTAGGTATATGCCCAGTTATCTTTATAGGGTCCTCATTTTAGGTATTGAGTGACGAGTCCCGGTCGGATCGCGGGGATGTCCCTTTATTTCTGGGTAAGGTATTTATTCGCCCCATGTTGTTACCTTAGGTTACCTGGGTTAGGTACATGCAGAATGCTTGGAAATCTTCAAGCGGGATGTTAGTGTATTACCAGGTATTTGTAAGATTCCTTAGGCCCGCCACCCAAGCCATTCTAGAAACTGTCAAGGTTATTTCTCATCAGTACCTACCTAGCTACCTAGCTACCTATCTACCTAAGGTACCTGTACCTACCGAGGTAGAGCTGACTCAGGTAACATGTAACGTAAGGCCTGACCAGTGACCTGAAGGCTAGGTAACATAGCCCTAGGTTAAGTACCTCTGGAAGAGACAAGGAGCCAAAGGGTAGCTATTACCTTACGTACTTAAGTAGATTATATAATCCAGATAGGGATTTTTGCTCTCGCATAATTATACATGAAGATACGGGCCAGTATTGGTGTAGAGCAGCCAGGTATTATCTGCATATAAGTAAGACACTTGCCCACATGTAAGCGGCGCCATGGTACTGCATCAAACTAGATCCTATATTTTTCGTTGGTTTATAGGAGTTAAGAAAGCAACTGCCAATCACACATCAGAAGCGTGTGGTTCTCAACTTGGGGCTTGTGGTTTAGTGGTATAATACTCCCTTAGCACGTGATTATCCCATGATAATTCCTTGTACAATTGGGAGTGGTCCGGGGTTCGATTCCCCGCGAGTCCAATTCTGAGAGGTTAAATTCCTCTTGTATCACTTTGTTTTTGTTTTTGTTTTTGTTTTTTTCATTTCTGTGGTAGCATTATGTAATCGTCCTGGGTTGACCATTACCTAACCCAGGTAGGTACCTAATTAACCGTACCTAACTGAGGTCCAGAAATATAAAAACTCTACCTCTAAATTAACATACAATAGGTCACTCCCCTCGGGAATAGATACCCAACATGAAATTCAATCTGGTAAACCTCTCAAATTTTTATTAGCAAGGTATGTAATGATTACATATGTCCGAAATAGTCGAATGCATGCAGTCAGCACGATAAGAGAGGTACCATACAAACATCTTGCGAATTATACAGTAGTTGACTCAACCGCGGCAGAGTCCGCGATGTTGATAAAAGCATGCTTGATTCGCTATAATTTGCATAGACCGATGCTAGATTCGTAGCCCAACAACTAAATAGACTCTCGCTTCTTAAACTCTTCATACTGCTCATAGATTGATAGCTCGAACTGCATCATCATTTCCGTGATCTTTGCATCTGCTGTTGGTATCAGATTTGAGAACAACGCGCCACATAAGCCACTCTTCCTATCGATCCACCAGATCAAATTCGGCAGCCCGCCCCAAGCCATAGTTCCCGCCTTCCTTCTGCCGACTACGTCTTTAAGCCCGATAAATCCTCCCAGTCCGTGATCCCCCACTAGGTGCGTCGTATCGAATGTGTTGGCAATAAGTCGGCGGGTCGACTCGTCGGCTTGGAGCCTGTTATTTACCGTCTCCTTGCCCTCAGGTCCTAGCTGCGGCTTGAACATCTCGTCCACTAGCTCCTTGCTTAGGACTCGGCCGTCATTCGCACATAGACTCTGGAGTAGATTTAGATAGCTCTCGGCGGACCCCCAGCCCGCCGCTCCGCCGTATGCGTCTTTCCTGTCTCCGTATTGGTACAGGTAGCCCTCCGTCGTCGGGTGTAGTTTTCCGTCCTCATCCCTCTGAGTCATCCCCAGCTTGCGCTCCTTCGTCTCCGGCCTTGAATCAGGCGCAAAGGTGATATGACGCATGTTTAGCGGGTCCCAGATGTTGGCCTTCATATAGTCCTCGAGGGACTGCCTGGAAATCCGTTCAACGAGCTTCCCCGCCCAGTCTAAGCTCGAACCGTATTGCCAACCCTTTCCAGGCTGAAATACTAGCGGTAGGGATAACTCGGTCACGATATCTTTGGGAGGGTTCGCAGGAGGGCCCGTGAACTTTTGTAGCTGCTGGAGCTTGGGCGAAAACAGCTCCATGGTAAGTCCACTGGCATGTGAAAGCAAATTTCTTCAAAAAGGAGTAAGCAGCGTGACTCTCGGCTAAGAGGAACCCTTCGAAAGTGTACTCACCTCACAGTAACTGGTTCTTTCCGATCTTCGAAGATCGGCTTCCCTTCAGCATCGAAATCTTTCAGCACCTTCAGTGCGGCAACTTCTGGGAGCACTTTTCCGACATCCTCATCCAAGCCGATGTGTCCCCGTTGAACTTGTTGCAGGGCTGCTACGGATGTCATGAGTTTTGTGCAGGATGCCATCCATACGACACTGTCTGTTAAGAATGGCTCTCCGTGGGCCGTCTTGCCGAATGATTTCTCATATCTGAACTTCCCAGTGGCATCGGCGGCCACGAGAGCCACGCCTGGGATTTCGCCAGCCTGGTAGGCAGCCTCGAAGATAGCCTCGTGGGTGAACTTGGCCATTTTATAACAATTTGATGCAGAGCAAGAGGGTTTTGCAGGTAAAAGATGTAACTACGAATAGGTGCTAATCGAGTTAGTTGTTTGAATTGCCGCAAACGAGTTGCCTACATATTCCATTCATGTTCTCATCGCACCCTTATATATAAATATCAGCGTCTTCGTCTGGCCATCATATGGTTATCAAGCAGCCACGGCTGCTGAATGTAGATCCTTATGTTGCGAAGCTGTGTAGGATCCTTTGTTGGATATCTGCTATACCTGAATTTCGTAGGCACGATCCCGACACGGTGAATCCGGCGCCGAGATATCTTGCGGACTTGCCTAATTCAGCAGTGTTTTTTTTTTTCACCATCCCGCAACAGGCCACACTCAAGCATCGCGTCAGATCAGTGGAGGCTATCCCTGGTTACGAAACAGGGGGTCTTGCAACAAATCTTGAAGGAGTATAATTGAGTTACGATAGCGCATGCAACATCACTCGGTGACGATTCATCAGCCATAGGAATAGGAATGGTACGCCCGATGCCGATGGGCATTGGTGATAAACGGACAAACTGAAGACCGCGTCTATACTCGAATAGTAAAATGGTATAATTCCGCAATCCGTAACTTGAGGGCACCAGGGGAGGGCTCTATATAGGCAAAACAATGCCTTGGAGCTCTAGTCTGTTGAATTGCAAACCTTAGGTAGGTACTTAACTAGTAGCAATGAAGGGATATCTCTTCTATAAATCATGTGACTGGTTAAGTTTGTAATCTCACTTGATCGCGATACACTCAAGTACCTAAGTAAGCACCAATTTAAAAGAAAAGATTGCTCATGGAGGCCAATAGTACCCAATGGGGAAACATGCATATGCTGTCGGTTATGGTAAGTGATGCTCATGACTTTGTCTCGGATCTATTAAAGCCTTAAGGTTATTGAAATGTTGTTCAAGTAAGGTAAAATGGTAAAATGGTCGTATGGTCGTATGCAAGTCATACGAAGTCTAAAACAACCCAGAACGCCACGTAAAGAAAGGTCTCTGCCGGGACCTAATTGTTGAACGCAGGTAACATAATGAATCATGGCTTGAGGTTTGTACTTACTACCTTACGGTAGGTAAGTGAATGTGAAATTCTATATGCGGTGTCATCTTAATCTCTTCAAGTCTTACAAACCGGCAATACTTGCATGATGTTATTATAATATACCAAGGTATATTATAAGTTGATAGGTCTTCTCGTAAGACAACAATATCAATCTCCCTCGTTTGTCTTCTAGAATATTACAGGTAATTTACTATGTAATAAATGATGAAGTATGCATGGCGCGCCATCGTACATAACGGTTCGTTAGAGGTACTTGATGCAGGCGGAAAGGGGTTGGCGCGCGGCGTTTGCGTTATGCAGATATCCTGTTGGTTGTTGTAGAGCTTCTCGATAACGCACCAATGGAAATACCAGGTAGGTAGGTACATACCTCCTATCGATAACGTAACTGGATGTACCTAATGTCAGGTTGTTCGAGGCGTCGGCGCTAAATACCTAAAGTTATGTACCTAGCTCTTTCACATGGATGGGATGGGACTGATGGGATTGTTTTTTGAGCTTAAATTAGAAACGTTCGATGTATAATTTGTCTGTGAAAAGCATTTTATGCTAATAGTCTCGATGATGTCATGCTACTAATTTGAAGTCTCGCAGTGTCGACTTGAAATTATCATAGATCCTCAATTTCGTCTTGCAGCTTTGGCGACATCTTGTGCTACCAGACTCGACGCACCTTGCTTTTGTTAGGTATCTCATATGAACGTACGTGGGTAGTGCTGGAGATTTATGGGCGTACTAAAATATGGGACACCTTAAGGGAAAACCCCTGAGCTAACCTAGAATAGTGGGCACGATAGCTGTTAGTTAACGCTTCTAGCGGCACGCACCGTGGGATATTACTGGTTACTGCTCATCCACAGCCCATTTGTAGCCCATCTATAGCCCATTCATAGCACTAAAGGGCGGGAAGGCTTGGCGCTGAAACGTCCGCTGGCTTAAGCCCGTGTGTTGCAATTGGATTTTCGAGATCCATTCCTACAATTATAACTCCACAGTCCACAGATCAAATCCTAGTCACCCTTATTTTTTCTAGTTAGTCAGTCTCGTACGAAGGGCGAAGGGCCCGAAGCCGAAGGGGAAACAATTGCAAACGAACGGTGAATCCAAAGAGAACATAACATCTTTTTTTCCCGAATTTGACCTTTTTTTTCTTTTCATTTTTCTCCCATGCACTTCTTCTTTTCGAGGGTCTGTGATCATTGTTTAGTACCAAAATAATAATTCATCTTTTTTTTATGACGACAAAACAAGGTGGCCCCTCCGAGTTGATCGCGCGTCGCGTTTCCATTGTTCGTTTGTTCTAGCTTGTCTACCAAGGTAGTCTGCCTCCTGAAAGATAGCTTACAATCAATAACTTGCATTGTTGCCGAGACCCTACCCACATACACCAGTAAACTCGATAAGTGGTGCTAGGTCAACCTCGCACCTCACACTTCATAGGTACTTCACACGACGACCTCACTCCCAACCTAAAGCTCGACAAAAAAAAAAAAAAAAAAAAAACCAAAACCTCTACGTAGAATATTTACCAGCAATTATCATGTCTGGCACAGAGGAGCCGCATACGACCGAGGCTGCTCCCCAAATTAATGGGTCACCAACCCCTTCTGAGAAGGACACGGTACGTCAGCCATCTTATCTTCATATGTGTGACCCCTTGTTCAGAGCGACGATGCGTGATAAGTAGATTTAGCTATATACCTACCTAACATACATATGCATCTACATTCCATTCCGTTATAATATTAAGCTCGGGAATGCTAACTTGAAACCGTGTCAAGGACACCTTTGAAGATGCTATTGATACAGGATCCGTGAGGTCTCTAACAAATCGCAAACTCTCCCCTCGGCCAAACAGCGGTGCCACGGATAGTATTTCAGAGTCTCCGGAGGACGAAGAGGGTAAAGACAGCGGAGAGAAGCTAAATGGTGACGTCGTAGCAGTGGAAAAGGAAGAGGAAGAGGAAGAGGAAGAAGAGGATAAGGAAAAGGAGAAAGAAAAAGAGACGGAGAAGGAGGACGTAAAGGAGAACGTCAAAGACATTGATACCGACGATGAGAAGGACGACGCGAACAATAAGGACGAGAAGGACAATAAAAACGAGAAAGACGAAAGGGACGAAAAAGACGAAGTTGCCGAACTCTCACCTACAATCAGATCAGACCGTAACTCGAATGCATCCTTAGACAATGTCGATCTTAGTGATGGGGTTACAGAACAACCAAAGGGTTCGTAAACAATTCAATTGTGGTCTACACTTACACTCGCTAATATAAATCCAGAACAACCACCTCTTGTAGTAGCGACTAAGCCTTCCAAGAAACTTTCTCTCGGTAATATTGGAATAACAATGCCTTGGTCTCAATCTACTCCAGTTACAGAATCACCCCCGAAAACAAGCCCGAATCCTACTCCCACGCCCGCTGCTGCGGCTGCAGCTCCTGCGCCCCGAAAATCCGGCCCCTTTTCTTGGCTATCACGGAATTCTACGCAAAAGGAGAAGGAGAAAGACGTTGTAACATCACCACCCGTTACAACAGCTACGTCCCGAAGGAACACAGCGAGTTCTGTTGCCACGTTAACCAGCAATCCTGAAATGATGCTTAGCAAGCTCGAGGAGGAGAACGAAAGCGCTGGAGGACCTCGTCTATCAAGAAACAGTCTAAAAGACAGGTTTAAGTATGTACGAATGAGGGAAGAGGCTGGTATAACCCTCAACCCCGAAGATGATGATAAGGCGTCGACTATGGGAGTTTTGAGTCCGACTGGCGAGACCTATCCAGACGCGAATTTTACGTTACCTCCGCCGTCCCCCTTACCGCCGAACCCAGACACAAACCTGGCTCCTGGAACCGTCGCGGGTGTATCCGCTGGTCCTTCTACTATTGCGGATTCTCAGGTTGATTGGGATCTTTGGCAATCCGTCGTCTACGAAGGCCCCGCTGCTGTTGCAAGGACAAACCCGGAGGAGCTAAACAAGGCGATCGTTACTGGCATCCCTAATGTGATCCGGGGTGTCGTGTGGCAAGTACTTGCCCAAAGCAAAGATGAGGATCTTGAAAGGGTATATAAGGAACTGGTGGCCCGCGGCTCTGAAAAGAAGCAAGACCGTAACAGCAATGCTACCTCTATTAGTCTTTCGAGCAACGGCAACTTGAGCTCTGAAAGAGAAGTAGTCACTTCTTCAGCTTCTTCTGTCCAGTCGGAAATATCTGGCGCCAGCGGTAAAAAACAATCACCGCCACCTGAGCCATCAGAAGCAGCTCTAAAGGCCCAAGCCTTAGCTGCAGCCGAAAAGAAACGCAAAGAAAAAGAAGACGCGGCGGCGCTTCAAAGACTAGAGAGGGCTATTAAGAGAGACCTTGGTGCCCGAACGAGTTTCTCGAAGTATGCGGCGGCTGCTGGTCTGCAGGACGGCTTATTTGGTGTCTGCAAGGCGTACGCACTCTTTGATGAAGCTGTTGGATATGCCCAGGGAATGAATTTCTTGATTATGCCGCTCCTTTTTAACATGCCCGAGGAAGAGTCGTTCAGTATACTTGTCCGACTGATGAACCAATACAAGCTACGCGACTTATTTATTCAGGACATGCCGGGCTTGCATATGCATTTATACCAGTTCGAGAGATTACTCGAGGATTTGGAGCCTGCTCTTTACTGCCATTTGCACCGTCGTGGGATATCGCCCCATTTGTACGCGACGCAATGGTTCCTCACTCTTTTTGCCTACAGATTTCCCCTTCAGCTCGTACTAAGGATTTATGATCTAATCTTCTCTGAAGGTTTATCTGCGATCCTGAAATTTGGCATTGTCCTGATGCAGAAGAACTCAGACACGCTGCTCGGCATGACAGATATGGGCCAATTAACGAATTTCCTAAGGGATAGGCTCTTTGATGTGTATATTGATCAGTCCCCAAGCGCTGGCAGCATCCTTGAGAACGGATTTTTCGGCAGTAGTTCTTCAAGTGCCGACAAGGAGGTCTACCGGGCAGATCAACTAGTTCAGGACGCATGCGAAGTGAAGATTACACCTGAGATTCTCAAGGCTTACACGGCCGAGTGGGAAGAAAAGACTCGCGCTGAAAAGGAGAAGGAAAAGGAGCTCGAACATCTGAAGACTACGACCTTGAGCCAGGCCATCAATATCCGGAAGCTTGAAGAGCGATTAGAGGCGAGCGACCGTGAACAGGCAACCATGACAACAGACCTTGTTCATACTAAGATCGAAAACGAAGAGCTTAAAGATCAAAACGAAAGTTTAACTGGCCAAGTCAGGGAACTCCGCAACGTCATTGAGAAGCAGCCCGAGGAGCTGGAAAAAGCCTGGAAACTCGAGCGTGACGACCTCATGAAGAGAAATGAAAAGGTGCATGAAGAGAATAGGAGACTCGAGAAGGAGCTCCAAGAAGTTGAGGAGGAATTGGTTCAGACGAAGATGCGATGTGCCGAGGTATGCAATCCTTTCTATTTGCTTCTGATTTCTAAACAGTCAAACTAACCATTTACAATAGATAAACTCCCAGCACGAGGCACTCCAAAAGAGATGGTCTGAACTTAAGCGGCAGTTTGCTTGAGCTGGTCCTCTCTCCCTGATCACAGCTCCCGCTACAGACTCCTTAGTTCATCAGCCGCATTCTCATTCTTGTCCAAAGTAGCTTCTATGGTTGTTGTAGTCAGACAACCCACCAGGAAGGGAAGAGGGGGCAAAGGGCAAGCAAGTAAGCACATAATTGAGGCTCTCTATAACCTTACTGTCGCCCATCATGTCGTGTCTGGGTACCAGGTATCTATGAAAAGTCAGGTTTTATCATTTTTGTTGAGCGTGTTCTTCCTTTTGTCAATTGAACAGAACAGAACAGCCCGGTGGTAGCATAGGCGTCCAGGCTTACATACATACATCCAAGCAACCAAGCAGTAAACAAGTCACCAGGCAATGAACTCTTTTCTTTTTCTGTCCCTTTTCTTCTTCCTCTCCATCTTGTCATCATCTTTTGGTAATTGGGTGTCTTTTCTTTTTTTCGTTTTTCCTAACCACGTCGCGATCAAAGGGGACACATTCACGAATTAGAGAAAGAGATAATGAGATAACTGCTTTGCGCCCCGGAGGGGAGGAGCATCGTCCACATCACATTGCATCAAATCATCACATCACGTCACGTCACGCCACGTCATATCATATCTATCATCGCTTAATTCAGCGTACTAAGGAGGGGATGACATAGCATCATCGCGCATGCTTGCGTGCGCGAACGTATGTTAAGGGCGGGGAGATAACTTTACTTGCGGAAGAGAGAAAGAAGAACAACCTTTTAAATAGGCAGGCTGAAGTTCCTGTATAGGGAGAAGAAGAAGAAAAGAGGGGAGGGGAGGGGAAGGGAGGGGAGAAATGCATATTGTATAGAATCAGAGCTAGGAAGTAGTTCGATGAATACCACATTCTGCAGTCATGATCATCATTTTAGTTGCTAGTGCAATTGCTACAGTAGGTAGAGTGTTCTGCCTTGCTTGTATATCATATATTCGGCTCAGTTAGAGTAGATATATAGATGGAGTTTGGATGTAATAGACTAGAATATATCATTATAATTGCTTTGTTGGCGATATGGGATGCCTCGTGCATGATCTTAGCTCTATAGGGGTTATGAGAGGCTCTTGATGAACATTTCCCTAGAAATAACCATATATTTCATTCATTTGTGAGTAGGTGATCAAGAATAGTGAGAATACATACAACCTGGTATAAAAAGACTAGGAGCTGTAGACACCTTATAATTAAAAAAAAAAAGGTTTTCCCCTGATGGCTAGGAGAGAAGATCATTTACATCTTACATCCAAGATATCAACAATCATTTATACAATTACACAGAGTTGTGGCCACTTGAACTTTATAAGCTTTGGTGTAAAAACGGGCATTGGATGTTATTTTTTCTCCTCCACTGTATGTTTGTATATGAGCATTTTACTACTAAGACACCTATATGCCGTGACCGAAGAGTAGGGGCATCATGATATTCTACGTAGGTAGGTACCTACCTGGGTATACTAGCCAACTTGGATTATCTCTCAAGGAGTATTCGAATATATGTTGGATATTAGGACATGTCACACACGGAAGATAGGTCTCAACCAACACAATAACGATTATAAATAAGCAAATCGGGGCAAGAATCACAGCGTTAACATTAAAGAAGAATAGCATTTCACATAAACGTGACTATCGTGGCAATTGACACTGGCAAGCCTCTCTTGGTGATCTTTTATTGATCAGAACCTAGCAAACGCGATCCCCTTTCCGTTGCCGAAGATGAATAGAATCCATGAACACCGGTGCCATCGCGCGTGGTATTTTGCAGTGCCCTCATAACCTAACCCTCTGCTTTCCTTCTCCTTCTTTTTCTTCTTCTTCATCCGCTCACCCTCTACTTGTGTAGCTTACGCTGGTAGAAAGCCAGCTCCTCGCCCTCGAGGATGTATCCGTCCGCACGACCGCTCTGGCCCGGTCGGCTGGCAATGACTGCGTATAGACGACCGGCCTCGAACTGCTTCTCAAGGGCAGCCTCGACCTTGCCAGTGGCGGCGTATCGTTCGGCCTGCTTGCGCTCGACAGCCTTGCTCTTCTTCACGACTTCCTCCTCCTTGCCGGACTTCTGCTGGCGTCTGCGGCCGAGGGACTGGCCGTAGTGGCTCTCGTACCATTGACGGAAGGGAGCGGCATCGATCTGGACGACGGCGGACTTGGTCAGGGTGTTTGTTCGGACCAGCTCGTTGTTGGAAGGGTGGTAGGCGACAACGATGACACGGGTCTTGCGGGTGACACCCTCGGAGGCCCAGGCGAAGTTACCGGTGTCGAGACGCAGGGCACGGTACTTGTGGTTGCCGCCGCGGGTGCGGACGGTGTGGATTCGCTTGGGGCCGATACGGGTGTTGGCCTCCTGTCGGCCGGCCTCGAAAGCGCGCTTCTTCCCTGGTGAAGAGGTCAGAACGTATGATCAATGTACAAACACATGATGCATACGGGCTTTCGATAATATGGGGGCGTATCTCGAAAACACGATCATGCGGTTTTTGGTTTCTACTACGTACGGTAAAAGGCACGCTTGGCACCGGTGGCGGAGCGCTTGTGGCGGGAGTCGCGAGAGATACCCATGATTGCTGTTTCTGTTTAGAGAATTGTGCGGTTAGCTTTGGGGGGGAGGTTTGTCGAAGAATAGAGGGAGGAAAAAAAATGGTGATGAGGTGGAAATCTTGCAGCAGCAATTTTCAACAGGGTCGAAATTGACGAATGCTTTGCAAGATGAAACCACTATTCATATCGGTATTTGGGAGACATACCTGGCTAAAGCAGTTGGCAATCGAAAAGGGAATTGAGGGTGGTGATGAAGCGCTCGGAGTTTGAATTTTCGCGAGAATGAAAAGTTGAAGGAGGCTCACAAAATTCAATCAAAGTGAATTTGCAAACCTTCGTTTAGTGTGGGCTCGCCAAAATTTCGGAGGGAAAGGTACTTGGATACCTAGGGCTTTAATATGGTCCGTGCATGAAAGATTTGTGCCTAGGGTACCTAGGTACTGACTCAGGAAAGTACGAGTACCCCGCCTGCCCCCTTAGGCTAATAACGCCGGGGCTTTTAAAGAAGTCCCCTAGGTCACTGCCTAGCAAAAAGTACAATGGAATCACAAAAGAAACAGTTACTACTTAATCTTTGGTGGGCTTCCCACCAAAATCCAGGTATTCATGTTTTGTTGCTTATCTATAGAACTTGCATAATTATAACTACTGTAAAAAATAAAAAAGGCGCTTAATGTTACGATTTAATAGATCGAAAGATGAATATAGGCAGTATGTATGATAGAGATATTACGGCTTCATATTACAAAAATACCCTTTTACAACATAGTTCAAAATATTAGTTTAAGCCTCATATGTGTGGTTTGAATAGGTAGTATTCATAAAATCTATGATGCAAAAAATGGGAGTGCTAATAAAATTAAGTAGATATGTAAGATAAATTGCACAACTCACACAGCACAAACAGATCCAATTTTCACGTGCTTTCTAAGACGTCGTCAAACATCCCGTTTAAAGGAGGGAGCATTAGGTATATCGCAGTTTATTCATCATTGGTTTAGTCTAACTGCCACGCCCAGGAAACAATGAACCTCAAGGCAGCCCTTCTCATGAAGCAGATAGCGAAACTCCATCCTGCAAAGTCCAAATCCTGTAAAGTCCATTCTTGCCAAATCCATCCTGTACAAGATCCAGTATCCCTGAAGATCATATGTTCCATGCGCCAACAACATCGGAGACGCACACTCATATCATCTACCCCAGATCCTGCTTCCAGCACTACCCTGCTCAGTTGCATAACCTCATACCGCTTTCCACGTCAATCTTCCATACATATGAAGATCCCGTGAACCCCCCTTTCCCCCCTCTAAAAGAAAAACAAATGAAACTAAAGACGACATAAATCATCGCTAAAGGGCTGCCATTTACAATCTTTCAGATCTTAGATCATCCGTCGATATTTTGTAGGAGTTCCCGGGTGAAGCCATTCAGGTCATCCATATTGAGTTCTGCGACCTCCCTGTCGCGCTCCTGGGTCATATCCTCGAATTCCGGTGCAGTCATGTTGTCATAGGCGGGACGAAGGGCCCGCTGGGCGATCTTTCGAAACTGGCGAGGGACGCCTGGACCGTGGTCAGGGAAGTTCCGCCAGCGCGTGACCAGATGCTCGAACGCTTCGTCAACAAGTTGGACACGGGGCAAAGGCAACTGCTTTCCCTGGTAGTACTCATATTCCCATAGGACCGGCCAGTCGATGGGTATGAACAAGGTTGGATTCTGATGCCAGATGGAAATTCGCGCGTTAACTAGGGTAAGGCCGTCGTTTTGGTGGATCTGAAGCAACCTCGGAGACATTTGAACACGGACCGGTTGGTTGTTTGGGTCCGTGTGCTGGTTGAAGTCGTCGTCTATTTTCTTGAGGAGAGCAAGCTGCTTAGCCTTGACGGTTTCACCCTTGAACGTGAGGTATTCTTCAAGTGTCGAGGGCGCGAATGGCGATTTGATGTATTCGTGATTCCAGTAGGCTTGGATTCTGTCCCATTGCTGCCGCTCACGGCCCAGGAAGCTTTGAGCTGCCATCGCTGAAGACTCGCCGGCATTTCCATTAGTCTGGTAAGATTGAGTAGGAGTTCCGGTAGCGGCAGTGGGGTAGTCTTTCGGATCGTAACAGTTGTATGCACCTCTATTCCATTTTCCTGGGCCATTGAAAGCGGGGCCGAGGTCGTGAGGGCACATGCAATTTTCATGGTGAAACAAGCGATGGTTATAGTACTGGGCGTAGTCGATTGTGCTTCCATCCCATTCAGACTCTGTCTAATTATCGGTCGCGTTAGTCATTAACTAATAACAAGAAGTGTTTGTGATCACTAACCTGTACACCAGATCGCTCGAGTGCTGCTTTCATGTTGTAGTAAGAACCGATTTCTGCCCTGCTTAATTCACGGCGCTCATTGGAAAAGATTGGTGCGATTGGGCCGAGGTATCGATCAGTAGTGAGAGGTGACAACATGGCCGGCTCTGGCTTTTCAGAGCCGGACGAGGTGTTGGGGGTGGATGAGCTTGAAGGCTGTGCCATTGTGTAGACTTTTGAGATAAATTATTGATGAATTGATTGATGAAGTTGTTCACGGATTGTAGGAAAAGAATGATGTGAAGCGTCGTGTTCCGTTGTATTTGTGAGCGAAAGGTAAATAGAGCCAGCAAAGTTTTTCGCCGCCTGCCGGACAATTGTCGACTAGCTTTCAGCGTCTCCCAGTAACGGATCGATATGTATTTACGGTTGCCTGATGAAGCACCGAACTTACGTACAGATACACCGGCCGGGCACGGTCATGATCAACTAGGCAAACCTTGATGTCCATTGTGTTTATTGCAAAGACCTTGGTACTTGACAATACATCCTACTCATATCCGTGTTTACGTGTTTACGTAGCGATTGCAAAAGTATCTACCTAAGCTACGGAAATTATTTTACCTACCTTAGATAGATATAGATGAATCTTTGTGCTGTACGCAGCCTTCTACTACTTTTGCAAATGTCGCATAACCTGTCGACCTAAGTTGAAGATATATATTTATGCATCTAACACGACGACGTGGCGAAAGCCGCTTGCAAATGCGGCCTCATATGGTGAGGCTGACTAGGACAAGATAATATCCCAATTCTAGCATAAGACGGCCCCTTTCAGCGCCCTATATGATACGTACAGGAAACAATGCTACATTATATCCATTATATCCATTATATCAAAGGAACATGAAGCAGTTGATTCAGCGGAGTAGATGGATTATATTAATTATAAGGGGATCCAACTAGAATAAATAAATAAACAAAATAAACTTTTACCTAATACGTAGGTACGTAAATACGTCAGTTAACCATGATTCCATACAGATTAAGATCCAGCTCTCCCCCCTCCCCCCTCCCCAAACAAATAACACGACTCGGTTGTCTAGGTAGGTACCTAACCTAAACATCGCGATACTTTCTACTGAGTCCTGATATCCATAAGTCTACTTTGATATTATATACAAAAATTTAAGCAATGTTTTGATATTTTACCTGTTCCAGAGAAAGGTAGCTAGACCAATTATTATGGTAGTTACTAACTCACATATAATTACTGAGTTACCAGGTAGGTACCTAAATTATAGCAGACCTCGTGGTACCCGAGTCCTATTATATGGGATAGTGTTCTAAGGGGATGGCGAACAATTCATAGTGTTAACCTCGGATTTTCAATTTGCTATCTAGTTGGATTACACTCTCCACACGCTCTCCTCAGTGAACAAACAGCTCATTCAAATTTTCGAATTAGTGTATTTTGTATTTTCAAGGTACTCATGAGGGAAGCAAAGCCGAGCCTGGTATTTCTTCCTGTATCATCCTACTGTGATGACTGTACGTTGTTGTTGAAGCTTAACAGCTTTCTTTATACAGTAAGCGAAACGTTACCTCCCTAGACTATGAAATAGCATGGCCCGTGCAACAGCACAAACCTGTATATAGTAACATATCTTTCCAAATCTCGAGCTTAAACCACTTTGGTTACGAATTTCGGCAGGGAATCATTTTGTTTGTTAATATTCTTGTTGTGGTTGTAAATGGCTATTTTCTAAGATCTACTAAGGAGATGTAGTTGCCTATCCGTACATGCTTACCTATACATGCTTATGTCATGTGACCATGGTAAATTTCCTAATGAGTTAGGCTTCTTCCCCTGCTTACATAACCCACCACCTACAATACCTTGACATGTACGAAGTACGTACCTTTTATGTGTTGCAGGGGTGCCCTTACTGTGTGACTCTGGTACATGTAGATTAACCCCTGCTGTGTACCTACAATACATCATCTGAGCTCATACATAGTAGGCGTCTGATTTGATAAGATAGGGCTGCCCGTTGTTTCCGACAACGGCAAGCACGTCACACATTGAAGCTCCCCTATTCTTTTGATCTTTGATTCTCCCCAATAACTAGAGGAGATGGGAAGTTTCATCTCCAAGTCATTCTTTTATTTACACCTTAGAGTCGTCTAGGTAGATAATCATCTTCTAGGGCTCATTAACATTTGCTCCCATACCGCGAATATGGCGCCGCCGTCGAATTCGGACCACTCGCCTCTCCTACGATCGCGTTCGTCCTCAACCTTAGGATCGCTTAGCTCTCACACGTCCATCAGCGATGACTCCCCGAACCTGAAGCTTCGGCATAAGACGCGTGCCCTACGCGCCGTTGCCTTCATGGTATCCATCTTCGCAGCATTATGCGCTGGTTCCATCACCGTCTTCTCGCTCTATGGACACCTCTTCCAGTCGCGACTACATTATACGCAATTTCAAATCAACGGCATTGCTAGTGCCATGAGCCTTTCTATGTATATCCCAGTCCCGATGATAGGATACGCCTGCGACCGGGTAGGGCCTGGTCCGCTCTCTTTACTAGCTTCGATCTTGCTAGGAGGTGGCTACGGGTTGGCGGCCGGCTTATATCACAAGGGTTTAGAAGAGGTTGAAGACGGAGGGAAGGGCGTGAAAACCACATTCCCTCCTATGATATTCGCTTTCGTGGCTATTGGCATAGGCACGTCCTGCATGTATCTGAGCTCCATTACTACATGCGCCAAGAACTTTGGCCAGGGTAAATATCGAGGCTTGATGCTGGTTGCTCCCATCGCATCATTTGGTCTTGGTGGAATGGTTCTCAGCCAGATCGGGAGTCGGATTCTCTACGAGACACAACCCGACGGAGCTAGAGATGTGAATGTTTTCCATTTCTTCCTGTTTCTCTCCATCATCCTCGCTATCCTTGGGCTCATTGGTACATTTTCGCTACGAGTTGTGGACGAAGAGGATCTCATCGACGGGGCGGTAGAAGAGCTAGAGAGGAGCGGGCTCCTCGAAGGAAGCGAGGTCTTCCGTCGCCGAGCGCATCGGGACTACGGTGCCATCGATGCCGTTGACGATGCTGGAGATATGGACCCGGCTAGGGACGATGAGGATGGTAATGCCGGGCTAAAAAAGACCTGGCTTCTCAATGCCGAGACCAGACGATTCCTGTCAGATCATACAATGTGGTGGTTTGGTATTGGATTCTGGCTCATCATCGGACCGGGCGAAGCATTTATTAACAATCTCGGCACTGTCGTTGGGACGCTGTATTCTCCGAGCACGAAGTCAAATGAAACTTCAGTAGCAACGCACGTGTCTATTATGGCTGCAGTGAGCACTGTCGCTCGTCTTCTCGCAGCATCGTTGAGTGACTTGTTATCCCCCAGTCCTCATAGCCAGCACATCCAGACTGGGTTTCCGACCTCGCTCCCTGAGCTAAGGCAGAAAATGACGGTCTCGCGCGTCGCTATATTCATCGCTGGCGCTACAATCCTGTCCATCGGAACACTTGTGTTAGCCTCCGGTGCTGTTCAAGAGCATGGAGAACGTTTCTGGATTGTCTCTGGCGCGGTTGGAGCCGGGTATGGAGCAGTATTCAGTCTAACGCCCATCATCGTGACGATGATATGGGGGGTCGAAAACTTCGGTACAAACTTTGGCATCCTCGCTCTTACGCCGGCTTTGGGTTCCACGATGTGGGGCCTGATCTATTCAGCGGAATACCAGGCCGGTGCTCAAAACCCGCCTTCGCTGGCTGAAGGGGCAGACGAAGACGTGTTTTGCTACGGAACGCAGTGCTATTCGTCCACGTTCTGGGCCATGACGGTCTCCGTTTGGATCGGCGTGGTCATGGTCCTGTGGGCCTGGAAAGGCCGAAACGGTTGGTCTGAGAGGGGCATTGTGATTTAGATGCGTACGCCTACATATACAGCACATATATATGCGGATAAGACCTATATTTACACGTATTTCCTTTATTTATTTGTTTATCTTTAATTAGAACCGATTCTGGGATTATGGATCGGGGCTTTCATTTGTACGGATTGGGTCTCCATCTATTGTACTGGAGTTATGGGATGGGTGTCAAGGAATTTGGGGGAGGTTAGGAAGACTATCATTCAAGAGCGGGATTAGGCAAGTACAGATTGTAGATATTTTTCATTCGTTTCTACTATCTGAGCTTACGCTCGGAAGAGGATTTTTCTGGGAACTCGGTCTTTGCAATATTGGTCGGCGTTGCCCAATTGTAAATACACCAGCATCTAAACGCGTATAGGCATCTATTATTCCCTCGTATGGCTTCGGTCACCGCCACTCTTATCGTACGAAATGTTGGCTGTTGGTCTTGAAAGGAAAGCTTTGAGCCCCTGTTTTGCTCCAGATTCCTATACGTGAATAAGACAAGCTTGGGTACCTATCCTTCACCAATCCTCAAGTATGAAGGCTGCCTTTAATGTGAGCTCTACCGTGTCTTACTTAGGTAGCAGGTGTCAGGTGCCCATCCAAGATTTGGAAGAGTACAAGTACCTAATAGAGTTGTCTTTCTCTAGGCCACCGCTCTCCCCTGGACCCTTGGATTCCAATCGGGATGTGTAACCTTCCTCTTCGGAATGCAAGTTCCAAACGGATGAACTAGGGCCTAACTTTTCTACTTCCCAGTTCCTATTACCAAAGCTGGGTTGAAACCGATTTATACGCGTGTTGGTTTGCCATACTATCCATCCAACTACATTGGATATCCCTGTTGTCAACGGACTGTTGCACCTTTTAAAGTTCACGCGAATGGTAGATCGCCAGTTGGCAAGGGAATCAAAGTTAACTTCTTCTAGAAAACAGAAAGGGGGTGTAAGATGCATTTTCGCTTGGTAAGGGGTACAGATGAAGTGTACGGCAACTAGTGCGTTAATATGCACCAACTCCCGAAGCTAACGCCAATGCAACCCTTAAGCCGCAATTTTTTTTTTCTTTAACGAGTAAGGAATATAAATATACGACAAGGGTTTGGTTAGACTTCCAGAGAAATAGGGCGGGAATTAAGTCTTAAAAATAAACAAGTCAATTTCGAAATAGGCTATTGTGCCGTAGCCATAAAATTTAATGCTAATGCTTTGGTTTGAGGCTAGGTATCATCGAGGCTATGATTTTTTTTTTTTTTTTTTGAAGAATATACGACTGCGGGCGTGAAACATGATTGAAGACATTGAAGCATTGAAAATAGAGAGAATTCACTAGCCCTGATCTTGAGGCCAGTTGGTTATTCTGACCTAGCTAGCATTCCATAGGAAAGAACTCGCTACCAGCCTTTACACTTACAGCATGTCTTAAAAGGCAACGATTCGGATTTTGAAAACTTCAAGTCCAACTGGTAAACAATTTATTTAGCCTTGTCTTTGCATAGCCTATTCTTGTGGAGTCGTCTTAGGAGGTGGTTAGTTGTCAACACATACGAGAGGCCCTGGTTTCCGTGACTAACATAGTCAAACGGGTATTAAAACAAATAAGTATCTAACCTAACCTAACCTAACCTATAGGTACGTACGAAGCGGGCAGGATTAAGCATACAAACCCCTGAGGTTTGAGTTGAAGTGGTTAGTTGACATCGACATGATGTCCTAGTACTAGTGGAGTTGGACGTGGCAACATACTTTAGGTATGTAGAATAAGTACGACTCGTTGAATCTGAGTAAGAGCTAGGTACAGGAAAGCTCCGCAAATGAGGCCTTAAATCCTTTTCGTATTCCGGAGAACACGAAGGGTGAAATGTGTAACGTCTTATTGCGCGGTATAAGGCCGGATAATTTACAACTGAGGTCACATATTGCTACGTGACACGATGCCATGACGCTGGCCTCTACTGTGTAGGTTAGGTTAGGTAGGTATACACGTGAACATCGCATACCTACCAAGTAGATCCGTCGGAGCAACGCGGCTCTGACTCTCTGGAGGTCTCTGGCATTTTGCTGCGCTATTGTTGTTGTACAATACAATACAAGGGCGCGGGGGCGGCACGGCGGCACAACCTTGTTGGAATACGAACTTGGCGTCGCCGATCCTTTCCCGTCTGCCGCCTCCCGGCTCCCCCAAACGCGATCACAGATCTCAGAAACACGGTCGATCCTCCACAACTTGCGTGTTCGCAAAAAGAAGCATGGACCGCATGGGCCGGCGGGTCTTTTATTCTGCGGGTTGCGGTTCTAGAATCGCGCTTATGTTGCGTAACGTACCGCCTGACTTAGGTACCTACCTGATTGCTTTGCTTTACCTACGGTACTTTACTTTGCTGCACCGGATCGAATGGAACCTTTCGGCTCCATCCCGGCATCGCGCTACGTATCAAAAAGATCGTCGTAAATCATGCCCTACCGCAGTCTTTGCTCCTCGCCAATGCTCCATAATCTCGGGATACGAGCCCCGGGTATGTTAGGTTAGGTAGTGTATAGGGCCCTGAACTGGGACCCGTGCGATGGAACCGTTCAGGCATGTAGGGAGGAGAGGAGAGGAGAGGATCAGGTACCTCCGACTTGTAAGTCGTGACGGGGTTCAAGGGCTGTAGTTTTTTTTCCTTGTGTGAATGGATGCAACAGAATTCCTGATGGGTCCCGGTATTGACATATAACGTGAGCAAGCCGGGGTTACCCTTAACCTCTCCAAAGGCACCCCCGGGAATAGTCTCAAAGCTACGTTGCCTTCGCCCTACGACGCTATACCTATACTACACGGCTTGGCAAGGCCAGGGATATATCGTCTACATCTGTTTCTATATCGATCTCTATCGTATCCGTTCGAGTATATATAAGACAGAAGCATTCTCCTAGAGATATCGATCTCATTACCATCAGAACATTCAGCTTCAACCTCCTTAATTCTCAGTAAGCAGTCGACAATATTCAAACATCTTAATACTTAGTAAATAATCAACGCCCAAGAAACCAACCAACCTCATCCCCTCTTCAAAATGCAGATCTCCGCCCTCCTCTCCGTCGTCGCCTTCTCGGCCGCCGCCCTCGCCCAGCCCATCTCCATGGCCGCCAACGCCGCCGAGTGGACAATCACGAGCCTGTCGCGGACCTGCGACGCGGCGGACACCGTGTGCGACTGGACCTTCGGCATCAACAACGGGTCCGCCGCCACGGCCGTCAAGTACACCGTCAAGGCTTCCGGCGGCAAGCCCGCTAGCAAGGCCCCCGGCGGCCCCGTCACCGTCGGCCCCTACACCATCACCAGCCAGTGGAGCGACCAGTTCGGCGCCGACAAAGGCTTCACCACCTTCGCCGTCGTGGACAACGCCAAGCGCTTGATTGCGTACCCCGGCGTGAGTGGACCCCTTCCTTTCCCCTCACCACCTAGCTACTTGCCTAGGTAACTAACGTGTCCCCCAGTACGACGACGCCGCGGTCAAGAGCGGCAAAGCCGTCTCCCCCGACCGCAGCTATCCCGTCCAGAACCTGCCTTAAGCGGGTTGATGTGCAAGCAAAGGGAGAAGAAAGGGAATGGGAACGACGACGGAGTAATGAAGCTTTAATCAACCGAAAAAGCAATATACGAGGTTTCATTTTCGGTCACACTATGCATACGAGGTGTATATGGCGACGATGGGGATTTGGTTTATACATACGTCTCGCGTTGGGTAACTGTTAATATATTATGAGCCTGTATGACTGTACACGTTCTCGGTATCGAATTGCCTTCAAAATATGATCTCGGAGTAACTGTATGTTTATATTGCAACCTGTTCATTTGTCTTTAGCTGGCCTTGTCTCGAAAATGTTTCATTGATCTAGTAACAGGTAGGTACCTAGGTATGTCTTAACACCCGTAGTTTATAATACTACCTGAAATTCAGTTAGTGATAATAATCTATTGATCGCATAAGGTTAGGTAGATGCAAACGTAGATAGAAGCCATAGATACCTCTCGTAGAAATGAGTTGTTCGGTTAACTTGTATGGGTACCTAAGGTAGGTAGGTAGTTTTAAGGATATCTATTCATAAAGTATGCCCACAGAGCGTGAGCATAAATGCAAGCGAGTGAACCCAATGCAAGTATCTAGGTAAGAATGCTACAATGCAGAAATCAAATCAAACAAAATTCCAAACGCCGTCCTATGCCTGACCCTTCAACTCTTCCTCTACTTGCTTCTTCACAATCTCCCTGACCTTCTGCCAGTCGTTCTCCACTTCCATGACTCTCTTCTCCTTCTCCTCAAGGCCCAAGAACTCGGGTGGCAGAACCTTCTCTTCGAAGTTAAAGCCGGGCTCGTCTTTCAACGCAAGGTCAACTGCACCGGCAAACTTGGCAGGGTGAGCGGTTGAGAGCGAAATGTGAGGGGCCTTGGAACGCGCCATTGATCGTAATGATGCAGCAACGCCTATCGCGGAGTGAGGATCTAGGACGTAGTCGATCTTCTTAAAGTAGTTCTTGATAGTGTCGATCGTCTGCGAATCGCTCACCCGTTCGCTCTCGAAGTCGCGCTTAGCACTGGAGTGCACATCACGATAGACTGGGCCAAAACCACCGGTTGTCTTCAGCTGTTTCATCCATGCGGCAACCTCCTGGCCAGCTTGTTTCCTGTTCCACTCATCGTCCATTCCAGCAACGGAAGCAAACTCATAGGCTAGGAACCAGAGAAGTCGCTCGAAGTTGCTTGAGACCAGGATATCCATTGCGGGGCTCAGCGTTTCCTTGACGCCATCTTCGTGAGCTTTGACGCCATCAACTGCCAGACCCCCTTGCGCCTCAGGACCACGGGTGGGTTTCTTCTCATATCTTCCGGTCTTCCAGAATCTGTCCAGAATGTCGTTCTCGTTTGTCGCGATGACTAACTTTTCCACAGGTAGACCCATCCTGTGCGCAAAGTAACCAGCCAAGATATCGCCGAAATTGCCGCTGGGTACAACGTAGCGGACTTTCTCGCCAATACTAACCCCGGATGATTTCACAAGCGAAAAGTAAGAGTGGAAATAGTAAACGATCTGGGCGAGGATTCTTGCCCAGTTTATCGAGTTTACAGCGCCGAGGTTGAGTGTCGAGTTAATGTCTGGATCGGCGAATAAAGCCTTAAGTATATCTTGGCAATCGTCGAATGTACCCGTAACTGCTAAGTTGTGCACATTCGCATCTAGTACTGTGGTCATTTGTGCCTCTTGAATAGGACTGACCCTGCCCTTGGGGTGAAGGATAAATACCGAGACATCTGTCTTTCCTCGTAGCCCGTAGATAGCCGCTGAGCCGGTGTCACCACTTGTAGCGCCTACCACGGTCAGGTGGTGTCGGTCGGTACCCGTCTTTCCCTCATTCTTCCGTACTAGGAAGTACTCGAAAAGGTTCCCTAGAAACTGGAGAGCAATATCCTTGAATGCAAATGTGGGACCATGGAAAAGTTCTAGTAGGTAGAGGTTATCGTGGAGATGTCGTAGCGGTGTAGTTTCAGGGGCGCGGAAGGTGGAATAACTCCTGTCGATGATTCCCTTGAGGTCATCTCGTGGGATTTCAGACGGTGCTATATATAAAGATAGGATCTCAAGGGCAAGATCGGGAAAGGATAAGTCTTTCCAGCTCTGCCAGTCGCTCGCTGAAGGGACCTCCTCTGGAATATAAAGTCCACCATCGGTGGCTAGGCCTTTTAAAACAACCTCCTCGAAGGATAGCTAGAGAAGCTGGTTAGTAGAAAGTTACTTGCTGCAGAGAATGATACTACTATAGTTCGTACATCATAGTCTTCGCCCCTGGTGCTGAGATATCTTTGAGAGGCGTTACGAACTTCCGAGGACTCGGCTTCTGTCGTCTGACTATTGGTTCCGTTCGACATGGTGATTATCTGGGAGGAAATATAATGACTAAGTATCTGATGATCTCCAAGTTCTCCAAGTTCCCTCGAAGGATATGTTTCATTGAGATATGATATGACGAAGGAGAAAAAAAAATAAATAAAAACCAAAAGACCGAATTCGGCTGATAGTTTGACTATTACCCCGCACTAGCCTGATCTAGATAAATCAGAGCTCGAAAAAGAGGGAAGAGTGGCCCCCTTAAAGTTCCCTATTGCTGACAACCAAATGGAAGGAAGCAGCTGAACATTTTGAGGGTCTCCCCCTGAACTTTCTTTATAATAAACCCTGCATCTTCTAGCCTTTTCCTAGGTACTTGATGATGAATTGTTTAGGCGGTGGGTATTGAGCAACCTAGGTACTTAAGTACACTTGCCGCCTCTTCAGAAATTAATTAATTCATTTGTTTACCTCCTTAAATACGTTCGGAGAATGAAGGATTGTTAATAGTCAAAGAGGTAATGGTAATATCCTACATTTGGAAAATAATTCATGTCGGACTGCGTGATGTTGTCATACCTGCGTGTGAATATTTGGACATATGCCTTACATATTGCTTGACGAACTTGCATATCGTTATTAATAACACAACCGGCTTGATGGCACTATTTTTATGGCCATTACTATGCAAGTATGGTATCGGGCACTACTTCCTTTAAATAAACTTCCAGTCGTCAAAACTTCCAATATTAGGTAGGTAGGTACAATACGGATAAATACAGCAGGGCAACTCGAGACGGCTGTAAGGTCTTCGCATTGATTTGTTCGAATATGGAAATAGCCCATGTGCCTGCCTAGTACCTAACCTACCTGTATTTTAGCCACTGTGGGATTAGGTAGCGCCTTTCTCGATATCTCCGGCTTGGTCAGCAGTCGTTATCAGTACAAGTCCTCATTGTCCCATGTTTTCTGTTTATTATTTCATCTCGCTCAACCTAATTTTAAGCATTACATCAAGCGTAGTCTATTCATCTTGAAATATGAAGTGACCATTATAAACTATCATTTTTTTAAATAGTAGTTTCCTCTCAAAGTACCTTTGTTATCTAAAGGTACAATACAGCCTGTTATATTCCGACCTATCACTTCGCGATCATGGCGCCGGATAGAGGAAGTACAAGTGTCCAAGATTTGGATCCTTCTCCGTATCCGCTTGAGACCGAGGAGGAAACCAAGTATCTTCCGGAGGGCCGACATTTTACGCTTCGGGGTATTGCCGCTGGTCTACTCGTCGGGTTGATGTGAGTAGCACGCATATCTTTATTTTATTTTTTTCCCTTCCGTAGCACAGCGTAGACGTGTCCCCCCCCCCCCTTCCTATAACTCATGATATTTAGGAACTGAATTAGGCCCTCTATTTAGAGGATGACTTGTCTAAAAATAAATAAAAATAAAAATAGTCCTTACTAACAGGTGCATATCATAGAATATGTTTCAGTAATATGTACTTCGGGCTACAGACCGGTTGGATTTCTATGATGACGATGCCTGCAAGTCTGTTGGGCTTCGGTATTTTTAAGACTCTGTCACGCCATCTAGCATTTCCCTTTTCCCCGGTAGAAAATGTGCTTGTGCAATCCGTAGCAGGCGGAATGGCAATCATGCCTCTTGGCTGCGGATTCGTAGGTGTTGTAAGTATCTAACGCCGGGCTCAACGAGAAAAGAATATCTATACTGACTAGACTGATCCTGGACTAGATACCGGCTATGGAATATATGATGGACTCATCAGAACAAGGTCCGATAAAATTAAGCATGTGGAAACTCATAATTTGGTCTCTGGGCCTTTGCTACTTCGGTGTAGTTTTCGCTGTTCCCTTGTGAGTTGACAACCCTCTCCAACCTGTTTGATATCGGCAATTAACCTCGTCCAGGCGCCGTCAGGTGATTATCAGAGAGCAGCTGAAATTTCCAAGCGGTTTCAGTACCGCTGTACTCATTGGAGTCCTCCACGGTAAAGGGCAGACTCAGAACAGCGGTGTTCTTGATACTTCGAAAGCCGCTACATTCGGTAGTCTAGCGCGTGAAAATCAACCTCTTCTACGAACTGAAGGTGCTGATGGAGAGGGTAATGTAGCTGATTCGGATGATGGACTACCACCGATTGAGACGACAAAGGCGTACAATTGGAGCTCTAATATCCGGCTGCTTTTAATTACGTTTGGAATATCAGGTTTATACACACTCTGCACTTATTTCTTTCCTATACTTAGGAACCTACCTATCTTCGGAACGGTGGCAGCAGACACTTGGCTCTGGACCCTGAACCCAAGCCTCGCGTACGTCGGTCAAGGTATTATAATGGGCCCATCCACAACTATACATATGCTTCTCGGAGCGGTAGTTGGCTGGGGTATCCTATCTCCCCTTGCGAAATTTCGAGGCTGGGCCCCAGGACCGGTAGATGATTGGGAGAATGGTAGTAGAGGCTGGATCGTCTGGACGTCTCTTGCTATTATGTTAGCAGATGCCATTGTCAGTCTGGGATATATTACCTTCACCCCCTTTTTAAAGAATTATCCGTCTATCATCGCAGCAGCCAAACATCAAATTCAATTCCAGCGTAATAAGCTCGGCAACTTATTGGCCCGCCAGCCCAGAGGTTACATACCTGTACAGAGTAGTGAAGATGACCCAAGATCTTCGGTGGCTACGAGAACCTCACAGGATGTGGATATCTTACCAAGCCCAATGGTTGAGCGTAGAGATCCTTTCGACACGCAACCCACCCAAAAAACTTGGGATCAAGATGATGCACCTCCTGAGCAACTAGTTGGAAGCAAGATAGTCAGCATCGGTCTCGTCTTATCGGTTCTCTTTTGCATCGCTAGTATTCATATCACGTTTGGTGATCTGGTTCCTCTATATGCCACAGTCATAGCCGTTCTCATGGCGATGGTTTTGAGCATAATGGGAGTTAGAGCATTGGGCGAAACCGACCTGAATCCAGTTTCCGGAATTAGCAAATTAGCACAGCTCTTCTTCGCCTTCATCATTCCACAATCTCATAAGTCAAGTGTTCTTATTAACTTGGTTGCTGGCGCTGTGTCGGAAGCTGGTGCCTTGCAAGCTGGCGATCTAATGCAGGATCTGAAGACCGGCCACTTACTTGGCGCGGCACCCAAAGCGCAGTTCTGGGGCCAGATTATCGGTGCGACTGTGGGTGCTGTTGTCAGTGCATTTATCTATCGATTATACACTGCAGTATACGAAGTTCCTGGAGAATTGTTCCAAGTGCCCACCGGCCGCGTATGGATAGCTACTGCAAGATTAGTCACTGGGAAAGGGCTGCCGGATATGGCCAGGAGTTACGCTATTGGTGGAGCGATTATCTTTGCTATTTTTACTGCTCTGCGTACAAAGGCCACTGGAAAGAGCTGGCATGCGTATATACCTGGTGGGATCGCCGTGGCTGTTGGTAAGTGCATGGAAATATGGTAAAATAGGCCATTGTTAACAGTATTTCTAGGCATGTACAATGTTCCATCGTTCACGTTAGCAAGAACTATTGGTGGACTGATCAATTGGTACTGGAGAATATATCTACGAAAGGATGATACGCCGCTGATTATCCTTGCATCGGTGAGTAGCTGGTGGTTACGACCGACCCTTTTGAATCATCTTGCTAACCTGCATTGTAGGGCTTCGTCCTTGGAGAAGGGTTTCTGAGTATTGTCAATTTGCTATTACAGAGCTCCAAGGTTCCTCACCTCTGAGAAATATAACGCTGGCCAATCGGGCGACGTACGCAGTTCAGCCTGAAATAGTCATACGATGTTTGGTCCATCTAGGTAGGTGGTATATCGGTCTATTGGGTAATTTATACTTACAAGTTGCCGAGCGATCTTCGTTTTGTGTCAGGTGCATGACTACCTAGGTAGAAACATGAGAAGATGGTGAGGAGTAAGGAGGGCATCGAGTAGCGCAACATCATATTACTTGAAATATACACAAATTCATCTTCGTACAGGATAACCCAGTCCCAAAGATCGGATCTCATCTAGTTGACCAGGAAAAATCCGGCCTGTGATCTGTGGTGATCGCCGATCTCAGCCGGAGCTGTAGTCGAGTAGTGGGCTGATCTCGCCCCCGCATTTTGAGTCCCACAGCCGGCGCGGGGTCCTTAATATATCGGTGTTCCTCTCGAATAGCGCGGGCCAGCAGATTCTTGCATCTCACATCGTAGTTGGTTCGATCCGTTTTAAGAAATTCAAGATGCTACTCAACGAGAGCCATGTCGACGTGCAAACCACCGTGGATGGGAAGGAGACGTCAATGAGTGAGAAGGGTCCCCACGACAATTAGAGGCTCCCGACTAGAGGCGCTAACGTTGGGCAGGAATTTTCACATTCCATCCCACCATCCCGCAATACCCCAATGCGTAAGGCGTTTATCTGCTTTCCACTTAGGGACTTGGACATAAGTTTGCTGATGAGTTGGCAGTCGATTTCCTGGTGTCGTACTGTTTAGCGAGATCTATCAAGGTATCATCATCATCATTATCATCATCGTCATCACCATCGTCGAGAATCGAAGCACAGCAAGTCGTCGTTTCAACTATGCAGCTCGCTAACTAGCGCGTGTGTGGGATAGTCACGGGTCCCGTAGCGCGATTCGCGCGTCAAATCGCAGGTCAGGGTTATATTGTCGCCGCCCCTTCGTCGTATCACGATTTCACTGGCCCCGAAGCTCTAGCCTACGATGGGCCGGGAACGGACCAGGGAAACGAGTGGAAGGTGAAGAAGGTAAAGGAGATTCGCTCACATCATATCAATCAAATAATTGCCGGCTAACCGCGAGCATGGTGATAGACTCTTCAATCATATGACGTAGACTCTCATAAGGCGGTTGATTACCTCCTTAGCCTCCCTACGTGTACGGGCCGCATAGGCAGCACGGGAATGTGTCTAGGTGGTCATCTTTCTCTACGGGCTAGTGTACGACTTCCACCTTGGAATAGTGTTTCTCACGCTGATGTGTCCCCTAGCTTGATCCGAGGATAAGCGCAACCGTCGCGTACTTTGCTACCGACGTGCACTCCCGCACATTGGGACCTCACTCCGGGGCCAACATGTCGGTCCAAGGTCCCGAGAACAGCAACCACACGATCGACAGGCTCAGCGAGATCAAGGGCGAGGTAGCTATGATTTTCGGTATCAAGGATACCCACGTCCCGGACGAGGGCCGCGACTTGATTCGACAGAAGTTAAGGGGCGCCGGGACCGTGTTCAGCTTCTACGAATTCGCGTGGGCGCAGCACGCCTTCATCCGCGACGAGCTGAGCAAAGGCCGCTACGACCCGGCTATCACCAAGATCTGTTTCGAGGTGTTGCTAGAGCTGTTCGGCCGTGTGCTGAAATCGGACTTGGGGCCCAGGGACAACACCCCTGAGAAGATTGAGCACGTCTGTTGATTAAAAAAAAAACGACGATGTCTGCGGTCTATATCAGGTAGCCCCAGATAATCTTGGTAGGAACCTCAACCCTGTCTATTTTCCCAGCAAGGGGGGATGATTTAGCTAGGGTTACATGGATGATAGCTGTATTCGCTCATTTATCTGTCACAACCGCATATACCGGTTTTAACGCCAAAAGAAAAAGAAAAGAAGACAAGGCCATGTAAGTAGATATCAATATATGTATATGACCCCACTCGGAGGCAAAGCTCAACGATGTATGAAGAACCTAGAAGCAGCCGCTAGAATGCCTTACCAACTAAATGGGCGTTGGATGTGCCCATCCGCATCCTGCTCAACATGAGACCTGCGGTCGCTTGAAACGTTTCCGGAGCAGGCTGTTGTCCGTCTGAGGGGGCCGTCGTGGCTGATCTAGGATCTAGGTCATTTCTAGTTACATTATTCTTGTAAGTGCCTAGAGGGGCGTAGAAGATGGGGCCCGTGGGTTTTATCTTAGTACCTATATAAGGCTGATCATCGAATGGATGATAAAGTTCCTGAATAGGTATATGGATGGAGTATTAAGGTGATTAGATTCATATTGGTGGGTTGAGTTATTTTGATATCCTTAAATTGGTAAGAGGTAGCAGCTCCATTGGGAAATTCCTTAGCTTTTATAGACATCTTTCTTCATATAAGTTATGAGATTAAACTTGCAACATATTTTCATCATAGAAATTATCTTGCACGTTATTTGAAAGATAAAAGTACCTTAGGTAGGTATGGGACAGTGGAGCTGCTACTTCTTACTATATTTTTGGAGGTGTAGCATGGGTAGTTTTGTGACATCTACTTCCGAGTCAGCAAGTCGAATGCTATTGGACTTGGACATGTACATACAAAATGTAGATCTCTCACTTGAATCTTCTAGAATTACATAATGACGTCTTCCTAAGGAGCGTTCGCATGCTCCAAAAAGTCCTACAGGCTACAGGCACAGCTTTGCACACAAATCAGACGAGGCAGGAACGTAAGTTGGAAGGCAGAAAGCAGTAGCCAGCACCTGACGAAATAACTCGAAGTTGCCTCATCAACCGATCCGTTCCTGCCTAACAGCGAAAAGGAAGAGAAAAGAAGAAAAAAAGGTACATCGGAGTAAGTATTTTGGTTTTAATTTCGTGCATTTTTTTAGCGGGCCTCAAGGCTCAAGGAGTGATGTCAGTACATTACTATGTAGTATGTACTGAGTTTCGATGGCGGGGTAAGTACCAAGAGTACCTGAGTTAGGTACTTACCATGCGTAATGTGCGCAGTGCAGATACCTACTGGATAGCAACAATGATGTACCTAAGTGTATATAGAAACTTATATCGTACAAGTATCTAAGTAACTACTATTGGAGCAGTGAATTCCTATTTTTTAGATGCACTTTTGTGTATGCTAGGTACCTCTAAGGTGTAAATGAAAATATTAGGTAGGTAGGTACGGTACACGAGGTACATCCGTGCGTACTAAAATTTCTCTTTCTATCTATTCCTATCTAGGGGATTCCACTGAATTCAGGAAGGTTGAAGGGTTTTCAGTTGGTAAGTTAGGCGGAAGGTACCAGATGCGGGTACCAACTTCCAGCAATTCGAGAAGGTTCCCTGGCCCCACCATAGCTTCCCACATCTGGTTGTATAAACTCTTGCTCAAGTCCCAGCACAACAACCCTTTCTCTTCTCATCATCAATCTCAGACATCAACAACAAACAATTCACTCACGAATAACGCAAAAAATCACATTTAGATACCCGCCCCATTTGGGTACAAAATCCATTGCGTTTTCCCAATTTACAAGCTCTTGCACACATCTTCTACACCTTACTTTTTTTTCTCCTCTTGATTACCCCGCCATACTGTTTGACACTATAAAGTCATCATCACATCTTTCACAATGGTTCCCGCAGTCGGAATTGACTTGGGTACGACCTACTCTTGTGTAGGCGTCTACCGAGATGACCGAATTGAAATCATTGCCAATGACCAGGGTAACCGAACCACACCCTCCTTCGTGGCCTTCACGGACACGGAGCGTCTAATCGGTGATGCCGCGAAGAACCAGGTCGCCATGAACCCCCAGAACACCGTCTTCGACGCTAAGCGTCTGATCGGTCGCAAGTTCTCGGACCCTGAGGTTCAGGCTGACATGAAGCACTTCCCCTTCAAGGTCGTCGACAAGAATGGAAAGCCCGTTATCGAGGTTGAGTACAAGGGTGAGACCAAGCAGTTCACCCCCGAAGAGATTTCCTCTATGGTCCTCACCAAGATGCGTGAGACCGCCGAGGCCTACCTTGGTGGCACCGTCACCAGCGCTGTCATCACTGTCCCCGCCTACTTCAACGACTCTCAGCGTCAAGCTACCAAGGATGCCGGTCTCATTGCTGGCCTGAACGTCCTCCGAATCATCAACGAGCCCACGGCTGCTGCCATCGCCTACGGTCTTGACAAGAAGGCCGAGGGTGAGCGCAACGTTCTCATCTTCGATCTTGGTGGTGGTACCTTCGATGTCTCTCTCCTAACCATCGAGGAAGGTATCTTCGAGGTTAAGTCCACCGCTGGTGACACTCACCTGGGTGGTGAGGACTTCGACAACCGTCTAGTCAACCACTTCGTGAACGAGTTCAAACGTAAGCACAAGAAGGATCTCTCCACCAACCCTCGTGCTCTACGACGTCTCCGAACCGCTTGCGAGCGTGCCAAGCGCACTCTCTCCTCTTCTGCTCAAACCTCTATTGAGATCGACTCTCTATATGAGGGTATCGACTTCTACACGTCTATCACCCGTGCCAGATTCGAAGAGCTTTGCCAGGATCTCTTCCGATCCACCATCCAGCCCGTCGACCGTGTCCTTGCTGACGCCAAGATCGACAAGTCTCAAGTCCACGAGATCGTCCTCGTCGGTGGTTCCACCCGTATCCCTCGTGTGCAGAAGCTCATCACCGACTACTTCAACGGTAAGGAGCCCAACAAGTCCATCAACCCTGATGAGGCTGTTGCCTACGGTGCCGCCGTCCAGGCTGCTATCCTCTCTGGTGACACCAGCTCCAAGTCGACCAACGAGATCCTGCTTCTCGACGTCGCCCCGCTTTCCATCGGTATCGAGACTGCTGGTGGTATGATGACCAAGCTCATCCCCCGAAACACTACTATTCCTACCAAGAAGTCCGAGGTCTTCTCCACCTTCTCGGACAACCAGCCTGGTGTGCTTATCCAGGTCTACGAGGGTGAGCGACAACGCACCAAGGACAACAACCTGCTCGGCAAGTTCGAGCTTACCGGTATCCCCCCTGCGCCTCGTGGTGTCCCTCAAATTGAGGTCACCTTCGATGTTGATGCCAACGGTATCATCAACGTCTCTGCCGTTGAGAAGGGCACCGGCAAGTCCAACAAGATCGTCATCACCAACGACAAGGGTCGTCTGTCCAAGGAAGACATTGAGCGTATGCTGAACGAGGCTGAGAAGTACAAGGAGGAAGATGAGGCCGAGGCTCGCCGTATCAGTGCCAAGAACGGTCTTGAGTCTTATGCCTACTCTCTCCGAAACACCCTCTCCGACCCCAAGGTCGACGAGAAGCTCGACGCTGGTGACAAGGAGAAGCTTAAGTCCGAGATCGACAAGGTTGTCTCTTGGCTCGACGAGAACCAGCAGGCTACCCGCGAGGAGTACGAGGAGAAGCAGAAGGAGCTTGAGGGTATTGCCAACCCCATCATGATGAAGTTCTACGGCGCTGGTGGTGCCGGTGGCGTTCCCGGCGGCGCTCCTGGCGGCTTCCCCGGTGCTCCCGGCGGCGCTCCTGGTGCTGGCCAGGACGACGGCCCTACTGTTGAGGAGGTTGACTAAACGGTTTCGCATTGATGATATCTCTTTTTCCTTTTTTTCTCTAATCGTTCCGGCGTTTTCCTCAGGTGTTTAATGACACTGTGCGGCGGTCTCGGATTTTACGGGTTTGCACTAGATTTTACTGGTAATGAATGATACAGGGCAAAAGTTGCGGTTTATGACTTGCATGGGATGTATTCTAGGCAGGGATAATCCTACGAAGCAATGAAGTTAATTCATAAATAAAACTGCTGTCTTTGTGTGATCGTGACATGTAACATTAGGAGCTTTACCTCTATTGCGCGATTCAGGTAGCTATAATTCTAACAATGCGTTGTCTCTGAAATATTAATCTTCGTAGATGCTGATCATGACATGACCTAAGGTTACCTCTTTCAACTTTGTAAATTCAGACGTTTTGTAAATGTTCACATTCCCGTAATTGTATGTTGCTATATCGATACATTACTGACTTGATATTACCACCCGTTGGCCACAAATTCAACATCCGAACCTTAAGCCTCTATACTTTACATGACTACAAACACGCAGATAGAGAAGATACTACTAACTACTAATACTAATACTACTAGTTACTACTACCACTAAGTATACTCAGTTTAGGTAGGTAGGTAGGTAGGCAAAACTACTACGCCTCGCGCTTCTGCATCTCCTCCTGGACCCTCCTCCTGCGCTCGATCTCGAGCCTGCGCCACTCGTCGTCGTCGATATCGGGGACCTCGAGGGGGGTGCGAAAGGCGGTGTCGGGCTCGACGAGGCGGTCCCTGGGCTGCCAGACGTCGGTCGAGCTGGGGCGGCCGGGGGCGTGGTACTTTCGGAACTCCTTGGCGCGGTAGCGGGCGCGGATAGCCTCGGCCTTCTGGGGGCCCGAGTACGTGCGGGTGCGCATGCAGAACCAGAAGTCGTCCCAGAGCTCGGAGCACGAGCGCACGCCGCCCGTGCGGTAGACCGACACCCACTGCCCGCCGAGCGAGTTGCAGTAGTACGCCTGGTCGAAGGCTTGGCGGCAGGACATGCTGGTGGGGAGGAGGGACTCGGTTATGGGGTCCAGGGTGGATGGGATGGTGGGTTCGGGGGTGGGGGTGGGGGAGGACCAGAATAGGGAGGAGGAGGAGGATGTGGAAGAAGGTTGTGATGATGATGACGATGATGTTGATGTTGATGTTGTCTGTGGGAGGGTAGGAGATGACGGACTCCTGGTCTCGGGTTTGTTATTGGAGGTGCCGAACTCTGATTGTAGCTGGGCCATGAACTTGGCGATTTCGGGATCGCTATAGTCGGATTCGGCCTGCTTCGACGGAGGCGCGGCGGGCTTGGTGTTATTGGATTCGTCGGCTGGGGTGTGGGAATTGGAACCGGAGCCCTTCGGGGCGGATGGGGATTGCGAGGACCACATCCAACCCATGATGACGTCGGTATGTTGTATGTTGTACGTTGTATGTTGTATTAATATATATGGCTTGGAACTTGGTAGAGTTATGCGCCAGGTAAACTGTAGGTTTTGCGATTGATATATATGCGCTTTACTTTATGCTTTCGACTTAGGTCTGTTAAGAAAATGAAGATATGGTGATAATTCGTATGGATAAAGGACCTAGATGGTAGAATGGGATACGGTACGTATGTGCGGGGGATTGACGCGGGGTGCAATACAGTATCTCAAAAAAGTTGTAGTATTTGCTCTCGTGATCGACTCCCCGGGAGGTGATGCGCTGCTTTCTTTTCTCGGCAGCTTCACGCTAAAAGACTTTCATCCCACCAAGATTGTGGCTTGTTTATACTAGGCTTCAGGTACAATACCTAATAAATGTGGCACATTATCTAGGTCACAGTGGCTTGACTAGGTACCTATCTAATTTGACAGGGTCGGCAGGCACATTTCTCTAAAATAATTCAAGGTAGTCTTGGCAAGAGTTGGCGATGACCTCATCGGCATTCATCACCAACCCTCGTTGATTTAAGCTGAATAAAGCTAACAGCTAACAATCTGACTAACAACAATAAATTCCAGCATATTCAACACACTCGTTTGATATATTGATCAACTAACTCATCGCATACAATGAGCATGCGGATAAACTTCAAACGGTCTAGACGATGATCCCAAGATACCCATGTCTCGGCTCTAGGAATTTGCCTGGGCTGAGGGGAATAAGAAGAAGCCGGAGCTCATTCGCTCGCCCTATTCTCACACAACGCCACCAACCACGATGGGCATCACTACCAAGAGCTTGGGAGAGCACCACTACAGGGGAAGGGAAAAGCGGCCATATAGATGCTGCTCCGAACGAATCCATTCTTTGGATAGACAGTACGTCCAGTCTTCAGGATATCTATCTACAATAGGACATCTACAATATCATACTCTTTGCATAACAAAAAGGTAACTAACCAGATACAATAGACTTATTCCCTCTTAAGCTCTCCGGACTACTGCGAGCACCATGGAAGAGCCCAGATCAGGATCTTGCCGAGCTTATGAAGAAATTCCAGAACTCAACCCTGGGAGCCCTTGACCCTCTTAATATGGTCAAGCGAGCCATTCCAGAGACAGCCCCCGTTGAAGTCACCGAAATCTTACCTCGTCTCAAGGATGGCGGTGCTTTTGTCAAATTCAAATACCCGGCCAATGTATCCGCCAAGGATATCGAAGCAGCCGTCTCTCAACATCTTCAGGAGAAGCCCGTAAAGCCATTATTCAGTCCGTTCAGGGGAGTGCAGGCCGGATTAGTCAACGGTGTCCCTTGGTTAGAAGACTTGCACAGGTTCCCCAAGGACAGGCTAAGGGTTGAATTTGTCCCTAAGAATCCGGGTGAGGAGGCTGTCGAGTTGTCCCAGGAAACCTTATACAGCTTGTTCCGCCGTTATGGAAAGATTGCCGAGATCACCTCACAGCCGTGGGATTCTAAGGTCCTCCCAAAATATGCCTATGTCGACTTTGCCTTCGTTAGAGATGCCATCATGGCAAGGAACTGCCTACATGGTTTCGTCGTACCCGAAGAACTCGGCGGCGGCAAGTTGGGAACCAGACTGCGTATGTCTTACGAACAGCGAGCGCAGCCACACCGGATTTGGGATTGGATATCGAATCACCCAAGAATTGTTATTCCCGTCTTAGTCGCGCTACTGACTGGTCTTACGGTTATAATATTCGATCCAATCCGATCCTTCTTCGTGAAGGCCCACGTCACACAACGGTTCAGGCTCAGCAACAGTAAACTTTATAGATGGCTTCGAAGACGAACTGTTTACATATTGAATCTCAAGAGGGATAAAGCGGACCAAGCAGGACTGAATGCAGTTTGGACTCATAGGAGGGACTTAATCGACCAGATCCAGAAATGGCTGCTGGAAACCGCCGAGACTTTCATCGTCGTTCAAGGACCCCGCGGCTCCGGTAAGAAAGAACTGGTCTTAGACCAAGCTCTAAAGGGGAGAAGCAATGTTTTAGTTATCGACTGCAAACCGATAGTCGAAGCCAGGGGCGAATCTGGAACTATTAAGGAGATGGCGGCGTCTGTCGGCTACCGCCCCATCTTTTCGTATGCGAACAGCGTGAGCAGTATGATTGACCTCGCGGTCCAGAGTACTACTGGTGTGAAGGCTGGGTTCTCCGAGACCTTGGAATCACAGCTTCAGAAAATCCTAGAGACTACAGCAGCCGCTCTCACGGATATTGGTATCTCGGACCGTGATAAGGCAGATTCGGACGCTTCACTCCCCGTCGACGCCTATCTAGAAGCACACCCCGAGAAGAGGCCCGTTGTAGTTATCGATAACTTCTTGCATAGGGGCGATACTAATGCTATCGTCTATGACAAGCTTTCCGAATGGGCTGCTGCTTTGGTTCAATCTAATATTGCCCATGTGATCTTCCTAACAAACGACACAGCCTACTCGAAGCCGCTTTCCAAAGCTCTCCCTGATCGTGTCTTCCGCCAGGCTGCTCTTGGGGATCTCTCGCCCGACGTAGCCAAGCGCTTCGTCTTAAGCCACATCGCTAATGACGCAGAGAAAGATCCCGAAGCAACAGAGGAGTCAAAGGACTCCGGCGACTCGAGCGAGAAGCAGCAACCGTGGGCTAGACTCCTCCCCGACTTGGGAGAACTCGACGAATGCATCGGCACCCTAGGCGGTCGCCTGACCGACCTGGAATTCCTCGCCCGGCGTCTCAAAGCGGGTCAGAGCCCGAAGCAGGCCGTGGAGGAGATCACGGAGCAGTCGGCGTCCGAGATCCTCAAGTTCTTCCTGCTTCCCGGCAAGACGACAGACGACGGCGAGCACCGGTGGTCCGTCGAGCAGGCCTGGTACCTCGTGAAAGCCCTCGCGAACAGCGGCTCCGACTCGCCCTGTCTGCGGTACAACGAGGTCCTCCTGCACAACACGTTCGCGTCGTCGTCGTCGGCGCCCGACGGCGAGGCCGCCCTCGAGGGCCTCGCCAACGCCGAGCTCGTCACCCTGAAGTCCCGCAACGGCCGCCCCGCCCTCGTCGCCCCCGGCAAGCCCGTCTACGCCGCTGCCTTCCGCCTCCTCGCCCGCGACCCCGTGCTCTCCGCCAAGATGGACCTCGCCGTGCTCGCGGAGCTCGCCAAGCTCGAGGCCAAGAACATCGACAAGGCCGAGGCCGAGCTCGCCGTGCTGGGCGGCTTCCCCGCCCAGCCGCAGCAGACGGCCGGCCGCATCACCTATCTACTAGCTAGGATCGATGCCGCGCAGAGGAAGGTCGAGGCGTATGAGAGGGAGATGGCGGCGTTGAAGAAGGTGCTTTGTAGCGAGGCTTGATTGATTGATTGATATGGAGATGTATTTGTGTGTGGAGAGGGGGGATAGGTAAAGGAGGTCCAGATGGGTTGGTTGTACATAAGGGGGGGTAGCGTGATTGATTCTACGTAGTCGATACCCAACTCATTTTTACGTGGTTAAGCCTGTTTTGGTGTATGTAAAAAGAAAAACAATATCAATCCCAGTCCTTGTTCCTTTCCGAGTTGTTGAAATAGACCTAGGATTTCCTCCCTTATTCTACGTAACGGAAATGTCGTATAGAGGGTAAGTACCTAGGTACCTTTATTTACCTCTCGAGCATCATTAGAGGAAAAGTAGGGGGCCTACCTAAGGTTAGGCTAGGTACGGTAGTTATAGGGGAATACTTCGACGAATAAAAAGAGAAACTTTTGATTTGGTATCATAGACGTAGCAACTCGTGTCGAGTATATACGTACATAACACAACGAACTCGAGCTCTTCTAACGACTAAAGATTAATAAAGCTCGTCCATCGTGGCCAACCTAACGCCCGAATGCCACCAAGGGCGCGAGGATAAGTACCTACCTACCTAGGTACCTAGGTACCTAAGGTGGTAGTGTTGTAGAATATATAACAGGCAGAAACAAAGTAGACTAGTTAGGTCTGTAGTGATGGTGACGACAATACCGACAATGTCATGCTTTCCAAGAAGACCGCATACACTTGAAGCTTTCCTTTGACCCAGCTTCGGAACCCGAACCATCCTTTCCGTTTCCCTTGATTCATAACGACCTGCACATTTGCAAGGGAGTTAGATATATAAATTACCTCTCAAGACGGTTGATCTAGCCCATCTGCGTCTCCTCGGCGTCTCCCCCTTCGCCTTGCACTAAAACCTCGCAGCCCTGAGCGAAGAAGATGCGTGCAGGTTTGTCGGTATTATTCGTGATACTGTAGTGATTTCCTGTAGGCAAGGCTCGTTAGTTCTAACTTCTCGAGTTTATGCATTATATCCCTCCAAGGTAAATAAATGCCAGTGTCTAATCTAGCAAAGAGATGTGGAAATAGATAGACTTACCTCTCGGTACAAACCACATACCACCCATGCCAATCCGAAACTCCGTTTGCGCAACCGTAACATCAACACTCCCCTTATGCACGAAAAACACCATCTGCATCTTCCGCGAATTCTTCGTGCGCTTCTCCGAGCCGGGCGGCATATCCACGACACCCGAGCCGAAGAAGGGGAGCGTAAGAGTCTTGGCGAACCGGAATGTCGCGTCCTTGATATCTTTCAACTGGATGGCCGCTTCGGAAATGGCAAGCTCTTCCTCTGTAACTTCAAGCTGGTCTTCGTCTGCGGGCTCCGTCTCGTACTCTGGCCTCCAGTAAAGGCACTCGCCCGCGATGCGGCCCGGATCGAACTCCCAATCATCACGCTCGATCTCCTCTTCCTCGGGTATGGCGGACACGCGGCGCCCAGGTCTGCCGCGTTGCTTCGAGGGGCGACCGCGACGTTTCCTCGTTGGTTGGTCTTTAGGTTCTTCGGCTCGTACAACACCCTGAATAACGGGCATTACAAACTTTTGACCTTTGTCTTCGAACACATCCACACCGCTTCGTACGGCGTGCTCCCCCTGCCACCATTTCAGGGGGCCATACGAGTGTCGACCCGATCGTGTAATTCGCATACTATCTTCGCCTTCCCGGCGTAGAGCAACTAACCCACGGCCCTTGGGGAGCGGAGGACCACGCTGGACCACAGGTTCCTCGATGCCAACCCCAGAAGATTTGCGCTTCCGACCAGGTTTGCCCTTTTCCTTTGTTGCGATTGGTTTCGACGAAGTAGCTTTGCTCTCTTTCTCTTCGGTTCGCTGGCGCTTTGTCTTTCTCTCGCTAGCATTCTCCTCTGTCTCTTGTTCTTGTTCTTCCTCGACACTACTGCCAGACTGCCTTTCTGGTCTTCGCTTTTGGGCTTTCCTGGGAGGCTCGTTTTCTTCTATTGGTGATGAAGCCCTCGCTGGCCAGCCTCGTTGCTTCTTTTTTACGAGTGCATCGTTGACATCTTTAGTTCTTGCTAGTACTGCTTTAGAGACTGATGGCTCTCCCTCATCTTCTTGCACAATAAGTGATTTCGGCTTACGGCCTCTGCGTTTCTTAGGCTGCTCAGGGGATTTTGGTTGCGGAATAGGCTGTTCCTCTTCCTCTTGCTCTTCCTCGAACTCCGGCTCGGGTTCTATAGGTGGGTCATCTTGGTCGTCATTTGCATTTTCTACCTCGTCAATTCCAGCATCGAGAACATCCATTGGCTCGTCCGGTTCCTCTTCCTCGACTTCCTGTTCCTGTGGTTGATTACGGTTGCCTCGTGGCCTGGGCTCGTCTTCTTCGTCTGAATCATTAGCACGGGAACGGCCGTTGGTTAGCTTCCCATTTCTAGGTTTCGTCCCATTAACCTTTGGCTGCCCCTTCGATGTAGGGTTTATTTTGATCGAAGATGCTTTGGAGAAATCCAGCTTGCGATTTACAGATTTAGGAGGGTTAGGTTCGCGCGCAGGCACGATGGAACCGCGAGCAGGTGAGGAGGCAAGACCAATATGGGGATTTTGGCGAGCTGGAGACTGTAGATGCGTCTTGATAGGGGATCGAGCGCGAGGTAGCGATGGGCGAGACTGTCTCTGCTTCAGGATAGTAGCTGGACCCATCTGAGATTCTGCAAAGAGTGAATCAGCAAATGAGAGCGAGAGCGAGAAACGAGAAACGATTATTAGGTAGAGCGCGGCATACCGTCGTCTATTTCCATCTCTTGCTCCTCCTCCTCGTCGGATTCAGCATGATGCCGTCCGTTAGCGCCATTAATGCTGACATTGTTGATGTCCTTTTCGGGTGAAGAAAAAAGGGAGTCCACGGCTTCGAAGCCGTGTGCGTCGCGCTCACGCTCTGCTAATGTTATACCTGTTTTTCTACTCTACATCAGTCTTGATATCCGTTACGATAAGCGCAGTAGGAAATGAAATACCTTCCAACCACGCCGACATCGAAGACTTGTTCATTTTGCGCCTGCGTCATGCGCCGCTGCGCTTGTGCTTTTGGTGGCATGGCAACGGGGAGGGTTGTCGCCTGTTTAAGGCGTTGCAAGTTTGAGGAAGAAAAGTAATCAATCAATTAAGTGTCGATGTGAAGATAATAAATAAAATGTTGGTAGGCGGCGATAAGAGTCGCAATTGAACTTGAAACGCGTCAAAAAAGTATAAAAAATAGTAATTTCTTTGCGGGGAAGGCGGTGGTGAGCGATGTTTACTTCAATGTTTCCTTGTTGAATGTGCACTTTCCCTGTGGCTGCTGGGTGACCCAGTTGATCGACTGCACGTCTATGCCAGGTACAGGTATCTATGTACGGTCATGTCTATGCGAACAGGTACCTTACGTACTTATTGTGGGACTTTTTTGAAGGTGCTCATTTTTAATTGGTAGCGCAGACACGCTCTGAAGTGAGAACGCGTCCACCAGAAAAGCAAGCTTCTAGGTACATAGTGTCTTGAATTACTAAACTTCCAACTACCAAACCGAATAATACCTTCTATTCTAATTATTTTTATCTGTGTGCATACCTACGTAGTTTAAATACTTTCGAAAATAATTAGTTTCTACATAAGGGCAACTAATTAGAGTAAAAACTCCTCGCCATGGAAGACACACCAATGGACGACAGCACCGTCGCCCTCGAAACCCCAGCCGACAACGTCTTCGTCCCTCCTTCCATCCACCGCGCCGCCACCCTCTCCGGCGAGACCTACACGCACTTCTCCGCAGTGCCCCCAAGCCTACTTCCCAAACCTTCCTCCCCATCAACATCAACATCAACATCACCGTCATCGTCACCCCTCGGCCCCCCCTGCGTCCTCGGCGTCGACGAAGCCGGCCGCGGCCCCGTCCTCGGGCCCATGGTCTACGGCGTATTCTACCTACCCGTCGAGCTCTCGGACCCGTTACTAAAGCAGACGCACCACTTCGACGACTCGAAAGTCCTCACCCCCGCCGTCCGCTCGCAGCTCATGCAGTCCTTATGCACTCCCCCCTCCCCTTCCTCCTCCTCCTCCAACTCATCTAACGACCTGTTCTCGTCCTGCGGGTGGGCCGTATCCTGCCTGTCGGCGCGGGACATCGGCGCGAACATGCTGCGCCCGTCGACCAGCGCGGCCTACAACCTCAACGCGCAGGCCTTCGACGCCACCGTCGAGCTCGTCCGCGGCGTCCTCGCCCGCGGCGTCAACGTCGCCGAGATCTACATCGACACCGTCGGCCCCCCCGCCGCCTACCAGGCCAAGCTCGCCCGCGTGTTCCCCGCCGTCCGGATCACCGTCGCCAAGAAGGCCGACAGCCTGTACCCCTGCGTCAGCGCCGCCAGCGTCTGCGCCAAGGTCACCCGCGACGCCGCTCTGGAGGTCTTGTACGAGGCGAGGGCTGCTGCCTCTGCTGCCTCTGCTGCAGGAGAGGGACAAGGACACGGAGACGGACAGGGAGAAAACGAACACGAGGAAAGCTGGGGCTCCGGATACCCTTCCGACGCCAAGTGCGTCTCCTGGCTGAGGAGAAACATGCACCCGGTCTTTGGCTGGGGGCCTGAGTGCAGGTTTAGCTGGGGCACGGCGAAGGACATGTTGGAGACGAAAGGCGGCGTCAAGGTCGAATGGCCGTTGGACGAGGACGAGGAGAACAGCCGGCTTACGGATTACTTTGCGGATAGCAGCAAAGAGAAAGATGCCGATGAACTGGGGTCTTGGTTTGGTACTCCGGCCGGCTTAGAGGCATTTTGACCTTAAAAAACTACTTACGTATTTCGTTATCGCATAATTGGGCATGGGATCACGGCGTTCCGGGGGTACGCGTATCAGACGAAAAAAAAAAAAGGATTGGTTCGTTTGGATTTAAAGATATGTCCATGACGAGAGATGTATATTTACTATATCCTGGCCCACCTAGCCTTCTATCAATAATTGGAAAATCGAACACACTACAAATCGTCGTCATCATCAGTGGTCGCACGCGACTTCTTCTTCCCTCGACTGTCCAACGTGTCCATGCTGATCGAGTCGCTGTCCCGGCCTTGCATACCAATTGCCTGCCTCGCAGTCTCGTTGTTCTCAACGAACTCTCGGAGGCGTTGCTTGCCAATTTCTGAGGCCTGGTTCCAAGCAGCAGAACTCATCTGCATCATAGGACCCAGGAGGTTAAGACTATACGAGACATACAAACCACCTGCAATGATGACCAAGAGTACAAAAAGAATTGGGTTGCGCAGAACTGATGGGAGTTAGCATTGTAACGGTCACATAGTGTAATAATAACTCACCTGTCAAAATCTCGTTCCACCCCAAAGCCAATAACAGCCCATAGAAATATAAGGGAACCTGTGTGATCCCACCAATAGCACTTCGCTTGGCTTCCACATACACTCCATCAGCCGTCTTCTTGAACCTGACCACCAGGTCTTGACGTTTGCCTTCGCTCAAAACGGTCATTTCTTCCTCGAGGCTCTTTCCCTCATCCTCATCAACACCACCAATAGGTGTTAAGTCATCCTCATCTTCAGGCTGCGCTGTGGCAGGTTGGTGGCCAATGAACTCTGGGAGATCTGGAGGCGCCAATGTTGTAGATAGCTTGAACTTTGCCAATAGCGGGATAAGGGTAAGTGTCGATTCTCGAGCACGAGTGTAGATGCCCTCAATATCATCAGCTGGTCGCCATATGCGTGGGACACCTGCTTCGTCGTATCGGAATTTATCCTCGAAGTTTTCTCGAAGCTTCAGCAGAATGTTTCCTTCCATAACTTCTTCCTCGATCTTCTCTCGAAGGGCGACCCAGCTCTTTCGTCGAAGACGCCATAAACCAACTTCAACCTCATCCTCGCTCGCCTCAAAACTCTTGGCCCTGTCTGTGAAGCGGCCCTCAGCTTCCTTAACAACGGAAGTGAAAAGGTTCCAGATACGGTCCCATAGGTCTTTCTCAGTGGGCGGCTTCTCGCCATTTTCAGGAGCTCCAGATCCTCCTCTCCCCGATCCAAGTTTGTTGAATTCAAGACCGACCGAATCATTGAGACGGGATTTAACCCAGCGTTCAATACGGGTCGCTAATCTTCGCATTTCATCTTGCCGCAAGCGGGCACTAACTTCGTCAAGCTCTTTTTCAAAGAGGACATACTGAGGCTTGAAGTTGGTCCACGCCACATCAGGGATAAACAAACTTTGTGCCTCATTCCTAAATGTCTCCAAAGTCTTAGTCTTCTCCGCATCCACGATCTCGGCAAATTCGTAGGCGCCTCCAGACTTCTGACCTTGTTTAACAGCGCCGGATACAGCATCACTAAAGCTGGTAACGCAAGCCTTGTGGGCAGCAGATAACTGGCCGTGGTAGAGCGTCTTGAGGCGCTGATCGATTTTCTCCTCCAAATCAGCTCGTTTATCCGAATAGACCTTTTTGTGATATCGACTAGCCTGTGTCTCGAAAGACTTGACGCATTTCTCCCTAGTCGAACTGCCAATCTTGCCAAGGTCTGGTAGAACGATCGGCTTTCCAGCACGAGCGGATTCCGTCTGTTGCTCTTCTAATGGAGCGATGGCCTCATCGAAGGCTTTAAGGACTTCTCGCGAAATCTCGTCGCAACGGAACTGAGCAAGGAGCTCTTGTTGCGTGGGCAGGTCGAGATCCTTATTATGAACAATCTGATCCCAAATGCCATTGGCATAATGGGAGAATCCATCGGCCGGGATTCTTCGATGGTACTCAGGTAAAAAGACGCCACCCTCGAGCTCCTGTTCGCCGTGCTCAAGCTGGTTCTTTGAATGTCGGGTGCCAGTGACAAACCTGCCTCCCAGGTTCTTTACTTCGGCTTCGAACTTATCTGGCTGCAAGATTTTATGAGGTAGCGCAGCGAAAGCGAAGTCGAAATAGTCTTCTATCCGCGAGCTCTCAAGACCCGCCGGTTTCGAAATAGATGACCAAATCTTGGTAAGATCTTGGATTAAGGTATTTCGAAGGTTTGATAGGGGAGTGTGGCCAATATGATCACGGATGACGAAGAACAGAAGAGACCTGGGGGTAGATCTAAGGGTATAAATGTTAGCAGCCTGTTCGAAATATTAGCTGGGGATTTATTTCTCTTAACACTTACTCTTTGTCCTTCAAGAATAGTTGGAGATTGACTTCGAAAACAGTTTTCAATAATCCCATGTTAGCACCTTGGTATAAGCCAACCTGGTGCTCCCATATGTTAACGATAAGCACTTCGCTAGTTGCAAGCGCAAATAGTGCACTCTTCCTTTCGAAATCTTGGTCCTCGCCCCTTTCTCGACCGTCAGTACCCTCTACGTCCATAACGAGGATATTGTCGGCCATAGACCCTCTTTTGTTTTTCGACATCCATATTCCCTTGGTAGTCTGACGTCGTTCCACCTCGGACATTACATTGAACTCCGTACCGAAGAGGTAGTTGAGCAAGGTCGATTTACCGGTGGACTGAGATCCGAAGACGGATATCAGATGATAGTTGAAACCAGCATCGGCCACATCGGTTGCCTGTAAGTAGGCATTAATATTCTCACTAAAGTAGCGTAGGTTAGTAGGGAACGTAGGTTAAGGTGCAGAAATAAGCAATATTATAAATAAAAGCAGTATCGATAGCAATAGCAATAGAAATAGAAATAGCAAGAATAGGTAGTAACAATAATAACAAGGAAAAGGACAGCTTACTTGAACTCCTTGTCCTCGTCAATAACTTGGATACCATGCTCGTATTGAGCTTCTGTCGGCTTGTCGCCAACAGAAGAAAAGTGACCGTTCATGTCGAAGCTGTAGGAACAGTAATCAGAATTATTTACAAGTTTATAGGACAAGTAGAAGAGCTGCCATTCTCTTAAAGTGTGGTTTAAAGTTGCAGTTAGAGGAAATCAATAGGAGGAGGGATCGGGTTGTGTAGAAAGTGTAGAAATGACATTTCGACGCAGCAAGGAAATCCCTGCTTAGACCGAACCAGCTTAAACCAGTGTCGGTGTCGTCATTTTTGATTGGTTAGTTCAATTCAACAGCTGTTATCTAAAGCGACAGGCGCCACTCTGCCACTGTCACATGCACCAATGGAGGGAGAGGTGACACCGCAACGAAGATAAAATGATGTCAGCTGGCAACTACACATGTACAAACATGTACAAATGCAACTATCCATCAAAGCTAACGTACTACCTTAACTTCCATTTTATTTAAATATTAGGTAATTTAAGGTTCTAAGGTTCTAAGGTTGGCATTGGAACTTCCATGTTTTAACATTCGATGTTGGCGTGGAACGTTAATAGTAACACTAAATATTAGGATGAAAGTTATTTAGTACATTCGTGCAACCTACATGTATATTAACTACCTACGGTAGGTTAGGTATATATTTCACTATGGAGTGGAGATAACCCTCAACATTGCCTCAGGCAAGTCAGGTACCTACCTAACATAAGGTATATGTGAAGAGAGGGTTTGTTCACTCACTTTCTTACAGCTAAGCATATCACAATCTTGACATTAGTAAGTTACCTAGGTAAACACTGAGTTGTCCTTTATTTTAAACAACGATACCACAATTCAACCAGCAGTGTACCGCGCAAATCCCGGCAATACAACAATAATCATTGGTATAAACGTTAGTGCCTCTTCCCAACCGGCCACGTAGATGGCTTTTTTGATTAGAACCCAACTGTCAACCTCTTAAGCGCCAACAAATAAATCATCATGCAGTATTAACAAAGCAAACCGCGGCCGTATTGGCTGCCCCTGAATTTGTATTAGGTGCTGATTATTCTTTTCTAGCAAATCTTGCCAGAGCAGGACCAAGCTCAACCTCTTTCTCCTTCTGCTTGTTCTCCCGCTGCTGTAATTGTTCTTTCCACAGTTCTTCAACTTTCAGCCTCTTTTCATCGATAATATTCTTGCTTCGTTGCTTTCTCAGATATCTGCGGAGCGCACTGTTCTTTCCGCGAGCCCTATTTCTGATTTCTGTTTCAATATCAACAGGTTTGGCATCGAGGTCTTTCTCGGCTTGGCGTTGCTGCTCAGAACGCAGATCAAGATTGCCAATGAAGTTAGGATCCAGTGCGATCATCTCAGGCTGCAACTTGTTCAATAACGACTTGACCTCGGTCTCTTGTCGCTGCTTAGCCGTCTCGAACGGATTAACTTCCAGGGCATCGAAGTTAGGTTCTCCGGCACCAGGAACAATAATTGACGAGAAGCCTTCATCATGACCCAGTCCCAGGATATCTTCAAATGGACACCAACGCACGCGCTCAATGCGCTTACCTTCGCCACCCCAGGTCATGTAGGGACTCTGAATCTTCTCCTGTTCAGCGGCGTGCTTAGAGTAAAGACCCTTCCAAATCGTAGTCTTCGTACCCCATCCTACCGCAGTTAAGCCTCGGTCAGATATTGCGATCGACGATGCAGGTTGTCTCGTAAAATAACTATTGACCTCCTTGAACATTCTTATATCCCAAACAGCCATTTTGCAATCTTGTCCTCCTGATACCATGTATCGGCCTTCTCTGTCCACGGCTAACGATCGGACCGGGCCTTTGTGCGCCAATAGCTTCACCAATGGTTCGGGTGAGTTTGGAGACCATAATGTAACAGTTCCGTTCTGGTGACCGGCGTGTAATACAGCGTTATAGGGGTTTTGCGTGAGAGAAACAGGTGCTCCGAGCTTCGTCGGTATTTCCGTAACTAATTGACCTGTGGATACGTCTTGATACTTAAGAAAACCGGACATCCCCTAACCTCGTAATTAGTAACGATAGAGCCACGGTACGCGAAATTTACTAACCAGAGTTGCCAACAAGAAATGGTACGGCAAAAATTCCATATGCGTTACTTCCTGGTGTTTCCTTAGGCAATGCACCTCAACTCCCTGGCGGTCGTATATGTAGACATGTTTCTTTTGCGCTACGGCAAAAAATTGGTTGTTGTGAAGCCACCGTGCATCACGCACCGTCTCTCCAAGCTGTAGCTCACATCCCAACTTGCCTTCGCGCCAATCCATCGTGGCAACATGACCTCGGCGTCCTGCCAGCAGTAGTTCTCGTCCAGTTCGGGAATACTCGAAAACGTAGGGCCCAAGTTGGTCAAGTTTCAACTCGAATCGCTTTTTCGCGGACTCTATAGAGACTTCGTCTAAAATTTCTTCTTGTCGCACTCTATACGTCCTTTCTAATTCGTGTTCGGGTTCGAGAAAACCGCTAGTATTCTCGAGAAGGATTTCGGCATCTTTCGCCTTTACTGTAGCTTCCTTATACTTGTGCTCGAGGGATTTCAAATTGCTCCGTAGCTTCTTATCGTTAACCGCTTTGACATTGACCCTACTTCCTCGACCGTAGTCTCTTTGCGCTTCCTTTAAACGCCGTCGCCTTTCGCGTTCTTCTTTCGGAACAAGTTCCGTTCTGGTTCGCTTAACGACGCGGGCGCCATTGTCGTAGTCCCTCTTGGATGGCTTGTCAACAGATTTTGTGTTGACTTCCATCGTGGCAAGTGGGTGTAATTGTCTTGGGGGGAAGAGAAGCACGACTTGTAGATAAGTCAGTACTTTACCATAGAGAGGTTGAAAGTCGGCGTTCAATGCCAAGCCAAACTTCAAAGCGCAAACCCAAAAATTTCTGAGCAAACGAAACGATAAGAAGATGATAGACAGATAAGACATGCAAATCCATAAAAGAAAAGTTCTTATCAGTTCTTATCGGTGGATACTCAGTACGATAAGCGACGATTTAACCAAACTGTCAACAGCTCAGCGGCCGCACAGAAAAAAAAATTATTATGATAAGACCCATTGCAGCCGCCGATATCCTTCCTCAATTGCCCCTCCGCCCCTCCAACCCTCCAACCCTCCAATAAATCAAGCCAATACTACTGGCCCACGGGAACTTCCTTGACGTAGAATTCGATTTTCGAAGACATTTCTCCAACATATAAAACCTCTTCATCCTGGCGTCGTTACCATTTCGATTCAAAGCTGGGGGTGACGGGAAAATGCCGTCCGCAGTAGCCACCCATTCTCACAGGCCGACTACGAAAGTCGCGCCCAAGTCTTTCAAATCCAAGAAGGCTACCAAAGGCGCCCTGCGAGACCAGGCGAAAGGTGAGATTGCAGCAATGTTACAATGAATTCAGTACCTCCCTTACCTACCTAGGTATTTACTAACACATGGGTTTTTAAAGGCAAAGTACCTAATGATAAGGGCCAGCGCAAAACTCCTCACCAGCAAGTCATGTCTAAATTCGATCGTCGCAACCAAGCAAAGCAGCGCCAGCTTGCAAAGCATAAGGAACACCAAAAAGAGACATCGGTATTTACCGGACGGGATGGCGCGCCGAGAATAGTCGCTGTAGTACCTCTCTGCGCAGACATAGACGTCTCCGCGGCCATCAAGAGTCTCAACAGCAGCCTCGATATCGAATCCGATGTTTCCGAGTCCAGCTTCCGAGTATCTGTCGACAGATTCAAGCAAAAGCTACAATATGTACCAGTTACAAGAGACCTTACCGCATGTATTGATGCAGCGAGAGTCGCAGATTACGTCCTATTCGTATTATCACCAGAGACAGAGGTGGATGCTTTAGGCGAACTCATCATTCGAAGTATCGAGAACCAAGGCATGTCCACTCTGTTCACGGCCGTCCAAAATCTAGACAAGGTCCAACCCGCGAAGGCCCGCCCAGACGTCGTCAAGTCTCTAGTTTCGTTTATGACACATTTCCATCCCGGACAGGAAAAGATATATAACCTCGACTCGAGACAAGAATCCTCAAATCTTATGAGATCTCTTTGCACGACGACACCGAAGGGAATTCACTGGAGAGACCAGCGGTCGTGGATGCTTGTTGATGATATCCGGTGGCCGTCGACCGAAAACGAATTGGCAGTATTCACAGGTATCATTCGTGGAAAAGGTCTTAAGGCCGATCGATTAGTCCATGTGGGAGATTGGGGAACCTTCCAAATTGAGAAAATCACAGCCGCGCCGCTTCCTACCAAGAGACGGAAGGATGATGGAATGGCTGTAGAGGAAACAGAAGAAGATAAAGTCTTGGAGACACCAGGCGAGGACCAAGACGATCTTGCTGAGTTAGCCCCGGAAGAAGTAATGATGGATGACGCAGACATGGAAGAGATAAAAGAGCCAGCAAGCAAAAAAGGAGTCTTGTTAGACGACCACCACTATTTCTCTGAAGAGGAGCCGGAAGCGTATACAAAGCCGAAGAAACTCCCTAAAGGAACATCATCTTACCAAGCAGCCTGGTATTTAGATGATGTGTCGGATTCCGAGTCGGAGTTGGATGACCAAGAAATGGAGGATGCTCAAGATGATAGTATACCTGCGGCACCGGAGGACGGTATGGAGGGTTTGGCTAACGCCGAGCCCACCGAGGCCGCTATGTCGGAGTATCCTCAATCAGAGATGTTTATCGAACCAGACGAGGAGGAGGATGCTGCACAGTTAGAAGCATATCGTGCCAGGAAACGCGACGAGGTAGAGGAAGACAAAGAGTTTCCGGATGAGATCGAGTTACATCCCAACGTCCTTGCAAGAGAGCGGTTAGCAAAATACAGAGGATTGAAGAGTTTACGAACGAGTCCTTGGAATACGGAGGAAGACCGAGCATTCCAACCAGAGGAATGGTCAAGATTATTACAAATATCAGATTATCAGTCCTCTCGAAACCGGTCGATAAGAGAAGCTCTAGTCGGCGGAGTGGCCCCTGGAACAAGGGTCCATGTTCACCTACGAAACTTCCCCAGGGACTTAGAGAAGTCATACAACCCTTCGCGACCCGTTACTCTTTTCTCCCTCTTACGACACGAAAATAAGAAGACATCGTTGAACTTCGATGTCACGCATAAGGAGGATTACGAGAAGTCCATTAAAGCCAAGGAGGAGCTTATTGTTCAATGTGGCCCTCGACGATTTATCGTCAACCCCCTATTCTCACTCGCCGGTAACACCGAGAACGACGTCCACAAGTATTGCCGATACCTTCACCCAGGTCAATCTGCTATCGCGACTTTCATGGGCCCCATTACTTGGGGATCCGTGCCGACATTGTTCTTCAAGCGAACAATATCCGAGGGAGGAGATGGCCAAACGAGCGTTCCCCTACAATTAGTAGCCACCGGAACCGCTCGCGCGCCTTCAACCTCTAGAGTTGTCGCCAAACGTGTGATCTTGACCGGTCACCCTTACCACATTCACAAGAAGATCGTCACCATCCGGTATATGTTCTTCAACCGGGAAGACGTGGAATGGTTCAAGGCATTGCCTTTGTGGACAAGGAGAGGCAGAAGCGGATACATCAAAGAGACTCTTGGTACCCACGGGTACTTCAAGGCTAACTTTGACGGAAGGATTAACCCACAGGATGCGGTTGGTGTCAGTTTATATAAGCGCGTGTGGCCAAGGAATGCTATTCCCTTCACGGGATCTCTTTTGGAAGAAGGGGCGTCGCAAGGACAGGACGAGGCTATGGACGAGGACATTCTATAGATACCAGGGCAATACAAAGGTCGTAGGCGACCTGTATATAACATAAGTTTTTTTGTTTAGTCCAATAAGGGGGGCATTTCACGGAGCCTTTATTAGATCTCAAAATCATATCATGTGGGTTATTATGAGAGAAATGAGAAACGGTTCTAAAATCCAAAATTCAATATCACTTTGATTACCTCGTATATCTTTCCCATCTATGTGCAAGTTCTGAATATTCTATTTATTCTAGTCGAGGTACCTAAGGTAGGTAGATATGTACTTGGGCAGGGTATTCCCGGAATTAAACTAACGTCTCCAACCCAGCCGTCGGCTTCGGGCCGCCGTTAGCCTTACACGCCTCCTCGGCACCGCTCGCCTTCCACGCGCTGATGATCAAATTAACAATATGGTCGACGCCGACGCCCTTCTTGACCTGGGCGAACACGGTGGGGCCGCCCTCGCGCATCTTCCTGGCGTCGCGCTCCATGACGCGCAGGTCGGCGCCGACGGCGTCGGCGAGGTCAGTCTTGTTGACGACGAGCAGGTCGCTCTGGGTGATGCCGGGGCCGCCCTTGCGCGGGATCTTGTCGCCGCCGCTGACGTCGATGACGTACACGATGAAGTCGGCCAGCTCGCGGCTGTAGTTGGCCGCCAGGTTGTCGCCCCCGGACTCGATGAGCAGCAGGTCCGTGCCGAAGCCCGCGTGCAGGTCCTCGAGCGCGGCTAGGTTCGCCGACACGTCCTCGCGCACGGCCGCGTGCGGGCACCCGCCCGTCTCGATCGCGCGGATGCGCGCCGCCGGCAGCGCCAGGTGCCGCGTCAGGAACTCGGCGTCTTCCCGCGTGAATATGTCGTTCGTCACGGCCGCGATCGAGTACTGCTCGCGGAGGGCGAGGCACAGGGCTAGCATGAGGGCGGTTTTGCCGGAGCCGACGGGACTAGCGAGGGGGGGTGGAAAGGGGGAAGTGTTAGTTTTGGTTGTTTTAAGGGGGTTGTGGTATACATTATAGCATATCAGATCAGAAGGAGTCTAACGGTATAAGTGCCTAGGTAGGTACCTAATGTACAATGAGGGATACATGTTTCTTTTTCTCAAGTCCGTAATACATATACATATACATATACATATCCCCTTGATGGAAGATGGAAGATGGAAGATGAGGATATACGTTAGGTAGACAACTCCATGTTGAGTTGATAAGGACTTACCCTCCGATGCCGACGGTAAAGGCCCTCTCGTGCCAGTTACGACCCTCGACGATGGGCATCTCACGCCCGAGGAAGCTCCCCGGCCCATCTAGGATCTCGTGCGAGTGGCCGTGCTCGGCGACAGAGAAACCATCGTGAGAATGATTCGTGATACCTCCGTCGTGGGAGTGTAAGTGAGCGGTTGTCATTGCGGGAGGAGAGGGGGGAAGAGGTATGTTAGGTACAATACGCAGGTAAAATACGATAAAAGATTTTTTCAACTCCGAGTTTTGTTAAGAGAATTATTATCTTTTCAAGAAATGGTGTCCCTCAGATTTCTTGTTTAAGATCCTATCAAGCTTGTATAATTTTCTTTTTCTTTTTCTTTTTCTTTTTCTTTTTCTTTTTCTTTTTGCTTGCTTATTACTTACACATACCTATTATCCAACAACTTGCTCACCGAGAAAAAGGCGCTGGGCTTGCGGTCCCGCGGGCGATGGCGTTTTCTCACTTATCCCGCTATCCGTTCCTCTATCTCAGGGCTATCTCTCTCTCTCTTTTCATTGCGATAGCTATCCATTGTGATTATCTTATCTCTGGTGAGGGGCAACAAAATATATTTACCCCACATCCGGCGAAGCTAGCAGGTTAGCTGCTAGCTGCTATCATTGGAAAAGCTGTTTGTCACTTTCGGTGCTTGTTGTGAAGGTCCCGGTCTAATCATCCTCGAATTTTTTCGTCTCTAATAGAGCGTATATTCGACGAGATGGCTTCTATGAAGTTTATAAGTGAAGTTGAAAATTGAGGCTTTCGCGACGTCGACGAGTATTTCCCTTTGCTAACTTCTGTTACGTAAATTCGATAGAGATTGACCTGTCAAGAGTGCTAAAGAGTGCTTGCCAATACTTTGCCAAGTTGAAATCTGATATCCTACTAGCTTGGCTGCTGGCTGCATGTTTCACGAACGTCTAGGCAATCCGTTAGTTTGACTGCTAAGGCTTTTCTATATCTAGCCTTTTTACTGGCGCATTTTCAACAACACCAACCCAATCACCATTCACAGAATGGCAAGTCAAATCTCGATTGGTCTAGTGGTCAGGATACCTGCTTGTCATCGGACAAGTTCGCAGGTGGCCGGGGTTCGATTCCCCGATCGAGAGTATCTTTTTTCCATTTTATTAATTTTTTACTTACATTCTCTTTTGATGTTATACTTTTATGCAGAAGTACCTTACTTAGCTAATCTAGTTTTTTCTTTTTACTGTTAATATTAATGGGTTTAATTATTTAATATTAATAATTTTATATGGTATTAAGTATTAAGTAATTTTATAAGTTATTTGTGGATATTTATATATATTTATATATATTATTATAAATTAATAATTAAAAAAAATTACATTTAAATTTAAAAATAAAATTTTAATATTTTTTAAAGTAAATAATGTGACGAACTTACACTCAGGTCCGTTAAAGTGTAGTGATTGGGGTCTTGATTTTAGGTAAACAGTAGCGATACGGGTTAAGTGTTAAAAAAACGTTGTAAGTGTTCGTCAGGAAGGCTTGGAGTCCTTCCCCTTATATGGGTTAGATATAAGACTTAGATTGATAGCTAAGGAAACGTAAATGAATGACTAGATACATGTTGACTTTTATAGTCCTGATTGTCCTCCTTATTCGGCCCTTGAGGGTATCGTGATGTGGTTGATTTGGGTGATTTGGTTGATTTGATCAAATCAATCAAATCAGTCAAATCAGTCAAATCATACGAGATCGTGACCATAGCCGACGTTTACCCGTTGCCCTTGGAGACCCCGCTCCCGTTGCCTAAACTAGTACGTTTCTAATAGATGTTGGTTCGTAATAAATAAACTTCGAAATAATTTAATAAAAAACAATAATTTTAATAATTTTATAAAATTAATTACATTTACGAAATTATATTAAATTATATAAAAAGAATTATAAATAATAATAATAAAAAGTAAAAAAAACATTTTATATAATTATTAAACGTTTTTTATATTAGTGGTTGTGTAATATCGGCGTGTGGCACCTTATTGGGGATAAGGTGCTTTATCGCTAATATTAGAAAAAGAAATAATATATTTATTATTATTATATAAAAGGATATTATATTATTAATTAACTTTAAATAAATTTTCCCTTTTTTAAATATTATTAATATATTAATTTTACTTTATTATTATTTAATTTACTTATTTATTATTTTATATTATACGTACGTATTTATTAATATTAATTAATATTATTAAAGATTTAATAACACAAATTAATAAAGTTAAAAAAATTATTACTATAATAATTTAAAAAATATTATTATAATAATACATATAATACTAATATATTTTCTTTTACTTATAAACATATTTTAAATTTATAACGGATTATTATTTTACTTTATTATTAAACCTTTTTAAATTTTTTATTATTTACCATAATTTAAACTTATTATTATTATTATTAAATAAATTAATATCTATTATTTATTATAAATATTTTATAATATTTTAATTAAAAATATTAACGTAAATATAAGTTTACGTTATAATAACGGATTTAATTAAAATAGAAAATATAAATAAATTATAAGCTTTAATAAATTATATACCCGAATAAATGACCTTTATTTAATATTTTAACCATATAGTTATTAAATAGGAATTAATTGATCTTTAAATAATTACTTTTAAGCAAAAGGTAATTTAAGCACTTTTTACGTTAGTAAATTTGGAGATTATTAATATAAATGTATTATATGTTTATACTCCCGAAGAAATAATAGATAAATATTAAAATTAATTTTAAGGATTTATAATAACGGACTTTATAAATATATTAAGATTTTTATAATTAATATTTTAAATTACGTTAATATAATAAGATATTTATATAAAATAATATAATATTAATTATATTAAAATATTTATTAATTTTATATTATTATATAAATTATTAATATAAAATTTAGATAAATTAGAAATAATTAAGCGAAAATAGTTTAATATGTTAATATAAAAAGTATTAATATATAATATTAATTAAAAATCAATTTACTTAAATGTACAGGCATTTGCACGTATATATGTTGTATTATAATAATAATAATCTATAATTTATAACTTTTAAATATTAATATATATAAAATAAGTTTTAATATAATTTACTACTTTAATTAATTAATTACTTTCTTATATATAATATCCATTACTAACTTTATAAATAATAAAATAACCCCCCCTTATTCTTAATAACCTGTTATTAATTTTTTACATTTTGCCACTTATTTAAATATAAAGGTTTATAATTTAACCTTTTTAACATTAAACTTTTGGCCCCCCTTTTACCCCCCCGCCCCCCCCCGCTTATTAAAGGATAATTACGCCCCTTTAAATTGCCATTAATAATATTTACTTTAATAATCTTATATATATAATCTAATAAAGGTATAAATAGGGATATAATCCCATATATAATAATAATTTAGTACAAGGAGTACTAATTAACCCGCTGGTCCCAGGAAATGTTCCTGAACCCCCTGGACTGCTACCGGATGGTTCATACATAATACTGGCAGCTCCTTAAGGCATTAGATAAAAAGGAGGAAATTAGTTTATTAAAAATTACATTTCCTTTTCTTAAACGGCTCCATTATTTATATAATTAAATAATTAATAAGTATAAGTTTTTATATTAATTAATAATTAATAAAAAGATATTTATTATAATATTTCTTTAATAAAAGTCCTTAATAAAATATATCCTTTAATAATTATTAATTATTTTAAAAAAATATAAAATAATAAAAATAATTATATAAGAAAAATATATAATATTTTTAAAGATAAGTTCTGTTTTTTCTTAAATATTTATTATACGGCCGAAATATAATAAACTTAGTTTTACATTATATTTTCCACCATTTTATTAAAAAAAGCAGTTATTTATTTTCTTTATAATATACCCCAATTTTAATATTTTATAAATATATATTTAATTATGGAATAACATTTTAATACAGAATAAAACAAAATTTAATACTATTATAATTAAATTTTTACTATTTTTTTTAATATTAAAATAAAAAAATAAAGTAAAAGAAAGATTAATATAAAAATATTTCAAATTTTATTCAATAAATTATTATTATATTAAAAAGCGTTAAGCTTTAATTTTAAAAGAAAATAATAACTTATTACAATTATATATTAAGCTTACCAAATTATGCCCTAATTATAATATATTTTTTTTAAATTATTAATACGTTTTAAAAGTTTAATAAGTAAATTCTAAGTATCTATTAGAACATACGAAATAATAAAAAAAGTAAGACAATTTATAATAAACGAAAATAATAATAACAATAATAATAATTATATTTATTATATTAATTACAAATATTATTATAATAAAAAAAAAATAAATATAATATAAAATAATCCTTAAAAATTTAAAAATAATAATATTAAATATATAAAAAAAATGGATATTAATCTATTAAATATTTAAAATATAAATAAAAGAAGGTTAAAGATAAATAAAAGGCTAAATAAGGCTCCTTTAAAAAGAATTATATAATGTTTTTAACAAATTATGAAGGAATTGGAGATTTAAATTCGGAATCTAATCACGAAGGAAATAAAGTAGCTTATTCAATAGTAAATCCGGATAAGGATAGTAATTTATATATAATAATTATATATTTATTTAATTAAGTGTTTTACCATTATTTTATTATTAATTCCCTTTCGGACGATTTAAAATCTGATATTATTTTTATATTAAACCGATATATAAAGAATATTTTTTAAAGAATAATATCAGATATAAGGGCAGTTTAAATATTTATAATTAAAAAGGGATAATATTTAGCTTTTATTAAAAAATATCTAAATAAATAACTGAAAATGGATAGCATTTATGTTAAAAAGGTTAACATTTGGTTTAATAATGGATTATTTATTAAATTATTTAGTATAATTACTGTAAATATCCCATTTAATAAGATAGACTTTTATATTATAAAATTAGATACTTTATTTTTATTATTATTAAAGGATATGGATTAATTAAGAATATATTTTAATAATATTATTAATTAGCTTATGTGTAAAAACAATATAATAATTAACGTTAAAAGAAAATAGGGATATTTATGATTTTAATTAAAAGATATTATTTATTTTATAAAAATAAAATTATAATATTTGCATATATGTTTTAATTATTTATTAATTAATAAATTATATAATTTATTAAATAAAGTTGGATATAATATTAATATAAATAACTTTAAAAAAATTAATAAATTTTGTTATTATTATTAAATTAAGGGAAAAGCTTTTTAATAATTTAAGTTCATTTTAAAAGATTTAAATATTAAATTTAATTATA